ACCCCAACCCCAACCCCAACCCCAACCCCAACCCCAACCCCAACCCCAACCCCAACCCCAACCCCAACCCCAACCCCCAACCCCAACCCCAACCCCAACCCCAACCCCAACCCCAACCCCAACCCCAACCCCAACCCCAACCCCAACCCCAACCCCAACCCCAACCCCAACCCCAACCCCAACCCCAACCCCAACCCCAACCCCAACCCCAACCCCAACCCCAACCCCAACCCCAACCCCAACCCCAACCCCAACCCCAACCCCAACCCCAACCCCAACCCCAACCCCAACCCCAACCCCAACCCCATTAATTGAAGATTAAATAAAAAAGATGAAAATTTATTATTAATTTTTTTATAAAATGTATTTGTTAATTATAGCTTAGAATATATATTAATTGATATTTAAAATCATAAACTAAAAATATTTAAATATTTATTTATTTATTGAATAAAATTAATAATGTAAGAATAAAATATATTTTTAAGAGAATATTATTTAATTTTATAAATGAAATAATTAAAAAAAATGAATTTATTTATTTTTTATCTTCAAAAAAGTTAGCTTTAAATAATAATAAATAGAAACTTAATAATGCTATTAATTCTTGGGTATTATTTTCAGGTTAAATTTTATTAAAAAAACATACAAAATACTATCTAAATATTATAATGAATCCTGATAGAGATAAATAAGAGGTAAATTTAATGAAAAAATAAGAAAAATAAAAGATTATGTATGCATTATTTATTAATTAGCAATTCTTAATGTATAATTTGATTTGTATATATTTGTATATTAAAAAGGTAAGTAAAAGTAGAGAAAAAGATACAAGAAAAAATTATAAGCAAGCAAAGTAGAAATGGGTGATAAAATTAGATTATAAGTTGAAGGTATGCTACCTGAAATGCTTTAGCTCGTAAAGCGAAAAATATTTACCAAGGATGAAGTAAACCAAATATTAAAAGAGCGTGAGAATAATGAATATTTGCTCGAAAGAAAAAATGCTAGTGTCAAGGATTACCTAAAGGTTATAGAGTATGAATATGGATTAGAAAAAATGCGTAGAAAAAGATTCAAAGCCTTAAAGATCAAGAAAGAAAACTAAAAAGATTTTGCAAGTATTTTTAAATATATTTAGTCTTTTTTTATTGACATTTTATGAAAATTTTCAATAATTGAACTATTATCGATGAGAACTATGGTTAATTTTCTAAATTTTATTATTTAATAGTTATAAGACGTATACTTTAATTATGGGATAAAATAACATATAAATTTAGATATAGAGTTGATATATGGAAATAATATTTGTCTTTCTGTTACTTCATCGATTCAAAGAAATCTTTCTTTAAAGCAATTACTGCTGCCCTCCGCTTTAACCCTTACAATCTTGATTTATGGTTATCAGCTGCATATTATGAAAGCGATATAAATGGTAACCCTTTTAAAGGCAGAAAAATATTCTATAAGGCCCTCAAGCAAAATACTAAGGCAGTCGTAAATAAATATCATTTAATATGAATGTTATTGAAAATTCAATGATAATATTTTTTTAATATTCATGAAATGTTACAATAATGAATTCAATTAATTATTACTAAATAAAACAAAAGAATTTTTGGATTGAGTACTTTAAATACGAAGTCAAATTTATAGAGAAAGTAATGACTAGATAAATTTTACTTACCAGTGATGCCAAGGATATTAAAGAGAAAGTAATTACTTTATTACTTTAGTTTTATTATTTGCTTTTAAATTATTTATAATTACATCATTTATTTAGGAATTAGAAGCTGGGGCTGACTTTTTAGGTTTTGAAGATGATAAAAATAAGAGTGATGTTCTACTAGAATTGGATAATATTAATTCATCTGATTTGGAATAAAGTAATTGACAAAATAATTATTATTTGATTTGTCATGTTGATCAAGTATTTATTGAAATTAATTATTATTATAATAGTGCTTACAGTGTTAAAAGAAGTCTATAAATTAGCTCTTGAGAACTTTAAGGTTACAGAATTCGGATTTGAGTTTTTATAAAGTATAAATGGGATTAAAGGAAAGTGGTTTAGTGAAATTTAAAATACTGTTACCTAAGATATAAGAGAGTCAATTAATTCAGAATAAAATTTAGTGTTGAAAAATAAATATATTGCTTAACTTGCCTTGACAATAAATGGATTTTCGAAATAAACATTAGCAAGCGATGGCCTAAATGAGCATCTTGAAGAATTAGCTAAAAAAATATCTGAAGATAAAGATTTAGTTTAATATAGCAAAGAAATTTACAAGTATCTTCTTGAGTTTTTGATTGAAAATAAAAATTTAATCAGCATAGATAACGTTTAAAAATTAAATACTGATTCTTAGTTTTTATAATAGACAACTTAACAACAACTTGATTTAGATTACCTACTTCTTCTTTCCCAGTTTTTGACAGAATTTAAAATTAATCATAATAAAGACATTCTTGAATAGCTTCTCAATAAAATAAGTGAGCAAGAAGAAAAAGTTGAAGATGACAACAGCTTAGAATAAAAAAATAAAGAGAATATATTAGAGAAATTATTTAACAATAAAATTGGTTTATTAGTGTTGCAAGGTGGTTAAGAAAAAGCTATTAAATATATAAGACTCAAATTATAAAACTAGAGAGCCAACTCTCCTGAAAAGCGTTTCAACTTATTGAAAAAATATTATGATATTAAAATGTAAATACCAAGCTAATTCTAAGAAGTGAATTAGCAAGCCTTCTTCAATTTGTGCATTGAGCAGCTCATCTTAAGCAAAGAATATTTTGAGCAACTCATTCTCCCTTTCCTAGGATATTTAAATGAAAAGAATTATAGCCAATAGGTTCAAGTTTTTATGAAGAAATTATTATCCTATAAATAATAATGTCCTTTAGCAATATACCTCTAATATATTTCCTAATACTAAAAGGTAGTTAATTTAATTCTTTTAAAACTCTCCCTTTACAAATAAACAAATGAAAAAATTAATTAAGAAATAAACAATTGAATTAATTAATTAGTTAATTATAAAGTCTGCTTTTTTAAAAAATAAAAATAATCTTGGTTTATCAAATAATCACATTTAAGCTTTTTTATATTATATCACACATTTGTTTTTTTTAATTGCTAAATTATGCTGGAGGCATTTAAAATTATGAAAAAAAACTCCTTTTTTTCTCAACAAACAATTATTTTTTAATGAGAAAAATAGACATTTTTATGAGTTTTTTTTAAAATATATTTTTATATATTAGGTTGAAAGTAAAAAAAATGAGCTGAGCCAATTGTGGATTTACATAAGTTAATGGTACAAATCTGACCTAACTATGTGGGAAGCATATTTTAAATGGTAGAGAGATTTTGGAGAAGTGTAACAATGCCCCATAATACTTGACAGGTAAGTTTTTGCTAATTAATCCTTTGAATTTGTTTAGAAAATAAATTTTTAAATTTCCCACAGAATGATAGCAATTTTAGAGAACGATTTTCTATTGCTTATTTATTAACTGTTTAAAATAAATGAATTTTTTAAGTGCTTCTTAATAGCAGGAACTAATAAATTAATATAAAACTAATTCAAAAAAATAAATAAATTATTTAAAAAAAGGGCCTCTAAGACAAGCGGATTAGATTACAGTTTATTGCTTGCTACTTATAACTCTATAATTTAATGATAAATTGACACATTTATTTATATTTCATTTAATAGTACTAAGTTGTTCATTTATTATATAAGAAATATGTATGCTTTCACCTATGATAATAAAATTATAATATTACTGTATTAATTCAAAGTTTAAATATTTCTGATTTTTTTTTACCAAAAGAGTTTATTATTTTTAAAAAAAAATTATAATTTATTTTGCTTGAATTTCATTATTGATTTAAATTTTATTCATTTTTATTTATTCTTTGATCCATCCATTTTATATTTATTATTTAATGACAACTTTTAAAGAATAATTTAGATGAATTTCATAAAAAAATTTCTGAGAAAAGTAAAAAACTTAACTTTTTTTGATTGATGAGACTGAAAATAAATATATGTTTCAATCAAATTTTTGATATATTTTTTAATTATATTTTATTTAATCTACAAAGAGATTAATACTATTGAGAGAAATTTAAATTTTCTTAATTAGTCTGTCAAAAATTTTAAACCTTTTATATGAAAATGCATAAGGTAATTGATTTTATTTATATTTAAAAAACTTGGGAATGCAAATTAGTACAACAGAGAATTACATTTAATAAATCAAGCTATAAAAGTATTCAGCTTATCTATTTTAATGACTATTAATCTTAAAGAAAAATAATCCAAACAACTTTTAATCAAACAAATCTCTAGAAATTTATATAAATAATTGATCCAGATCAAATAGAAACTATGAAAAAATGTAATATGGAACATTTATTTATTAATCATTGTAAAGTTTTAGGGATCTAATCAGTATCTAGCTTAATTAATTTTTTTTTTAAAGAGAAAACAAAATATTAAAAAGTTATAAAGAGTCTAAATACAAACAAAATAATAATTATCTAAGCTAAAACAAACAAACAAAAAAATCAAGCAAAAAAACTAACAAACAAACCAAAAATCAATTCTCATAAGCAAAACATAAAATTATTACACCAGTCTTTCTAACTACTTTGAATAATTCTACTGAATAACTGCTCTAAGTAGTCACCTTTTTTGGATAAGAGAGAATATAAAGTAGAATTAAGCACTCCCTAAGCTGCTGTTAAAGATCTAAAATCTAAAAGTTCAATACAATATTTCATATCATTAATATTGTCTCTAACTAACCTTTATTGAAATTTAGTGATAACTTTCACCAATAAAATGAATTCTTAAGCGTATCTCCTGCTTATAAACTAGCAATTAGAAAAATAATACAATATGTCCTCTTCATATATCAGCAATAAAGAAACATAAAAAAAGTTTCACTCAAAAGAAATAAAACTTAGACCAAAAATCGACTATCAAATAACTAATTTTAAAAGATTCAAGTTAAGCTCTGACCTGTCTTACATGATTGTTAATAATAATAACAATAATAAGAGCATTAAACCTAATAAAATCAATGCTAATAGTATTTATATTAATCAAAATAATGAAAACCCAACAATAAATTTGAAAATTGAAGAGCCTTCAAACAATAATACTTATTAAAAAAGTGAGCCCAGTGCTGTATCCTATGATAGGTAAAAAGTAATTCAAGCTCATAAAAAATCTAATATCTGTGGTTATAAATTACATTAATAATTATAATTTTACTAATACGAAAATTTAAAAAGCATATTTTCATAAACATTTTAATTTGAAATAGAATTATTGAAAAATGCTGAAAAGTGTGAAAATTTATAACTTTTTATGTAATTTTATGATCCATCAGTGATTTTAATAAACAGCAACCAAATTTAGTAATTTTTGGCTTAGTAAAAATAAACCAATTAATCTAATCTAAATGATGTCTAACTATAAATTGCTAAACCCCGCTTTAGCTTTAAAAATGCCATTAAAATATAATTTAAAGAAATGAGAGAAGATGAATCGCTGAAAGTTAAAAAAGCCCTTAAGAATTTATTTTATCTTTACTTAAATGGAGATTATAGAGGTATTAACGAAAGTTTTAGTTTGAGAGAAGAAGAGCCAGAAAATTGGGAAAAAGCAATCAGTAACCGCTATGTTAGCTATAAGTATAAATCAAAGCACATTAATTTTGATTACTGTTCAAAGAAAGCAGATGAATTAAGCAATGACTCTCCAACAAGAAGAGAAAAAATTGAAAATTAATTTTCATTTGATATTAAAAACCTTGATAAGGAAGATAAAGAAACGGAAGAAAGAGACAAAAAGCAAGTAATTTATAATAAGTCTAAATATGTGATGTAGTTTCTTTTAAAACTACTTGATTTAGATCATTTAGAGTATCTGAAAGTGCCAGAAGGATTCTAAAACAAAATATAATCTATCAAAGAAAGCATTAAGGAGACAAGTAAAAGAAATAAACTGAGTCAAAGTCAATTCTACAACCACACTCACTTTGATTGCCTATTTCTTCAAATCACCGAAGCGAATGATCATTATGTCCACAGTAGCGAAGAGCTATTGAAAATGCATTGTACAGTTTTTGATGTAGCAGATTTGGTTGATAGCTTTACAATAAATACAGTAAATTTCTATAAAGAGCTTGTGACATAGATAATCATAGAATAGATACACCTTATACGCTCGCAAATCATACCGCAGTTGGCTGTGCATACTCTTTCTTTTAAATCATCATCCAAACTTAAATATTTTGAAAGAATATGTGACTCTATCGAAAAGTTGAAAGAAGGCTAAATAATAAGCAAATTTTGATTGATAGATATATAAACTATTAGATATATATATAAATAATATAAATATTATTATAATTTATGCAATCTAAAATATATAAAATAATGAAAAATGGAATAAAAACCATTTACTAAAAATTAACACATTCAAAATAAATATTTATTAGTTGTTAGCTTTATCATAATTTGTTAGTTTTTAACTTTTTTATCAATATTTATAATTTATTTACTTATTTATAAATAACCTGTCTCCTTTAATAATATAATATTAAAATATGAATAAAATTTTATTATCGTATTATATTCTTGCTATTATTTTTAATAATTATTTACTTATTTTGTTTATTTATTCAATTAAAAATTTTCTTTATTATTTAAAAAGAAATAAACTATTATTGATTTAATTAATTATCATTTAAAAACTTTTATTGATATTATTGAGGTTTTAGCTATATTATTTCACTTAAAACAAAAACAGTATTTTTTACCTAATACTATTATCAGCTGCCTATACTTTCCTATTATATTTAAATTTTCCTATTTACAAAAAGCGTCATCTGAATTTTTATTAGAGTTCTATTTTTTAAGATTTTGCTTTAATTTTAAGAGATTTATGTTGTTTATGAAAAAACCATCTGTCTTTTAAACTTATATTTTTTAATTTTTACAGAGATATTAGTAATAAACAAAATATATGAAACACAATTATAATAATAAATTTTAAAATATTTAAAATTTACTTTTTAGAATTTCAAAAAAAAGTTCAAGAAGTGTGAGTGAGTTGAAAAATAGTTAGTTCTAAATTATGAACAAAAAAATAATTAAACAAAATTCAAAAATCTGTAAGAAAGAAATAATTAATTCTTCAATAAATCATCTCTTTTTTTTAATGCTAATTTATTAAATAAATTAAAATAAAGAAAACTGAAAGTAATTTTAAATATTTGTAGGTATGGATTTGATAATTCTTAGAAGGATATAAAATATGCTTAATAAAAAAATATTTTTCTTTACAGAAAGTTTGCAATTTGCTTTTTTAAAATTAGAACTCAAAATAAAAAATATTTATTTAAAGACCTTGCTTTTTTAAATGATTGGCTTTTATTTTTCTATTAAAAGATGTTTATGATTAGAAAACAGATAATTATGAATATAATTCAGAAAATAAAATGCAAAAATAAATACTGTGAATCAAGAATTTATTAATTCTAAAGTGTAAACGAAAGAATAAAATACTTGAATTTAACTACTTTAAAAAACAATTAAAAGAAATTAAATATGATCTGATATTTTCAGTAAACTATAAAATAGATTAATTGTTTAAAAATATTAAACAGATTTGTTTTTATAAAATATATTTTTATTTTAAGCACATTAATTTTTACCATTCCTTTAAAAATTGACTCTTTCCTCTAGAAAAATGGTTTTAATAATTCTTTAAACTGTAAATATTATTTTGAAATGAAATTATGATCATGTTTTGATTTTTAAAAATCCAAAATGTTTAGATATAATATAAAAAATAATTAGAAAATCAAAAAAACAATAATTCAGTTAAATAAACTTTATCTTTCCTTAAAATTTTGCATATTTTTTAAAAAAATGAGCCATAATTTTTGATACAGCTATTATTTCTACTAGATAGCTTTAAATAAATTCTTAACAAGCAGACTTAGAATGGTTATTTTTATGTGAAATACTCTTCAATAAATTATATAGCTGTCAAATAAAAAATGATTAAGAATTGTAGTGAAGTTTTATATGATTTAATTAAGAGATGCTCAGTAATTATATGCAAAATAACAAACAAAAATTTAGAAAAAATAAGTAAATTTTTTTTTACTAAGATAGTATAAAATAGGTTTAAATAGTAATTCAAAAATCAAACAACTATGAATTTCTCTGTTGCTGATCACTTAAACAAACAGTCATTCTTAATAAAACCTTCTTTGAAAATGAGTACAACATATCTTTACTACAATATTTATTTATTATTTCTTTCAAGTATAATTCATTTTTAAGATTAATGTATGCAATCATTTAATGGTTTTATCAATTATTAATATAAATATATTATTCTATGATATAATGTCGGCTCATTATTTTTAATTTTAACAAAAATAACAGACGATTAGCAGCCTTAAGATGTCAAGCTTGAAGAAAATGAATAGGTCAATATTAAAAAAAACAAGGATTCAAATCACACTTTAAAAAAATAGAAAATGAATGGCTTGAGTGTGATTCCTTCATACAGAGAGCTATTTTTAAATGAATAATAATTATACAGTAAATAGAATATACAAAGTTAATATAATGACTATGTCAATAGGTTTTCTTCTAAAAAAAAAATGGTTTCATACAAGAGCATTAGGACAACTGGAATTTCAAATAAATATTATCCTGATGTATTTACTTATAAAAGCATGCAGATACCATACTTTTCCAAAGTAGAACCGGACTTACTTATAGATTATAACAAATACTACTCTTTAATCTAAACCTTTAATATACAAAAACTTTTTTTTAAACAAATCGATTGTTAGTAGCAAATGTTTTGTTAGAATATACAAAACTAAATTGTAATGAAACTTGAAAACTCTTCTCCAAAAAATATTTTAGATGGTATTCAACAAATGATGATAAAATATCTTGATTTATCTTAAATAATAACTAAATAGAGCATTAGTTTAGATGTGGGAATAAAAGTTAATAAAAAATTCATACTTTATTTGTATGGTAGATATAGAGCACTGAAGTTCTTTTCATAGGTAGATGCAGCTGAAGAACTTTAGTTTGAGGTGAGTAAGATAGTCTATTAACTTATATAATCTTAGTAACCTAACCAAGTAGCTAATTAAGAAAAGTTTCAGCAAAAAAAAAATTCATTTTCATACAGTGTGGCTGGCTCATCTTAAACCACATACGAAAAGACAGAAGATTTATTTGACATTTAGAAATTAAATGGCAAGAGAAAACGATCATCCATTCAATATGAAAATGAAGATGAAGAGGATATTTAGAATGGTTATACTGTATCTAGTGAATAGCATTAAGTTTAAGATTTAAAAAATTAAAATTTTGACTAACTTCAATCTATCAATAAAATTAATCATAAAAAACATAAACATGTTGAACTTTAATTGAGTAAAAGCTCATCATCTGACTATGAAATATAAAAAGAAATACCATCAAAAATAAATAATTAAAATTGCCAAAATAATAATTTCATTTAAAAATAAACCTGCTAGTATGAAAAATTAAATAGCTAACAAAATAATTAAAATTAGTTTTCACTTTAATGTGATGAAACTAATTTAAAAAATACTTAAAATTTAATAACAACAGAAGAATTATCTAAAAATATTTTGGCTGATTAATAAAAATTCAAAGAAAAAGAAAAAGAAAAAAGAAAATAGATTTTCCATAATTTATCTAAATATTTGATGCATCTCTTAATAGAATTACTAAGCGAGGATCATTTAGATTCTTTTGAAATTATACCTGGATATAATATTTTGATCAAGAATTTAATTCACAGACTCAAGTAAAGTGGTAAAAGAAATAAATTAAGCTAAACTTATTATTTCAATCACTAGCATTATAATTGCATTTTCTTAACTCTCAATTCAGAAAACATATAAAAACTAGTTAATTAGAAAGATTTTATCGAAATTCATGACTAAGTATTCGGAAAAATAAATTTTTATAATGAAGAAGAATTACTAAATGTGAATATCATAAAAGTAGCAATAAGCAAAATAATTAACATCCAATTAGACTACATTATAGAGCAGATAGAGAGTACTTTGGGATCTTAGCTTTTTGAAATATGCAATATCAATACTGATTGTTAAGCTAAAGTTAGCTATTTAATAAATGTTTCAGAAGGAATTAAAAAACTTTAAAAAGGAAATCAACTCGTTAGGTTTTGAAATATTTCTTTATTGTAACTTAAATATAATATTATAAAATACTCATTAAATATTGTTTCTTTTATTTTTCAATTACAAAATTTAGTTTTTATTTATTTATTTATATATAAACTTTAAAATCTATTTAGCTCAAAAATCAAAACTTAAAATTATTTCAAAATACAAAGTAAGATTTTTCCTTATTATTTTTGTCGAAAATTATTTGCCAAAAGTTAGGTATCAAATTAAAAGAGTATTAAACGCATTTAAAATTTATTAAAATATTTATTTGAAATTAATGAAAGAAATATTTTGATCAAACTAAATATTACCCTATTCAATCAATTAATTAGATCTCATTTATTTTGTACTTATCCTATCCTCTTTTATGTATTTGCAGGCTCTGACTCTACAGGTCTCTCTCAGAATATAATAAAAAAAGTTTATGCACAATATTTTTAATTTGGCTGCTTATCAATACCTATTTTGTAGAAATAAATTATAAATATTCTTGTAGAGCAAAAGAAAGTATATGTGAATATTTATCTTATAAAATTATTAGGATAAATTTATTTTAAAAAAATGTTTGAATAAAAAATCGCAAAATATCAGAAAAATTAATTTTTATTAGATAAGTCATTTTTTTTATTGAAGAAATTAATAAAATCATTTAATAAATATTGAGATATTTTATCATATATTTACTTGGTTTTCTCAATTACTTAACATCTATTGATTATTGGTTTATTTATCATTTGATTTTTTTATCTAATTAATCTGATTTCAAAAGTGAAATTTTTTTTTCATCTTTTAAAAAGAATAATTGCAGTATTTTTGATAAAAAAACTTATCAACTTTTATTTTACAAAAAATAATAAAAGCATAAAAAAAAAAATAATTTTAAATTGAATTCATAAATATCTTTTCAAATTACACTCTTAACGAAAAATAATTAAATGGAAAACGGTGTTATTTTTATTATTGATTTTAAATAATCTTTTCGAGGTTTTCAAATTTTTTATAATTATTTTTTATCATTCATATAATTTAAAGGTAACAAACATACTTATTTTTTAAGAGTTTCTACTTTTTGAGAAAAGAGTGTTTGATTATTTTAAAATAAATTTTGACATGCATGAGTTTAATTTTATAAAAATAAATAAGAATTTAATATTTTTAAAAAAATAATAAGGTTTTATTTTAATTTTATTATCAATATATTTATATTGATCAACTAAATTGCTTTTAAATATTAATAATACAGCTAATTATTATAAGAAAAGTTTTATAAATTTTAATTTTAAATTATTTTTTTTATTTTAGAAATATTTATTTAATTAATTCATTGATTATGAGTTTAAAAAGAGTCTATTAAAACCAATTAGAATTATAATTTAATATAAATTTACACGTGTATATTTAAACTGTTTCTTAGATGACACTTGGATGTTTAAACTGTTTGTTAGAAGACAAGTGGATGAAATTTGAAAGCTAAACTTTAAATTGTTTCATAATTCTTTCATATTAGCTAAAATTTTTTAGATATTTTTTCTATTCTTTTTAAATTATAAGCTTTATTTTTAAGCTCGTGCATTCTATCCAAACTTTACTTAATAATTTAATAATTTTTATAATCATGTGCCTATTATCAGTTTTTTTAAATAGAGTAAAATTTGGATATGGAGTTTCGAAAGGTTTATATTTTAAGTTAAATTTATAAGTTAGAAGAGTCTATTAGACACTTTATAAATAAGAAAGTTTATTGATTGCTTAAAAGGAATTTAAAAGTGGAGTTTTTGGATACTTCAGATTTATAGAGCAATAAAGGCTCAATATGTCAGATTATAAATTATTTTATTTTACTATTTTATTCTGTAATTAAGTCTAAAATTAATTTGATGTAGAATTGATTTATTTTTATGAAACTATTCTGTTTAAAAATAATTTTGCTTACATTATCCTATAATTTTAAATAGCTGCGAAAGTTAATTAGATAAATTTATAAATATTTAAATAAAAAACATATTTGATAAAAAAATTAAACAAACACTCATTCATAAATGGTTAAGAAGTCTAATAAAAAAGAGCAAAAGCTTAAGAGTGAGTAGGATGATTTAGGATTATTCTTCACATTTAAAAATAAAATTTTGAACTATCTTGGCTTTGACAATATATTCAACAATGATGAATTATACTCTAATGCACTCAATGACAAAGGTAAATTTTAACAAACATTGCTTTAAGCAACTTTAAATATTATTTTAGTATTTAAAAGGACACGATTTTTATTAAAAAAATGAAATTACAAAAGCAAGAGAATATTTCATAAAAGCTATCAAAAGAAATAAAAATAACAAATATGCTTTGACTAATTTAGCAATTATTTACAGTAATTAAAATAATTTTGAATAAGCTATTTCATTTTTGAAGAAAGCAATCTCAGTTAATAAAAATTACTTAAGAGCTTATGAAAAGTTAGGTTTAATATATTTTGACTAGAAAAATTTCTAATAAGCTATTAAATATTTTAAAATGGGTGTAAATATAAACCCAAATTATCAATACATGTAATATAATTTAGCAATTGCTTATAAGAATAATAAATAAATTCAATTAGCAATCAAACATTTTGAAGTATCATTAGAAATAGATGAATAAAATAGATATGCTTATTATAATTTAGGATTAATATATTCTGACTAAAAACTGATAGATAATGCAATTAAGTACTTTTAATAAGCAATAAAAATCTATCCAAATTATAGTGATGCTCATTTTGAATTAGGGTTAAATTACTAAAAGTTATAATTTTTTGATTTAGCAGTTGAATGCTTTAAAAAAGTTATTGAAATTAATCCTAATTAAATAAGGCCTTACTTTATTCTTTTTGAAATATATTTCAACTAGAAAAACTTGGCTTAATCTTTCAAATTTTATGAAAGAGCAAAGAATATCAATCCATGTTATACTTATGATTACATAGGATGCATGTTCTATAATAAAAGATATTACAGTCAATCTATTTAATGGTTCAAAAAAGCTTTAGAAATAGATAAGAATTCATTAAATATTATAATTACTTTGGCAGATGCATACTATTATAATAATTAAAGATAATTAGCCGATGAATTCTTAAATTCAGTCTTAAAAAATCATTCAGAAATGGGATATGAGTTTTAGAGTAAAATTTATCTTAGATTAAAACAGTTTGATAAAGCAATCAATTGTTTAAATAAATTACTTAAGATTGAAACAAGTAAATAAAAAAGATATAAGTATTACTGCAAACTTGGAGAAATATATTAAAATAAAAAATATAATTATAATATGGCAATAAGATGCTATTAAAATGCTCTATAGTATTGGTCTTTCTATGGAAATTATGATGATGGTTTATATTAACAATTAGCTAATGCATATTTCCATGACTTGTAATATGAACAAGCTATAGATTCATACTAAAAGTAAATAATAATTAATGAGGATAAAAAGTTTCTTCATTACAATATGGGAGAAGTATACTTAATCCAAGCATAGAATTCTTTTTATTAAGATCCAAAAAGTAAGCTATAAAAAAAAAAATACTTATCTCAATCAATAGAATGCTTTAAAAGAGAAATAAAAAAATATTAAGACAACCAATATTCTCATGATAGTTTATGTAAAGCGTATGAAAAAAAAAAATGATTAGACAAATAATCAAGAATGGCAAAAAATAACATTTAAAATAATCATCTATTTCATAAGAGATGTTAAAGATATATAAAAGCAAAATATGAAAGTCAGGTTTTCGATAAAATTTTATTAAAAGCTTTTAAAAATGAATTTGTCTTTTACATAAATTTATTGTAAAGCTTCTAAATGAAAGGTTGCTTGATCAATCATATTCTATTTTTATGATTAAAAGTCAAGAAGTATAAAAGATTAAATTATTAAACTTTAAAAAAATATAGCATTTAATCTGACTTACAGTATTTTATTTATCAATATCATAGGTTTTTATTTTTATTTTTTGCCATATCATTTTTAGTAATTAAGTAAATATTTTTTTATATTTATATTTTTAATTAATTTTGATACTTTTGAACAAAAATAAATGTTTATTTAAATAGAAAGTCAGATAAATTTTTTATATTAATATCAGTTTAAAATGTAAGCTAAAACTAAAAAATAACTAATCCTATTAAAATTTTTAATTCTTTAAGTATTTCCATTGATTTTTAATTGGTTTAAAATGAATTTATTTTATAAGTTATTTATTTTTTCTTTTTAGACTTAAAAATATCTTATTACATTTTATCTTTTATTGTAAAAAATTATATTATGAATTTATTTTTAAAAATCAAACTTATGAATTTATTAATTAAATGCTGTATTTTAATTTTATATTAAAAATTTATTAAAAATGTTTAAAATGATTAATTATTATTTTTTATATTAAACACAGATGAAAATTTGAGAATTGTTCTTTAAAAATAAATCTAGAGATTGTTGAACAAAATTAAATTTTACTGTGATTCCATGTTTATTGTTTTAAAAAATATTGTAAATAGTAAGCTTTTTAATATTTTGAATTAGATGATATTTACATAATTAATTTATGGTAATGCTTTAAATAGAGATTTCATTAATATTTAAAAGTCATTTAAATGATTCTTGTAATTATAAAAATATTTAATTTTTTTGATGACTATGAATAAATTAACTTAATTAAAAATTTGTAGAAAATTAAAAAAAAATCAAGAGTAAAACAAATTATTATTTAAATGTATCCTCTAAGAAGTTTTTAAGAGCTCTTGAATAAGAAATAATAAATAGAATTTTAAAAATAATAAGCAATTAAAGCTATTAATAATTTAAGTAAAACATTTAAAAAAGACCATATTTATTTAATAATTTATTATTTATTTAAGTAAAAACTTATTTACAAATGTTAGTAAAATGCTGACAAAAAAATATTTGTTGAATGAGCATTTTAGAAAATTTAAACATTTTTGGAACAAAAAAAATAGATTATTTAAAAAAGTTTAAATGTATGCTCTTAATAAAAGCAAAATATTTTTTCTACAATAAATAAAATAATTAAAGATAATATTCAAAACATTTTTAAACTGAAATTTTGATTAAGTGGTATTGAAAGAATTAAAAAGATAAGACGCAATTTAAAGAAATAGTAAGAAAGCTATGGGAAAGTAATCTGACATGATTGCTTGCTTGTTTATTTATAAATTTAAATAAATCAATAAATAAATAATTAGTTTGTTGATTGTTAAGATAGAGTCATAAAGAAATTTATAATAATTATTTATTTTTGTAAAATAGTGTTTTGTTAATTAATTATTTTGAAAAAGAGGAAGTAAAGAATCACTGATAGAATTTGGAAATCTAAAATGTATTCAAGCTATCAAGCTAAAATTGAAGACAGCTCCTGTTTTATAAACTTTTTAAACTACCCTTAATAGTGTGAAAGTAATCAAAGTAGTTCTTTTATAAATAGAATCATAAAAATTACATATTTTGATACACTTTGGTCATGCTTCATAGCTTTTATTTATTTTGAAAGCATATTAATCTTTTGCACTTTTATTTAATTCAAAGGAGATAACTTTTAAGTTTTTTTATGATTTTTAAATATGACTAATTAATTATAAAAGTGTAGATAAATTTTCAATAAAGAATATTTGATCTAAATAGTAGTAGTAGAGAATAAATACTTTCAAAATTATTTCTGTGCTTTACAAAGTTCATAAAAAAACTTTAGAAGTATGCAGAATCAGAGGATAAGCACCAAAAAAAAAATAAATAAATTGCACATTGATAAAACAGTGAGAAGATTAATAAAAAAAAGAATAATAAAAGCAGTAATTTCAATAAATAATTAAACAACATATTAAACGAACGAGAATTCACTTGATATTTCTTGCCTATGAGTAGTATATGTTGATAAAGTCTAAAATATTATTTTTAAATTAAATAAAAGGATATGAAGATGGCACATTACCAGTTTATAAATCTCATTCTGTTCTGACATTGACAACTTACCCTTAGAGTTCCAGAAGAAGAAAAAGAGTTAGACTAAATGATTCTCTTAGTTATTGCTCTATAATAAATGATAGCCATCAAAATAGATAGCATTCATCCCTCACCTAAAACCATTCATCATCATCATCATCCTTCTAACCTAGTCTAAAAAAAATATATGTCGGATCATCTAATGTAGACTTAAGTACGTAAGAAACCATATAAAGTTAATTTAGGAGTAGCATTTATGACTATCAAAGCTATATTTAATCATTTCCAGACTATCGTCTACGTAGAATATGCAGCTATAAATATTTAAAACATATCGACCATTAAAATAACACTTTGAATAAAAGCTAAAGCTAACAATCATAAAAGTATTAGCATTTTGATTATAAAAATCTATGCATGCTTTTTTAAGACAAATATTTCTCGGTTCAGCTCATAGACTCTCTGAATTTATAAGAGAAGTGTTTGAATTTTGTACAAAGCTATTAACTTAGTATACCTTCCAACATTCAATTAAATTCAAACTTTAGTTCAAAACAAGAAGAAGAAGAGGAAGAAAACACTGCTAATTAAACATATTTAAACTAAAATGAAATAAACTTTTAAATAAATAGCAGTTAATTATAATAATTTGAAAAAGAAAATAATATTATTGTAAAATAAAAAGCCAAATTATAAATAAATTAGCAGTTATAAAAGAATACAAGGTCTTTCAAAAGAAAATAGGAAGTATTAACTGAAATAGAAAACACTAAAACTAAAAGACCGAACTCTAGATATTAAATTTTAGTGAAAAATATCTAATACGAAACTATCAAAGAAATTACCGACATCTAAAAAATAGAGTTTTCCAAAAGAACGATCAGTAAAGTAATAACTAAATTTATCTTATTTTTGAAAGGTGACTACCGCACTCTTAAGTATTATGACCTCGAATAAAAATGCTAAAATGGTACAGCCCAAAGAATATTGAAAAATTAAGACCCTTAATAATTTAGCGATGAGGATTAGAATACATAAGCACCAAATTTTAATTAAAACTGTTCATTTGAATTACCTAAATTTAATTTATTTGAGCTGCTTGAAGAATAAGATCATAAGGAAATGTTGTAAACAGATTCGAATTCAGTAAATAAAGGCGTTAATTCTGTCAGAAATTAACGCTACTCTCTAACATCTAATTCATCTTAAGGTTAGTGTGATAAATTTATTAAAGAGGCAGTCAGAGATTAATACCAGATCCATAAATAAAACTAACATCATTCATCATTTTAATCAACTCCAATAAATCAAAATTTAGATAAATCATAAGTATGTATTAACGCAACCGTAAAAATCAACGAAGATTTGTGCCCATCTCAAGATGAATAGCAAGCAAGCTAAAGTATTTCTAATTCCCCTAAAGCAAATTTTAATAAATTAAAATAAATTAATCTTTAGCGCAAGTAAAGTGAAAGTAGCTTTTGTCCTGAAGGTTATTTAAACCCTATTAATAATAATAATAATGATAGTAAAATCTAAATAAAATCAAAGTAAACTCTTTTTAATCTTTCCAAATATTTAATGCACCTAATTCTAGAATACTTAAGTGAAGAGCATTTAGATGGATTACAAATAATACCTGGCTTTCAATCACTTATTTAAAATGTGGTAAAGCGAATTAAAAAGAAAGGTTAAAGGACTGAACATTCATAAACGTATTACTACAATCATAGTCACTACAATTGTCTCTTCCTATTATTGAGTGATGGGAACATTGAATATGTATAAAATTAGAAAGAGTTGATGGAGTTGCATTAATATGTTTATGAAATTAATGATTTCATCAAAGCTTTTGACCTTACATAAATAAATTTTATAAAAGCCATAGTCGCTCGACTGATTATTAAATAATTTAAATTAATAAGATAACTAATTGATCAACAAATATAATTGAACCCTATCAAATATTAGACATATAATAATTACATGATAACAAAACTCTAGTATTTTGAAAGAGTATATCAAGGAATTAAAAATCTGAAAAAAGGACAAATCCTTGTTAGATTTTGAATGCTATTATAAAATTATAATGAATGTTAAATAATAAATTAATCAATTTTATTGATCAACCGAACCGACAGTCAGTCAAGCCCTTGAATTTTTTTAATATAAAATTAATATCTAACAAATTTAAATAAGCAGGCTAAATTCTAACTATTGAAAATTGTCTATCTATTTATTTATTACTTAATTACTATATTCTTATGTTATTTACAACCAGTATATTCTTATAATTATCACTCTTTCTATTGCAAGGATTTCGTTACTGTTTAGCGCTTTCTGTCAATATATTATTCAGAAAACGTACACCTATCTATATTTTAAACCTATATAAAATAATCTTGATGTAGAGGAACAAATAACAAAAAATTATATTCAACATTTAAAAACTTTTTAAAGAGAATTTAATTTTATTTGTCACCTTCGCTATAAAATTAATATAAAAATTTTTAAAAATCTCTACCTATTTTATATTGAAAGCAGAAATAGGCTTTTTCTTTTCTAAAAATTAAATAAGAAAATAAGAGTAAAATTTACTTTTCTTTGTATGTGTATGGGTATTTTTTTTTCCTAGTGAATTTTATTAATTTGATTGGCTAATTAGCAAATATTTATTAATTCATATATGAAAAATCAAAAAAAAAAGAGCAAATATAGTATTAAACTACTAATAAATAAACAAAATATTTTTTCTTCTGAGCAGGCTTGTGCAACAATAAGAAGATATTTTATTTGAGAATCTTGGGGAACATGTTGAAGGATGTTCAGAGATTAACTTATTTTAAACATCTAAAACATATCCTATTTTAGTCATAAAATTATATCTTAAAAAACAATATTAAACTATAAATTAAGCATAACAATATTTCCCGTAATATAAAAAAAAGATGTTTCATATTTATAATCACACATTTTTTTAGCAGCTTTTATTTTTAACGAGTTAACATTTTAGATATTTTAATACGTCTTTGTGGATTTTTTTATTGTATTACGTAAAAATTATGGATGTGCATTTAAGACAGAATGAATGCATCGACATAATAGTTTAAGTATGTTTTCATGTAAGTTTATCTAAATTAAAATTACAATTATGATTTAAATGGCTATAATGATAGTGTCTTACTTTTAAACAGACTAAAAATCATATAAATATTTATAATTACAGTAAAGTATTTATAGGAACAACTCCATTTTAAATATTTTGTGTTTTTTAATGTGTTATTCCCTTTTATTAACAAGACCTAAATTAAATTAAAAAGATAATATGCACTTTATAAAGCTAGATAGATTATTTATTAAATTTTAGCAATATCTAAATAAATCGAAACCTATAAAAAAAACCTTATTAAAATCAATATAAACCTTTTAAAAAATAGAATCATAAAACTTTATTATCTATTTCATATTATCAAACATTTTCATAAAATAAATATATTTTTCAATGAATTTTGTTCATGCTTTGCTAAGTAAGTATACTCTTTTAATTATGATTTATTTATCAAATTTTGTTTGTGAATAAATGATATTTTTATTAAATTACATAATAAATACCATCAAGCTAAATTTTTTCTCATATCAAGCACTTTTTTAGCACATTAACTACCAATAATCGAGCTTACTAAATGTATTTGAGTATAATATTTATGTAAATTTTATTTTATTACTTTTATTAAGTAAGTTCATCAGAATTTAACAATAATAATGTAATAGCAATTAATTAATTCAATTATTTTTAAGGAGTTGAAAAAGTTTTTTATCTAATAATTTTATCTTCCTTGAATTTACTAATAAAAAAAGCATAGCCAAATGAAAAAATTAACATTTTTATTTTAAATATTTAAAATTTTTTAACTGCATCAGTGTTAAATCATTGACTCAATCAACATTTTATTTGATAGTAACTAATATTTATTATAAAAGATCTGATTAATTATTTTTAGATTTCGATATGTAATTAATATCAGGTCTAACATAAAAATCAAGAGTTTGTTTACTTTTATACTGGAAGGTAAAAGTAAGTTGACAACATAACCAGCTGTTCTCTGTTAATTGAACGTTATGTATATCTCTAAAGTATTATCGAATTATTGATTTTATGTTTTTTTTGAGTTAATTTAAAGCCATTCAGTCAGTTATAATTACTGAACAGAATTACAGACTAAAAAATTAATTTAACAGTAAAAAATTTTTTCCTTTAATTTTGATTATGAAAGCTTCTATTTCTTTTATCAAAATATTTGGTATTGTATTTCATTTAAAGTCTAAAATGGTTTATTTATGTTAGATGTATTTTTTATTAGATTGTTATCATATGATACTTTTTGCTTCCTAAAATTATCAACTAATTAATGCTTATTTAGGTAGGAACTCTAAAACAATAATTAATTCTTAATACAGTATATTTATTTTAAGGTAAATTAAGATAAAGAAAAAATCACTAATTTTTGTAAATCAGCTAGTAGATTATTAATTAATTACATGTATTTAATAGAATATTAATTACTGTTATTTTATTTGCTTCATTAAGCTTAGATCTCCGCTAGCTAAATAAGTGCTTGTCTTAAAATAAATAACTTTATCTTTTGTAATCCATAATTTTAACATAAAATGTAATTAATTTAATTTACTTATTATTTTTCTTTTTATTAGGTAGCAAAATAAATAAGTAAATTTAGTTAGTTAGTTAGATATCGTCATCTTTTAAGTGATTTGTTAAACCATAATTAAGATCAAACTATTAACTCATTTCATACTTAAGATCTTAGAATTCATGAAAGTTTTTATCCTTTTTCTTTTAATCAAATTTATTCTTAATAAGTATTTAAAAAAGTTGAAAAGAGATAGATTACATTGCATTACATTAATCATCCATTTCTACTCTTATATTGTTGTATCATAAAATTTTTTACAAAAATGGCATATAAAAGTTATTCGAAGCTTAATATCTAGTATAAGTATCCTTAGATCTCATTTCTCATCGACCAAAATAGCAAAAAAACTATAATTAATATTCCTACCTCTAAAATATTTTAACAAAAAGTAGCTTGCTGTTTCATTTGAATATATATAATCTAATTAATGATTTTAGAATAATAAAAGCTAAAGTCATTAACAACAAATTAAAATAATGAAATCGATACATATTTAAAAATAGTATGAAATTATTATTAAAGTTTTTATTCACCAAAACATAATATGTTACTAGATGTTAATTTAACTAATCATACATATGCACTAGCATAGATAGTGCGCTCTTAATTAAAAAGCTAAAATCTAAATAAATTAAATCAATAAATAATACATTTAAAGCAGCAATCTAGTAGATATTATTTTTAAAATAAAACATTGTAATAAAATCTACCTATTTATAATGAAAATATTTCTTTTTTCTTACTTATCTTAGCATATCATATATTTTTTTATATCATTCTATCTTAATTATTAATGAATATTTCAAATTAATAATTCAAGATTGAAACATTAAAGATTCATAAATTAATTTTATTGTAATGCTATTTAATAATAAAAGTTTTTAAAATCTGATTAGGCTTTTTATTTCAATCAATATCCTACAATCATAAAGCAATTAATTATCTACCTCTTTAATTATTATTTTTTATCTATTTATTTTTGAATTCAATTATTCATTTACTTTTAAGATACATATTCTGAAAGAAACAGTCCTATCATCAAAAAGATAATCAAATTTTTAACTTATTTTAAAGTATTCGATAATCAATTTTATATCGAATAATCAAATAGCAATAGATAGATACCATAAAAACAAACACCATATTCTTAATTTCTTTGATACAATAGCTTTATTTTAATAAATATATCGTTTTAAATTAGAAGTATAGTAATCAGTTTAAGTTGCTAAAACAATATTATGATTAATTGTTTTAAAATTTTTAATAAGCATAAACATTATTTTTAAAATAATATTCAATGGCATCTTATTGTAAAATATTTTTATTAAATACTATTTTATTAAAAGTATATTAATCAGTTTACATATTTAAACTCAAAGTTATTTTATCAAGAACTTAATAAATACAAAAAATATTTAAGATTAACCATGTAACTATTTTTTAGAGTTGTTGTAATTTAATAATATTTGAAGAAAAATATTAAATTACTAAAATGTTAGTAAGCTCAATTGAAGTTCTTATTTAAATCATGATTATTTAGCCATAAAATAAATGGTATTTAGTATAATGAATAATTAATTTGTGAATAAACTACAAAAATATTTTAAAAATTAATTATATAATGATAATAATTATTAGAAAATGCTATTTTTAATAAATACTTTTTTAATTAAAAAGATGCTTATCAATCAATCAGTTTAATAAGTTAAATATTTTTTAATTTATTTAATTAGGATTAAATATTTATAAATGCAAATATCATTTGAGACTTAATAATTAACTAATTTTTAGTGATAATTTGTAATTCAATGCATAATTTTACTACACAACTCAATATGCGTAGTGAAAAAAATAAATCACAAAAATGTTATCAATTAACTGTAGTTCAAAACTTTTAATTGAATTTATTCAGAAAATGGTATTGTGCATAAATAATCAATAATCTGGGCTTAAGCTTTAAAAATATTTTAAAAATTAATTACATTATTTATTTAGTGATTATGTTTTATTAAGAGAATTGATATATTTATTTTATTTAGTAAGAATTAATCTTTCACTATGTTAACATAACTCGCAAATTTAATACCATTTTATAATATCTTAAATCGAGCTTATTTATTTAAAAAATATGCTAACATTTTAAAGATTTAACACTCTTTGGTATTTCAAAAGTATTTTAAAGTAAGATGGATAGTTAGTTATACTTCGATTCTTATTTTTAAATGTATTTAAATCATGTAATTTTATCTTACAACATTATAATCAAGATTAAAAATGAAAATATTTATTTTAATCGGCTAATTTACCTAATTATAGCTTGTATATCTTTCTCTAAAGTATTTTACAATATGACAGCTCCGTTTTCTTGGTCATAAGCTTTTATTTTTGTATGCCTTTCATCAATCAACTACATTGTTTTATTAAGAATATATTAAATTTGTTTTATGCAAACCTACTTAAATATTTAAGTAATAAATATATCAAAATAGAAATTTGTTTAGTTGTTCAGATAAAATTTATCATGTATTCGCTATTAATTTATCAATATATAGTTTGTTTGAATTCCTTTCATTTAAAAGAAAATTATTAAATTTTTTTAATAATAATTAATTTTCCTTTCTCAATTATTAGCAAACAAACAATTTAAAATTTTCTATTTAATTTTTATAATTTTTAATATTATTTTGCAAATTATATATAAGCAAAATTTTATTGTATTTTTTATGTAAAATAACATTTACTTTTTTAAATTATCCTTAAAATTATTTTTTTTACATTTATAAATAATTTATTTTAAAAGCTTAGCATATCATTTAAGTAAAAAAAATATATTGTTGTTCAATTAAAAAATAATAAATTTATTTATCTTGAAAAAAAATTTTTAAATGAACCCTGGATATAATGTTTGATCTAATAGATGAATATTTTATTGAGTAAATTTAGTTGATTTCAATAATGAGCAGTATACATACTTTAAAAATTATAAATATATTTTTTTATCATACCATTTATCATTTATATAAAAAAAGTAAATTTTACTTATTTAATTAAATAAATAATAAAAATAAATTTAATTAAATATTTAATTTTTATATTAATAAGATAATTCTAATTAATAGATTATAAACATATAAATTTTTAAGAATATTGATTATTTATTTAAATGAGCTTTATTAAAGTGAAAATAATTATATTTTCTTAAAATATCTCTTAATTTCAAAATAAAATAATTTAACTTTGTTTGAAAAATATATTAAAATATTAAAAATTGATTTTATTTATAATTTAACGTACATTTTGAAGGGATAAAATAACACTAAAAAGTATTAGAAGAAGAGTTATTTAACATATACTTTATTATTAATAATTTTACTAAATGATAAAGCTATTACTTAAAAGTATTAGTTAGTATTTAAAGTAAAATATTGGTTTAAATATTTTCAATTATAGTATACAATATTGAATTAAGTTTTTAATTATAAAAAGATACTAAATCTAAAATCTTATTTATAAAAATCATATTATTATTTAATATTAAAATTCTAAAAAAATTTAATTTTTAAGTTAAATAAGAGATGAAGAAATCTAAAATCAAATAGTTCTTAATTTTTATTACAAAAATATAATAAATAATTTTTATGATGCAAATAAAGAATAAATATTTATTAAAAATCAAATTTAAAGCAAATAATATTTTAATCTTTAAAAATTTATTAAGTTAATATTAATGCAATCAAAATCTTGATATAAATTTCTCTAAAAAACTATTCATAAATATTAATTTAGAAGAAATTAGCTTTTATAACTATTTATTAAAAGTGTTTCTAAAAATAATTAACTTTAAACATATGAATGTAAAAATTTTTATAATTATTTCCTATAAATTTCTAGAATACATTAATTTTTAAAGAAATTAAAATAAAAATACTTTGAAAAAAAACTAAAATATTCTTAATTAGTTTTGTTTACAAAGTACAAAATAAAAAATATTTATGTTTTTAAAAATTATTATTATTTTCTAAAAAAAATTTGTTTAAACTTAAATAGTGCCGAACATAATATACATAAATACCTTGGTTTATGACTTAAAATATTCTTATTGAATTAAATATAGATTTTTTAGGCAAAATTATAAATGCAAAAATAGCAATATTATTTAAAGAATAAAACTAATTTTTTTTAATTTAAAGTATTCAAAATTCTTTTATTTAAATTTTATAATTAGGATTTTAATTTACTTAAAAAAACTAATTATTCAAATTTATAAATATTTAAATCAAAATATATTCGTGATTTTACATAACATTTTTAATAAATATTTAAATCAAAATATATTCGTGATTTTACATAACATTTTTTATATTTAAAATTAAAATTGAATAATTTTAAAAATATTTAAATTTTATCTTAAAAACAAAAAGTTTATTGAATATAAATATAAATTTAATATATTATAAAAATTATAGAGATGTTTATCATGAAAAATCGATTTAGTTAAAAATTTTTATTGAACATGTTTAACGAAATAATGATGTCATAATACTTTTAACAATTACATTTTTTAAATAAACAAATGATTATCTTTAAAAAAAACTTAATATAACAAGAGAACAGTTGAATTATTAAATAATTAATATGTTTTTCAATTATCAAAGATAATATTTTGTACAACAAATTTTAAATAGTACTTTTTTAAATCCATAAAGTTAAATAGCATTTATTTGCAATCAAAAAAATGCAATTTGAGAGTTCTATTAGTTTTTTATTATATCTATTAACTTATTATTATTTAAAAGTTTATTAAATTTGCTTTTTAAAATAAAAAGTAAGAGTAAATTAATAACGAACTGCAGATATAAATAAGATGGATATGCTCAATGAGATAAAGACTTAAGATTTTTGTAAAAAAGAATATTTACCAGATATTCAAAGCAGGATTAAACTCACTTAAGCAGCATCGGAAGTTAAGGTAGAGAATATTGATTGCCAGAGTAAATACTATTCTATACACCCATAATAATAATAGCAAAGGATTTAGATATATTAATCAACATTTGAACCATCAAATATACAAACATGTTGCAGCTAAAAGACTGCTTGCTTCAGACTTTTAAAGGATAGCTAAAAGATTGAAAATATTTATCAAATGAACAATTATTTTAATAGCTTAGGTGACAAGCTTCAGACCATAGAGTTTTAAAAAAGATACTAAGCTAATTTTTAGGATATTAAGAAAGTTAGGTGTCATAAAGTAAAATAAGAATTAAATTTTTAACATCTAAAATAATTGTACTTAGTAGCTAATAAATATGATGAAAACTAGAAAGTATATGATTTTATTTTAAATTACTCTTTTTAATAATCAAAATATGGTCTGAATAAATATAATATACATGAATAAAAATCTGAAAAAATATTTTAAGCATACAAAAATAATTAATAAGATACGATAAAAAATAAGCATTCAATTATTGAAAACTTAGAAGAGTGGGCCAATAAAACAATCAATTTACCAAAAATCCCCTAGAAAGATCTGTGCCTATAGATATCAAAATAGTTTTTCTTATTTATGGCTTCAAGTTATAAAATGCTCAAAAAATTTGAAAATCGTAATCAAAATCTAACAAGCAAATAGCCTGCTCCTAAAAAATAGAAAAACTATAGCAAAGAGGAAGAATACTAGCTGATACAATCATTACTTGAATCAACAGAATCTAATTTTGTAGAGGAATTCATACAATACAAAAATATAACTGAGTCTTGGAGATTAAATTGGAAAAATAACATGAATAATAAATTTGATTAACCAAACGAAGATTCAGTAAAAGAAATAGAATTCAAGTACTAATTAAGTGAAGAAGTTAAATAAAGCAGTGATACCTAAAAATTTAATAATTTTTGTGAACAGCAATAATGTTAATAAAATTATAGTTAAACGCACATGCTCTAAGATAATAATAATAAAAGCATTAATCCTAACTAAATTAATAATTTAGAGACCAACTAAAATTTACGTAAAAAAAAGAGTCAAATTATAATAGAAAAATAGCAAGATTGCTGTTTGGAAATTAATAGCTAAGATTAATATTCCTATAAAGAAGATAGATATGAAGCGAATTACACTAATTCTGAAGGAAATTTTTATAAAAAAAGAACTAACAATTTTTATAATATGCCTCGATACTTCATGATGCTAATGCTTGAGTTTCTTTCTGAGAAAAATTTAAAACATTTAAACATTCAAGATGGGATAAGATAAGTAATAACTAAGATTAAGCACAACATAACGAATTAGGGGAGGAAGAAAGGATCAGCAAAATCTAATTTTTATAATCACACCCATTATAACTGTTTATTTAAAATTATTGATGACAAATCGCTTTTTAAAGAGGAATAAAATGACATAAATTCAATTTAATAGGATAAAAATGCTATCAAAAGTAAGTAAACTTAGTAAAAATAAAATGATTTTGATAAATAAATGGATGACCTAATAAAAAAAGTATTTAGCATTAATAATACTAAAACATAATATAACATTGCTTTTATTAATATATTTAAAGTGATTATTTCATAAATCATAAAATATTAGCTGTTAATAATGCAAGAATTACCACTTGCTGAATATATTTTAGAAAACGGAGAAAGCTATGAAAAATCTAAAGTAAATTATATTGCTAGAGTGATAGCAGGAATAGATAAGCTAAATGAGGGATATGATATTTATCGCTTCTGAAATAATCCCACATATTTAAAATGACCAATTAAATACTTATTTACCAAGAAATTTAATTTCAATTTACCAAAAACTAAAATTAATAATGATTAATTACAAACTTTCTTAAACTATAATATTAAGGTAACTAACTAGCTAATTGTAAAATTTAAGCTTTTTATTTTTATAATGAACAGAATTTTTGCGTTCGGTCAAATGAATTATTCAATAACCAGGTGATCTTAATTTATTTAAATGCACACCACTTTTTTTAAATGCTTTCATCTCAGATAAATTAAAAAAATAATATCAATATAATATATCCTTGTACCTAAAAATAATTATATTTAAATTGTTATCATCAAACAAATAATAATCAATAAAATATTTTAATAAATTATCTGTATTTCATCTACTTCAAATCAAAATATTTGTTTAAATATTAATATGCACTCTTATAAAAAAACAAAATACTTCTAGTTTACTATTTTTCCATTTATGATAAATCCAAAAAAAATAACAGAAAACTAAATTTAAATTTCTTGAAAGTTGGCAAAAATCAATTTAAAAATGATAAATTTTAATCCAATTTTTGGTTATGCAAAATTTTGTCTGGAATAAAGTCAAAATGTAAAAGTGATTTATTAAAATTTGAATGTTTCTTACTATTCTTACAATTTACATTTAAATGAACACTAAAGTGTTTCTTACTTTTTATTTAAAGATTAAGCAACTTTTATAACTTTTTAGGTTTAATATTGATTTTGACAAATAAATTTCGAAATTTTACTTTAATTTTTTTCACTTTATTAAAATAAAAGTCACAATTACTTCTGATCTCTTAATTAATTATATAATTTTCTTTTTAAATTTCAAAATGAGTTCGGTGACTTGTAAATAAGATAGAACCTGCCTATAAATTCCATAGAGATGATTTTTTAAAAATAAGAATTATCTTGCTTTTAATTTTCATATTCAACAAAAATAGCTCTATGTATAAATTATTTATTTATTATTACATTCCAAATCTTAATACGTAATATATTTTTAAAAACTATAAAAACTCTAATATATTTCAAATTCTAAGTAAGTAACAAAAAACTTTAAGCATTTTGAACTATATAAATAAATCAATATTATTTATCATTTATTTTCGAGAAGTATAGCAAAAAATAAAATTAAATAGCAGAATAAATATTTAACATAATTCTATTAATGAAAGAATCTAAATAGTTAAATAAAACAAATCAGATAATAATAATAATATTAATATTAATAAAATTCATTAAAAATTAATTTCTAATTTAAAAGTGTGTAATTCATTTGAATTATTTAATTAATTAAAATATTAAATTTTGTTAATAAACTGGAAATTAATATAAAACTAAACTTTTTGTTTTTTTAATTTCATAATAAATTGAATAAAAAATGACAAAGATTTAATTAATCAATGACTTTAGAAGCAGAATCTCATTTTATTTAATATTTTTCTCAATTACTTATTATCTTATCACAATCTTATAATTGCATATTATATTTTTATTCTTTAGTTTAAATAAAACAGTTTAAAGTCATTATAAAGTTTTTAATAAGACTTTTTAAAATTCGAAAAATTAATAAATACATGCAAAATAAATATCTTTATTTATTTATATCTAAAATCAGATTTTAATTTCAATATTAAACATTTACTATCACACACACACACACACACACACTCCTCCCAAATATATATTCTAAAAATTAGATAAAAAAATATATTTTTATATTATTTTGCTTACCTCATCAGCAAGCTATAAATATAGCTATCAGAAAAAAATTGGATATATAAAGTATTCTCAACTTTATAGTGCTGAATAAATTGATTGATTGTTAATTTTAGATATCTATATCAAAAACATATATATTTTTTACTAAATTTTATCAAAATTAAATATTTCTCAAAATCAATATAATTAGTACAGAACAAAAGTGTAAATGTCATAAATTTAGCAATAAAATAGTAGAGCAGTACCAGAAGAAGTTAAGAAACTTCTTCAGTAAGTTATTGGAAACAAATAAACCATCATGAGTATAGCTATTGCAAGAATATTCACAGCTAGATCAGAGGGAGAATGGATTTACTCAAATCTTTAGGGAATACTTTGTCTTGTTTGGGACAGAGAAAAAGATAATACACCTTTTTTAAGATTATTCGATATAGAAACATTTGATTTGCTTTTTGAAGCAGAAATGTATATAGATTTCCATTTAAGCTACGCATCTGTCAATCCTACTTTTTACATGTTTGAATATATGAATGCCTTTATTGGTTTATAATTTATTTCTGACTCGGAGGCAAGTTAATTTAGTTTAAAAGTAATGACTTAATCGCTTAAAGATGTCAAACCAGAATAGAATATCTAACAACAGCAATAGCCTAAAGAAAAAAAGAAAGAAGAAAAAGAGGGTCTGTTTGGTTTTCGTAAAGGATTAAAAAAGATTGTCAGCAATTTATTTTAAAAAGATGGCAAACATAATTAAGATGCTGAAAACATTGAAATTTCTAAGCCTATAAGCTTTTAAAAGGTTACTTCTTTGCAATTTAATATTAAAACAAATTAATTTGACTTCTCTAACTTAAACGATGAGTGGAAATAAATCTTTTCACGTGCAGGTATTCAGTAGTCAGACCTTTCAAACGAAGAATTGGCTCCTATAATTTTTGAATCAGTTATTCGCTTTTAATCTCACTATGAAAACTAAATAGAAAACAAGCAAAAGGAATCTTAATAATAACAATAATAACCAAATCAATAAAGCAACAATAATACTTAGTCAACAAAATAATAAAACTAAACTATAAATGAAGCTTCATAAAGCATTCCAGTAGCACCATAAATTAATATGAATATACCACCTCCACCACCTATGAATTTAAATATTCCACCTCCACCTCCAATTAATATACCATCAGCTCCTGTCTTAGATTTTAATTCCTCTATAAAGAACAATAATATCCCAGCTGCTCCTGTTATTCCAAATATAAATGATGATAAAAATCGTATAAGCATTTCGACACAAAATGTAAATCTTTTAATATTGATTAATATTTAACTTTAAATTAAATTTATTTAAAATATAAATAGAAAAACTTTGATTCTTCTCAAGTAATGAACAAATCATCGCTTTTAGACTAAATTAAAACTGGTAACTTTTAACTAAAACATGTAGAGGTAAACAAAAAAGATAATAAAGCTAATCTCGATATATCTTAAATGGATGATTAAGCATAAGAAAATCTTACACTATATTTATCAAAATGTATTGCTGAGAGAAGAAAATAAATTAGAAAGCACAAATATTCTTCATCTGAAGAAAGTAACGATAGTGATGATGATGACGATTGATCAATAATAATTATTTTTATTAAATAAACATCAAAATTTTGAAGAAAAAAAAAAAACCAGAATAAATAAAAAAATAAATAATAATAGTATTAATTAATTATGAAATATATTATATAAAAAATTTAACAAAATCGTATCATATATGTGCAATAAAAATATTATCTTTTCATTTTTTATCATAATTAATATTAAATATATATTTATTATTCAATTAATTATTCTTTTATTTTGAAAAAAAGATAAAAATATATTTGCTTTTTAATAAATAAAAAATAAAAGAATGAAATAATTTTTTGAGAAGTATTTTTGCTTTGATTTAATGAATAAATTTACTTTAAAAAAATAGTATGGAAAGCTTGAAAGAAATTTGGCTAGAATAATACCAAAAGGAGTTATAAAACAAGAAAATATAATAATACAGTATATTCTAATTTATATTTTTTATAGTTGTTTAGTGTATTTTAATTTTTATTTTTTAATGGCTGGCACACAGGCATTAAATAAGTGCTTATAGCTAAACTGAACTTAGCTGTAAACCTTTATTTTATATCTATATAACTAATTCCATCATACGTTTGTCTTATTTTGACCCTGGTTGTTTGTTATAAAAAAATTAATTTTTTAATTATGGAAAAACAAGTATTTTTATTTAATTAAATATTAAATTTTTTTGTGTTAAATCTTATATAAATATTTCAAATTTTACTTGGATAGGAAGGAAAAGCTTGAACTCGGGAGGTAATTCTTCTTCGGAGTACAATCTATCTGAGAAATAAATTCTTCTAATTCTACAGTTTGCATGAATTTGTACTCTTAATGTTTCAATATAATTTGTTGCATAAGCTCTTCTTGTGAAATCAGATAAGTTGAATTAAATTTAGTTCCATCCTTCATCTAATCTCATAGGCCTATTTATTTGTTTAATAGTTTTATTTAGTTTAACAAATCATTGAATATTTATTTTAATATATTAAATTATCATGATCCATTTATTTTGTTAACTTTTTTTTAGATCAATTTTTGTAAAAAAAGAAGTTTAAATTAGCGTTTAATGGATTTTATTTTAAACTAACTACAATTCAGATAAATCAACTAGGTATTATGTCAATCAAAACATTAAACACTATACGAAGTATGGCATTTTAGTGAAAATTTTTTAAGATCTTTAATAACTAATTACATTGTGCAAATAAATGGTTTAACTCTTGTAGTAGATTAATAATTTGATGCTCTGAATCTTCTTCTTACATTCTTATCGTCCAAGACTTGTACTTCAAATGTGTAATATTTCTTCAGCTATTTATTTTATACAATAGAATGGTTTGATTTAGATGAACATGTTTATATTGTTTGTTGTTATAATGCGCAACCATAAGTTTATTTTCAAAATTTTTGAAATAAATAAATATAACTCCTTTTTTTACTTTGCATAAAACATACTGAAATTAAAGAAAAAAAAGAAACAAAGTAATTTAGAGAAAGAATCCATTCAATTATTCGTTGAATTATAAAGAAGAAATCCTAATAAAATAAAGATTAATTTATTACATTTTTAATAATCATAACTAAGAAGGGGAGCTTGATACCTAATGTTTCCTTAGGATCAGCAGGAGCTGTTATGTAATTAGTAGATACATTGGTACCCATAATTTCTAAAACACTTGAGAGAATATCTTAATCAGTGATTCTCTTGATGTGACCATTTCTAACTGTTTATGATAAATAAATAATTTGAAAAACTGCTTCACCAACAGCTGTCCTGCTTAGGAGGACGGCTATTTATAATATAATAAGTAAGTGAGTAATTACTGCTCTTATCCCAAATTTATAATGGCTTTGATCTATTTTAATATAAATAAAGTTAGTTTTATTGTTTATTGTTTGCAGATGAGTTAGCATTCCCATTTACTTTTATGATTTATTTTGTTAGGGAGGTTAAAAAGAGAGTCAAATAAAATGAAAGTTAAACAGACTCTAATTGCAACCGTAAATGCTCGTAAAACAAACTGTTTCTCATCTTGCTTATTTTTAAAAATTAAAGTACCCTATTGAATATAAGATAGAAAGGAAACCAGACTAGAAGGTGTTTTTAAACATTTCTCTTACTTGTTTTTACCTTTACTTTTTACTTGATATTATTTATTGAATTTATTTACTTTTGTAATTATTTATATTTTTGATAAAATGATATATTTATTTATTTGATTTATTTTTTTATTTGAAAAACATATGCAAGCAAACAGATTATATGAATGCATATATATATATCAATCAATTAATAAAATGGCATGAAATGAGAGAAAATTTATTAATAAAATAAAGGCAATACTAAATTTAAGAAAATTGAACAGAATAAAACATCTTTCTCCATTCATACATATATTCTTTCTTGCATGCTTTTTGTAAATTAGCTTTATATTCATTATAATACAAAAAAAGATTGTTTTATTTTTCTTTATAAATAAACTAGTTGAAACTACCATCGAAGATATTAAATAATCTTATCTTCTTTAAATGATTGAACATATCATTTATAAAAAGTAACCAATATCTAGTAATTCATATAATTTGCAATTTACAACAACATATAATGATTATTTATTTTATGCAATTAGATAAATTTATTACTTTTTATTCATTTAAAACATTTTTTAAACTCATAAATTATTAAAAATATGATTAAAATTGAAATAAAGAGCAAACATTTGAGTTATAATTTTAATATATTTTTTAGTTTTATTATAGAATTAAATGTTTTTTATGATACAATTTTAGCATCTTAAGATAAAAATGAATGATTATATTTTTATATTATGATAATATTTTGTAAAGATACAATAAAAAATAATAATATTGAGCATCTAAATTTAGATAAATCAAATTTTACAAGTAGGATTATTAATTAACTAACTAATTAATTAATAAATCAATCAGACTATTAAATTATATTTATTAATTAATTAATTAAAAAATAAGTATTCAATATATCCAAAATAATTATAAAATGTCATAGAAAAAAGTTCTTATTTAAGAAATATTTAGCTAAAATTTATAGAACAGTTAAGATGAAGGATAAATTATAGAAGAGGAGTAGAAACCTTAGCATATGAGCAAGCAAATATTATCAACTACCATTTAAACAGAAAATAGCAAGAATGCAAAAAAAGATCTATTGAGATTGGAAAAAAATTATTTTGATAATATTTATAATGAAGAAAAGCATCAAAATGAAAAATAATTTGCCATTTAAAAAATGCTTAATCAAAATCCTCAGGGTTAGTCTAAACCAGATTTTAAATCGTTCCCAAAATCATCAAGTAATTTTGTAATTCTGTCCTATTTTGCTAATTATTATTATAAATAGTTAAAGATAGATTAGCTTAGTTCATGCCAAGCTTCAAAAAAGATACAGATGATCTTCTTGTAAATGTAGAAAGATAGGAAAAAATGAGAATAGATGACAGGAATTAATATGAAATAGAGTAGGAAGATTAAGAAAATGCTTCAAGCAACAGTGATAATGATAGTGAAGAAGAATATGAATAATAGCAGGAAATGGATCACTATAAACATTAGTAGCAATTAATTGAACTTAAAAAGAAAAATAAAGAATAGTTAAAAGGAAAAAAAAATAAATTAAAAAATGAAGAATAAGATCAAAATCCCAAAATGATTCAATTGGTAAAATTGTTTTTTATTCAAGCTCTTAAACTTATAAAAAATTTAAAATAGGACTTACTTCTTGGTATTTTAGAATAAAAAAATGTAGATGGTGATAAAGAATAGAACAATGAAAATATTAGCAATAGTGATAATAATGATTAGATGAATATAGAATAAGATTCTAATGATGATATGCAATAAAATAATATTAACATATAAAAACCAAAAATTTAAGAAATAAATTGAAAATCTTATTTTTGCTAAAATTTTGTGTAAATTTATATTTCAAATTTTAATATTTTATTAAAAGCTTAAAAACTCACTTTTATAAATTAATAAACAAATAAATGTCATTATGTTTACTATTTTTAGGAATTTTAATAAATCATTGGTAAGCAAGCAACTTTGAATAATTTAAGGAACTTTTGAATGGCAAATCAATTTTGAATTGGATTTCATGTTTTAATTTTCTCTTACGTCATAATTAAATCTCATCTTAAAACTTAATGCTTCATTTTTTGGAGATCAATTTACAAATTTTGTTTACACTTTCTTAAAATTATATGTCCTTGAAGCAAGTATTTCAATAAAAATATAAATATAAATTAGTAAAAAACAATAAATATTGTAATAAAATTTAAAATGAAAGGAAACAAATACTTTATTTATGATAAAGACTAAAGAAATCAAGAAATAATTCAAACTTAGTCAAAAATAATTAACTAACTCTGTGATAAGAACAAATAAACTTTTGATAAGTATGTAAGTTAGCAGCTCTTTTAAATTGAAAACAATCTTAAAAATCAAGAAAAATAAGAAGTGGTTTAAATGAATTTTGATGATGGTAGATATGTTTTTTACAGAGATAACTATAAAAATCATAAGCATTTTGAATTTTAAAACAAGTGTATTATCCTTATTTAAGGTATCCCTGGTGGTGTATATTATTATTCGAGATTAGAGAAGGGAATAGGGAATAATTTTTGCAGGGTAATCAATTTTTATGTACCTGGACTTGATAAGAAGGATGAGCGAAGAGGAAATTATAGAGGAACATTAGATGGTTTAATATAACTAATTAATGATTTTATGGAGAATTTAAAGATTGAAAAGGCTATATTCGTTATGCATTCAGTGGGTGGATTAATAGGAAAATCTTTTGCTGCTTAAAAGCCTTAAAGGGTTGAGGCTCTAGTGTAAATAGCTACAGTGCCTATAACTAAATGGAATGGAATCAGATTATGTGAGTAAATAGAATAAAAATTCTATTCATTAAATGACTCTATTACCTCAGAAGTATTTTTCAGCAATCAATTCAGAGAATAATTTAAAGTCGTTCATGATCAAAGCAAGTAAGTTTTAGATAATTTATCAAAATAAGAGAAGGAATTACTTGGTCCTATTCTATAATTTAATTTTCTCGACACCTTAAATTTTTTGAAGCTCAGATTAAGTTATCCTGGTAGAATCTTTGAAGTACTTCATAGAATGAGATAAGTAGATAAAAAAATTCCAAGAATGTTCGTTTATTCTTCTTAAGATTAATTAATGCAGTAAAGTCTATAGGAAGAAGAAATATTTTTGTTTGTAGTTGGTCAAGATGCTGTAAAAAGAAGAATAACCAAAAAAATTGATAATTAAATGAATCTAGATGAACAAAACTTCAGTGCAAACTATATCTTTCGGTATGACGATGCAACTCATATTGTTTAGCATGAGAAAGGAACCGAGATAGGAATTCTCATCAAGCATTTTGTATCTTAACTACAGTTAACTGAAATTATAATTGAAAAATCTAAATTATGACCAACTCATATAAATTTATTTAAAATTTATTAGTTTTTTGATAAAAAACATTTTTCAGTTTGTTTGAATAACTTAAAATAAAGGAAATCAAAATCTAAATATTTTTAATGAGTAAAAATACTTTTATGTTTGTTTCATTGTAATTAATTTTTTAAGATATTTCTTTGTTAGCTAATTTATTTGTTGATTGTCATTCAGCTTTAGAAATATTTAGAATTGATATTTTAATAAATAAATAATGATTTGATTATAAAAACAAATATTTATATTCTTTAGTTTTCATAAAACTTTTTAAAATAAATTAGAAAAAGATATTTTTTAACTACTTAGCCGTTGTAACATACCTTCAAAGATGCCTAAATTTTATTGTGAATATTGCGGTATTTATTTAACTCATAGTTCTCCTTCTGGAAGAAGTTAGCATGCTAAGGGTCGTAAACACATAAATAATAGAATTGAATATTACAAATAAGTAATTGAAGATTTGATAAAAGAAAATTAAGATAAATAAAAGCAAATGCAATCAGGTTAATCGATGTCTAGTCATCCTTAACCTATGTACCCAGGTGCTTTCTAAAATCTCCATTAATTGCCCCTCCAACAGCTTAATTAGCTTAAAGCAGGTGGTATTTAATAAGTGCAAATTAATAGTACATAATAATAACAATAAGGAAGTGCACCTCCTCTTCAACCTCCTTTACCTATTTTACAGCCTCCATTTATAAATATGTAAAAGCCTGGTGGTCCTGCTATTCCCCCAAATATACTTCCTCCCGCACCTGGTAATAATGTTCCACCTATGAGACCTGGATAATAACCTCCCCTTGGACCTCCTCTAGGAGTACCTCCAAATCCTAACATGATGTAGCCTGGTTTAATGCCTCCTGCAGGAATGAAGCCTATTCCAGGTATGCCTCCTATGGGTCCTCCTCCCGTTGGTATGATGCCCCCAGGTGGCCCTTAAATGATGGGAGTTCCTCCTAATATGCCACCTATGGGTATGATGCCTCCTCCACATCACTTAGGACCAGCACATTTAAATCCTATAGATCATAATAAAGGTGAACATGACGATAGAAAATGAAAATAAAAAAGAATATGAATGAGCAGCAAAAGTATGAAGGTGATTATAATTAAGCTATATGTTATTTATTTATTTATTTATTATACTTATATAATTAAATGAATTGTATAATAAAACGCCATCTTTTTTTAGAAATATAATTTCTAGACAATGCAGTAATAAAATTTTGTTATGAAATTAATGAAAAAAAAGAATTTAAGATAGAATGAATGAATGAATGAATCTTGCAAAATTAATTTAAAAAAGGTAATTAATTAATTAAAATAAAAAAGATAAAAGTTGTTCATTCTTTGCACAAACATATAAACAAGTTCATCTATCCTTTGTTCTTGATACCTTCATTTATTCATTCATTAATACATCATACATTCCTTTCTTTCTTTCTATCTATCTATCAATCTAACTATCTCAAAATGTTTGGTCTTTATATTTATATCCTCCTGAAATCACTTTCTAATGTAATTCTATTTCTACATATTCATTCATTTATTTTAAATATTTTAATTTTCTCAAATTATTTTTCTTAGCTATTCATAAGGTAAATTATTTTAGCTTAAACAAACTATCACTGCTTTATTGATTTTTAATTTGAATTTTATGCAAAATTATTTTGAAGTAACCAATGCCTCAAGCAGCTCCTAGCATTTGAAAATCAAAATTTATATATTAATTAGCTAATTTCGTAGATATTAATCTATCTAAAGATTTATAAAAATAAATGTTAGTCTTTTTCAAATATTTAATTAAAGTTAAATTAATATTTTTATTCATTAAATAGTTTATTAATAAATAAGATCAAAATTATTGAAACTTTTTAATTTAATTTATAAAATTTACATTGATAAAAGTTATGTTTAAAGTGTTTTTAATTAAATTCAAATTTAATATCGATTTCAAAGAATAACTAAAATATTTTCATCTTTCTTTTATGAATTGAATACTTATGTAAGATTAAAAATTTATTTTTTGATACTGATTAATTGACAATTGAATGTATCTCACAAGTAAAAAATGTATTTGCAAAACGAAATACTAAAATAAATCTTTAGTAACTTTATAGAATAAAAAAAGAAAAATCAAAGAATTATTTGAAAAAATAGGTCAAATTATTAAAAAAAATCACTTTTAATGATGCTTAGATAGAAAAATATTGGATATTCATTGTTTTAGTAATTACGCAGAGCGAAATGCTCCTAAATTGACAAATAAAATAGCACAGATGCCCTAAAAAGACCTCTATATTTAGATATGCAAGCTACTACTCCTATTGATTTTAGAGTTTTAGATAAAATGTTACCATATTTGACTGTTGATTATGGAAATCCCCATTCAAAAAGTCATTTATATGGTGTAAACAGTTCTTCTATTGTTGAAGAAGCAAGAGAAAATATTGCTTAGCTTTTAAATGCAGAACCAAGTGAAATTGTTTTCAACTCAGGAGCTACTGAATCAAACAATACTGCTCTTTTAGGACTAAGCGAGCATCATTTTAACAACAAATCTATTAAAAATCATATTATTACTACTACTATGGAACACAAAACTGTTCTTGAAGCTTGCAAATATATTTAAAAAAGATTTGGATTTAATGTAACTTTCATGGACGTTGATGAGTATGGTAGAGTTGATATTAATAAACTCAGCTAAATTATTAACGAAAAAACTTTATTATTTTCTGTAATGTCTTTGAATAATGAAGTTGGAGTTATTTAAGATTTAGAATCTTTAGGAGCATTGTGTGAAGAAAGAGGAGTTTATTTTCATACAGATGCAGCATAGGCAATTGGAAAAATTCCTCTAGATGTACGTAAAATGAATATAGATTTAATGTCTTTTACAGGTCATAAAGTATTTGCTCCAAAAGGTACTGGTGGCTTGTTCATTCGTGATAAAAAGCAATATAAAAAAAACAATAAACCAGCAATATAATTAGCACCATTAATTCATGGAGGAGGATAAGAAAGAGGAATGAGAAGTGGGACATTATCTCCCCCAATGGTTATTGCTCTCGGAGAAGCTTGTAAAATTGCACAAAGAGAAATGGAAAATGATAACTAACATATCAAAAAGTTATATGAAAGAATGTATGAAAGAATTTTTAGAGAGGTTCCTTTTGTTAAACTGAATGGACATCCCGTTCATAGATACTTTGGAAACTTAAACATTAGCTTTAAATATATTTTTAGTGGCGATATTATGAATGAAATAAAAAATAAAATTGCCTTTAGTGCTGGTGCCGCTTGTTTAGATGAGCCTTCATATGTTCTCTAAGCTCTTCATGTAGATGAAAGCTATGCATTTGGTGCAATTAGAATTGGTATTGGTAGATTTACTACTCAAGAGGAGGTAGACTATTTATTGGATACACTGATTCCAATAGTTAATAATCTTAGATAAAAAAACAAAGTTTATCAATAGCATTTTGCAAAATAAAACAATTAATGAGTTTAATACTAAAAATGCTAATGGAAACAAATAAATATATAATCGTAAATTTACTTTTTTCAAATTTAAGAATCTGTTATATTTAAAATAATAATGATTAAATAACTAATTAATTATTGATTACTAAAATTATTCTTATTTAATTATTGCATATCTAAAGTAAACGAATAAAAAAGAAAACAACTAAATAAAAATACTAATTTATTTATTTGTTGGTTATTTGGTTATCAATTATAAAAATTATTATCCGAGATTTTAATTTATATTTTACATACAATATAAAAAATTTGATTATTATTTGAAAAATATTCATAAAATATGCAAAAAAAAATGTAAAAATTAATAATTACTAAAATTATTCTTTTATATTTATTGAAAAGAAAAAAGTATACTTTTACAACTAATAGTTTAGTCATTTACTAATAATACAAAGAGTAAAACAATGCAATTAAGATACCATTACTTAAATTATTCTTTTATATATTTAAAGTAAATTAAATACCATATAATCTCTTTTTTTAAAATCGCAAAAAACCAAATAATTTTCATACTTACAACATTTAAAAACCCTAAAATATTAAATAACTGAAAAAAATAAAATAATTCTTATTATTTTTATCAGAGTATATTTATTTAATCAATATTTTATGTATATGATAAGCAAAACTTCATTTTGCTAATTTGTTTTTCATTTTAAACTATGAATAGTCAATTTTGTTAATTTTGTTGAATAATTGAAAATAAACAAAATTAAGAAATTTTTTTATTCTTTTTTTAGATTTTGATAAGACCAATAATTACTTAAGTATGGATGGATGGTCGGACTTTGATTGCAAATGAAAATATTTATTTTAAAGTAGAATTTATATTTTATTCTTGACTTTCGTTTATTAAAATGAATAAATAATTTTTATATTAGAAATAGTATTTATTTAAAATATACAATAAATAATAGATAGATACTTAAATTACATTTTAAATAAGTTTATAAATTATTTTAAATAATGCATGTTATCAGAAGTTAGAAGATATAGTTGAGTATACACCGCTGGCTCCTCCTACAATACCTAAAGTGAGAATAGTAAAATTAATGATTTAGGTGTAGAGAGGAATTTTTCCTTTAAAGAAAACTTGATAAAGAGTGATTGGGAAAACAAATCCGAGAGTGACAGAAAAAATAGATCCTAAAAGATTAAGCACATCTAGAATTTTAGGCCATGAAATAGCTAAAGTCATAATAATTGCATAAAAGAAGAGTCTAAATGAGCTACGACTAACAAATTTAATTGGGTTGTTTTCAATAAAGTGATCACAAAGCTAGTCAAATCTTTTAAACATAGGGAAAGCAAAAAGCAAGAACGAGCCAAGTAAAGCTAATGAATATAGAACATTCAATACATCAATATAATGGGAAAGATTATCCATAAAAGTAAATATTAAGTCACCATCGTTGAGAGGTAAACCAAAAGCCATGTATGCTATTCCACCGATAACTACAGCCATAGAAAACATGAAGATAATATAACGTTGTAAAATCATCCCGAATTTTTCTTTTTCAATCATAGAAGAGTGTACATCAGTAATAACACCGTTAATATCATAAGCAAACATAATAACACCAAAGTAAAAAGGAACTTAACCAAAGTTGATAATATTTGTACCGACACTACCTCCAGAAGTTGCAATTCCATCAGTGCAAAGAACATATATAGAGTCAATAATAATGGTTATGAAGGCTAAATTACAAGCAAAAACACCAAAAGAGGATATGTAAGAGAGTTTTTCAATATGTCTATACATTGAAAAGGGGAAGTAAATGATAACAAGGATAGAGAGTACAACATATCCTTTGTATGAAGAATCTAAGCTATCTCCAAAGACAGATGATAAGGCTGTAAGAATGAAGATCATATAACCTAAAATACTACCTAAATTAAAAATAATTGTAACAGCTTCTGCTAATATTTCAAATTTCTTTCCTAGGATTTTTCCTGCAGCTGTTTAAAGAGTATGACTGATGCCATCATTCATATTATCTAAAACTTTAATTAGTAACCCCCAAGAGTAGAGACACATAATACCTGTCAAAAAGAGAAGCAAAATAGATTCAAGCCACCCAGCAGCTGCAAAAGTTTGAGGCATAAACAAAAGAGTTGAACCAAGACCACATTTACAAATATTAACTGTAGCTTACCAAACTGTAGAGCCAGTTGAAACTTCTTTGTTTTAAAAAGACTCTATATCAGATTTATCTCCTGAAAGTAATGTCCTATTAATTTCTTTTTCACTATTCCTTAAATTTTTATTTTCCATTTTTAATCGAAAAAAATTTTTTTGATTTAAAGCTAAAATTTATTGATTGATTGATTGATGTTAAATATTTTTTATTGACTGGTTTTTAAGCAGAGAATAATTTTTCCTTTTTATTGAAAATAATTATTAATATTATGAATTAAATTAATTATAAACTAATAATCGAGGTGTAATTTTTAAAGTCAAAAATATCACAAGGGTTATAATTAATAATTTCATTTTAGAATTGATCAAGATAGATAACCAAACAAATTACAAAAAGATGAAAAATCTTTTATAATTTGTATAATGAGTGATGAATGCGAATGTTACTTTTTATTTGTAACAAATAATGAATGTGATCAAATTTAGATTCATTTAGAAAAAAAATAAATCTGGTAAATAAAGTTTTTTTAATTAATCCTTTATTTAAGTTAATCTGTCTGTCTCTATGTATATTGAATCTACAACCAAATACTTTTTATTTTTTGTAAAAATTAATCTTTTCAAAATTTTGATCTCCCAATTGTAAAATTTTCTACTTTTCATCATAATTTACAACAAATTCTTTTGAGCAGGTAAGTATTTAAAAAACAAAAATGAATATGAAAAACAAATCGCTTGATTTGACTTACAAAATAATGCAAACACTTTTTTGATAAAAAAATATAAAATTTCAAATTAAATTTATACTCTCACTCTTTTAATTATTCTCATAATAAATAAATAAATACAATATTGAATTATTAATTAAATTAATACAATAAATATAAGCTGTATTTTTTTCCAAATTAGAAGAAGATTTATTTTATTTATTCATTCTTTCATGTAAATTAATTCTGATAGAAAATTTTGATTAGAATTAAAAAAAAATTTTATCTACAATGAAAAAAATTACTTGATTTAACTTTAAAAGTTTGATTCAATGATTTTGATTGAGAATAAGCTTAAGCCATTTTGAAATAAAATGTAAATAAGCGATTTTGATTATAATAAGATTAACTTTTTCAAAAAATACAATGACCCAAATCATTTTTTGAGACAAATTAATTTTTTACTTTTTTAAGAAAATTTGATTTAAATCTGCCAAGGACCCGATTAATTTGGATTGTATTTATCAATTGAATTCGTATAAAAGAAAAGCATAAACTAATTTTTACTATTTTCTTTATTATTAAAATTTAGCTTTTTTTAAGTTAACCCTTAAAAAACAAATAAGCCAAAAATATGAATAAAAAATAAGCATTTTAATTGTAAATTTATTAAGATAATGCAAAAATATTTAAATTTTAATAAATGTAATCTAACTCACTTAGTTCTAAGAACTAACAATTGGTAATACTAACTCAAGAAATTGATTTTTTAATAAAAGATAAATATTAATTACGCACTAAAATAATAAATATAAATTAATATACTGGGTCACATATTATTTAAATAGTTTGAATTATTAAATCTTATTACTTAATTCTACTTTGTGACATCATAAATTAAATGATTGTAATTTATTTTAAATTACAAATATGATTTTTCTATTCGATTTTTTTTGATTAGTTGTCAGTCCTTCAAATTGTTTAAAGAAAGAATTTTATTAAAGGGTTAGGTTACAAGTACGAATTTGCAATCCGTGTAAAATAAAATATCTGTTGATTACTTTATTATCCTAAATTTATTTAGGCATTCTTACATTTGTATCTAAAGAATTTTTGTATTAGCAAAAAATGGTATTAATTCCTAATTGAGTTCAACATTTTTTATGTTTTCTATTTATTCTATATTTCAAACAAGTAAATATATTTTTAATTTAACCATTTTCATGTAGTTTCATTATTATTTAAAATGTTTCTAATTTTTTAAAAAAGTTTTTTTATTTTTTAAAAATCAATAAAAAATACATTTTAGTTTTTAGTGTCTTTTAAGTCAATTCCAATGACATATTCTTCATATAATTAAAATTTTTAAATTTTACATTTTTGATAAAAATAAATTTATCCTTTTTTCAACTGAAATTAAATTCTTTATAAGTTTAATTAATTTTTTATATTTTTGATAAAATTAAATAAATATTTTATTTTATTTTTTGCTTATTTTTTATTTTACTTTGAAAGTAATTTTAATATTTTCATAAAATAATATTAACGAATGAAGAATATTCATTTTAAGGCTAAAAAATTTATAATATAAACAATTGAGTCAATTAACATTTATTGAAAATTATTTTAATTCTTTTTAAAGTGATTTGTTAAAATATTTAATAAAATGTTTTTAGAATAAAATTAATTAATAAACCAATTATTTTATTTGAAATAAGCAAAATATTGTTTGAATATTAATAAAAATATAAACCACTATTTTATTATTTTTTTTATTATTTAATTAATTGAATTTAAAAGTTCCAGTTGAAAATTGATTAATTAGATAAGATCTTTAAATAAGTTTGAAATAAGTATTTTTCAGATAGTTTGTTTGACTCTATTTTTAATAGCTTAAGAAGATATTTGCATAGAATTATAAAATAAAGTTATTTCAGTATGAATAATTAATAGAATTTAGAATTGAATTTTGATAATTAAGCTCATTTTTAGAATAGATCTATGAATCAATTTTAATAGAATGATTAACATATTTAATATGAAGACATGGTGGCGTAAAAGATATAAGAATTGTAGATTATTTAAGGATAAGAGATAAAATAATTAAAATAAAAATTAATAGAAAAAGAGCACATTATATAAGATCTTAATGACAAATTTAACAAATTGGAGGAAAACTTTAATTATAATTTACAAGTAATTGATGCTAGAGATCATGATATCTCTGAATTAAGTGCTAAAATGATAGAATTAAAATAAATTTGTGATTAGAAGAATTTTAGAATAGAGGAACTAGAAAAAGAAGTATAAGAAGCAAGTAGAGGACAAGACGAAGTTAAAGATAGAATGGCAGAAAAGAATCGTCTCCTATATGATAAAATTGAAGAATTAAAATAAGAAGTCAAGTTTTATAAAAATAATTACAACTAAGAATTACTAAAACATAAGGAATCTGCTAACCGTTTATCAAATATGGAAAAAATTATGTAAGAAAATGAGTAAAAAGTAAGGTTAGAGCTTGAAAATAGAATCGACTAAATAAAATAACAATATATGACTGAAATTCAAAAACTAGAAAGTTTATTAGAATAAGCTAAAAGATAAAAAGAAACTCATACAAGCGAAATTCAAACTTAAAACGAGAGATTGTTGAAGTAAAATGAAGAATTGCTTGCAGAGAGAATTTAATTAAAAGCTTAATTGATTGAAAAAGAAAGAGCACAAGCTTAAGAAATATATGAAAGAAATGCAAGAGTTTAAGAGGCTTTAACTCTAGCTTAACATGCATAGTAGGAAGCATAGAATTTAAAATAAGCTAATAGCGGTTGGGATGTTGTAATGAGAGAGAAATTGCAAATAGCATAACAAGAAAAAGAAGATATACTTCAAATGCTCAATCAACATAAATAGAAATCAAAGTAAAAAATTTAAAATATTAGAGAGGAAGGCGAAAGAAGATTTGAAGAGCTTATTAGGGAAAATTCTGCAAGAGTTAAAAGACTTCAGTAAGAATTAAGAGATACTTAGCAGTAAAACGACTTTTTATCATTATCTGAGAAAAATTTAAAAGAAAAATTATAAGAAGCTCTGTCAAGCAATAGAAGGGAAGTAGAAGAGATAGAGCATAAGAATAATCTCTACTTAAAAAATCTTGAAGAAGATAAGAGGCAGTTAAGGAATGAAATATAAATTAAAGAATTTTAGAATAATTAGTTGAATGAGGAGATTCAGAGAGAAATTAAGAAGTATGCGATGTTGGAACAGGAGTTTAAGGAATAATCTGATCAGCTCACATAACTAGAAAAAGAAAATACAATGTTAATTGAAGAATTAGTCTTGTATAAAAAGAACTTCCCAAATGTTAATTTTGGATAGTAAATGCAAAGGAGAAGTTTTTACCCTTTGTAGCAACATTAAAGCCCTTTTAAAAAGGAATATGAATAAGCTCAAGGATAAAAAGATGAATCTTTTGAGAAACTATTTAGCCAAGATATGGGTTATGTAAACGTAGGATCATCTTTGATGGGAAATAATCCTCATCCATAATAAAATTTTAATGAGCATATTCCTTTACCAGAAAACAGATCTTAGCCATTTGAGCAATTTTAAAAGATAAAAGAGTTGGAATTTGACATTAAGACATACAAAGATTTAATTGAAGACATGACAAAAGAGATGGAAAGAGTCAAACAAAAAGTAAATTTAAATTTATTTATTTTAATATTTATTTGTTGAATTGCTTAGATAAATGCTTAAGAAAACAAATAAATTAATTTTAGATTATTTTTTAAAATATAATTTTGTTGAGAAGAAATTAGTTGTTACAAATACAAATATTTTATTTATTTTTTTAACAAAAAAGCTTGAATTCAATAACTAGGAACTTAGACTATCTAAAGAAGAGTGTATAGAATTAAGAAATAGAGTAAGTGAATAAAAGCTTGATATTATCAGTATGAGGGAAAAGCTTTAAAAATATGAACTCGAAAATAAAGAGCTTAGTAAAGATATATTAGAAAAAAAAACTTATGAGTAAATACAGTAGACTATCAAGCTCAAAGATGAAGCCATTGAAACTTTAAAATAAAAAAATAATAAATATCAGAAAGAAATTAATTAATTGAGAAGAGAAAGAGAGTCTTTAAGTGAAATAAGTGCTTAGCTCAAATCTAAATGTATTGAGTATGAAGAGCGTTTAGAGATAGGATAGTATGGAGATAAAGGAGTAGATCCGTAAGAACTGAGAGCTTAAAATTAAATTTTCATATAGTAGTTACACTAAATGGAGCTGTAACTACAAAACTGCGAAGAAGAACTTAAAAAATGGTAAAAAATAGATGTTGAAAAATAATAAATCATAGAATAATTAAAGGAAGAACTTATTCAAAATAATAAGCTATTTAAAAATAAATCAATTCCTGCTTTATCAGTGATCTCTCATTACAATCATATGAAAAGATAAGAGGCCGCTTAAAAATAACATCCTTAGTAAGCATTTAAAAATATTCCTAAATATGATTAATTCGAAGAAATTGATGATGTTCCTGTGAAGCTAAACAAACCATAAAATATTTCAAATAATAATAGCTTGAGTCCTCAAAAACATAATTAATAAATTCAAAATACATAAAATGAAAAAGCTTTTAATTCATAAGATAAAATACTAAAATAGGCAGAAAAATAATTTAAAAAAGAGTTGATAGAATTGTATGATCATGTAAATCCTGATAGTAATTAATTTATAAAAGGAAAGCCTTAAATGTTTGCTAACTATTGAATAATTAATTCATAAATTATACATTGAAGTTAATTAGAAATTAATAATCACAGTTATAAAAAAATATAAAACAACAACCATCTTTCGTATCTGTATATATTTTTTCATGCAATCTTTCAAATTTTAAAAAGCCTATCAAAACTAATAAAGTCATTTTTATATTTATTTAGCTTACTCGATTTTATTTTACTTTAATAGTTGAAAATTAATCTTCAATAAATAGTTTTGTTAAAATAATATCCTACTTGATCATATTTATAAAAATATAAATTGACCTTTTTTTGAAAAATAGATTTATTCTTATTTCAATAAACTTGAAATAAATACCTTATAAATAGAATTGAATAAATTTAAAGTTGATTTAGTAGGATATTATTTTTAAAATAGGAAATATATATAAAAATAATTCATATCAATTAGGTAAACTAAAAAGAAACAATAATTTAATACGGTAAAAATATTTTGGTTTTTTACTGAAAAGAATTTTTTAATTTATAAATACTTCTTTCTTAGACCATTAAAATATTGAGATTAAGAATTATAATCAATTTACATTGAAATTAAATATATTTCACACGCATAAATACATAATTTAATATTATAGACAGTATATAAATATCATTAAAAATTAATGCTTTCAAGAAAGGTTTCTTATTAATAAAATCCTGATACTTCAGTAGTACCTAATGAATTTCTTGATTCCCTTCCTACAAATAAATAAATAAAAAATTTTGTGATTTCACGTATTTCTCCATTAAAAAGTAGATTAAAAACTCATTCTGTTAATGATTTAAGCCTTAACAATGATCTAAGTATAGGTGATTTACAGTAGATTTATCAGGTAGAAAAATAAAGTAATTAATTGCAGGTCTCTCACAATAGAGCAGAATATAATAGTTAGTTAGATATCTTAAATAGCTTAAAACATCACCGGAAGGTTTCATCGAATTAATTTGCGTTACCTAAAATTGAAGAAAGAAAAAATTCAAGGATAATGTATTTAGAGGCATATTCTGATGAGAATAAAATGTAAAAGGGCAAAGAAAAGCAAAAGAGATCTGTTAGTTTATCTAAAAATAGAGAGAAAACTCAATAAAATGAAAATTAAATTGATTTAAACAAAAGAAAAAGCATTTAAACTGAAATTAATAATGTCGAATTAGATAATTGGAAGGTGTAAAACTAGTAAAAAAGCACTAAGATTACTAATTTAAGTAATTTTATTTTATTAATAAATTTATTTGCATTTTTACATAAAATATTACATACAATATGAGTTTATCAATAAATAAATAAATAAATAAATGTTAAATTATCAACTAATTTAAAATTAAATATTTAATAAGAAACGTTGAGCCCAAAAATTTAAAAAAAGACACCAAACTAAGAGGAATTCTAAGAATAACTCAAGAAGTAAGTCAAATTTTTTAAGAGAAAATAAGAGCTTGATGGATAAATATTTGAGTAAGTAGAATTATTTTAAAGACAGTTAGAATAAGACAAAGATATAGAAAAAATACTATTCGATACTTACGAAAAAGAAAATAAAGACAACTAAGAAAGAAAATAAAAAATCTAGCAGTAAAATAAATAAACTTCTTTTGTAATTAAACAACAAATATAAGAAAAGGCTTTAAAAAATAAGGAGTAGTTTGAGAAGTTGAAATTAGAAAACAACTAAATCTCTCAATAAAAACAAGATGAAGATAAAAAAAATAATTTAATACTAATATAAAAAAAGAAAGAATTGTAAAATCATTACAAAGAGTTAGCTAAATAAATTTTAATTAAATAAAAATCAAATCAACAAAGTGAAGTCCCTATAAGTAAGCCAAAAGAGCAAAGTTTTAATGACAGAATTTGCAGCTAAGATTAATCTAGGATTTAAAATAGATAGGAAAATTCCAAAAGTATTTAAGGTTTTCTAAAGAAATAGCAAAGAGATTAAAAAGAACACATGTTTCTAGAGTATAAAAATATGTATGATATTTGACTCAAGCTATTAATATGAAATAATTTAATCTCTTTTTTAACAGATAAATATACTAAAAAATCTATTATTATCCAGCTATAATTAATAGAATAAAAAATTATTTAAATTACTGCTTTTTACTTCAGCTTAAATACTTGATTGAATAATTTACTAAATTTTATAATATCTGGCATAATTTCTTTAAAGAATAGTTTAATCAATATTTATTTTAAATTTCTAAAAATTGAATAATTTGCTTCAATTATTAGAAAATAAATTAATTCCTAATAATAGTTCTTATTTATTTATCTATTTATATTTTCTTAAAAATTCTTTTACAAAAAAATTATTTTATTCAAAAGAAAATAAACTGTAAAGCTAAATAAAACATAAAGTATTAATAATTTTATTTAAATTGTTATAAATTAAACATATTAGAATGATTCAATTCCTTGACACTTGATAAGAAATGAATAAACTTTATAAATTAAGAGTATTAACATTAAAAAAATTAAAATATTAAATGAATTTAAATCAAATTTATAATTGAAAAATAAATTAATTTTATTATAAAATTAAATAAATCTAAAATAAATAAAAAACAAGTAGCTTAAATTCAATAAAGCAACTGATTTGTGATATGATTATTATTTTCTTTTAATATCTATTAATAAAATAAGTAGGATTGATAGATAAATAATTAATTAGTGTTGTTTGTTTCTAAAAATTAATTAGCTGAATAGTGTAATTACTTGATTGATTTTGAAATAATTAATATTAAAAACAGTTTGTAAGAGTGAGTTAAAGAGGAGCATCCAAGGGTGATTAAGCTGAGCAGCAGTATAGAGAAATACAGTTTTAAATGAAATTTAAATTCGATTTATTTTTAAAATAAATAATAGGACGTAGCTGTTGCTCGAGCAAAATAAAAAGGAACTTCTTGATAGTTTTTTTACAATTAAGAAACTCCAAGAGAGAGTTCATCGTTTGTAATTCATTAAATATATAAATAAATTTAATCTGCAATAGAAAGATAAAACAAAATATTTAAATAAAATAGGGAACTTGAAAATAAATCGCTTAAAGATGAACGCGATGAAATAAAGAACCATTTTGATGAAAAGAAAGATAAATATGTAATTTAGATTTATTTTAAATTTTTTTGCAATGTTTTTATAAAAATTCAGGAAGATATGATTGATTTGTAACGTACTGAAATCGATCAACTCAAAAACGATAAATAAAAGGCTGAATACGAATATGAAAAAGCTAAGAAGGATTTAGAAGAATTAAAAGAGGAAACAGGTATGGATATTATTAAGAAATTTAAATACATTTAGCGTTTTATTGTTGTGTTTACTATTCTAGTCAATTTAACATCAAGAATAAATTAGTTAAAAAATGATGAATTGATTGAATTAAATAAATAAATAAATATATTTATCAGAACTTGCATCAAATAATATTGAAATTTATATAATATGAATCATTGAACAAACATCTAAAAAGAATCATAAATGTTTTTATTTAAAAGCAATATGAAAAAATAATATTTTTTATTGATTTATTTTAATATAAATAATTTTTCGTGATTTTTAACAAGCAGTTTTATAATAAAGAAAGCATCCTAGAAGAACTAAAAAAGGATTTTGAAAGAGAGAAATCTGACTTAAATGATAAAATTTTAAAGCTAGAAACAAGACTAGAAACTGTTGATATATTTATTAAGAATAAAGCTGACTTAGAAAACGAAAGAAAGAATTTAAAGGAATAGCTTGAATTTGAGAAGAAAGAAAAGCTTAGGGAGTTAGCAGATAAAGATCGTGAAAAAGTACAAGCTACAGATAAGTTGAAGAAAGATATGTTACATAAAATTTAAGAAACAAAGACAAGTTTATTAGCTTTGAAAAAAGAATAATTGCAGACTACTACAAGACTTACTGTTTTATAAAATCATTAGCTCACCACTGAATTAGAATATTAATCTAAGCAAACTGAGAAACTTTTATTTAAAAATTCAAAACTTTAAGAACAAATCTCAGCTTTAAAACGTGATGTTGAAATACATAAATAGGTTGAGTAGGAGTTAGCCAAAAGATCTCATTTTTGCTAAAAATTAATTAAAAAGCTCAGTTAACGCATAAAAGAATTGGAAGATGAAGCTGAATCAAATAAAAAAGAAAAAGATGAAGAGCGTCCACCTGAAATTTCTAAGACACATGAAGCTGAAGACCGCAAAAAAGATGAAATAGTATAAAAACTAATTTTATTAAAAATAATTATTTAAATAAAAAAATTAATATTAAAGATAAATTCACTAGAAAGACACTTAAAAACTGTTGAAAAGAAACTGGCAAAAGTTTAAAATGTAAGATTATTATTTGAAAAAGTGATCAAAAATTAACAGAAAAAATTAATTTTTAAAAAAGGACTGTGATATTTTAAAAAATGAGAATTATTATCTACAAACAAAGATAGAGACAAGTGATTAGAAATATGGAAATTTAGCTGCAGTTATTGCAACAAACTTAGAAAATTTAAAAAATAACTAGCAAAGCGTTTATGAAGATATTCTAGAATAGGAACCTGAATTGAATATTACATTGGATTTAAATGAAATGTAATAATTTTAACCTTTGATTTTCAAAAAAAAATAGAATTATGATTTATTGGTTAGAATTACAAGCTAATAAATTTTGTATTTTTATTCAAACAGAAGGCATAAATAAGTTCATGAATGGAATCTAAAAGAAAAAGAAGGAGTTTTAAATCTCCTTCTAGCTTAAATAAGACCTCTTATGTCTGTAAATTATTTTAAAAATAATTGAAAAATGTTATTAAAGATATAACAAATTTATCAAATAGAAAAAGAACTTGATGCAATCAATTAACACATCTATAGCAAATTAATCTATTAATGTTAATATAATTGACGATTTACAATAAATGTAATAATAGAATAATGCAAATTAAGTTTCACTTCCAAGTATTTTATTAAAGCTTTCAATAAATCATAAATAATAAATAAATTGATCATTTATTAGGAATAAATAATTCAGTAGATTAAAAAGAAGGCTCAATTGAAAATAGTATTTCTGCAGGCGGTGGAGCAAATTAGATTAATAACTCAACAAATGGAGGTTCTAAGAAATTTTAAGATGTACCTTTAGATATTAGCACAAAAATAGTTAAAAGCCCTTTAAGAGATTGGGGTAAACCAGCAACCACACTTCCTTCTTCAAGTAAAATATCATTTTAAACTGAATTTTTAGTAAATTAATATTCTTTAAGATAATAAAAATAAGAATAGAAGGTTTAAAGTATCTTGATACAGACTGCTAGCTGGCTGTCTAGATATCATTAATCAGACAAAATTAAATTATATTTATTATAGAATAAGTATTTATTAAATTATTTGCTTGCTTTAAAGTTATTTTGTGCATATAAATTTGTAAAATATAATTTTGCAAATCTCCTTTCAAATAAATATTTCTCCTCTTTATTAGATTAATTTAAATTTTAATAAAAAATATTAATCTAAGAAAAAAGTTTTTTTAGTTAATTTAAATTTTAGATTATCATTGCTCATCATAATAAATTTTATGTTATAAATTTATAATAGATTAAAATAAATATCTTTTTAATATTTGAAATTTATCACATTTAAAATTATTGAATAGTTCCAAAAATTTTTGAACGGATATTTTAAGTGAGAAGTTACTGTTAAAAACAAATAAAGAAATATAAATAGAGAGATATCAGCATTTATTTTTGATAAGATTTGAATTATTATTTTGAATTTAGATAAAGAGATGCTTAACAACAAGAATAAATTGTATGTCTTAATAGAAATAAATAATAAAATTGAATATCCTTAAAAAAAATGTTTATTTATTTATTACATGGGCTTATTTCGAGATACATAAACAGAATTTATTTATTTATTTATTTTTGAGCTCCTTTCATTTATTTATTAACAATATTTTAATGAAGTATTTTATCTCAAATTGATAGAAAATGCATTTTGTATTATAATAATAATACTAACCTAATTGATTAATGCTTTTTGAGAAAAATTTCAATTAAACAAACAAACAAACTATAAAATCAAATCAAATCATAACAAGAGAAAAAAATACTTCAAAAAGATTTTAAATCAAAAATTTTAATTAATTTAGTTAGCAATTTGCAAATACAAAGAGAAATAATAGTGGAGTATATTATAGAATAAATTTAGTTGTTAGTTAAAGCTAAGACATAGCATGAGTGCTCAAAAGGGAAAGAGTCAAGAAAACTCTTAGCGAGTGAGCTCTATACAAAGAAGCAATAGCAATAGTAATGGTAAGCCTCACAATAATAGCAGCAAAGTTGTTGAAGAAAGGAAGAATGAGATAAAACGCAAATTGTTAGAACAAATGCAATCAGATTTAAGATAGCATCCTGAAGGATAGGCAAAGACTTATGAGACTTTAGAAAATGCTAAAAAACTAAAAAAAATGTTAGTAAATAGTATTTATCAAAATAGAGATCCTCTATACAACCTTATTCATACCTAACAATAAAGTTCTAACAACAATAACTTTAGTAAAGATAACAGCCAAAACAGTTTAAATCAGTTAAATTAGCATTCTTCTTCCACTCTTAGAGTAGTAAAAGTCAGCTAGCAACTTAATCATTAGTAGCCGAATTCGATTAATTAAAAATAAAGAAGCTCAAGCGTTCAAAAAGAGTATTCGTCTGGTAATAAGAATGAATCTTTGCCTCATTATAGCCACTTAAATTGCATACCGAATGATTCTTAAAATAAAAGTAATAGCACTAGTTATAGAGATATATACAATCTAGCAAATAATGCATGTTAAGAACACAAATAACTTACTGAGTAGGAAAAACAAATACTCTCTGGTAAAAAGTAGGTTACATTTTCAGATCCTGCAATCAAGAAAAATCAAAATGCTAATTAGTAAGTTTTTTCTCCTAAGCATTAGTGCTTTCATAAAGAAGGGTGTCCTAAGCATTAATAAAACAACTTATTTGAAAATAATTAATAAGAACTTGATGAGGATTGCATAAATCTTAACTTAGAAAATAAATATGGATTTGTTTCTTAAGAAAAATAAATTTTGAATTACTAAAGTGATAAGCAAGACTTGGAAAACAGAAACAAATTACAAAAAGTTAGAGACATTTTAAATGATAATTAATGCTTCGATAAATTGGGAATACATGAAAATTAACAATAGACAGAAGTTGTTACAATCAAAAAGATTAATGCTAATAATTCATAAAGCAACAATTTTAGTGCAAGAAATACACCATCACCTAAAGAAAGAGATTAAAAGTCAACATAAAAATAAGGTAGGTCATTTTCAGCAAGTAACAGTGCCAAAAAGCATGCATATCAAAACTTAATTGAAAGTGAAGAAGAAAAATAGGAAATACTAAAGAAGATACAAGACTAAAAGGAATTAATGAAACATGAAAATAATTAAAATGACAAAGGCTCTAACAATTAAAATAAGTAATAGGCTTCTATTTAAAGAGATACTACTTTTTCTTCTAAAAAACCTCCAGCTCCTTCTAATATTAGTCACGGTTAATAATAAATTTCTAAGCATTCAAAGCAATCAGTTGGATTATTATAATAAAATAATACCAAATAATAAGAAAAAGATAAAAAAGAAACTATCTAAAAGTAGAGGTCTGTAAGTTCATAGTAATATTCTAATGTATCTACTTCGAAAGGAAATTAATTTAACACTCGCTCTTCAAGCAAAGGTCGCTCAGAGAGTTAGTAAAAAGATAAATCTATTAAAAAAGTAGATGAATAAAATGTTAGCTTTGAAGGTGATAATAGCAAGAGAGAGTAAAAAATCGCTGACTTGTAAAATATGATTGAAAGGATAAAGGTAGAAAATACAAATAGATTAACTAATTTAGAAATAAAGAAATTGCATGAGCAGATGGAAAAAGATAAGTTCCTTGAAAAATAGCAATTAGAAATTAAGCAGTAGTAAAAAACAATATATTTGCTAACTTAGGAAAAAGAACTTTTGTAAGAATAAAGTGATTAGTTAGAAAATAAGTACAAGTAAACTCAAAACAAGTTAAAGATTTTTGATAAGCAAAGAATGGAGTTAGAGGACGAAATATAACGTTAGATTTTATAGGTTTAGGAACTTAAAAATTAAATAAATGAAAACAAAATTTAGTATAATGATTTAAATAAACGTTATGCATTACTGAAAAAATAAAATGATGAATTAGAAAATGAAAAGAATAAAATAAATCAATAAAAAATCAAAATTGAGAATGAAGCCTAGCAAAAAGCCACCTAATTTTAGTGCATGAATAAATAAAACTTTGATTTGACTATAGAATTTGAAAGAAAAAACAAGGAAAGCCAATATCAAATAAATTAATTAATTGAAAAAGTTAACGATATGACTAAAAAGTATGAAGAATCAGCTAAAAATGAATCCATTTATGAGAAAAAATACAAAGCAGAGTAGTAAAAAAATGAATAGCTTAGAGTTGAGCTTAAACTGATTCAAGCACAAGTTTCGTAAAATTTTTTTTTAATTATTAAATTCAATATTTAAAATCTAAAAAATTCATTAATTATTTAATTTAAATTAAAAAAGATCATTTGTTTTAATAAAATTCAACTAATTACTTTAAAATTTTATTTTTTATTACTTAAATTATTAATTAGTAATTCACCCAAATAAATTTCTATTTTTGAATAATTATTAACCAAACAGATTAAGAATTGATTAAATTTTTAATTTACCATCAATCAATCGAACTTTAATTAAGATTTATATACTGTTAATTCTCATTAATTAATCCCATTTTACAAAAAATATTTTTTCTCAAAAGTTTGACTAATTGCAAATATATGAGGAAACATTATATTTTTTTATATTAAATAAATTTATTATTTGTGGTTTTTTAAACTATTTGAGTTGTTATTATTTTAAATATTAATGAATTAGGGTGTATTTACTTTTATTAATTATTTAAATAATATTTTAATTTAATAATAGTGAAAATGAGGAATTAAAAAAGAAAATTAAATAAAAAGAGAATAAACTAGATGAACTTGAGAGTGTAGTAGATGATTTAAAAAGGAAAATCAGAAATAATTTAGATATTGATATGAAGCCTCACTAAAACAAACAATTAATTGAAAAAATTATAGAAAAACCTGTCTACATTGAAAAAAAAGTAGAAATTGAAAAATCTACTTTTAATTCTAACCTTGCTTAAGAGTACAAAGCATAAATGATAAAATGCTAATAAGATATAAGTGAATTAAAGCGTGCACTTATGTAAGAATAAGAACTTCATCACTAAAAGGCGATGGAGTGCGAAACTTGGAAAAACCATGCTTTTTAAATTGAAGATAAACTGAGAGGAGAGTTGAATTTACTGAAATAGAGCATAGATGGTGAAAGAAATATTTTAGATAAAGAATTAAGGGAAAAAGATGTTTATATTTAAGATCTTAAAAGCAAAATAAGCGCTCTATTACTGGAAGTTGAAACTCTAACTCATAAAAATATTGATAAAAATCGCTAAATTGCAAATGAGATAATAAATTAAAATTCTGTATTGCAAGTAAATGATACATACCAGCAGATTCCAAATTATTTTGGCTCATCTCAAAACATGAATAACTAATCCTACATTTCTTACATTCATGGATGAAATAAATCTCATTAAATAGAAAAAAATTAAAATAATAAAATCTAATTAAATATAAAATGACAAGTTAGTTAGCTAATTAATCTATCAACAAATAAAATTATTTAAAATAACATTTAAATAAATATCACAATTCTTAAAGAAAATAAAAGAGATAATCTTTAGAATTAATTAATTAATCAATCAATCAATCTTACAATATGGATTAATTTTCTAAATCTTAATTAATAAAATTTTTCAAAACATTATATTAGAATATCATTTTTCATTAATTAATCATTTAATACTATATAAAAAATCCAAATATAAATAAATAAATCAATCAATCAACCAAATAAACAAAAGAGTAAATCTAAGTAAGATGCCAACATTTATAGAATTTTCGCAATCTTTCTTCTTATCTTACTTAGATTTTCATCTTTCTTCAATATTTCTTAAAATCATATGTAAATAGTATTTTTTTCATTAATTATATTTACTCTAATCGTTTTTATGTACATAATTTACTGACAGATGTATGGTAATTTTATAAACTATTTTTTAATTTTTATTGCAAAATTCATTCATGCTTTTAATATTGAAAATAAATTAAATATCACAAATCTTAACAAAAAACGAATCTTTTAAAACAAATATTTTAATTTAATCAACGAATTGATGAATTTATCATATTTTATACTAAAATATATAAGTTTAATTTTCAATAATTCATTTAAATTAAACTCTAATTATGATATTACAGACAAATAAATTATTTTTTTAAATTTTGTAATTCAAAAGCTAGAAGTAATAAAATTTTGTGATAACTTTTTTACATAACTCAATTAAAGAATCAATTAATTTTTAGCAATTTATGAAATAATAAAATTATATTTGAAAACATAAACTAATTATTATATTTAATATATTTTATTTGTTTTTTTTAAATTAATAATTCAACTATTTAAATAAAATAATTTGAGTTTTTATTTTTGAATGAATATGAAAAATAACCAAAAGAGAAATTCATTTAATTTTGGTTAAATTGTATTTTATAATCTTGAAAAAAGATAAAAACAAACAACAATTTTTGTATTATTAATTCTAAAATATAATTTAAAAAAATATTTTTTTTCTCAAAAAATTAAAATTGATTTGTTTAAATCAAATTTAAATTTAAAGTAGTTAAATAATTCTTAACAATTTGAATAATTATTTTTGAAAAATAAATATATTTTTACAAAATATAATATTGTGTTGATTAAATTATTAGATTTAATTTAAATTATGAGCTATAATTATTAATTTTTAAATAAAATTATTGATGCTTTTTGCTCGTTTTATATAATTTTTTTTAAGAATGTTTTTTAATTATTTATTTTATAATTTATTTTAATAATTTAATTTAACTAAAGAGGTGATTTTTATTATTAATTAAAATTTTATTTTATCATTTCTTTAGAAGTACAGCATCAACTTGATTGCTAAATGCTTTAACTAAAATTTCTTTAAATTCTTTAGAGCCGCTGTCATATCTATAAAAGGCTTGAACAGATGCTAAATCAATTTAAGTAGGAGCAGTGTTTAGCCCAAATATTTTTTTTACTTCATTAGTATTGCTATCCATTGAGTATAATGCTTTAAAATCCTATTTTTAATTAATTAAAATTAATTAAATTAATTTAACAAAAAAAAAAGTGATTTTCTAAAAATAAATTTAAAATAAAATTGATATAAATTAATTTATTACTTAACGGCCATTTATACCCTTGAATAAAACTATGAAATGCTCTTATTATGAGTCTTTTATTTTTTTAAGAGCTATTTCTCTTTCTTTAGAGTTAGTTGGACCTGCCAAACAAACCTTTGTAATTGCTTAAGAAATCAACTACTTATTTGATGGCTTAGAAAAAGGTATACGAGGTTTTGTAGTAGGGTTCTCTAAAACTGATATTTTAGGTGTGAAGTTTTCTTGAAGATCACTTTTATTTTCTTCTTCAATATTTTCCTTTTTTTTGTTGATAACAGGAAGCTTTACTTTTTCTTTTACTGGTTGCTGTCTAACAGGTGACTTTGATTTCGGAGAGTTCTGATTTATAATCTAGTCTCTTTGATTTACTGAGAATATATTTTACTAGTTTTTTGCAAATTAATTTTAATTCTCATTTGCTTTCTTGGCTTACTGCTTATTACTAGGTGTATTATTTTCACTTCTAGCTTAGCCATCTTATTGAGCTTTCTACCTTTACTAAATCTAATAAGAAGGCTACTTTTTATGAGCTTATTTTCTTTCTTTTTATCCTGATAGCTAATCATCTGCTTACAATAGCTGTTTCTACTGAATTTCTTATTATTTCTTTTGTTTTTACATCTCTAACTCTTATATCTTTTTTAATCTTTTAATTTCAAAAGCTTTCTTCTTTCTTTCTAATTCATCATCATCTTTATCACCGAAATCAATTGTCATTGCAACACCCTTTTATATTTACTTTTATTCCTCTTCTTCATCTTCTTATTTGCTGCTTTTGTTATTTTGATTTAAGTTATTTTCTTCATTAGATTCATTAAGACTCTTATCTTATTTTTATGGACTAAAATTATCACTATTATCATCATTCAATTAGATATTATTATCTTAGTTAGTCTAACTATTATTGTCTGCGCTTTCATCATCATTTTCTTCTTTATGATGATGACGTTGATTCTAACCTTTATATGTGTTTCTTTAATTTTAAAATCCTTTATTTTTATTTTGATATTAATTATATGAATTATCATCATCATTTTCTTATTGATAATTATCATTATAATTACTAGCATTTTAATCTTAATCTTAATCATCATACTCTTATTCATAATATTATTATTAATTATAATAATTATTTTGATAATTTTGTGAATAATCTTCATCATTTTGATCTTCTTATTCTTAATCTTCCTCATCATCATCATCATAGTGATTTCTGTATTAATTGTTATAATTTTGACTATAACCTTAACTTTAATCATAGTCTTCTTAATCTTCCTCCTCTCTTTCCATCTCTAACTAATTGCCGTTATAACTATATCCTTTATAACCACCTCTATTGCTTCCAGCATTAATATTTCTTGTTGCCCATAGTTTAGGCTATTCATTTCTATAATTATCTGCTTGCTCATAAGAATTCTACAAATTTTAATCTTAAATTTTTTATTTTAAAGTTAATTCTATGAATTCGTTATCTTAAAATTCCTCACTTTCATGTAGTTTTTACAGTTTACTGTGATAGTTAGATTAATTTGGCATAACATTGCTAGTTTACCCAATAGACTAAGACAATTTATCACTCATTTAAAATTACTTATCTTAAATTTATTAATTAGGCTTTTAATTCCCCCATACTTTTCTATATTTTAAGATTAAAAAGTTATTAAAACATAATAATTTTTATTGAACATTAATATTATTTACCTTTTCTTATTCTCTGTTTACTTTTATTTTTGCCAGAAATCTTCTTCGTTTTCTTCATCATAATTAGGTTTATGAACAACGCTAATGCTTTTAGAATCTGCCTATTGTGATTTTTTTAGGACCGAATCTCTCTCTTGATTAACATTATTATCTATTAAAAATATATTTTTCAAAAATAAATTTTAAATTAAAAAACACTAATTGCTTACATTTCTGATAAATATCATTCTAATTTTTAACAAATTATATTGGAGATCCTTCTATCATTTAAGAATTACAAGATTAATCATATTACTACTCATAAGCTTCCTAAAACTTTAAATCAAATGAGTTTTTAAGGAAGCTTTATTAATCTGGGGTTGACATTTTATCAGAATTATTATTATTTAATGTCTAGTTATTATGTTTTAATTCTGAAATATTGCTCTGCGTGATAAATTATGGTCTGCTTGGTGGTTAACTTAGGAATTTATCTTGATTATATTATTGACTATTACCATTTATTTCTTGTTTAGAGTCTTTCTTTTTTCTCATATTATCAAGTAACTAAGCTCTAGTTTGAGCTGATTTATTTTAGCTTATTCCAGATTTATAAGATTAATTATTTAATGGGCTTTCACTTTCTTCTTATTCACTAAATTTAAATTTATTGCTATCTGCCATTCTTATTTAGTCATTCATAACTTTCTTAATATTGTCTTCAGCATCTTTCAAAATATCTTATCTCTTTCTGTCAAATTCTTAGTTTTTTTAGAGATCTTGCTTGTTTATCTATTAATTTTATTTCACTTGCCTCATTTATTATTTTAACTATTTGAAAGGATTTACTTCTTCATTAAATTAAGCTGTTTAGTCACAATAAGGTAATTTTTAGGTATCGTTAAAATCCTAAGAAGGCTTTTGAGATTTTCTCAGCTCAACTGATTTCTGTTATTTGGTATGATTAATAGCCATTCCTAAAAATTTATCACTGTCTCTTGCTCCAAAAGTTTAAAAATTTTCATTCAAGCTATCGTCTTCATAGCTATTCTTTTTAATATTTTGTCTTTGCTTTTAAGATTCATTCAGATTGTTTTATTTACCAAATGATTATTAATTTTACACTCCAAAACTTACTATCATAGGTTCTTCGTTTGTTTACTTGCTTCCTTATAATTTTGTGCTTAAGGAAGCTTCATCTTACAATTCTTCTTTATCATCTTCACTTTAATCTTGAGCATCATCTTATTGATCACTATAATCACTCAATTATTTTAGCTAGTTATCATTAGAATTTTGCTTATTCATACCTTTTACTTCATTCATAAGTTTTTAAGGAGCAGCATAGTTGTTTCCAATATCTTCGAATTCAGTTTATTCAAATTAATTTTCTTAATTACCATCAAAATCTTCTTCTTCTTCGCCTTAGTTTTCAATTTATTCTTCTTCTTCGTTGCTATCTTAATTATTATAGTTTGAATTATAAAAGTTCCCTTAAAGCTAGATAGGATTAGACTTGAAAGTTTAGAAAACTTTAGGTGCTGTATTGTCTCCTTTATCTTCTTAGCATTCGTTTTCGAAAAATTCTTCTATTTTAGAAGCTGATTGCTTGTTAAAAGATTTGTCAGATAAATTTTTTAAAGATTATTTTTTGCATTCTGTTTCGGAATCTTCTTGATCTTGATTGTTTTATATTTAAGACCCTTTATTAAAAATAGGGAATCTTTCATTTTGTGCTGAAGATTTCAAGAAACGTTATGAACCATTTGATGCTGCACTTAAATTATTATTTAAGTTTTAAGAATCGTTAGAAAATTTGCTGTTATTTTTATTTTAAAAATTAAAATTGGAGGTATTTTATTATTAATTTGTCTCTTCTTCCTGATCAGATTCATCAAAATCTTCCTGCTGGATACAAGGACTGGAAGAATATTTATTTTTTTTATTTTTTTATTTTAAAAAGCTGGACTATTTCTGTTTATCTTAATTTTATACTTTGCTTACTCTTTCTTAGCTTTCCTAAACAGAAAAGCTCTTATTTTAATTATTTTTTTAGTGAGATTTACTTTATTTTTCTAAAAATGGGTATTAAGCATCTACTTAAACAGATTCTGTGTAGTCAATTTCGTCTTAAAATATTTAATCCCTTATAGATTTATTAAGTTAACTTACTTTGATTGAGGCATCAGCTTTTTCAAATTGCTTTGAGTTTTTGCCAGAATTGTTTTCAAATTCTGTTTTTTGAATGGAATTACTTTATGATTTATTGTGAATTTTACTCTGATAACTATTAGACACATTACTCTTTTAAAATGATTCAGGCATTTTTGCTTATCCTGTCATATAACTAGAGGACTTTTTTTATGTTTCTAATTTTGATCTTTGAACAGAATCACTGATTCCATTATTTGTTGAGGCTTTATTGCTTATTACACTTTCTCTATTTTATACTGGATAATTACTAATAATCTCTTCTTCTCCAACGTAGTTTTGTGACTAAACCATCTATGCCCTATTACTAGTTCCTTTCTAACTCTAATTATTCTTATCAATCATAGTATTGCTAGTTTAAGCTATTGATTTTAAAGGAGGTAGTTAATTTAATGAGTCTACCGGGTACATTTAAGACAATTAATTTTCTGAGCTATTTTCATTTTACTCATTTTATTGTTAATTTTTTTGACCTTTTTATTCTACTTTAAAATTTTATGATTGACGTTCTTGATAAATCCTCTGTTAATTTTTATTATTTTAATTATAGTCTAGAGTATCATTTAAATCATCTTTTTCTACATCATTTTAATCTTCCTATTTAAATCTATATTATTTATCATGCTAATTAGATGAATCTTTATAACCTGCTTATGCATTTTTATTACTTGTTTAATTTTATTTTTAATCTTAATTTGTTTAATTCAACATTTCTTCTATTACTTGCTATTTCATCAGCATATTCTTCTACTTAGCTTATTATTATTTTAATTCCTATGTTTTTTATATTTTTTTCATCTATTCTTAAATCTATAACTACATCAAATACTTATCTTTGACATTAATTTCTTCTTTTTGATACTCCTTTACAACAACATTATTGTATGCATTTTTTATTTCTTTTGGCTTTTCTTGCTAGTATTTATCTGAATCTGGTTCTATTTCAGCTCTTTATTCTTCGATATCCTCTAAAGAGATAACCTTTTTCAGCATTTAAACAGGTCCTGCTTATTTGTTTTACACTACATCTTTTGCTTATCTAATATTACCTTAGTCACTAGGTTTTAATGCACTATTAGGTCTTTTTTATACACTACCTTAACCTGTTGGAGGTAAACTACTCTTTTTATTGCTTTCTTTTACATTTGAATTAATAGTTAATGATTACTATCCTACTGCACTTTATTTCTAAAGTTTAGATTCCTATTATTATTTTAGTTTCTCTTCTTTAGCTTTAGCTTCTAATTCCTTTTTCTTCTTTTCTTCTATAACTTTTTTTTTCATCTATGCTTCTTCTAACTTTATTCTTTACTATTCTAAGACACTAAGTCTTTCGAAAGAACTCATTTTATATTGAAAAACTAATTCTTTCTTTCTATATAAGTTATGCTATATTAATTAATCAATTAAAAGAATCTCTTATTATTAATTTTTTAACAAAGAATGTTATCTAATTAATGAAGATAAAGTAAAAATATTAATAGAAAGAATTAAGAAGTTTGTTTTGTGGAAATTATTATTAATATAGCAAAATTTTTAAATTTTTCAATTTTAATAACAAAGAAAATAGATAGATAGATATTAGCTGAATTGAATTAGCCAACCTATCAATTTAATTGTTTAATTTTTGAATTTAATAATTTTAATTATTTAAATGATTGTAAAATTCTATAAAATCATTATAATCTTATATTATTTCTAAAATTAATAATTGTTTTATTAAATTTTTACTACTTTCCTAAATAAAAATGTATTTCTTCTTTACCATTTTTTATTTTGTCTGAAACCATATTGAAAATTATCCAAATTCATGAAAGATTAAATTAAGGCTCCATGGTATTTAAAATTAAAGATCTGTTATAAAATTAAAATATTATTATAATTTAATTAATCATAATTAAAAGAAGCTAGTTCATATTTAAAATATTTATTTTATATCTTTTATACTCAAAAATTTACTAAATGCATAGATAGATAGGATATGTAGTAGGTAGATTTAAAATGAATAAAGAAATATTTTTTAAGATTGTAAAATTATTATAATATGATCTATATGACAGTTATGGAGTAGGCAATTTAAATAAATTATAGAAAGAACTTAATTTTATTTATTATATTTAAGTAAGATTATAAAAAGTGGATATTAAAGGAAGGTATTTTTATCTCTTAAATTTTTTTATATTTTTAAATTTAGAGAAAATAAAATAATTGTTTTATTTATTGTAAAGAAATTAATTTATCTTTGTTCTTTTTATCATTTTTAAGTACAATTTTAGAATATTGTAATTCTAAATATATTTTGAAATAAAAAGATTGAAAATTTCAATAGCATGTAAAAGTTCTATTTAAAACATCAAAATTGGGGCCATTATTTCGGCCTTTTTATTGATTAGTATTCATGTAGTTTCTGAGTAAACTTTTAGATCTATTTGTATATTACTCAGTGTTAGCATTTTGCATATTTATATCTTAAGTATTTTTATTAACACAAGAATTTGGAGTTTTCAGCTCTCTCATTAATGAACCTATATTTGATTTCGTATCATCTTAGAAATCGTAAGCATTTTATATTACAGTTGAATGATTTCTTTTTTTAAGTTCAGTAAAAGTTTTTTCAAAAACAGGTTTTATTTGATTCAATTCAGCTAATTTTTTAACTTTAGGTAGAGATCGACTATCATCTTTATATGTCTATGTGTTATGCATTTATCTTAAAAGGTTTGTGTAAGTATTTTTGTTTTATTTTTTAAACTTTTTATAAAATGTATTAATGTATTCATTGATAAAAATAAAAATAAATTTATAATGTAAACTCTCTAATTTAAAAACCTAAATTGAAAGTTAAATTTTTAAAAATTAAGGTATAGGGCTTTGTATTAGGGGAAGATCTTAAATTAGGAGAGATCTTAAAGAAGAGAGTTTAGATTATATAAATAGACTGATATAATACCTTTATTTGTTGTAACATCAAATCCTACTAAATTCTCTTATTTTCTAAATCCATAGTCCATTCTTTTGAATAGTTATTATTCATAATATCAAACATATTTTCAGTGTTTTTACTTTTAATTCCATAAGCAAATTGTTGGTTTATATCTGAAGGAGTATTGTAGCCATACTTAAAAGCACTTCCTGGATCACATCTTCCTTTTCTAACAACAATATTATTTTCTATAACTTTTTTTAATTTTTCTGTATAAAATATTTCCTTTCCTATTTTTTCAGTAGTTTCATCCATGAACCTAGGGTTTTAACATCTGGATCTTTCTAATACTCTATATGGATCAGGAGAATAGTTATGAAAATCTCCAAATTTTTCCTTTGAAATAAAAAAAAAAAAAATTAAAAAATACTATGAATATATATTTAATTACATAAATTTATCTTGTTTTTTGTGCTAAACTTTCTCCATTTCTATCAAGCATCTCTAATTCCAGTTTATTAGGCACAAGCTAACAGAACTCTTCATAATCTATAAATCCATCTTGCTTTTTATCTAAAATATTAAATAATTCCCTAGCTTCTTCATCCTTGAATCTTATACAAAGTTTATCTAAAGTCTACTTGAAATCCATGTATTAAATTTATCCTGATTACTAGCAATCAAAGAACTTGAAGGCTTTCAGAAATTTTTCAAATTTTTCTTCAAGCTTTTCAATTAAAAGTACATAAAGTTCATGTACGTTGCTCCTATACCATTTAAGTAAAATTAAAAACAATAATCATAGAATTTATATTTACTATTTTGGAATTGTGATATCATAATCCATCATTTTTCTTTTAAAATTATCTGAGTTATTCTTCTCGGATTTTACAGGAAAACGAGGAGCAAATTTATATGCATCAAGGAGTCCTGATAATTTTTTACAAGAAATAAAATCCCCTTCTGATATAGAATCTATGATTTCTTGCAGCAATTCTTCATTTAAAATTTTACTCATATGTTTTTTAACTATTTTCCCATACTTTTCTTTGTCAGCTATACCTTAGTTTTCTGGGTCTAATTCTGCCAAAATTTTTTCAAGTGCTAATAAATGATGATATCCAATATGATTAAGTTGAATCTTTTCTAGCCTTTAATTTAATAAAATAGGAAATTTTGCAATAAACTTATTAATTATTAGGAGAATTATTGTAATAAACAACTCTATTTAAACGACTTTGCTTTTCATGTAATTTTAACATGAATTTTTTTATTTTTAGATAAAATTAATTTTTCAACAATCTTTTATAAGAAGTGACGACAAAATAGAATAAATCAATTAATCTTAAATGTAATTTACAAAGTAAATTCTTTTTTATTGGTCTTTGATATTGCAGTAGTAGTATTAGTGATATCTTTTTGAGCGAATGGTCTCAAATTTATCTCTTTTTAATAATAAGTTAAATAAATTTCCTAATTAATAAGAATCATGAGTGTAAGCTAAAATTAAAAAAAATCTAAATTCATTCAATTAAATTGAAGTTGATTGATACCATTTCTTAAATTTTTAGGTCTTGGAAGTTTAATTTTTTTGAATTCATCTATATTTTCTGTATCGACATTAAATACTGATGGCTACTATACATCAATATAATTCTAAAATATATAGTTGCTGTTTGAGTTTTTAGAGGTTGTACTGTCAAATCCATTTAAGTTGTAAAAAGATCTGTTATGATTGTAAAAAGTTCTTTATTAAATAAGAGGATTCCTGTATTTTTTTGTTATGTCTATATGATCTGTATGATCATCCCCTTCAGTTTTAACCTTAACATCATAAGCAAATTTTTAAAAGAAAAATCAATCATTTAATATAAAATACTCTTTATCCTAAATAAGCCTATCGTTATTTATTATGAGTTTAAATTAATTCTTTAAGAGCATCAATGTTGACAAATATTATGCTTATTTTATATATTAAATAACTTTAAAATGCAAAATCTAAAACTTAAACATAATTATTTCAGAAATAGAATAAAATGAAATTTATAATCATAATATTAGTCAAGTAAATTACACTTCTGCTTGTATGTTTTATCCTTCATAGTAAATACATTGTACTAGATCATTTATTATTATTTAATCATTGTTTTTAGCAAAAATATTTTTTGTTTCCTTCATATTTTGATCATCTTAAAATATGGCTTTAAGAGATTTTAAAGCTAACTTGAATTCTTAATAGTTACACTTATTTTCATATGTATTACACTACTTCAATATCGCACCTTTTAGTCTTGTTGTAAAATATTATTGATTCTTTTTATTGCTAAAGTCATTTAATGCCTTTTATGTAGTTTTTGATGAATAATTAATTATATTTGATTCTTTATAATAATTGTATTACTGTTGTTACAAATGACTGATCTCTTTGTGGACTTTTCATGGGTTTAACTTATACCTAATTTTTTTAAAAGCTCAAAGATGGGTGGATTACTTAGCTTAAATAGCTAATTCAAATTATGATTTTATATTTGGATAATTATTTGCTTTATAAACCTAAATTCTAGTTTATCTGCTTAATATTCAGGCAATAATCAATAGTGGATATTAATTAAATTGGTTATAATTAATATAAGATAGGAAATTAAGTGTAAATATATTTATTAATATAATTATATTTGAGACCATATTCTATAAATGAATCTAAATAATAATTAATTAATTTATGATTAATCCAATCAAAATTATTCTATCTCAATTAAAATACTAATAAAATTCATAATATTTTTACATTTTACCATCACCTATCAAATTTAAGCTATTATATTAAGAAATTTAAAAAATATTAAAAAAAGTAATACAAAATAAATTATTATTTAACAATTGTTTTTATTTCAAATAGTATTTTCTAAGATGAAAAAAATATTAAGAAAATTTATTTTACAATTGACAAATTCTTCGTCAAAGCCGAGTGGCGCAATGGTAGCGCAGCAGACTTCTAATCTGAAGGTTGTGGGTTCGAGTCCCACCTTGGTTGCCATTTTTTTAATAATTTTAATTATAATCAATCAATTTTAGGAAAATGAATATATTTAAAAAGGTAAATAAATGTGAAGGGGATCTAGCTCAAATGGTAGAGCGCTCGTTTAGCATACGAGAGGCACTGGGATCAATGCCCAGGTTCTCCAATATTTTTATTTTTAATTAATTTTAATAAAATATATTGGTTTGAAGACAAAATATAAATTTATAATTCATTCATACAATATATTTCTTTTAGTTTAATAAATATTTTTCCATATTTTTGGAAGCAAAAATAATTTTGCCATGTAAAAATTTAATTATATTTAAAGAATTCAGAATGAATTTAATTAGTATAAATATTATTTTTAAATTATTCTATCCTAATTTATTAAAAATTAAATATTAATAAGTTTATCTCTTTCTCGCAAAGTAAATATTAAAAAGATGGTTTTGTTATCAAACAAATATTAAAAATTAATAAAAGTAAAACTATTCTTTTGTTTGCTAAATATTTTTTTGAAGTTTAAAAATTGGAGTTTTTAGCATCTTTTATTTTAAATGTGAAAATGCTTCATTTGTAACGATTATCAACTTTTATTGACTAGAATAAATTTTATGCTTTTAAAAACTCTGCTTGCTCCAAAATTTACTTTTATTTAATCCTAGCTAATAAATTATTTTATAAAAGTTTTTACTATAAATAAAACATATTTTTAAAGTTAAATTAGCTATGAAAATATTGAAAAATAAAGTATTTTAGATTTAGAAATAAATGGCCTTGTTAGTAGAAAAATCTTAATCTAATGTTTCTATATATATTTAAAAAATGAATGACGAATTAGGCGATATATTTATTTAATTTTCAAAAAACAAATAAAAAAAAGGTTTCTTTATAAAATTTAAGTGTAAAAAAATAAATTAAACTTTTAATTCACGATCATAAACCTCTTAATCAATATAGAAATGTAAAAATGTAAAAATCTTTAAAAAATTTATAAAATTTAAATATCAAAAAAAATTTACCAAATTTAATCTTTAAATTTTAATCGCTAATAGTTAGAAGAATAAGTATTCTTTGTAACTTTTCTTTATTTAATATTACCAAAAAAATTCTGCTACTGATATAAAAGCATTTCAAATAAATTCTTATTTTTTCATAAAGCTTTTCAATTGAATTTGGATGTTTTCATAACAAAATCTAAATCTTTATTTAATTAACAAAATTGATTTTTTTGGAAATAGTTTAATTTTATCAAAAAAGCTAATATTATTTATGCACTAATACAACATTTTTTGTGTAATAATTAGCATGAATGAATTTTTTTTAATTCCAAATTATTTATTTATTTATCTTTTTTACTAAGTTACTTAAATTGATTAGATAAATATCCTTTAATTTTGCAAACAATTTTTGGTTACAAATAAAAATAATAAGCAAACAAACAAATGACCATCAAGTTATAAATAAGCAAATTAATGAAAAAATAAATTAATTAATTCATTATTTTCGGAAATTTAATTTGCAAAAATCAAATTAATTAAATTATTTCTTTTAGAATTTTACTAATAAAAAAATTGGAGAACCTGGGCATTGATCCCAGTGCCTCTCGTATGCTAAACGAGCGCTCTACCATTTGAGCTAGATCCCCTTCACGGAATTTCTTTATTTTGAAAGAGTTATGTTTTATCAAGATACAAATTGTTAATATGCAAAATAGTTCTTATCTCTTACAATAAATTTTAGTAAGATTGAAATAAAGTAGATTTAATTGATTTCAGAAAAAAAATTTTATTCTATCTATTATTATTTGAAAATATATTTTAGGAAGAAAGTTTATAAAATTAGAAATGGATTAAAGTTAAGCTAAAGATAATAGAATATTAATTTATAGGAAAAATAAAAATAAAATTTTAAAAGTAATTAACCTACTTTCACATAAGATGGCTAAGTTAATTTACTAAAGTAACTTGATAATTTAATCGAAATTTAGTTATCTTTTATAAAACTCAAGCAAATATAATTTAATTCAGTTGCTAAATCGCTTAAATAGATATTATTAAGCAAAAAAAATATATTATTTTGTGTTATGTTGTTTTTTAGTACTTTATTGATTTCAACTAAAATCATATATTTGTATTATAAAATATCAAATATTCTTTTAAAAATCTATCTTTGTAAATTATTATGAGTCTACTTTATAAAAAAAATTAGATAAATAGTTGACTTATTATTCAATAAATTGATAAACTTTAACAATTATTTGTCTGACATTTTTCACTTAACCACACTTTTAAATATAAAAAAAACTACAATCTTTAGAATGTAAAATTACTTATTAACTAAATAAAGAAGAAAAAGTGACAAATAATAATTTTATTTGTTATATTTTTAAATTATTAATGAAAAATATCAAAGAAATAATCAAAAAATTTTTACAAAAATCTATCTTTCTATATATTTTTCTAATAGAAAATATAGATATTCCTTTTATCGATTAAAATTCAAGTTAAATTTTTTATCTGTAAATGACATTTATTGTTTTTAATAATCTTAGAATTTAGATTTTACGGTAAATTATAACTTCAGTTTTAAACAGGGTTTAACAGAATATTTTTTTGAAGTAAGCTTTTTATATTTTAAAAAGCTGAATTTTATTTTAGGTCGCTAGAAATTTCATAAAATATTTAAATTTATCTATTAATAAATGGTCTCTTGTTATAGATAAGTTCCTGGTATTAAATCAAGGAGTACAAAAAAAAGTTCTTTAAAGAATTTAGAACAATGACTATATTTATTAATTTAAGAAATCTGATAATCACGAACAGTAAGGGAATGAAACAATTCTTAATTTTGCTTTAGATATTTGAATTTTATATTTATGAATTGGTTGCTTTACATATTTTTTTTGCAAGCTTAGAATTTTATTAATTAAAAATGTATCAGAATTAAAAAGGATTGGAAAGTAGGCTGATTAATAAATAAAAGTGAATTCATTTAATTTATATTTGGTATGGGATTAATTTGATTGCTTTATTCAAAAAAAATGTAATTAAAGATTGTGAAATTAATTAAATAATTTACAAAAGACAATTACTTAAGAAATTCACTTTACTTTAATGCAATTAAAATTTAATTAATTTATTTGTATATTAAATTTGTTGCTTTCACTTATAAATTAATTAACTTTATTATCATTAAAAATTGCTTCTTTTATTATTCCTATCTATTCTTTACTGACGAAATAAGCTTCTTGGAATCATAAAATCCTTTAACCTTAATTAAAAAAGCTTACAATTAAAAAATGTAAAAAACCAAAATAGAATGAAAGGTCAGTATAATCTTCTTGAAACTGAGCTTAATTCAAATAGGGAATTTCTAAAATGATATAATTGTTTTTAAATCAAAATAAATACAAAAATAAACAATCAAAGTATCACATAATTTATAATAAAATCATATTAAAGATGAAGACAGAAAATATCAATACAGCAAATATACTCACTGGAAACTTAGCTTCAGAAAACATATTCACAGAAATTCAAAGCTAAGAAAAAAATATTCCAGTCGATTTGACTTTTAAGAACCTTAATTATGGTGTAGATATTAAAGGAAATCACAGACCTATATTGAAAAATGTCAGCGGTATTTTCAAATAAGGTACTGTCACTGCTATCCTCGGTGCTAGTGGTGGTGGTAAAACATCTTTGCTCAATGTCCTTTCTCAAAAAATAAGACCAAAATCTGGTGTTAAGGTTGAAGGTGATATCAAGGCAAATGGCAAAACTTTTAATAATGAAACATTCAACTAATTCTCTGCATATGTTATGTAAAATGATATTCTTCTTGAAACATTGACTGCAAAAGAATGTATTAAATTTGCTGCTGATTTCAAACTCGAAGGCACTGAAGAATACAAGTAATAGAAGGTTGATTAAATGATTAAGCTATTGAAGCTTGGTAAATGTTAGGTAAATATTTTTAATTTAATTTTGTTCTAGCACTATTAATTATTTTAAGCAAAATTAATTAATATTGATTTTTATAAATTTAGAATTCCTTGATTGGTGGTCAATTCTTAAAAGGTATATCAGGTGGTGAAAGAAAGAGAGTCAACATAGGTTGCGAACTCATCACTGAGCCATCAGTTCTTTTCTTAGATGAACCCACTTCAGGTTTAGACTCTTTCACTGCTTATATTGTCATTAGCGCTTTAAGAGACTATGCAAAATAATACAACAAGACAGTCATTATGAGTATCCATTCACCTAGTACTGATATATGGAATTTGTTTGATAATATCATTCTTTTGGTTTAAGGTAGAATGATTTATCAAGGTACTTAAACTGATATTCTTCCTTATTTCAAGAGTATTGGCTTCGAATGTCCTACTAATATGTGTCCTGGTGATTACTTAATGAATTACATGACATGGAATGAAGAAAATGAAAAGATTTTCCCTCACTTCTATGAATAATACGACTAAAGAATCGAACCTAGAATCCAATAAGAAATTAATTCAATTAAAGAAACAGTTATCCCATTAAAAGATGTTGTTACTACATACTGGTTCCAAATCAAGAAAATTGCTGAAAGAACCATCATCTCTACCAAGAGAAACCCCCTCCTTTTCAAATCTCGTGTCTATCAAACTATAGTCATGAGTTTATTCATTGGTTTGGTCTTCTTAAATCAAGATCAAATTACAAAGAATAGTACAAATGTTGAAATACAAAATAGAATAGGTGTGCTTTTCTTAACTGGTATGGCTATGTTCATGAAATCCCTTAATGGTGTACTACTTTCCTTCCCAGCTGAAAGAGAAGTATTCTTAAAAGAAGAAAATTCTAAATATTACTCTACTTTCTCTTATCTTGTTGGTAGACTCACTCTCGAATATGCTTAAATTACTATTTATCCTTTTATCAATGCTATTTTTGTCTATTTCATGGTTGGTTTGAACACAACTAATGCTGGATTGTTTTTCTACTTTGTATTCGTCAATGTTTTACTTAGTTATGTTGGTAATGCACTCGGTTTAATTTGTGGTACAGTTTTTACCAATCCCAGAACAGCTTCTGCTCTTCAACCCATTTTCAAATTACCTTTCGTTCTTTTCGCTGGTTTCTATAAAAATAGAAGTGATTATGCTACTTGGATTGGTTGGATTTAATACCTTTCTCCCTTCACATATGCTCTTGAAGGTTTGGTAACTAATGAATTGGAATTCACTGAAACTCCTTATGACATATTGTCTGCTAATGACTTTAGCATTGGTAAATGGAACTGTGTATACATTATTATGGGTCTCTTTGTTTTTTACCAATGCTTAGCTGCTTTCTGTCTTTACTAAAAAAGAGGTACTCTTTAATGAAACAACTTTATAATAAATAATAAACCACTTTTATTCATTTCTAAAAGCAACTCATAAAATTAACTTCATCACATCATCTATTATAAAACAAACTACTCCATATATATTAATTTTCTTAATTTAATCTTAAACTCTATACATATGTATCCCTTATAAATAAATAATACTTATCAGTCTATATAGTATGACCTTTCATAAATAACTTCTATCTTACCATAAAAAAATTATTTTACATGTTATATAAGCAATTTTTAATAAATAATTATTTATTTTACTTAATTACTGGTATTATTATTTTTTCTGATTTAAGTAATATCAAATCAAAATGGCTAAAAATAAAGATGTCAGTAAAACTTTGAAATTAAAAGAAATATTGAAAATTTCATCATATCAAAATTATGATTTAAAAAAGATAGTATATTGTTTTTAAAGCTTTGAAATAAAATTCCATTAATAAAAAATGACATAAATTAAAAAATAGTAAATAGTTTAAGCCAATAATCATATGAAGGGGATCTAGCTCAAATGGTAGAGCGCTCGTTTAGCATACGAGAGGCACTGGGATCAATGCCCAGGTTCTCCAATTTTTTATTTTTTTTTCAATCTAAATACTTAAATTAAAAATAAAAACATCTAGTTAAAAAAATAAAAGGATTTTCAATTAAGGCAATAAAGATATTGTTAAATATTTTAAAATGTTATATATACTTTTAAGTACAAAATATTTTTTAAGTTCCCAACTATATTATCAAGATGTAATTAAAAGCTATTGGATAAGCCGAGTGGCGCAATGGTAGCGCAGCAGACTTCTAATCTGAAGGTTGTGGGTTCGAGTCCCACCTTGGTTGCCATTTTTTATTTTTTTATAAAAATTATATTATAATTTAATTTAATTAATACTAAATAATCAATATATTAAGTATTTCCCATATAAAGAACATATTATTTTTATTGTTAAATAGTTGAAGAAAGAAATTTGATATCAAAAATCTTTAAATTAACAAGCAATTCAATTAATTGATTTTTGATATTTCTTAATTGCTCTATTTAGTGAGAAAAAATATTTATTATTATCAATTTACAATTTATTTTGAATAGTATTTTCCTGCTTTTAAAATAGACTACTTTAATATTTGTCTTTTTAATAGTTTTGTGAAGGGGATCTAGCTCAAATGGTAGAGCGCTCGTTTAGCATACGAGAGGCACTGGGATCAATGCCCAGGTTCTCCAATATTTTTATTTTTTATTTTTCAATTAAAAATTTATTTTTAAATAATATTCAAATTTAAACAATCATTTTATTAGCTTTTAACCTTATCACTTACGTTAAATTAAATTAAATTGCTTTTTACGGTATGAATTATAATTTTAATTAGACAAATTGTTTCTAATTAAAATTTAGATTGGTATTTTAGATATATAGATAATAAATATAAAACAAATTTAATAAAAAGTATTTATAAAAAATAAATTTACAAATCTTGCCAAATAAAATATATCCATCCTTTATTTTAATAGTATTATTTTTTATTGTAGATAACTAACAAATTTTATATTTTATTTAAAAATAAAAATAATTAATTAAATTTAAAAAAAAAAAAATAATTAGTAAATTAATTAATTTCTTAAAACAATAAATCTATTAGTTTAATAGTAAAACAAAGCATTAATACAATTTATATAATTTAAAAAATTTTTAACTATTTTAATATATATAAAAATATCTATATAATTTTTAAATTTAAATCAATTTTAAATCTAAGGAGAATTTATAATATAATCCTTCTTATATTCATCGCCTATAATTTTGAAATATTCCTCTATGAATTATTTATTTGTTAGATTCTTTTCATCCTTGATAAGGACTCTTTCAAAATAATACTCAAAAAGCATTAAATTGTGAAACATGTGCTTTTTTGCACATTCTCCTCTTGTTGTTATTCCGTACAGATCAAATTCTCCTGCCATTACTAGTGCCAGATCAGATTGATTAGCATGGGCCAATCCTTTAATATAGCAATTAATAGATTAATCAGAGTAGCGTTTCATGTTTTTAAAGATTAATTCTAAACTTTCATCATTTTAGAACCATGGATAAAGTCTCTTGTAAAAATCTTCAGAGTTGATACACAATAATGGACGAGGGAATTCACATAGATCTATTTCTTCTTTTTAGTAAACGTACACACAAGGATCTAAGCCAATACAGACTCCAGTTATACGCTAATCATTCATTGCAGTATAAAGAGCTGTTGAACCTCCAAAAGAGTGTCCTAAAATAGATATTTTTTCGTAGTCTATTGGAATTTCATCTTCATCATTTGAACAGTTGAATATTCTTTTCATGAATTCTTTATCATAAATTATATCAAGCATTTTCTAACTTGTTTCTAGTCTATCTTTCAACTGGCAATTACGAAACTCCCAATTTTATTGGCGATCAACATAAGGATTCTTAATTTCCTCAATATGCTCCATAGAAAAGACGATATATCCTTTGCTTGCAAGTTCTTTGGCAAATAAAGTATAAGCATTACAGTGAGCAGCTAACCCATGTGATATGATTACTACAGGGAATTTCTTCATCTTAAATGCCTTTTCACTGCCTTTTTTCTCATCATCATCACTGCTATTATTTTCATTCTATTGATCTTTAAATATATAAAAATTTAATAAATATATTTTCAAAGCTAATATTCAAAAATGAATTTTGCTCGTTAATATTAATCCTTGTTTTGCATATTAAAATAAACTTATTTATATGGTAAAGATTAGGGAAAAAAAAATAGATTGAAATATCTTCAAATAAAATAAATTTATTTTATTTAAATTGGCATAATTTAAATAGGCTTTATTTATATTATGAGTTTTTTAAAAATTAAAAAGAAATAATTAATGAACTTGTTAATAATTACTTTAAGAGTTTTAATTCATTCCTTTTTCTTATTTTTAATTAGTAGAAATTTTAATGTTTTCTTCTTTTTCTTTCTCAAATGAAGACTTATAATACAAATCTTCAATAGGGATAAGTTAAGCATTTTCGAGGACTCCCATTTTAATCTTATATAAGAATTAGCTTTGAATGCGGAAGAAGAATTTAGGTACTTTTCCAGGTCTTTCTTTGTCTTTCATGTTGGTATCATGCATGCGACTCCAATAGTTTTCGGTTATCATCCAGTTTCTATCTCTCTTTGAAGCATCGTAAACGCATGGATAATAAACTGAATACTAAAGGTCTTATTATGGATTTTTCAAGAGGTTTTTTTCGATTCTATGAATATATCCTACATGATAAGAACCTCTTGGCTTAGGAAACTAGAAAACCTTCATTTTTTTGATAGAAAGCATGTATAATCCTGCAGAGCTTAGTAGAGCCCAGTATGGAATTTTGACTAACCCAGTCTAACGTAACAAAAGCAGAGCCTCATTTAAAAGAAGTAGAAGCGAGTTAGCTCTCAAACCTTCTCTAAATTGCTTATGTAAGAAAAATGTAATGAATCCACCAAATAAAGACCATTTTTGGTTTCTATGGATATCATCTTTCATCAAGAATAATGCTATTGTTTGAGCAAATTGATAAACACTTAGAGCATATTCTCCAAAAAATACCTTTTCTTGAAATTGAAGCATGTCTAAGTAGATACAAAAATATGGTAGCTTTTTTACTTTTACTGATTAACTTTGGAAAACTAACCTGTTTGAATGCTATCTATCTAATAAAATAATTCTTTATTATCAATCAATAAATGAAAAAGTTTGTGAAAAGCAATAAATAAATAATACTTTAGTTAAAGTTTTTACAAAATATTATTTATTTAATGATATGTGTGTGATTTCTTCTATATAAAGTAAACGACGACTCTATCTATTTTAATGAATTTTAAATTTACATTTATTTCAAACATTTATAATTGCCTGAATAAAATAAGCAAGCAAAATAATTATTAACATAATTACATTTAATGTTTACAAATAATATTCTTAAAATAGTTCATATTTTTCTATTCATTTTAAAAAAAGTCTATTTATTTATTTAATTTTATTGTAATATACCTAATTCATTATAGATTAAAAATAGTAAGTAAAGCACTATACTAAATAAATACTGCTAAAAGCTTTATTGATTTATTTTCCAAATATATTTATTTGTTTCAGGATATTTGAGAATAGGCCGATATAACAATGGAGTTTTACTCACAGATTTTTACGTTTTCATAAAATTATATTTTTTAAAATTGATGGTCTATTTATTAAAATAATCAAATTTAGACAAATATGAATTTACAATTTTTTTATAATAACTTTTTGTACAAATTTAATTTTTGAAAAAATCTAATTTCGTTGAAACAAGCCCTAAAAATTAGTAGATAATTGAAGATCTCTCTACTTCATTAATCCAAATTTAAAACTATAGACTTATTTTAAATAGATGGTTTAAGTATTAAAAATTTATAGAACCATTTTTTGATCCATTTCAATAAAATAAGTAATTATGTCATATTTGATGTAATACACTTATAATTATTAAATTATGTAAATTTACAAAATTTTTAAAGTAAGCCAACTAATAATTTAATTTTGATATTTTTATAAAATGTAAGTATAAAATAGAATAGTTAAAATTTGAAAGTTGACCATTATAAAATTAGTGAATAAAATCACTTAGTAATTAGTTTCTTTAAATGTCTTTTAAAAAGAAAATGTTTTTAACATTTCATTGATTTCTAGAAATACTTCATTTTATCATTTAGTTTTGCATTAATTATATCAATTTTATATTATTTAAATATCATTTATATATTGAATTATTATTAATAAAAAACTTCTTTAAGCTTAAAAAAGCTTATTAATTTTAAATTAGCAAATAATATTTGTGATTGGTAAATAAATTTACATGAATCTATTACAATCAATTGATTTATAATATTTAAGATCTAAAATATAATTCTATTTAAATTATGATCGTTTTTTTGTTTGAAATTTAAATCAATCATTTGTTTGAATAAGTAGTTAAAAAGAAAGAAATTTAGGCTATTATTTATTAATAAACTTAATTTTTTCTCTAACAAAAATTGAAATTTTTTTATTTTAATCCTACTATAATACCTAATGTTTTTAATTGATTTTAAAATATTATTTATTTTTATTTTTTGAGATGATTTTTGAAAACATTTTATTTATTTATTTATTTATTTATTTATTTATTTATTTATTTATTTATTTATTTATTAAAATTGATTTGTTTGATATTTTTAAAGAAGACATTTGTAAAAATTCTTTAATACAAATAAATATTAAATAGTTTGTTACAATTTATTTTAGTAGGGTTAATTATATTTGTTACTTATATAATTTATTTTTTTTGCAATTTATTTGCAGTAAAATTTATTATCACTTTTAATATATTTTTAAATAAATAAATAAATTGATAGAGATTTTATGATTTCTAAGTAATTTAAGAGAGCAATTTGAGAGAGGAAGAGAGGGTGTTTTTTGTTAGAATTTTTTCAAATTTCAAAGTCAATAATGAATTCTTCAGAGAGAGAAGCATTATTGATTAATTTTAAATTTCTTGATCCTTCGAAACTACCTATATATTTTTTATTTTTAGCTAAATTTAAATTAAATGAATATAATTTTTACTTGGCCAGTAGTGTCCGCTGGAGATGTCTAATGGGAGCAATCCACATATTTTATATATAGTAGCTATTAACTCAGAACAAAAAAATGTTCTGTTAGGGTCTTATTACAAATCACTTTTAGAATTTGATCTCTTTTTAAATAGCTTTGAAAGGGTAACTCTATACTCCTTTCCTATCGCGTACTAATTAATGTTTATAAATAAAATATGATGCAAATAATTTTATTGGAAATTTAATACTCTAATAAATGATTCCATTTTTGTTAACATCTCATCTGTTCTTTCAATTATGAGTTTTCTAAGAGATATTTTATGGTATAATTCCTACCAATTTTCATGTAAAAATGTTTTCCAAGACAAGATTCCGACTCCTTCATCTCCAGTAGCTTCTAAAATGAGTAAATTATTTGAGTCGTTATTTGTCCTTAAAATTAATCCTACATGATTATATTCACAATTTATTAAATTTCGTACTACCTTTTCACCAAAGGTCATTCCTCTAATCATTATTATTTTTAAATAAATATTTCAAAACAAATTAACTTTACTATTTAACAAAATTAAAGATTTTATCTTAATAATTACTTAAACAAAATTAGGTCGCCAGTGTCTGCTAAACTTTCGAATTCATTCAGGCATATTCTGTCTTTCTATTAAAATTTAAATTAAAACAATATTTTATTTATTAAATTAAATTGAATTTATTTATTTATTTTTTACTTTCCAAAATTCTCTTTGTTAGGTAATATGACGAGGCCTTAATTTATATTTAGTACAATAGTTTATTTAATTTTATATTGCTTCAGCCCATTTTTCAAGGCTTATTTGGCTCTTTTTAGATGTTTGGAATCTAAAGGTTTTATTTGAATCTTCTACTTTAATTCTTAACTCAATTATTTGGCCTTTTTTATTTTCTACCTAATTTAATTTTTTTTTAATAAATTAATTTTGTTTGTAATTTATTTTTAATTTAAATAATTAAATATACCTTTTAAACTGTACAAGTTAGGATAGAAAAATCAATACAGCCTTAGTAATGAGCTGATGAATCTGTTTTAAAATATTAAAGTTTTTTGTTTTTTAAAACCAGCCATCTTTTCTTTTTATATTAAATAAATATTAAATTAATGTTTAACTGGTAATTAGATAATACTTGCCAACCAACAAGAATGTTAGAACTTCTTTTTTATATCCAATCTTACAAAAAGACATTCTATTTGGTTTACATAAATGTCTATAAAGAAATAGCACCTCCTACTGTTTACTGCTCATAAGTTGTTGTACTTAATCTCATCAAATCAGTCTGATTAGAATGATGGATGTTATTAAAGTTTGCTTGACTAACTCTGGATCTTAAGACTATTGAATAAATATAAGGATTATAATAAAAATATAATTTAATTGTAAAAATATACAGCTATTAGATGGTGGATATTCTTTTTGTTCTTCTTATTCATATTATTTAGGAAACTTTTCAGATATTCTGATACAAGATGGAATTTCTGTGGTAAAGTGATTAATTTCTGTAAAAGCTAAGTTATTCTCTGTAAATTCGCGGCTTCTTCCTATACTGTAATTAGAAGATTGCTACCTATTTTTAGAATTATTATTTGGAGTGTCAGCATTAAAGAAAGATTTGTGAAATTTTATATCATGCTTTTAATTAAAATCTTTTTAGTTAGAGAGATAATAGTCTTCATCGTAGTACTCAGTTTCATCGTTTATGTAATTTTTAGATTAATTTAATTTCTCAATTAATTTATTATTTTAACTTATTTGACTTTGATTGCTTTGCTAATTCTCTTAAGGATTTTAGGAGAATTATTTGCTATTAATTATACTAGGTAAAGATTAAGTAGTGGCAAGCATAATATCATTGCTTTTTTTAGTTTCTTCCTCATCGTTATTTTCAGAAATCTTTTCTGATATTACTTTATTAGTAAAATTTTAGGGTGGTAAGGAAACTTAGACCTAGTTATTTAGTGAAGAAGATCTTCTTCTATTTTTCTGATCAAAAGTTTGATCAGCAATTGGGACTAGTTATGGAATTGGGAATATAACATGTTATGATTTTTATTATTAATCATACTCTTAGCAGCATTTTTCAATCAAATTCATGATAATTTATTGTTATTCAGCATCTTTCGTATTATTGTTATGTTGATTTCTTGATTGATTTAAAATAGAATTATTTATTGAAATTAGCATAGATTTTCCTTTAGTAGGAAGAATTAAATCTTCTTCACTTGTATAATTATCTTAATCATCTTTCTTATAGCAGTAACCACTATTAAAAGACTTATTTTGAAGTATATTGGATTGAATCAAATCATTACGAAGCTTTGCTCTATTTTCTCTTGATATTCTTGTAGCGTTGAGTAAAGATGTCTTGAAGTCTTAATTATCATCATCATCGTCATCATTATCATATTCATCTAGTTTATATTTTCCAAATGTGCAGCAATTGTTACTCTAACTTCTGTTAGTTTTTAAATTATATTTTGGATTTGAATTTTTGTTGTTGTTGTTTTCTTGAGGATAAATAAAATTTGCTTTATCTTCTTCTGAATATAAATAATTATCTAATCTAGATCTGCTCATTTCGCAGTAATTATCAAGTAAACCAAAGTTCTACTGGCTATTTATTTCTTTAAATTAAGCACTAAGCAGTGAGGACTTTTGTTCTATTTAAGAGTTTTAATTTGTAAAAGATTTTTAGGATTCTAAGAAGGTAGAGCAGCACTTTGTCTCTTTGAGAGAAGGATTAACACCTTTGTTATTTTCGTAAATTGATTATGCTTATGTATTACTTTTTTGTACTTTTGCTTATGGCTAAAGAGAATCAATATGAGCTTAATGCAAGTGTTATGATTTTATGAAGCTCACTTCAGATTATTTCATATAATTTATAATAGATTTGAGAGTTTCTTCAATATATAAAATATTTTTGAATGAAAAAAAATTATAATCTAAAAGAGATTAAATGAAGAAACTAATTTGATTTTTATTTATTCTTTTTGGATTTTTTGTATGGAAATCTTAATTTTTAGTTTTACTCAAGTGTAAACTATATAAATTCTTTTATGATTAGCATCAAACATGGCAAGCATACATACTTTGCATATTATTAATTCGTCCGATAAACTGTTTATAGCACTAATAAATAAGTATTTTCAAACTATTCTAATATTAAATTAAGCTATCCGAAAGCTTGCTTACTATCAACAAAAGTACTAAATTATATATTTATTTATTTTTGTTTTTTTAGCTTTTTAAATTATAAAAAAGTATTTCCATAATTCAAATTTTAATTTTATATCATTTTTTACATATTTTCTATGATATTAAAAAGTATTTAGTTAGTTACTTATAATTGAATTTATGAAATAATTTTCTGAGATTCTAGCAATAAAACCCAATTAAATTTTTTTGAGGACTTCTATGAAAAAATTTTTTTTTTCTGGTCAGGATGCTTAAAACTTTGATCAGTTACCAATTAATAAAGATAAAAAATTGTATATTTCATTAATTTTTAACGAAACATTTAGAAATTATTTCCTATAAAACTCTGTTTATAGTATATACATAAATAATTTATTATAAGCCGTCCTTTATTATAATTAAAAATATATACATATTAAATGATTTTTAAACATTATATGAACTAATTATTGTGAAAATATATAAAAATAGTTTTATAAAAATTAAAAATAATGAATCATTTTTTTATTCATTAATGGTTAAATTAAATTTTATAAAATAATTGTTTTTTTTTAATTTATAAAATAAAAATATTTATTATTTTTTATATTTTAATTAAAACTATTTTTGATTTAGCAATACTAACTAAAAGAAAGCTTTTGTATGAATACTTTTACATAAATTGTATTGTTTATTTGTTATGATAGTAATTAAATTTTTATATCATTATAATTTTTAAAATGCTAATTATGAATTTTTGATCTTCTTAAAAAGGTTAATTATATAGATCATTCTATGTGTTTAAGCTATAAGGACTACTAAGAAATATTGAAAATCTGAGCAAAGTGAGAAATTTACTGAGCAAGAAGATAATATTTTCAATCACCTTTTTTTTTATTATGAAATAATTGTGAAAATTCATGTCCTATAAAAGTTATAAGTTTATATTAAAGTTAAAGATAAATTACTTAAAGCTTTGTAGAATATTCCACCACTTATTATTAGAGTTACCCCTAATTTTTGAATTGGAGATAATGAAATGTTGCGAATTGTTGGAGGAATTTTCTTTTTTATAGAATCAATAAAGTCATAAGATTTTTCTGACAATTCTTTTTGCTAGTCAAATAGCTTTCCGATTTATGGAGATTACCTAAAGGACTTCTTTGTTTTATTCTTTAAGTCTTACTTTTAAGGATCCATAAAATGAGCTTAAAATAACAATAAGTAGAAACTAAAGGAAACTTTTTAGATTTTTTAGATAATTAAAATATACAATTTTAATTGATTTTAATAATTGAATTTATAAATACTTTGATTAATTAAATGCAAATATTGCAAGATTAAAAAAACTTTTTTAGCTTTAAATCTACTTGATAAAATTCATAAAATATTTTTTTTTTAAGATATCCATTTTGATATAAAAAAGTCAGATTTTACCTTAAAGTTTTTCCGCAAACAAACGTTTTAGGACAGGGATAACTTTAATCATCATAGTGAATTATAGTGCTTTGTTAATTTAACATATATATAATAAATAGTTGATTGTTTAAAATTAATGGTACTCTTCACTTTATCTATTGACAAAATAATCTTCGAATTATTATTATGGGGCTTCTAAATTTATAATCAAATAGATATTGAATGAAAATAATTGCCTTTAATATTTCATTATCTTTTACAAAATGAAATAAATACAAATTTTCATACCAAATACATAAATAAATTAATTAATGTGAGAAAAATATATAAAAAAGGCAATCAATATCTATCTATTAATTTATTTATACAAGTAGAAAGTTTAGAGAAAAGTCTTTTAATATAAAGCACATAAATTTATTAAATCTAAGAAAAAAAGAGTATCTTTTTAATTTTATTAAAAAAAAAGTGTAATACTTTCTATTTAAAAGCTTTAAAAGTAAAAAACATAATAGTCAACCACAAATTTAAAATAAAAATAGCAGTTTTCAAGGAAATAAAAAATGTAAAGAGCTAAGATTTAAAATATTTTAGAATAGATCAACGTTCATGATTATTAGAATGCTCTTAAAAGCATTTAGCAATTATTTGGAAAGGAGAAAAATAAAAGCAAGATATCTGATGATGAATAATAATGGCTTAGATTGTTGCAAGGCGTCTGTTATGCTAAGCTTTCTTATTATGGAGAAGCAAAGTAGCTTTTTAATGAATTCTCATCAAAATAATGCTTATTAAACTTATAAGAAAACGAAATTTAGCTTGTTTTAGAGAACATTTCTCAGCCTCTCGATATGATAGGTAATAAATAAATGAATAAATTAATTGAATTATTTTGTTCTCAAAAAAAGAAGGAAATCAATTTAGATATAAAATAAATTTCTTTTTAGCTTGCTAAATGATTTACTAAATATCTTAAACTAAATGGTTTTATATGACTTGTTTTAAATTAAATAGCATCAAATGTAAAATTCTAATATTTACTTCTTTTTTTTCTAAAAAAAAGGCAAAGTAAGAGAGCTTTGTGAAGAAAATATGACTAAGTAAAAGCTTGATAAGGATCCTAAAACACTTTAGGATATTTTTAGAATGTGTATTAAGGAATCAAATTTTGTAGGTGCTTAGAAAATTGCAAAGAAACTATTTACTGCCACTAAGGAAACCAAATATATATTCGCAGATATAGTATTCCAGTTCTACTAGCTTTGTCAATTAGATGAAACAAACGATGCAGCTAAAATAGCACAAGATATGAAATTAATTAATCTCTTCATCAATAAAATTTACAGTGATATCTCACTCAATCCTGAAGGAGGAATTTCTAAAGCAAAAGACCTTAATCTTGCTAAGCAATTAGTTCGTTTTCACTATCGTTTATACGAAAAGCAAAAAAATTATAAGGATATGCTTTCTATTTTGCTCACTAAATACCCTGACGCTTTTACTGATTATCTTGAGCATTTGGAAAAACTCGAAGAGTTATTTAACCAAGACCACTCTCTTTACTCTCTTGTCTTGAAGAAAAACTTTGAAGCTTTCATTACTAATTCAGATATGGAAAAGTTCTAAATGGTGTATGAAACATATGATAAATTCTGTTCTTTCCTCTTTAAATAAGTTTAAATTACTTCTACTATCGAAGCTATTGATTCTTCTAACCAATTTGCTGGAAAGTTATTTGAAGAAGTAAAAGGTGGAGATGACTTAAAACCTGCTTTTGAACATATTGAGAGATACTATTGCTCTTTGGAGAGTCATAAGCAATTGCTTAAATCCACTTAATCAACTCATCATCATTTCAAAAACGCAATTAAATGCATTATATAGGCTTAATTTGGTGTGCTTAATAGAATTTTAGCTAGCAATTAAAAGCTAAATGGAGATAAATATGAGCTCAACCCATACTTTGAAACTAAGTATAAGGAATTAATTGATGACTATATCAAATACTTTGGTATAATTTTAACTTTCCCTGAAGAAATATTCAATTCCTTAAAAGACACCCCTAAATCATTAAAATCATATGCCATCAGCTAAACTGAAGCTTTGAAAGAAACCTCAGCTATAAATAGATGCATCGTCCATACAAATGTCTATAAACTTAAAATTATTTTCTAGGAATTTAGTCTCTTCAGTTTACCTGCAAATGAATATGTACCTGCTCTTTACAATATTTGGAAGGAGCTTCTCGAAAATTATTCAACCTACTATAAAGAAATTTATCCTGACGTTGAAAATAAGTATGTTGAAAAAGGCGAGAGATTATATACAGATGACTTTGTAATTATTGCTGCAGATTTAGCAATTGTAAATATTTAAAAACAAATTATTCCTTTATTAATTTATTTTACATTTAATTTGTATTTAAATTTTAGGATTTCATTTACAGATAACCAAGCATTGAATCAAAGGAAGTTTTTGGATTATTGATGCAAACAACTTTTATTCTAGAAGCAGCTCTTAAAAAATCTGGTTTTAACTATGATATCCAACTTAGATTGCTCCTTATTAGTATTGTCTTAGGAAATAAGGATAGAGTTTATGATTTAATTAAAGCTCTTGATATTAAATCTGTCCAATATGAAACCCTTGGCTTTTTATATTTATCAACTGCCTTAGATTATGGCTTTGATGTAAGTGCAGAAGAAAATACCTCAAATGCACTCCAATATTACATCGAAAATCTTAGAGAATCAAAAGAAGTAATTTTCTTTAAGAAAAATTGTTTTAATGAAATAATTTTATGAAGATATTTCATGAAATAATAAAATTTTATATTATTAAAATTAAAAGGCTATGATTGCTTCTATCAAGAGTGATAATTTTGAAAAAATTTGGGAATTTAAAGCATACGATGAATGGATCAATAAAAGTTATTTTAAAATGATGGCTTTCTATGCTAAAAGTTAAATTTTATTAAAAGAAGCATCTAAAAAGGATGTAAATACTCTAAATGTTAATGTTGAATACTTCAACCAATTTTGCATGAATAAGCTGAGCAAAGAAAGTGATTAAATAGTTTGGAATTTTGATATGAGAGTTATTCAAAGTATTTGCTGCAACGAATACTCTACTCAAAGCCACAAATTTTATTGGAATTACTTGGGACTTTATAACGACTCATCTTTCTTAAAACTTAACATCTTGTCTACTTAGGTACTTTACAAGATCAAAGAAACATTAAATTCAGAATTAAATGAGGAATAAACAGCTGCTGTCTCTAATGAAATAGATGAGTTGATAACCAACTCAAAAGCAACCTAAAAAAGCTGCACTTTTGACAAGTTAAGCAATCTTTCCAATTTTAAATTTTACAACAAACCTGAATACCTATAAAAATACCATACCGAGAAGGATTACTAGACTACCGAACTCAGTTAAAAGTATGACTTTGAACATCTCTTCTAAACTCAAAGCTTAGAATTAGCAGAAATCTTAAACAGATTTATCTCTCTAAACACTAAGACAACAGGAGATTAACTTGAAAGTCTTAAGAATAAGTTTGAACAAATAAGTATTTTATTAATATAAAGAACAATTTTTTAATTTTAATATGTTTAATGTCTAAAGGCAATAGTATTTAAGAAGGAGTAAAGAAGTTGCACGAGATTTTCTAACACAACCCGGAAAATGAAATCTTCCCTATTACTTTCTTCAAAAACTTTTACAGATTCTCCACTGTCCATTTAAAATTCCTTGAAACTTTATTCAAAAATTAAGAGCAAATTTAATAAAGAATCTAAAAGCCAATGAAGAAAAACTAAGATCTTAAAAAGGCTTGCCAAGAATTTTAGAAAAAAATAAAGTCAGAATGTGAAAAAATAGCTTCTATCTTAATTTCAGGTTTAACAGAAATATCGAAAAAAGTTGAACCTTTGCTTGCTGAAGCTAAAGATAGTGTTTCCTAATTTGTAAGAGATGTAATTAACAAAAAACAAATTGATAACGGTAACATTTCAATATTTGATTTGGCTAGTAGCTTCCCTGCTCTTAAAAAAGAAGATGTTTTATTAAAGCTCTCTGACGAAATAGCTTTGAATTACAAATTCTTATATAGCGTTATAGTAGATTTGATTAAAGAGTCTCAAAAATTATTTAAATAAAAATGAAATATAATTTACTTTATTTGAAAAGTTGTTCATTACATTTTATTTACCTTTCTTTCTTTATTTTTTCAATTTTATAAAATATTTGTATTTTTTCATTTACTTTAAAAGTTTATTAAATTTTCTTTTATTGCAATTTGTTTGTTTAAACTCTTTTATTTCAATTTAGTTTTGGGGTAAATTTGAATTTCAAAATTTTTTTTTTCTAAGAAATCGGGCCTTAATTTCTGGACTTTAATTATTGAATATCTACAGTATTTTTTTACCTTTCTTATTTCTTTCAAAAATATTTAGAAGTTTTGCACTCATTAAATTATTTTATAATTTTCATTCTCACATTATTTAAACTCTATTATTATAGTTTATATTCTAGGAAAATTATCAAAAAATTAATTTTGTTTGTATAAATATTATTAATAAGAGCAAAAATAAACTAATCAAATTTCTAGTATTTATAATAGTATGAATAATTTATTTATTATTCTTTATTTTTTCATTTTAAAATTATTTTAAAATAATGCCATCTTTAATTATTTTTTAATCTTTATTTCTCTCAAATATAAATAATTTAAACTCTATTAATTATTTTAGTTTATATGTTAGGAAAAAAATAAATGTAAAAATAAATTGTTTATTTTTATATTTGTTATTTATAAGAGCAAAAATATTTTAATTTTTGGTATTTATAGTAGCTACCATTAAATTTATAAGAATAGAGAATATTAAGTAAAATATTATGAATTTTTCATTTTAATGAATATTCACAGTTAGTTTCAAAATTTTTTCTATACTTTTAAATAAAAATTATAAAATTAAATAAATTCTAATACAAATTTGGTTAAAAATCTTAGCAAGCAATTAAATTCAAAGTTTAATTTATTTCAATTTATGGTGTTTATCTATCTCATGGATAATATTTTCAAGATTGTAATGAGGGAAGTAATAATAGTAACTTTTAGCCCTGTCCAAATACATTAAATTGTAAAAATCAAATGGATTAATGTAATTAGATTTTTATGTATATTAATTCAACATTTACAAATTCAATACTTATCCAATTTAACTTGTTTCTATATTATTATTAAAATTTATTTATTTATGGTAAGATATAAGTTAAAAAAATAATCATTTAAAATTATTAAATTATAAAATAAATAAATAAATAATTTTTAGTATTATTTTAATTTAAATAGCTTACTTGTTGAACCTTTAGAATACAACCTAGCAATTTTCATCATATTTTCTGAGAGGGATGTTTAGTATGGCAATATTCCTTTTCTCTTATTTTGAATAGCATTATTGTTATGAGTATCTACATTATAAATAGATTCTAAAAGAGAAACAGGGGTTGATTCAGTATCATCATCTTTCATTTTTTCTTGGAGTATTTCGAATTTAGTTTTCTTTAAATTCTTTTCTTCAGATTAATTTTGGGCTGCTTCTATAATGAAAATATTTCCTTACTCAAATGCTGTTTATGTAGGTATGCTTTGTGGATAGGCATTGAGAGGTGCTAATTAAGGATCAAAAAATAGCTCTGTAGTATTACTTTCTGTACTTGAAGATGTTTCGAAATTATCTTTGACAAACGAAGCTATAGATGACTTTCTTCTATCACCAGCAATGTTACCATGCAAGCTGTTCCTTAAACTCTTTTTGCCATTTTGTTAAATATTATTATTGATATTAGAGGGAGATTATTAATCTAAATCACTGCAACTAACTGAAATCTTTGGTGAATGATTTTGTTTTAATTTATTATTGATTAATGAGCTATTCTATTTTTGCATAGAATTTCTATTTATACTAGCATTCATGTTTGTAGTTGAACCAGGCTACTTGGAGCTATTCTGCTTATAAGAGCTTCTTTATCTATTTAGTTGCTAATCTCCTCCTCCTATTTCTTTAGTTTATTATTTTTTCTGTTAAAAGTTTTAAAAAATGCTGCTAATAGTTTATTCATTGTTAATGTTAAGAAACTCTTCTATTTCATCATTTTTAATATCACTATTTACGTGAGTCAAAGGAGTGTTTGCTGAAAGAGAACTTTATACTGAGTTAAGTTAGTTATTTTAACTCCCGCTATTATTTTTCTGACTCATTCTTTTGCTAACAACATGAGAGTTTTAATGATTAGAAGGCATAGAATTTAGATTAGATAAACAACTTTTAACTCCTTCTAATTGTTTAGTGATAGAAGGCTATTACTAATATTAAGATAAATTGTTCATGCTACCACTTCTTTGTCTTTTAATTTTTTTCCTTTCTTCTAACCCACTACCACTAGACTAATTATTTTCATTTGAAAGATTTTTTTGGCTATCAGCACTTTATTTTTTTTTTTATTTTTATTAAAAATTTTAAAGATCCAAATCATTCTCACTAAAATTCTAGGAGTTTTTACTGGTATTTGAAACAGTTTTAGTGTTTGAATTGCTTTACTCATCCATTTCAATGCTAGATTCTGATGATTGTTAATAATCAATTTGATCATCAGAATCTTAAATAGGTAATATTTATTCAGAACTATTAGTTTGTCGAAGAACGTTATGTGAAAAAACTTAAGACTAATTTTTCTAGAACCTTTTCATGTGGATATCTTCCTACAGAAAATTAATCTACTCATCAAATTTTTCTATAAACTCAGCAACATGTTTCTAGATATCAGCATTTAATTTTAAAGAATGTTTCTTTTCATCTCTAAATCTTTTGAATTTTTTCCTATTTAGAATTTTATAGTGAGAAGATAGTGTTTTCAGTATTGCTTTTCTATGGATATAGTAGTGTGTTTTAACGCATTAATCTGATAAATGACTATCTGAACCGCACTAGTAGCAACTCAAATCTAACACACTTAAGTCTCCATTATTTAAAAATTTATCTTTCATTTAACAAAAAATTTGGAGGTCTTTCTCTTCTCCTAAAGAATGTAAAATTGTATTAAAAGAAATATAAATATAAAAGATAAGTAAAATAACAACTTGAAGTCTTAAGCAAATTTAGGAACTAATCTCGATCGATGCTTATTATTGAAGAAATTTCTTTGCTAATTGCACTACATTTTCTCGGAAAAGCAGTTAGAAAAGATATAGACCCAAATACTTCATTTTTAACAATTTCCTTGACAACTGAATACTTACTTCCACTCTTTCTTGTATCATAGTAGAGATCAACTCGGCCTTTATCTATAAGATATATAGAAAAGTTACTAGTTTCCCCATCTTCAAATATTATTTATCCAGGCTGAAAAATTTTTTCTTCCATTATATTCATTAGTCCCAATTTTACTTCTTCACTAAAATTTGAAAAAAATTTAAACATTTTAAGGTGTTCTGTATTAACTTGCACAAGAAGCTCCTTTCTTAATTTATCTGATAGCTTTGAGAGTGCTTCTGATGTACCTTCATTCTTAACAATGTTAAACTCTTCTGTGTGATAACTTTTTAAATAGCTTAAAATTTAAACTTTCAAAGATGTTTTAATTTTCTACTTTCCTAAATAAGAAATTAAGCAATTAAATTCTTAAGCTTGTTTATATTTTTTTTTCTAGGACTCCTTTAAGTCATTTATACCTATTTTTTCAGAAAATAAATTAATTAATTAACTAATAAGAACTCTGTTTTATTTATTAATTAACGTACTTTATTAAATGATAAAGCTAAAAAATGTTATTCCTAAAAAAAAGGTAGCTATTTCAAATATTTTTTCAAAATTATTAGTATTATCACTATTATGGGTTATTCCTATAAAAAGAAAAGCAACTCGACTCATGCTTTCTACATATAAATCTATCTAAGACGAGCTCTTAAAATCAGGTAGGTAAACCCATGTTTAAATTGTATCATCAATATAGTGGGTAATCTTTGATTAAATCTAATAATTTTAAAATACATTTTTAAATGAAATCTCAATATCCGAAAACAATTAAATTAAGTGAATTACATAGTAAAAAGAAGAGACAATATGGGAAAACAAAAAGAAAGATCTGATCAAACCAAGCATGCTTAAAGTGAAATGATTTTATGTATTTATTTAAAAGTGACTATTTACATCTTACATTAATTTGAAATAGGATTTCAATTTTATAAAAGTTCCTAATCTAAAATAAATTCTTAAATAGCTGAAATTATCGTAAGTTGTGAGAATCATAACCACAAAAACTAAAAAAATAAAATCTGAAAGAAAATTATTTTTTAAATAGTTTAAGGAGATTTAACTCCTTTATAAAATAATTTCTCCTTTTGATACAAAAGATTTATTAAAGTTAAGGACACATTCTAGCAGGGAAGATAATGTGATAATTTACAGTAGTAAAGACTACTAATACTAATCGCACTGATTGCAATCTATTTATTAGAATACAACAATAATCCAATTATATACTAAGAAAAAGGAATAAAGTAGATATAAATAGCACTCAAAAAGAAATACAACTGTGGAGTCTATAGAAATTACTGGTATCATTGAATCAGATTTAGGAAATATAGCTTTTTCTAACTGTTTTGCATAATCTGAAACATAAAAGATTGATTGTATAATTGAATTTTTTTTAATTTTGTTTTTTTATTTTAAAACTTTTACATTTTACAAATTCATCATTTAAGTTGCTGTTGGAATTATCTTGTATTCATTACTCGCCCAGTCATTAATTAATCTATACTATTCCAATGTTATTTGCTACTTTGGTTTATTTTTTTTGTATAACTCTCTCATTTTGTGCCAGTTTGTTACAGCCCTTTTTTCTTCTTATTTCTTTTTTGGGTTTCCTAAACAAATAATTTCTTTTTTAAATTAGGATGCTTCATGCTTGTTATTATTATTATTATTAACATGACTATTAAACAACTATTGTGGCTAAGAAGAAATAGTATCATTGTTACTCATAGACTACTGAATATTTTTAACTTAGATTTACACTTGGTTGTCCTTTGGATTATTTTAATTTTCAGAATCAATTTATTATTATTATTTTTAAGAAACCAACTATCCTTGAATTCCATTTTTATTTACTATTTTAAATATAAGTAAGTATTAAAAATACATCTTAAAGTAAAATTAAAATTCTACTTTGCTCGTTATCTTTTTATTATAGATCTCTATTCACATATTAACCTATAACATTATTAAAATTTAGTTCCTATGTACTATTGTTAAAACTTTTGGCTTAATAATAAGTTGTTGGACTTGAGTTCTTTTAATTAGGATATAATTCAGCTTCATCTATAAATATAAATAATTAAATAAATAAAATAAAATAATGTCAATCTTTTTGTATTTATAAATTAAAACTAGTACTTATCTTTGAGCTATTAAAGGAAATTTAAACATCATCAGATTATCCATTTTCTTAATATCTTTAAACCTACTGATTATATTTTTTAAATTTAATTTACTGAAAATCAGATTTTATTACTTTATTGTATGCTCCTACTACAATCGAAGCATCGTTAGGAGAAATACTATCATTCTCAAGAAAATAGCCTTATTCTGGAAAGGCTACTAGCGACATAGAGTTTCTATTATTTATCAATTCCAATTCTTTTTTAATTTTATAATTAGAACTCTATATGTCCTTTTATATTGTATAAAAGCGGATTTCTTGCTCCTATCTTTATAAATCCATTACTTACAAACTTATATGAACTATTTAATTCAATAATAATTTTTTTTTCTTCTACTTTCTTTTTCTTGATTAAATTATAAACTGTTTATATAATTTGATTAAATGAATATTGGTTGGTAAAAGTTTTAATAATTATATTTTTATAACACATACTAAATAATTACAATTCATATTGATTAAGTAATAAATTACAATTAAATTTACATTATAGTTTTTAGAAACTAAACATCCAAAAAAATATTAAAAAAAATAATCTTTTCCTACTGTTTACTAATTTTTTAATTATGTATCTCAAAAATAAAGTAAAGCTACTAATGTAAATTTGTTAGAATAAAAAATATTTAAAAATACATTTTATTGATGAAAAATTTATTTCCCAAAACATAAAAGATAAAAAATAAATTCCTTTTTTTTAGGTTTAAGAATTTAAAAAGATCATAAAACTTTAAAAAGCATGTATTTTTGTATCTTAAATACTCTGCTTATTTTATTTTATTAATTTACATTAGTTTTTTTAATCTCAATAAAATAAATAAATACATTCATTCATTTTTGGTATTTATTTTTTATATTTTGATTTAAAATTTTACTAAAAATAATTTTTAAAAAAAATTTAAAAGATTATCAAATAATTAAAATTATTTTTAATTTAATTTACTCAAATTATCTAAACAAAAAATTTGGTTTTAAATAGTCTATTTATTATCAGTTAAAGGATTTACTTTTAAAACTTAATTTTCTTAAACAAACAATATACAAGAGAGAAAAAAAATTTGTGGTTTATAATGAATAAGCAATTAAATAAAGGTTTAGACTCAAAAAATGATGATAATACAAAGAGAAAAAAATCTCCTTCACCTAATAAGCCTAGAAATAGCTTGATTAATTAGGAGAGTAATGTTCAATAGTTAAATCCATGGGAAATCGATCATTTAATTTACATGAATCGACTTCTACCTCAATATTAAAAGATAGTAAATAGAGGATAAACTATGGAAAAAGGCAATTATAAAATATTTTTTTCGTATAATATTTAAGCTACGATTTCAAATATTTATTATTGCTAGGAGTTTAATAAAGAACATTCTAAAAAAGAAAAAGAATAAAATTATTTCACAAGTAGTTAAATTCATAGCAATTCTCCAAGATTGAACTAGGGTTTGCAAACTGCTCATAATTGGAGATAAGTCTAGGAATATCTAAAATTTATACCAAAAGTAATGAGAATAACTCCAAAATTATTTTAAAATTAGCCTATTGAAGGGTTATTTAGGTCTGAATATTTAAAAAATGTGTTCAATAATGAATGCTGTAGATATTAGCATCTTAGAATGTTTGTTAGATACTTTGATTTCTTTGAAGATGATAAAAATATATACACTGTGACTGAATAATACGAAGGCAACTTAAAATCTTTTCTAATGAAAAATTATACACAAAATGATTTAATACCAGAAGAAGTCATATTAGATATGATATTTTAAATTTATTTACCCATTAACTACCTGTTTGATAACAAACTAAAAATTATTTAATCTCTTAAACTTACAACTATACTTATTGATTCTAAAAAGAAGCTCAAAATACCTATTTTCTCTTATTCTACTTTCAATTTGAATCCTAAAAGCATGCCAATTTAATCAATGAAATACTTAGCTCCCGAAATTATTTCTTCAAACTACAAAATAGAACCTTCCTAATATTAGAGTTCTTGGACATTAGGCGTCCTTTTACTCGATATTCTTCTTAAAGGATATGAAAATGGTCCATTCGATCTCTAGAATTTTGAATAAAATTATACCTCTAAAGTATAAAAAGATATAATAACAAATAAAATTTTAACATTCAACATTGAAAAATACATGGCATAGAATTCCTCTATTTTTTCAAACTATTCTCCTCAATTTATAGAATTTATTAAACTTTTATTATCTCCTTAAGTTACAGGAAGAATTAAACTAAACTAAATAAAAAATCATTAATTTTTTTAAAATAATTTTTCTTACAACAAATTTTATAATACTCGAAAAGTAAATGTATCTCTCTCGAACTAAAAAGATGAAAAAAGAATTCCATTTTCTTTAAAAGAAATAAATTTTGATTGAATATTTAAAAAGAAATAAACAACTTAAAAATATTTAAAATTTTAAGTAAATAATTAAGTTAGTTAGATAGTTAGGTAGTTAGTTGTAAGTTTGTAATCAATAATCAAATTTAGTATTTATTTATAATTTATTAACATAAAAAAGGCTTTATTTCTTATTTTTTTTAATAATCTAAGAGTTAAAAATTATTAATGTTAATTTTGATTCTTTTTAAATCTCTGTTTTGAGGTTTTCTTAAAGTATTTTATTTAATTTGTTAAATATCTATATTATTATATTTATAGTATATTACATACATCAGTACACTCTGAAAAAATTTTAAATGATAAGTAATCTAAATTATTTTAAAGGGGAGTGAAAATTTTGCAAATTTTTTATTTTGAATTGATCTATTTTTTTTTTTAAAGGTATTTCACATATTGAAAAAAATTATTTTTATTTTGATAATTAAGAATAAAATGAATCAATTAATTAATTAAGTAATGCATCAGATAAAAAATGTCATAAATTCATTTTTATTTATATTTCTTTTTTTATTAGAAAACTATTTTCATACAGGCTTACAAACAAAGATATTTTTCATATAAAGAATACAAACATATAAAACAACAAGCAAGTAAAGCTTTTATTTCTAAAATTTATATGTAGAAAGATCAATAAATTTTATTTTCTTCAATAAATTGCGTTTGCTGACTACTATTGCTTCCACATTTGCATAAAAGTTTCTAATGAATAAACTCAATGTAAGATCAAATGTAGAAAGAAGTGAGTATGTTTGTATGTATGTATCCTATATGTATGAAATCTAGTTAATCAATAGTATGAATAAGGAGGTACAAGTGAAAGATATGAGAATATGCAAAGTTTCAACTTCATTATTTAACCTTTAAGGATTTATTTATTTTATATAAATTTTATTTTAATATAATATATAAGAAAAAATAAGTAGTATTGTATTGTATAAAAAATATTCTTCTAATAATTGTAAAATTTATATGTCATTATTAGTGGTAGTAAAGCTAGTTATTTAGTTATTTAGACAGATAGATAGATAGATTATTAGCTATTTATTGCTTTTTGAGTCCTTTAGTTGAATAATATCTACATATTCTTTTGTTTTGTTTGAAAATGGTTATTATTAATTAATTTTTTGTTGTTATTTTTTTATTAATATCTATTTTAGTTTAATTTATAAATTCATTAAAAAACTATTTAAAAAAAATCAGAGTCTTGATAAAGTATTAACAATTCGCACCTCATTCTTTTCTTGGAAATCGAGCATGAAATCTCTAAGCTTTTTAACGCCCTCGAGTTGAGTACCATTATAAATGCTAGCTCTTACACCCTCTTTAATAAGTTAATAAAAATAAAATTAGTAAATTCAAAAATATATCAAGAAAATTAATTAATACTTGTAGCAGGATGTCCCTTCAATTCAATTAAACCAATCTTTGCAGCTTCTTCAATGAATAAATTATCTATTTTTTCATCTATAAATAAAATTAACAATTTGTTTTTCATAAAATTAAAAAAAAATAGTACCATTTGCACAGTAAAAAGTAATATTCAATCTTGAACGTTGGTCTCTCTTGGTACAAAGTGGCTTGAAGAAACCTCTTGAACCATCAATAACATCCTATTATAAATTAATTAGTATTCAATATTAATTTAATAATTTTTATTTTACCCAAATCAATTTAGCCTTTTAATTTGCAAGGTTTTCCCAATAATCAAGTTTGCCTGGAGCTTAGTTGAGATATTCAACGTAGGTGTTTGTAGCGTAAATGCTGTATATACCCATGTTGTAATCAAAATTTTCATCAACCATGTTTCTCCAGTCCATATAAGAAGGAGTCATCTTTTGAGGTTTTCCAATTAAATCATTTCTAACGAAAGCGACAGTGTTTCCTGCAATACCAAGATTCTTTTAAGCAGCAGCATAAATAACAGCATATTTATTTGTTTCTAACTTTTTAGTACCGAGAGAACTGGTCATATCAGCAACAATATTTTACCCTTAAGCTTAATATATTAAATAAAAATATAAGAGGCTATTCAAATTAGCATCATGAAAGAGTTGATATAAATATTATTTTAATTTTTTTTTACCATAAGGAACTTGCTTGAATTCTAAACCTGAAAGAGTTTCATTGTCTGTGAAGTGGAAATAGCTGCCTTTTGTATCTATTTACCAGTCTTTTTCATCAGGAATATAATTCATTTCTGTAGGTATTTTAATTAAAAGAAGAGTTTATTTAATGATTGAATAATTATCAAAAAAACACAATCTATAATCAATAAACTAACAAATTTTTTTGATGTTAATTATTAATTCCTCTTTTAGTATTTATCAAGAAGAGGGAAAAGGTTATTAACTAAATCAAAAAAATAATTGAGTTCCTTTCATTAAAATTACATTTTATTTTAATTAAAGCAATATGCAATATTTACATGGTACTATTTCGTGGACAAGCTTTATGTTTCCAAATTTAAGAGATTCTTTGTGAGTACGAGCACCCCAAAAACCTGTAACAAGATAGTTTGCAGAACCTCCCTCTGGAATCATGTTCAAAGGAATTCCAGAATTTAGTAAATGGGCACCTCCTTCCATAAGCATGACTGAGTAATTGTCAGGTAACTCGAAAAGAGTGCGGAGATTATCTTTGCATTTTTTTACAAGGATTTTGCTTTCATAAGAATTTCCTGGAATTTCAAGAGAGCCATAACCTAAATCTAATAAAAAATTATGTTTAAGTAAGGTAGTTTTTATATGATTGGATTGGCATAATTTTTTTTTTGGATAATAGAATAAAAATCTATGAAAATTTAATTTACCTTCAAAGTTCCAAAGGCTATTATGGCATGATCTTTGAACACCTAATGGGAGAGAGCATGGGCCGGGAGAAAAAGTATAAACGTCTCTAACTTCAGTTGCAATTTCCATTTTTATTGTTTTATTAATTCACTAAAATAAGGGCTTGTATTTTTAATAGCTTGTTTGAATGTTTCCAAAGAGTATATATTTACTTAATTTTTTAGTTGATTTTACAATGGTAATTGGTTAATAAAATATTTGATTAAAGTATCTGATTTTCTTTATTCAAAGTATTCTGTGAAATTAATTATTATTTTGATTGTATTAAATTTTATAAACTGAATTCAAATTCTATTTTAAATTAATTGTTATTCCTAACTAATGGATCTATAATGATGGACGGACTTTAAATGTTACAAAAATTATAACGGAACTTAGTTTTTCTTTTAAAATGTTAGACTGCTTTTTTTTTTTTAGAATGCTTGTTAGCTATTATAAAAATTATTATTTAAATTAATAATATCTTAAATTTAAGTCTCGTGTTTTTAAAGACACTCAAAAAAAAAAATTATTTAAGTTTTTATTCAAGTGATGAAGTAACCCAACTGTTTTCCCTAGTCTTATAAATTGTAATTTGACTATAATTATCTCATCTTCAGATTTATCTAAATGAATCGTTACGTATTGATTGCAAACAAGTAATTAAAGTTACGAAAACAATAAATTCAAACATATAATATAATTAAGGTAGAAAATCAACCAATTAATTATTCGTGTTCCTTTGATTTATCATTTTTCAGTATTTAAGACGTTGTAAATTAAAAAGAATTCTGGTACTGATGGTTTAATTGAGCATTTTGTAAGAATCTATATTGCCAATTTAATTTTTATTTACGTCAGTTTCTGTTTTAAATGAAGAACATGTTTTTCTAGTGAAATAATTGGTCTTTAAACAATTGGATTACGTACTAATATTATAAAAGTTTTTTTATGACAATTGTTCCTCCAATTTGCTTGTAATGACTCAATTCACCAATAATACGACTACTAATTTAAAAATCTTAATTTCAAATTCCTCACCTCCCCGCTCAATATAAAAAATTTCTATTGTTTTAAGTAGTAGAATAATAATTATAATAATAACGGATTTTTATTTACAAAATACATCTCTCTATGGATTAAGAATTTTTCTATTATTATTGCCCCCTTTTTCAAATTAATTCGATTAAAATTAAACGTTTTTTGAGTCGTCATTACTGCTTTTTAAGATTTTTTTTCAATCATTTTCACTCATTAATAATTTTTTGAAATCCGATATAAATAAAATCTTATAATCTATTGTACACTAATTATTATATATCAGACATTTTATTGAGTCATTTGAAAACTAGCAAAATCAAATATAAAAAATAAATATTCTTACTATGATTTGTTCCTAATATCAATCTAAAACCCTTTACTTATGAAAAAATACCTCTAAATAATCAAAGAATTTTTATAATAAAATCTTTTATAAAGCATAACTTGAAAATTAATTAAGGTGAAGTATGAATAATGTGTGATTATTTTATACAATGCTGATTTGAATATATATAAATAGAAAATACTTAAAAGAGACAGTGTTATTTTTAGAATGAATAAACCTATTTCCAGTGTTAGATTTATTTAAATTGCTTAACTTCTTGAGTTATAAAGAGGTTTTGTTTTGTATTTTGAATTAAATCTATTAATTAATACGATTATAAGCTTTTATAAATTTTTTATAATGATGAGAGCAAAATTTGACGTATTACATAACTGACATAGGGCTTACTTATAAATCACTCTAAGAAAATTTCTTCCATTTGCTCTATCAATTTAAAAACAAATTCTTTATCTGCTTTTATCTAAATTTTGACACATAATCTTTAATTCTTCTAGAAATCATAATTCTTAATTTCATTTAAAACTTTCTCTATCGTCATATTTTCTTCTTTGTCATCCTTTCGTAATAATAATATTATCAAACACTAAATTTCAAATCAAATTTCAAAAAAAATACCTACCGCAAAATTTACTTTTCATATTTCATAGCTTTTATTAATTCTAAATTATAAACCATTTTTAGTTGTGAATAAAATTGATATTTTAAAATGTAATCATTTTATGTGCAAAAAAACAAAGGTTGTCGACACTGGGACTTCCCAAGCGGTCCCCCACCTTAGTACTAACCCAGCCTTAAGGCGCTTAACTTCGGAGTTCGAATGGGATCCGGTGTTTTCACCTTAGTATGGCCGACAACAAAATTAATTCTCAATAATATGCTTAAATACTTTCAATTATTTTTAATAATGATAATAATATTTTTAGCAAAAATGTTTTATTTGTTATTTATTCTATCCTAATTAAGATGAAAAAAAAAATTATAAAAAGGCTGTCGACACTGGGACTTCCCAAGCGGTCCCCCACCTTAGTACTAACCCAGCCTTAAGGCGCTTAACTTCGGAGTTCGAATGGGATCCGGTGTTTTCACCTTAGTATGGCCGACAGCAAAATATATATCATACTTTGCCTACATAAATATAATTGAATTAAATATTTTTAAATAAAATAATGTTTAATCTATTAAAATAATATATTTAAAAGAAAATAAGTAAAAAAGGTTGTCGACACTGGGACTTCCCAAGCGGTCCCCCACCTTAGTACTAACCCAGCCTTAAGGCGCTTAACTTCGGAGTTCGAATGGGATCCGGTGTTTTCACCTTAGTATGGCCGACAACAAAATTAATTCTCAATAATATGCTTAAATACTTTAATTTACTTTTAATAATAAAAATGATATTTTTAGCAATAATATTCTGTTTGTTAAAAATTCTATCTTAATTAAGACTAAAAAAAAAAATATAAAAAGGCTGTCGACACTGGGACTTCCCAAGCGGTCCCCCACCTTAGTACTAACCCAGCCTTAAGGCGCTTAACTTCGGAGTTCGAATGGGATCCGGTGTTTTCACCTTAGTATGGCCGACAGCAAAATATATATCATACTTTGCCTATAAATATATAAAATTTAAATAATTTAATTTAATTTTAAAAAAATATCTTATTAAAATATAAAATAAAATATTAAGAATATTTATTCTGTTATAAATTAACAAATAAAAAAAGGTTGTCGACACTGGGACTTCCCAAGCGGTCCCCCACCTTAGTACTAACCCAGCCTTAAGGCGCTTAACTTCGGAGTTCGAATGGGATCCGGTGTTTTCACCTTAGTATGGCCGACAACAAAACTTATGTCTATTTAATTGTTAATATATCTAAAATTATTTTTATATTTTATAAAAAATTATTTTAACAAAAATAATTAAAATTTTTATTAAAATTAAAGAAATTAAAAAAATAAAATAAAAAAAGGCTGTCGACACTGGGACTTCCCAAGCGGTCCCCCACCTTAGTACTAACCCAGCCTTAAGGCGCTTAACTTCGGAGTTCGAATGGGATCCGGTGTTTTCACCTTAGTATGGCCGACAGCAAAATATATAATTTAAAATGCCTATTTAAATATGTCTAAATCATATGAAATTCAATATTTAAATAATTTTTTTAAAATAAAATAGTCTTTTTGTTCTATTATAAAAAAAAATAATAAAAGAAACGAAACAAATAAATAAATCCCTTATTTAATTATTTAACAATAAATTAATATCAGATTAAATATGGCAAGATATCAATCATCTCTTAGATTTTTTGAAAAAGTAAAATATTATTTTATAATTCTATGTAATTTATTTTTAACTCTATGAAATAAACTTGTAATAGTTATTGTATTAAGTTTTTAAGAGAAAAAATGTAAAAAAAGGCTGTCGACACTGGGACTTCCCAAGCGGTCCCCCACCTTAGTACTAACCCAGCCTTAAGGCGCTTAACTTCGGAGTTCGAATGGGATCCGGTGTTTTCACCTTAGTATGGCCGACAGCAAAATATATATCATACTTTGCCTACATAAATATAATTAAATTAAATATTTTTAAATAAAATAATGTTTAATCTATTATAAATAAAATATGTAAGTAAGAAAATAAGTAAAAAAGGTTGTCGACACTGGGACTTCCCAAGCGGTCCCCCACCTTAGTACTAACCCAGCCTTAAGGCGCTTAACTTCGGAGTTCGAATGGGATCCGGTGTTTTCACCTTAGTATGGCCGACAACAAAACAACATACTTTATAATTATATTTATTTTGAATAAATTAAATATAAATAAATATAATATAAGGAATATATATATTAAAATTGAAAGAGATAAATAAATAATATTGTGATCTTTAAAATTTAAGAGATCGAATATATAATAATAAATATTTTTAATTAGTATTAATTATTAAATATAAAGTTTAAAAATAAAATAAATATATTAAATATATAACAACTTAACCCAACATTTTGTATTTATGATCAGATATATTTTGAATAAAACTAGTTCTGGAAGATTCTTACTTAATTTTTGTTAATATCAATTGAATTTAAGTTAAACTTTCTGAAAATATGTGATAAAAGTTAAGACAGTAGTTAGAATTTAGAAAATTGATGGAAAAAAATTATATTGTCTAATTTTAATGCATTTTAATGTTTTTTTTTTCTATTTCTAATTGTTATCTTAACGATTTTTCGAGAAAATCTGAAAAATAAAAATGGAAAAGAAAATAGATATGTTTATTTGTGAGTGTTTGTTTGTTTGTGCTTAGTTTAACACTGAAACTTAGGATTTATAAAATTATTTATATTAAATAGTGATATTACATAAAAAGAAAAAAAATCTATTGAATTTGTATGAAAGATTAATAGAAACAATAAGAAATGTTGCTTGCTTTCCATTGTAATGTGAATGAATAAAATATCATTTGAAAGAATCGAGCAAAATAGAAAGAAAAGAAATAAAGAAAGATCGATTAATATTAATACATTTATATAGTGCATTTGATAATAATTAGTTTTAAATAAAAAATAAAGATATATAGATACATAGAAAGTCCAAGCAAAATGTTATCTAGAGGTGTTAAAAATCTCATTTCACTCCAAAAATCTTACTTGCAATCCAAAAATTTTATTGGATTGACTTTAAGAAACAAATATTACTTTAGGAATAACAACAATGATGAAGGCGAAGATAGAGCTCCAGAAGGTATAACAAAATATTTTCATTTTTTACTAGTTGAATATCATCACAATTGTTCTAGTTTCCTCAAGTTTAAACAATCAAGATTTAACTTTGGATTACTTTTCATTTGCACAAACAAAATCACATTTATTTTATTTGATAATAATATTTTACAAATGTTATTTTATTTAAAAAACAGGGTTTGAGAAGTTCAAAAGAAGGTCTAAAAAGAAAGCTGATTAGTCTTAAGGTGAATAGAGTAAATATAAATTATTTTGATTATGATTAATACGAAATGAGGAAGAAATAAGGAAATAGATCTACAAAAGCAATTTCTAGGATTTTAAATATGGAGAATTATTGTATCCAAGCATATGAATATATTTTAATATTCAGATATTCATTTTCAACTTTTATCTTTATTTCAAATAAATATCAAGATTAGCCATAATAATATATTCTTAATTATTTTATAGCTGTTGAATAGCTTGAAAAGGAAAATAGAAAAGATAAAGAAGAAGTTGAAGAAACAGAAGATGTAAGCGCTTCAAAGTAGAAATAGGTTAATGAAGAAGATGATGACCCTTTCAAGAAATTCAATAGAAAAAGCAATAATGATAAGTAGTCATCTAAATCTAGCAAGTAAAGTGTAGAGAAAAAGGAAGAATCTTCTACAGAAAGCAAACAATAAGATAACTAGGAAGTTAATAAAGATGAAAGTGATAAAAATAAGAAAGATTGGTCATTTACATATAGTCCTAAAATCTTTGGATTCGAAGACAAAAATTCAAAAAAGAAAGATGAGTAAAAAAATAAATAAGAAGAAAATCAAAATGAAAAGAAAGATGATGAAAAAGAAGATCACAATGAGCATGAAAATAAGCGTAAAAATGAAGATTCTTCATAATCTGAATTTGCCAAAAAGTTTAAAGAATTCTGGAATAGTGGAAACAATAAAAAATATATCAGTGCAGCTATTGCTATTTCTATCTTAGGACCTTCTCTCTATTATTAATACGAAACTCAACAATATATATCTTATACTGTAATATATCAGATTTATAAGCGAAATTTCCAGAATTAGATTCATATCCATCCTTCAAGCAATAAATCGCTTACTTGCTTAATTACTGACTTATTTATTACTTGATTGAGATGAAAATTTGATTCTAAATCTAAATTTCAATTAATAACTTTAAATAAAAATAAACTAAAAAAATTTTATTAAATAGGAATTCTATAAAAATTATCTTCAAACTGATAATGTTAGATCTATCGCTATATAAAGATTACCAATTGGAAACAATTTGAAAACTTATGCTAAAATTGTAACTAAGGATGGATCAGTTAAAAAAATTGTTTTAGGAAATGTTGATCACTTCCTTGAATAGGTTGAATAATACCAAGTCGAAAAAGGAAGAGATATTGAAACTCTCATTCCTATTTCATTTGAATACCTTGTCGATTTAAATAAAACACTTGATTATTCTTTCTCATGGTTATCCACTATGGCAACTATTGCAATCGGTTACCTCTTCTACAAATCCATGAAGAGCGGTCTTGGAAGTATGAAGGGTGGTGGCGGTGGCTAAGATATCTTTGGTATGGGTAAGAAAAATTTTTTTCTTCAAAATTTGAATGGAAAAATTAATATTTTTTTGAATTAAAGGTAAATCAAATGTTAAAGTTTTTGGTATTGATTCTAAGGTAACAACCAGATTTAAAGATGTTGCTGGCCAAGATGAAGCTAAATAAGAAATTTAAGAATTTGTTGATTTCTTGAAAAAACCTGCTAAGTATAAAGCTATCGGTGCTAAGCTTCCTAAGGGTGCTCTCTTGACTGGTCCACCTGGTACTGGTAAAACTCTTCTTGCTAAAGTAATATCCATTACCTGTCTAAAAAAAATTTAATTAAACTTATGATTCATTTATTTATTATTTAGGCTTGTGCTGGTGAAGCAGGAGTTCCTTTCTTTTTCATTTCAGGTTCTGATTTCGTTGAAATGTTCGTCGGTGTTGGTGCTTCTCGTGTGAGAGATTTATTCAAATAAGCTAAGCAATAATCACCATCTATTATCTTTATTGATGAAATCGATGCTGTTGGTCGTAAGAGAGAAAGTAAACTATTCTTTTTTTAAATTTTAATATGTGTGAAAAATGATTTATTTTTTGAAATATTTAGACAAGATGGGTGGTAATGATGAAAGAGATAACACCTTAAATCAACTTTTGGTTGAAATGGATGGTTTCGGTACTGATGCAAATGTCATAGTCCTTGCTGCTACAAATAGAAAAGAATTACTTGATCCTGCCCTTACTCGTCCAGGTATGATTGATATGATTTATTTAAATCTTTAAAAAACTAAAATTATTTAATAGGTCGTTTCGATAGAACTATTGAAGTAACAAATCCCGATATTGATGGTCGTAAATAGATTTTCATGGTCCACTTAAAACCCTTGAAGCTTCATCCTTCTAAAACTATGGAAGAATATGCTAAACGTCTTGCTACTCTTACTCCTGGTTTTAGTGGTGCTGACATTATGAATTTATGTAATGAAGCTGCTATCATGGCTGCTAGAAAAAATAAAAAATTTATTGAATCAATTGACTTTGAATTAGCTTCTGAAAGAGTTATTGCTGGTTTAGAAAAGAAGAGAATTGTTTCAGAAGAAGAAAGAAAAATTGTTGCTGTTCATGAATCAGGTCATGCTGTAACATCATGGTTCTTAGAAGGTGGTCATCCTTTACTTAAAGTATTTACTATAAAATTAATCATTCTTTTTATGATATTTATGAGTGGGCTGAAGGAGAAATTTAATAATATTTGTTTTATAAAATAGCTTACAATCATACCAAGAACAAAGGGTTCTTTAGGTTTTGCTTAGTATTTACCAAACGAAAGCAGTCTTGAATCAAAAGAAGAATTATTAGATAGATTATGCACTATCCTTGGTGGTAGATGTGCTGAAGAAGAGTTCTTTGGTAAGATCACTACTGGTGCTTATGATGATTTGAAAAGAGCCTATGAATTATGTCATGCTCTTGTAACAAAATACGGTATGAGTGAAAAGCTTGGTTATGTAGGTTACATTGAAAACGATTACAGCAAGACTTATTCTGATTAGACAAATACAGTACATTCATAACACATCTAGTATTTCAAATATTTATTTTTATTGTTAAAAATTAGTTAATTGATGAGGAAATTAAGAGACTGATTGACGAAGCTACCTAAAGAACAAGAGATCTCATTAAGAAATATAGATCTTAAATCGAAGGGTATTTCTTTTTTTAAAAGTTTACAATTTATTAATTGTCAAATATTAATATCTAATTAGGTTATCAAGTGCTTTGTTAGAAAAGGAAACATTAGATTTGAGATAAATTTCAACTATTTTGGGTGAAAGACCTTTCCCTCCCAAGTCAAATTACAAAGCTTATTTAGAATTATAAGTTTAAGATGATGCCGAAAAGGTGCAAGAGTAGGCTGAATCCACTATTGAGGGTGAATCAAACACTCATGAAAATAAAGAAAAGGAAAATGCCTCAGCTGAAAAAGCTTCTCAATGAAATAGCATAAAGTGATTTGATGAGAAGCCAGCCAAAATTTTGAATCGATTAATCAAATCAATCAATAAGTTTAAATTCACAATAAATAAAATAAAAAATGTACAAAGGAATCTGAAAAACTTTCTCTTTAATTTAAAATAAAAACTCAAAAATAAAACAATCAATCAAACAACATTTATCTCAAAAGAATTTTTTCTTATTTCTCTAATATATTTAATTGATACCTTTATTCATACATACATACATAAATAAATAAATGCATACATAAATCCATCTTACATAATTCACAAATTCAATGAGCAATTAAATTTTTATAAAATAGCATGCAAAATAAGGAGTCTATTGCTTAAATGATGGATTACTAATACTAAATTTAAATAATAAATTCTGCAAATAATCAACAACAATATTCTTTTTTTTGTTATAAACTAAGCAACTTTGTATATTTTTATTCTTGTTATTAATTAAATATTCAAACAACTCATTCAGAAGTTTAATTCTGCAAAACATTTTAATAGCTAGCTATTTATTTATTTAATTAATTAAGATTTGTCAAAATTTGAATTAATATTTTTCATAATTTGTATAGAACTTAATCGTTATTCAAATTTACTATGTAAATGTACAACTTAAATTCAATCAAAATTTTACTTTTAATAAAAAATTTATTTACTTAAAAAGCATTTAAAAATCAAGAAAACAAACAAACAAACACATAAATTTATTAAATTCATTAAAAACAAAGTCTATTTTTTTTAAGTTATAAATATCCATTTATTTGATAAAATGAATGAAAGGAAATAAATAATTTGCATACAATAAATTAATAAATCAGTGTATAAATCAACATTGATTTCATTCATTTAGTAATAAGGTGTATTAGATTATTAAAACTTAAAATAATTAACAATAAAATAATCTTTTGCTTTTATTACTATAAGAAAAACAAAAGAAGAATATCTGTAAAGATTCAATAATATTAAAAGCTTAAGGACAACAAGGGCCAAGAGCAAACAAGTTAAAATAGAATACAAGAAAAAGAGCAATAAAAGCAAGCTAAAATTCAAATTTTTTCGAGTGAAAAAAACAAGGAAAAGAAAGAAAATTAGAAAAGAGTTTGAGCAATGCAGTAAAGAATTTTGTGTTTAGGTTTAGATAACGCTGGTAAATCTTCTCTCGTCAATCGTTTGAAGTTCGGTGATGCAGGACAATAAGTACCAACTTAAAATATAAATGTGTCATAAATGGAATTTAATGGAACAAGATATGCTATATATGAAGTAGGAGGAGAAGCAAACAACAGAGAAAGTTGGAGAGAATATATTTAAAATTCTCAAGGTATCATATTTGTTGTTGATGGCTCTGATGATCAACGTTATGATGAAGCACGTTAGTATATATAGAGTATTATTGAAGAACCTTAACTTGCAGAAGTTCCACTCCTTCTTTATCTTAATAAGCAGGATAAGGGAGGCAGCATTAAAAAAATTGCATCTGATCTTGGGTTAAACATGGTCAGCGATCGTGAGATATTTATTTAGGGTAGTGATGCTGTAAGCGGTGTTGGAGTTAACATTGGATTCGATTGGCTTTCTAAATAATTAATTTCTAAAAAGAAGTTACAGTAATTATAAATAAAATATTGAAAATAAACATAAAAATATAAAATGATTTCCTTGAAAAATTAATGCATTCCCATTAAACAAGCATAGAGAAATACAAATTAGTCAGTTGTACATAAAACTCAGTTTAATTGAAAAATTTAGTCAATTTATAAGAAATTTTCCATAAAATCTTCACAAATAAATTTAGATGTTTTTTATAAAAATGAATTTAAATTTAAAATTTTATCAAGTTTGAGCTAAGTATCAATAAATTAATCTTACAAATACAACTTAAACAAGGCCAATAAGTTATTTAATACAAGAAGAGATTTTACACAAATTTTTATTTAAAAAAAAATAATTTTTAATAGGAAATACTACAATTTCATTCATTGATTAGAGTGATTTTATATAAAGGAAATAAGGAAGCATTTTATTTTATTTTTGATTAAAATATTCTTTTTAAAAAATATTATATAAAATTATTTTTTTAGAAATGGATACAGTTTCGATGCAGAACCAAAGGTAGTTAAGGGGAGATAAAAATATAAATAAGAAGAGGAAATTGAAACAAAGTCTTAGTAAACATTTGCTTTACTTATGTAAGATAAAAAAGTCAAGATGATGAATCCTGTATAATAAGAATAGGAATATGTTAGACTGGAAAAAGAAAGAATAAAAATAGAAAATATGAATGCATAATTAATTAACTTCAAAAAAAATAAAAAACGTATGGCTCCTTATGATATTAAGCCATCTCCTAATCCTAGAATAGATGTCAATTTAGAGTTTTTCTTGACTGACAATATTAACACTATACCACCAATTCAAGCAGAAATAGATTGCTAGACTGACGATTTTATTCCAAAGCCTCCTTCTCCTAAATATGTACCCAAAAAAACTGGTATTGATGCTTACACATAAGTCGAAGATGTATTTATTAATTTATATCTGGTTATTTATTTAACAGTTTAAAATAAAATAGTACGAACTGTTTGACTTTGACAGAGAAGTCACACCTATCGTAGATGTTATAGTAACCAAAACACTAGAGCAAGTATATTATTTAAAATAAGTTATTAGTTGTGAAAATTATTTTTACAAAATTTCAGAATAATCTTAAAAAGCAAACCTAAATTATTATTTTATTTGTAATAGTCTATGCTAGAAATTGAATAAGATGAAGAAATATTAAATATGCGTAAATTTAAAAGATAATACGATCATAGAAGAGATGCAGAGAAGAAAAAGACTTTCCAAATATATGAAAGGGAAGTAAATACAATGAAAGAAAAAGATCGTCTTCTTGACCTCTATAGGCAAAAAGAAAATTAAAAAATAGATTGTTTACACAGAGTCTAAAATTACTCTATAGCTAGAAATTATCTTAGAGATGTAAAGGTTAATGCCATATCAAAATTGTACAATGCAGGTTACTATCCAAACGACTTAAAAATAAGTATTGAAACAGATTTTATTGATTGGCTAGTAGAAGAAACTTCTAAAGAAATTTAAGAGCGTAAAGCCTTAAAGGATAGTATAACAAATACTTTTGACTAAATAACATTACATTAACTCAGAGAGCAAAAGTAACCCCACCTTAAAGTTATTGAAAAGAAAAAACGTAAAGCTGCTGAACGTAGAATAAATGACTCTTAAAATACTAGATTAATTAGAGTTTGCTTTAAAGACACTCAAAAGCTTCCAACACATTTTGGCAAGCATATTAACAGATTCCTTGAAGGAACTCTTGATGAGTGGAAAGAAACATTTAACACAAAGTATAATGCTCTCCAAGGTAAAAATTTAATCAAATATTTAAAAATCAGATTTATCTTTTCAATTTTAAAAATATCTTATTAGCATAAATTTTTAATTAGATTTTAATATTTATTTTTTAACCTTTGAATTTTAATTAAATTTATTTAAATAAAATTCAAAACAATCCAAAATAGGTTTTTAAATGTTTTATTTTAAGATGAGTAAAAATAAATTTGTATTAATTATATTAAATAAAATTAATAGAATAAGTTGATAACTCAGAAATAACTGAAGAATAAAGAGCTAAAATATTAGAAGAGGAATTTCCTGAAATAACAAATGATTATTTCGGCTTCAGTGTTAACAACTTGAAAAAAATAGGATTCACATTAGCCCACTCTCAATTTTATGTATAAACAAAGAAAGATAGATTGCTTGAACTTGTTGCATTTGCCATTTAAAAAGATGGTAAAATTATAAGCAGGATTGACAAAGACAACTTGAGACCTAATAACCAAAACCCCTCATTAAATAAATATATTAGATACAAACGCAATATTAGAGATCTAACCAAAAAAGCTTCTGATGATGAAGCGATTGTTGTTGATTTTTCTAAGGTTCCAGATGATGTTTGGGGATTCTTTTTCTTTGTTAAGCTACCTAATTTAGTAAATGATTTACTCTACTTTTAAAATTTTATTCATTTTATCAAATTAAATATAAAAAATAAATTTAATCATGTGCATCAAATAATTAAAAAAAACAAATTTGGTCTTAGTTTAAGATGACTTTTCAAATTTAAATTATTTTTATTTATTTAATCATTTATTTATGATTAAAAAATAACTAAAAAGTTTAATTTTTCAAAAATTTAATTCTACAAAATAAAATGATTTAACTAAATGATTTATTTTTTGTAAACCAGAATAAGCAGAATATTACCTTTTTTTAACCAAAATAAGCTGAATATTACTTTAAAAAAAATAAAAATAATAATTTATTTTTTATTTTGGCTGATCAAATTCTTTAATAAATCTAAATAACTTAATAAAAATAATTAGAATTTGCTAGCAGATAAATTAGAAAAAGAAAATGAAGTACTTAAGAATAGTAGAATGGGTATAGAAGATTATTCCAATAATATAGCTATTGATGGTGTCAATCTCATGGAAAAAATACAATTTGATTAACTAATTCAATAACCTCCAAGTGAAGAATCACCAACAATTTAGAATAGCTATTATCTTGGATACAGTTTAACTAAAAGACCAATCACAGGATGGTACTTAGAAAATATAAAAATAGCTTCAAAAGGAATGTTTGAATAGGCTGAAGAATAAGAATACTTGAACAAACTTGTTAGTTTCTGGACCAGTACTGAAGGTATTCCTCCTAAAAATATAGAAGCTAGTTAGGTAGCTGATGGAGAAGAAGCTAACGTAAATGGTTCTCCAGCTTAAGCAAATAACTTACGTGTTATGGAAAATTAAAGCTAAATGTCACTAAGCAATGGTACTCAATTTTTCCAAAAATGCTACAAAGAATATAAAGTAGAATTTGCTAAAAATGAGAATGGAGAATTAACTGCAAACGGTAAAAACTATGAAGAGTTTATAGAAGAATTATCTCAATATATACAATCTCAAGATGCAGCTCTAGATGCTCTATGCTAGTGGGGATTCGAATTCTACTTCAGAGGAAAATTATTAAAAAGGTTGTAAACTTTAAAAAAATGTAAAAATGCTTTTGAATTTGAAGTTAAAAAGAAGCCCGAACCAATAGTTGAAAAGGTAGAAAATGGTGAAGAAGGAGAAGAAGGTGAAGGTGAAGAAGGTGAGGAGGAGCCTGAAGAGGATTGAAAAAATTTCTATAAGCTATCAGCATAGAATTAAAAAATTAGTTTTAATATAAATCCTAAAAATAAAAATAAAATTGTTTATATAAGTAAGCTATTAAATTAAAAATGCATATTCTAATAATCTTGAATGCATGAATAAATAGTAATTAATCAAGTTAGTTAGCTATTTTATTAAAAATTTAAAATAATTAATTTGTTCACAATTTTTAAAATTTAATCACCATTTTAAATTCTTCATTTAGTATGTTGATATTTATTTTTTTCTATAATTTAAACATAGTTTCAGCTGAAATTTTAATTTTAGTAAAAATAAAATAATCTAATTATTTAATTATTGTTATCAATCTAATAAATGATAAATTAAATTTGCCGATATTGATTTATTATTTGAGATTAAAGATAAGCAGTTTTTTATAATGCAAAGATAAATAAATTAAATATCATCAGAAAGTTATAAAATTATAAATAATAAATGATGTATTAAGTGCTGGGCTATAAATATTTTTTATTAATTGCTTCATTAAAAAATTAGTAATTGTAAGCAGATTATTATTTATGTTATTAAGGTATTAAATTAAAATTTTTGCATTCAAGTGAAATAAGTATCCTGTTTCAAAAATATGTAAACATATAATTTGTTATTTAATTAATTTTATTTTATATTATATCATATATGTTGTTTATTTTCTTATCAAATCTCTTTGTGAATCAACCAATATTTATTTATTTCAAAATATAATTTGTATAATTATTAATTTGTTAATTCTATTAGTAAATATTTACATTTTTTTCTTAGCCTGTTTCAAATATTTTATCCATTTATTAACTAGTTAATTTTTATTTAAAAGTTGAAATATTGTGATCATTTTATATTTTTAGAAAGAATCTTTATCTTTTAAAAAGCCTAAAAGATCAATTATTTACACAATAATCTATATTCGTTTATTTTAATTTATGTAAAATTCTACTTTAACAATATTTATTAGATATCTATATATCTATATATGTATATAAGTATTAAATTGTTCACATTCGTTTCTTGAATTTGTGTAAATTGTAAATTTATTTAAAAAAATAGAATAGGTATATAATTCAAATATGATTGATTGTTTTTGTTTGATTATACACACATAGTAAAATATGGTATTAAACAGATGTTTTAAATTATGTTAAGACTTATTTATATATATGATATCATCAGATATTTTTGTGATGGAGAGAGTGATTTAAGATCTATCTTAAATATAAGCAATACGAATAAATATATATATAACACAAGCCATATGTATGGAGATAGTCTTTTTTAGAGTTAACCATAGATTCGAGATTAAAATAAAGTAATTGATAATTTTTTTTGATAACAATTTGAAGATAAAGTATTAGAAATAGTAAGATAGTATCAAAACAAATAACCAATTTATAAAAAACAATTAAAAAGAGTAATTAATTTTAAAAAATAAACAAAAGTTTAAGAAAATGCACGGCTCTAGCTCAACTAAAACACCAATCATTAAAAATGTCCCTAAGCTTTATTACTTAAAATTTTTATTACTTGCATTAGGATATGGATTTAATGGAACTACTTTTACAGGAATCCCATTCTTATTTTATAGAGGAAAAATGAATTGTATAGATGCGAATAATAATTTATATTCATGCTCGACTGAATAAGCCTGTGCTAATCCATATGGGTTTGTAGAATAAACAGAATACCCTTAAATTGGAAGTATTGTTTCTTTGCTTGATTTATACTGCGAGCGAAGAGTATTGGAAGCCTGGATTCAAACCCTTGGTCAGTTTGGAAAGCTCATAGCTTATGTGATTCTTATCTTTTTTCCAGTTAAAAAATAAATAAAAGGTAATTAGTTAGTTAATTATTAATTTGTAAATTTTAAAGTATTACATAAAAATTTGTGACAATTACTCAGAAAGTTAAATATATTTGATATAAATATGAATACAACCGACTAGACCCAAATTTTTTTTGAAAATTATATAAAATGTAGTTTATTACTATATTAAATAGTGAAGTATTAATAATAATTACAAAATTACTAAACAGAAAACTTCTAAATTTACCATTTGTATTAAATAAATAAAAGAAATAAATAAATAAATATTTTCCATTCTTCATTAACATTTCATAAAGCTTATTTACTTTATTTAAGAAGTGGATACTCTATTTCAATTTTACCATACTTTTATAATTTAACTTATTTTAATGTAAATTTAAATAATTAGAATATGTGATATTTGGAAGCTTCATTATAGTTGGACTAGTACTAATGTCATTAGAATATCTTTAAGAAATTGAAATGTTTTTCATAGCTTTTTTTACCTGGTATCTACTCTTTTCTGTCTTTTATGGATTAATCTACACTCACATTACAGATGTCTATCCTTATATTATCTCAGAGAATGGCTCAGCATATATTAACACTTCTTGGCCTGGAATTATGATAGTCTTTATCGCATATAGTTATTTCTTCGGTACCTGGGAAAATATTCTAATTTAATTCACTGGAATTCCACTTTTTTTAATTGGAGTTAGCAGCTTTGCTCTTAAATTTTACATGGAAAGAAATAGTGAATACATTAATTTTGCTGAATAAGTATAGGAAGAGTAGAAATAACTCTAGTCATAGTAAGAAATTCCTGTAGAGATAAATTAATCCACAATGGAGAAGCTCAAAGAAAATTATTAAGATGTCAAGAATAATAAATAATTAAGAGACAACTTGATGATATGGTCGTTAGGTTGGACATGTAATGGTTTATGCTATTTTGGATGCTATTTCTAATTAAATACATTACAAGGTAATTTGTATTTAAATAACCTTATGTCAACATTGTTCGAAGTATTAGCAAGTGTGATGGCTGTAATTATTGTAATGAGAATGAATCTCAAAAATGTTATAGTCACTACATACTTTATAATAGGATTCTCATTTACATCTTGTATATTTGTTAGTAATGACTTTAGCTAAAATCCTTCATTTTCGTCTCTTATCATCAACTTATCTCCTGTAGTTATAGCTAAAGTTAGTTATGAAATAATGTGGACTGTTTTAATTAAATACTAAAATACAGTCTTTGCAACAAAATATCATTAAATTTAATTTTCTTTCTCTAATATGGTAGCTATGATTGCCTGTAATGCTATACCTTTCTACAAATATTTTATGGAGTAGTTGAATTTAAGTCCTTTCATAGGTTACGGTCTATTTTGTTTAGCTGCTTCTTATTTCTCTACTTAATTTATTGAAATTTAAAGTGGTAGTTAACAAGAACCTCTTAAAGAACCACTAAAAAAAGAAGAATTTTAAAACATTGAATTAGATGAAATATATGAAATGGATTAAAAGTTATCTAAAATTTAGATATGAAAGAAAGCAAATAAATAAATATACATTAGTTAGATAGATAGAGAAATGAATAAATATATTAATTTCATTGCTTTGTGACTACTTTGCATTTTAAAATTATTACTTTTTGATTAAAATACTTGTTAAAAAATAACTCAAATAAAAATCTTTTGCTTGTAATAATAGTTTATTTAAAGAATTGCTTTTATATAAGAAAAATAGATAATTAGAGACAAATTTGATTTAACTTATCTATATTTTAAATATTTCATTTAGTCTAGAAAAATATATTTATCTATTTTAATATTTATTAGCAATTTTGATATTTCATTAAAGCTATTATTTATTTATTTGATTATTTAAATAATTAAAACTTCTATTTAGTTTATATTTTCCCTATTAATTATTGTGACTATTACAAATTTATAATTATTATATACAAAATATTTTGATTACACTTAAAATATCTTAAATTATTCAATTAAGCTAAGAATGAGATTCTACTTTTTCTTTTTTATTAAATTTTTATTTTTTTATCTAAATAGGTATCTAAAAAGAAATTTTACTTTTCATTTCTTAAATCATTTTAATATTGATTGCATGTTGAACTTAGATAAAATAAATAAAATTTATATTATTTTAAAATATTTATTTTTATTTATTTATTAATTTAAATTTGAAAAAAAAATTCTTAATTTTTTAAAAATACTATATATAATTTGAATATAAATATTTTTAATAAACAAGAATTTCAAAAAGTTTTAATATTTTTTTAATAAAAATGAGTTAATAATAAGTAATTTATTTAATTTTTTAGAATATTTTATTTTAAATTGATAGAAAATAAGTTTAAAACTATAATTTTAATTGATTGAAATAATTATTTCAAATGTTTTTGAGGAAGTAAAATTTTTGTTATTTAAAATAAAAAAATTCTTCTTCTTTATTCAATTATTTTAACTACTTTAGTATTTTATTTCTGTTTAGAAATTTATTACATATGAGGATTGCTAATATCAAAAAGACGTCATATTTATTGTTAAATTCATATAATTTACATCAAAATGTCTTTTGAATTGTTTAAATATTATCTTATCATCTTTTAATCAATTTTATAATTTAATATGTAATTTTAATTATAAAAAATATGTAAACAAACAAAAAAGAAATTAATTGCTTCACAAAAAAATAATGATTTAATTAAATATTATTGACTTTAACTATTATTCTTTTATACATAGAGTTTTAATAATGTGTCATATTAAAATTAAATACTTTAATTTAAGAAGTAACAAAGATTAAATTGCATACAAAAGTGATATCTTTAAAGAAATATTATTCAATTTAAGCTTTAAAATTTAAAATACATTATTTATAAGTAAAATATTTATTTAACCTTTTAATTTCAAATAATATTTTAAAAAAGTTGAAGATATAGATAGATACTAAAAATGATTTAAAATTATTCTATTATTTAATTTAAATTTAATTTATTAATTTTTAATTTTGAACTTATTAAATTACAAATTAGAATTAAAACAAATCAAAGATTATTTTAAGAAAACATTTCAAAAATTTTTTTAAAGTATTTAAATTAATTTTTAGGAACTAAAATCATTTTAAAGAACTTCTTTAAATAAACGACTTTTATTTTTTAAAAATAATTGAAAATGTAAATTAGAATCAAATTTGATTAAAATTTACTCAGCCCTGATACGTATTATTAAATTTATTACTTAATAAATACTTAGATGAGGTATTTTTTGATTCTACATTAATAACATCAAAATTAATAAATAAAGTTGTAAAATTTGATCAACAAAAATAAAATCCCTAAATTATTTAAAGAATATCTTTTTTCAAAAATAATTTGCATATTTAGCTTGCTAGAATGATATTAGTTTTAAAGATGTTAAGCACATCATGCATAAAACAATAATTTTTTAATATCTAACTTTACTAGAAAAAGAAATATAATTTATCTAATCCATATATATTTGCTATAAAGTATATATTAAATACCTATTATTTATTTTTTAATATTTAAATTAATTGATTGATTTCTTTATTTTTTAAATTTTAATCTTTGAAATAAATAAATAAAGCTTATAAATTTATACTTACAGTCCTCTCTGCACTTTGTTTTTGAAGGTTATGAAACTATTTTTTAACCAATAATTTTGCTTTTTAAGAAAAATATAAAATTTTAATAATAAATTTTAACTAAAAAATATTTTTTTAACAATTATTCAATTAAAAATAAAGAATTTTCAAAAAAGTGAGTTTTGATGTTTTCACAAGCATTTTTTCTTATAGAAAACTTATTTTTCGTATTTTATAATATTTGTTTCTCTAATTTCTGATTAATAGGGAGCAGAAAAGCATAAATAAAATATTATTAGGAAGTATTGCAATATATTAATAAGTATAATATTAAATTTACATATTTATCTGATAAATTCTTAAACAAAGAAGCTTAATATTTGATAATTTTGGAAATCAAGATGTTAATATAATTTAATAAAACTTTAAAAATCTAATAACACTCAAAACAAATGAAGCTTTTGGTTTCTTCTCTAATTTTAATTGCCTTGAGTCTTTCTGCTTTGACTTTCTTAGCTTTAGAAAGACCTAGTAATGAGCTTGGAGATATGTAGAATGTTGCTATGATGTTTTTAAAATACTTACAAAGATATAAAATGCATATAATAAATCCTAAGGAATATATGTACAGGCTTAATATTTTTGCTAAAAATCTTTAAAACATTAAAAATCATAACTAAATTTCTAATAAACCTTATATTGAAGGGATCAACTAATTTACTCATCTAACTGAAGAAGAATTCGAGTAAACCTACCTAACACTTCAAATACCTGCTTCTAAACAATATAAAACCTAAGAATTTTTAGGAGACGAAGTTCCTTCATCTATCGATTGGAGAGATTTAAATGCTGTTACTCCAGTCAAGAATTAAGGTTCTTGTGGTTCAGGTTATGCATTCTCAACTACAGGTGCTTTAGAAGGAATTCATAAAATATCAGGAAAAGATTGGAAAGGATTTTCAGAATAACAAATAATTGATTGTTCTAGAAAATAAGGAAATTCGGGTAAAATAAATTTTAATAAAATAAATAACCTTTTAATTTATAATTTTAAATTCTAGTTTTTTAATAAATTTTAATTATTTTATTTTAATTAAAGGTTGTCATGGAGGTTTTATGGAAAACGCTTTTGATTTTGTCATTGAAAATGGAATTTTATAGGAAAATGAGTAATTAATTTATTTATTTTATTATAAAATGATAATTTTACTTATTTACAATAAAAAACAAAAACAGTTATCCTTATGAAGGTCATGCAAACTTTAAGTGCAAAAAGAATAATTCTAATCAATAAAGTTATAAAATATAAGGCTATTACAATATAAATAAATATGATTGTAGAGGCCTTTAATAAGCTGTTGCTTAATAACCTGTCTCAGTTGCTATTGATGGTAAATTTTTGTAAAGATATCATTCTGGAATAATTGGAGACTGTGGTAGTAGTGTGAATCTAAACCATGGAGTTTTAATAGTTGGATATACTGAAGATTTCTTCATAGTAAAAAACTCTTGGGGTACAAACTGGGGTGAAGATGGTTACTTCAGAATCACTAAAACAAATACATGTGGCATTTGCGAAGCAGCTTCTTATCCATATTCAATAAACTATTAATGAATGAATAAATTAAATAAATAAATAAAATTATATTCTCTCATAAAAAATTTCACTGTATAATTAAATGATGTATATAATATTTGTAAGTATTTTATAATAAACTACTAACTTAACTACTTTTTAAAAACTGTTAAATTTATTTTTTACTTATTTTTTTACAAAATTTATGCATTTGCATTTAATTGAATAAAAATAAGCTCAAGAAAGAATATTTATTTGTATTTAGATTACCAAACAACAAATATAAATTTTACATAAAAATTACTAAATTTAAAATATTAAATGCTTTTTTTAAATTTACAATTCAGATTATAAATAAATAGATAATAAAATAATCAATATAAAAAATTAAAATTTTTATATAAGCTAAAATAACAATTACCACTTCATTAAGATAAAACAATTTTTAAAAAATAGAATTTATTTTTTCGTAAATAGATTAATCTTAAAATAATCTAAAACGACAATAATTTATAATAATAATTAAATTTTGATGATTCATAATCAATAAACAGATGAATTTTGATATAATTTTGTTTATTAACTTATTTTTAAGATTAATTGATTAATTGGTTTATATTAAAACTTGCTTATAAATTAAATATAGGGAATTAAGTATGTAGCAACAAGTTGATTAGGCAGTATAAAATAGTGAAGCCTAAATAAAAGATGGATTTTTATAAAATAATAAATTTATGATTAAATACATATTATTAATGTTTACATTTTGCTTAAACGCAGTTTAATTTACTAGCATTCCTATACTTTTTTATCGCTCTAAACTTAATTGTTTGAACTCAGAAGGTAAAGAATATGAATGCTCTCTTGAATAAGCTTGTTAGAATTCTAATGGGTATGTTGAAAAATCTGAATATCCATAAATATATAATATTACAATGCAGTTAAATTTATATTGTGATAGAGAAATTATAGAGGCATGGATTTTTTCAATAGCCAACTTTGGAAGAATTGCTGCATGTATAATCTTAATATTAACGCCGCATTTTAAAAAGGAAAATAGAGGTATTCCATTTATTTAAATAAATTTTAGATAATTTAAAATATCTTTTTAAATAGAAACGTTTATTAATATGACTTCTGTTGTGACAGGATTAGCTCTCTTATCTCTTTACTTAGCTCATTCAACATTTATGTTTATTTTTGGATTATTTACATGGTATCTCTCTTCTTCTTTTCTTTATGGATTGGTTTTTGTTCATTTATGGGAGTATTTTCCCGAATCTTATTAAAAATATGGAGCCGCTATACTTAATAACTCATGTCCTTTTATGATGGTCATATTTCTAATCTTTAGTTATTATTATGGGTCTTGGAAAAATACATTGATTCATTTCACAGGAATTCCCTTACTTATTATTGGATTATTAAGTATTTACTTGTAAGCTAAATTAACTATTAGCTCACCAAACTCTACCCAACAAATAGATATGTAATATAGAATTTTTGAAAACTAGCAGGAAAGTGAATAAAAAGATAATGATTTGTAATTTCAAGATAGTTAACAATCTAGCCCAAATCAAGAAATAAAATAAATAAATCTATAATAGCATAAAAAATATACAGATGATGAAAGTTAAGGAGAAACGTCTTCAACTAGCGAAAAACCTACATAAGACTAAGTATCAGGCTAAGAAATACAAAATTTTAATGAAATTACAAGCTAAGCTGATAATAACTTATAAACGAACTCTAAAATAATGGTTATAATTGAGAATTATTTTCCATTTTTAAATAGAGGAACAGTATTAAGGAAGAATTTTTATATTTGGACTCTATGCTTATCAAGTTATGTTGCTAATTACTATGGAGTCTGCTTTTTATTGAATTCACTTCATGGAAATTTGTATTTCAATTGCTTGCTTTCTACAATTTTTGAATTATTTTCAAACTTTATTGCAACTGCTTTAGTAGTAAAATATAATAACTCTATCAAAACGCTGTTAATTGTAACACAATTTATTACAGGTGTTGCTTTTGTCTCAGCTTTCTTTATTTCTGATACTAAAGATTCTGTTGTAAACTCATATCAAGATAAAGAAATGTAATTCACAGATATTATGCTCTTAATTTTATATCTATCTCCTATTATTATAGCAAAGATATCATTTGAAATAACTCCTTCGTTGCTCTTTACTTATCAAAAGACAGTAATACCAGTAGCATATTAATAGTAATAATACTCCTGCTCTAGTATTTTCACTATGATTGTTTCAAATGTTATCCCATTTTACAAATACTTTCTGATACAAATGGGAATTAATCCTTTTATAGGATTTGGAGTCTTTACTTTATTTTCAGCCTATTAATCAAAGAATTTTATGGCAATCACAAATAATGAAAATTAAAAAAATAACACTGTAAAATGATGAATCTATTTATTTTAAATATATATTTTTAGAAATAAACTCTGTATCTAACTAAATAGATTAATATTCCATAGGTAAAATTCAATAACAAATAATTATTTTTAAAGATTAAATTTATCTATAAAAGTCAAATAAATTTTTTAATTTTTTAAAGACTTGTATGTTACCTAATTACCTAAATTTACTCATTTTATAATAAATTTCAAAAATCAAAGTTGTTCTAGTCATTAAAATCAATGAATAACTAAGATTTTTGAATGATCATTGATTAATTCTTTTATTACTTTATCAAAAATAAAATTTTTAAGATTTATCATAAAAAGGGAATTTTAAATTTAGTACGATTTATTTATTCAGTGTCTATATAATTATTTTTTTAATATTATAATATTAAATAAATTCTAATATTACTATATTATTTATAATATATTTACCCAAATTTTCTAAAGCAAATGATAATTAAGTAAAGTAACTGTCAATTTTCATTCATCCATCCCCTTGAAGTTTTAAGTATATTTTTATTATTTTGAATACTATTTTATGTATAAAAATTAAGGAGGGAAAACAGGTAAAAATTCATGAGATTTGACAGTATAAATAAATTTTTAAATTACATTAATTAATTTAAGAAATAAAATACATCGATTTAGTCTAAAAATATTTGAAGAAAGAGTTAATTATAAAATTTTAAATCTTTATCTTAAAATGGGAAAAATATATATTTAGACTTAGAAAATAAAAAATATCAACTTTAAAGTTTACATATGTTTTTATTTATCATTATTAATATTTTAATATCCTATTAGCAAGTGTATGTATTTAAAAATAATTATGTTCTTGACAAACTCTGAAAGGTTACAAGTTTTTTAAAGGGTATTTTCATTAAAAGATTAAATTAAACAGTAAGTAAATCTATCAAGCTAAATTTTTTAGTTAAAAATGAATATTTTTTTTATGATCAAAATGAAAATAAATTTCTGCATTATGAAGTGAGTAATTATTTTAAAAATGAAAAATCTTTTACTTTCAAAAATATAAAAAATTGAAATAAATTCTAAATTTAACTCTATTAAATTATGCTTGAAAAGTCTTTTTTAGACGAATTAATTTTTCTATCTTATATTTTATCAAATCCTGAGAAAACATTACTTTTAATAAAATAAAAGAAATAGTGATTCTCTAGTGAATTAATAACCTAATTTTTTTAAACGAAAAGGCAGAAGAACAAATAAGATAATAAAATATATTATTATTTATAACATATTATGTTTATAAAATAAAAATTATTATAGAATACCAGTTAAAATATTTAAAAATTTTGATTATACTAATACTATTTATTATGAGTTGGTGAGTTAGTAACCCTAAAAAAAGTTAAGTGATATATCTAAACACTTAACAATATTGAATTTGTTTTTAAAGAGATTAAGAGCTTTATAACCATAAAAAATTCACTCAGTTAATCAAATAATTATTTAAATAAAATATTGGAATCTAAAAACATAACAAAATAAATAAGTTAATAAGTAAATAATTGTTGACAAATGGAACCTAATCCTTCTGCCGTTGTCTTAATTATTGGAGCTGTACTAATGACTCTTACTGCTTTCTTATTATTGAGAGTTCCTGTTCTTCCTGAATCAGAATGATTATATTTAAATATAAATACCAAACATATTATGTACATTTTACTTAACAAAAAAGTTCTGTAAAATTTACCATCATCATTAAGATTGAATGCATAACAAATAATAAATCAGACTATATATATATAAGTAACATAAAAAAGTTTATTAAAATTAAATGAACTCTTGTGTTTTGCATGTGATAGTTTTATAAATTTTCATTAATTTTGTAACAAATTCTATTTTAGCAAAATATTGAGTGGACTGACATAGTTTATTATCAAAAATTTACTAATTTCTTCTCTACTTTTTGTTCAAAAATAAAATTTCTTTCCTTTATGTTTTTAATAAGATTGCCTAATTAAAAGTAAAGCAATTTAAGATTATAATTATTAAAAAATAGTAATCCATAAATGAATAAATTGAGAAAACACAAATTAATTCGTATTTATTTAGAATTAACATTTATTAAATATGTATTTTCACAAAAGATTTAATAGTAAAATGAAATTTTCTAGATATTTGCTAAATAATAATTAAAAAGTGAATAGCATTAACATTTCTATTTTATTTAAATATTCTCCTTATAAAAATAGCATATATTCTTATGATTATAATTTAGTATGTATTTATTATTTGATTTATAAAAAATGTTAATTATTTGTTCTTGTATTTTTGATAATAATTTGATCTAAATAAGCTAAGAATAATATAAATCTTTTTATGAAAGAAGTATTTCTTATTGATAGAAAAAATTTAATAAATTCCCTGCTTGTTTGTGTAAATCATTTAAGGTATACAAATTTTAATTCTGAGTTAGGTTACATCATTAAATTTAGATTTTAGATAATTAATAGCAAAATGAAAATCTATCTTTTTTATACGAAATTAAGATTTATATAGATTTAATTTACAAAACAATTTTTTACTTTTGAAAGTGTTAACTTTTTTTTTACCATATTTGATAAAATATTAGAGCTAATATTTAAAATAAAAAAATAAATTACTAATTTTAATAAGATAAAAAATTAATCTATTTCTAAGTAATTAAGAAAATAAACAAGTAACTAATATTTATAAGCTGTATTCAAATATCTATGCTTTCTTTGTTGTTTAATTTTTGATTTCTATAAACAAGACAAATTCTGCGAAAATATATCTTTAAAACATATTTTAATTAAAAGAAAAATAGTGTATCTTTATTTGTATTTTTAGATATGGATATTGTTAGGTAAATTATAAACAACGAAGGAACAAGTAAAGTAAAGCTCTTTATATACTTGGTTGGTTTGTTGTATGTTTTAAATAAATCCAAGTAGTTGACTCTCTTTCTCTTCAAAGTTTTCTTAAGAAAACAAAAAAATTTTGCTAAGAGATATGGAGAAGGTTCTTATGCTTTTATTACTGGATCATCCGATGGTAAATATTATTTATTGATTGGACTTTTACTATTTTTAAAATGAGATTAAAAAGTTACAGTTGAAAATGGAATATTTTTTCAAGTACATTTGTACAACAAAGTTAACATAACTTTTATTTTTTGAAAAGGTATTGGCAAATAATTTGCAATTGAGATGATTAAGAATAATATGGGCGTTGTCCTTGTAGCAAGAAACAAAGAAAAATTAGAATCTGTTAAGGAAGAATTACTTGCAATTAAATCAGATGCTAAAATTCATATTGTAGTTGCTGACTTTAAAAATTCTAACAATCCTGAATTTTTTAAGAGTATTATGGATTAAGTTAAGGGTTTAGATATCTCAATTTTAATAAATAATGTTGGTATGGATTATTTCAATCATTTTGATAAAATTGATGATACAACTATCCTTGATCACATTAAAGTTAACTGCTTACCTATGACTTTCTTGTGTCGCCATTTTATTCCTCTATTTAAGGAGCGTTTGGCAAAGCAAAAAAAGAAATCAGCAATTTTAAATGTTGGTTCCTTCGCTGGCGTTTTACCATGTATTTACTTCAATGTCTATGGAGCAACAAAAGCTTATGTAAATGTCTTTACTCGCACATTAGTTTCTGAATTCCCTGAAATAGATATTATGTGCTTAAATCCTAGTGAAGTTAGCACTCCTATGATTGGTAACAGACCTCCTGATGTTATGACTATCACTAGTAACTCTTGTGCTAGATGGGCCCTCAAAGATCTTGGATATGAAAGTGTTACTGCTGGACACTGGAATCACAAAATCTAAACTGAGCTTTACCTTTCAATCCCTTATTTTATTTACAACTATATTAACAAAAACTTTGTTGCTCCTGAATGGTTCAAAGAAAGAGAACAATTCTACAATAAAAGAAAGTGAATAAAATAAATTTTAAATATTTAATATTTCATTCATTACATAAATAAGTAGTTTTCATATCAAATAAAAAGTAATATAAATAAACAAGTAATCAATCAAATAATAATTAATTTTAAAAATTGATTTATTTTATTAATTTATTTATTTATTATTCATAAATATATATAATAGATTACATTTTCTTTAATATTTTAATCTAATAAAATTATGAACATTTTTCACTAACAAAATTTTAAAGAAATTTTTCTTAGTTTGATTAAAATATATTTTATTAATTTTGAAATTTACATTTATTAATATATTAAAAATATACTTTAATGTAAAAATGAAATCTGTTTATTAAAATAAATTAGTTTCAAAATTTTTTAACTAAGATGGAAATATTAGATTTATATACAGGACAGGCTACATATTATTGATAATTACAAGTAAAATTTTATATGCATTTTAAATGTTTTATTCATTATTATTGCTGGAATGTATCATATGCTATTTCATCAGATTAAGAGTTTATCCTTTCGTAAAGGAGCTTGATTACACTCTTCTTTTATGGTGACTCTTGAATACTTTTTGATATTTGTTTTTGGTTATTTTAAAGTATATCACTGCTACTATTAGAGTATAGATGATTCTATTAGCTACTATTATGAGAATTAAGCTAATTGAGCTATCCAATAATATTACTTTTTTACTAATCTTATTAATAAATATTTTAATTCTAAATGCTTGCAGATGTTCCGTTTACTGAGAGCCATACATTTTAAATCTAATTCGATTAATTATTTACAATATAACTATTATTGTTGCTATTGTTGGTTTTGTTAATCACATTTACCTGTCTGATAGGTCTTTTTCTGAGCTCAGAAGATGCACGAATATATTTTTTCAGAGTGGATTTTGAATTATTGTCAAGTTTTAAAGTATTTAAATTATTTTTTAATACATATGAGTTTTATTATGAGTTATTATTAGCAATAGTGTAATTATTATTCACATTTAATGTAGATATATAATTTTAGCTACCATTAGTATTTTCAAATAAGCTAGAATTTCTGCTAAAATGAGGTCCTTTACTTTTTTAATTTAGGCTTGTTGCTTTTTTATAGTTAGATTTCCTGCTTGGTCTAGTTGAGTTACAGGCATTTTAGTAGCTATTAAAATTAACTTGGTTGAACTAATGGGATTAATGAGGTAAATATTGAGGATTCTATATTTAAATTTGACTTTATTTACAATCAGCTAAAGATATAGCACTTGGGAGAGTTTTTAATGTATATTAAGTTTCTTCGTTATTTATATTTCTACTTACTTTAGAATTAAGTAAGCTATTTTATTGGTGATAATATTGAACAGCACTACCAACTTATTACGATGAAGTGATTTAGTTTGAAAGTCCATTCGCTGTGTAATGCTAATTTTAATATGAAGCACTTGGTATGTGGCTATAAGTTTATGGATAACAATTAATTTAATTAGTATAACCTATTCCTATTACTGAATCATTATTATTAAAAGAGGATTGAATATTTGATTAATTGTAATTATTAAAAGAATTTTAAGTTTTTTATTAGTTAAAGCTGAGATTATTTGCAGTATTCTGATTGTTCAGTGCTTAATAAATAGATGTAGTATTATTTCCAAGGTATATTTAGGTTGTTTTTTTTAATTTTTCATTTATTTTTGAGTTATTTTAGTTGTTATTATTGAGTTATCTTTTTAAAATATCCTTAACAATTTACCTTGTATTAGAGGAAGAGGAAGTCGAAGATTAGGCATTAGGGTAATCTATTGAGTATCTTTTAGGTGAATAGATTAAACTACTTTTATTAAGTGTCTTATAATAGAAACTACCATAAATATCAAGAGCAGACTGGTCTTATCCATTACTATTAGCTTAAATTAAATTGAAGTTATTAATTTAATTTGTTGAGGGTTGTATAGTAACCGCATTTTCTATACTATTGCATTCTTACACTTACTAGGTGTAAAGTTAGCTCTTACTTCTAGAATTAGATCTTTAATGAAGCTTTGGTGAAATCGATTAATTAGTATTTAGAACTGATTGCTGCTAACCTGTAAAAATTACTTAACTAGGGTGGTTAATTGTTTAGTTTTAACTCACTTTAATATATTAATTTTAGCTAGACTATTGATTTTAAATTATAATACCATTTTCGTTTGTTTGCTTTCCTCCTATAAAATTTTATGGGGGAAAGTTACAATTTTAATTATTGCTAGGAGTTAATGTATTTGATGCACCCATAAGGAGGATACTTGGTTGATTAATAATGGAGTTATTATAAATCTAAAGATTCTAATTGTTATGAAAAATACTGTTATTATTGGTATTATTTTGGTTGCTACTTGTATGCTACGAAACACTTGATGAAGTGCATATGTTACTACCAATACTAAGTTTATTTTAAGGTCTTTAACAAGGATTCGTTAAAGTAGCTTGCTATGAAGTAAAATTGTACCCTTAAAGTTTTTATTAATTATACTACTTTTAGTTATTTGGGGATATATTGTTACTTCCTTTATTGTTGATTTAGTTATAATTTGTATGTGGATTTTGCTATGAACTATTGTGGCTAACTGTAAAATTGACATTTTGTTTTGAGAAAATATTACTGTTTGGAGACGCAATTCTTCTTTTGTTATTTACTTTCCTGATAAGTGAAGAATTAAGGCTAGAAACTTTGACTTATTACTGTGCAGCCTAAACGCTTCTGTTAGTTTATTGGTTATGAATATTTGTAAATTGCTGCTGTTTCAGTTTAATAGAGTTACTATTAATTTATAATTATTTTGTGTTAGGCTAGTGTTGCTATTTATTGTAACTAGATAAAACAGTATTTTAGGAGCTTTAAATTTAATTAGATTAAGCAGAGCTATTGTTTTAGTAAGTATGAAGAATAGGGTTTAAAATTGGGCTTGGATTAGTGTAAGTGTTAAATCCATTGTTATAGCTGTTGTTACATATATGACTATTATTTATTGTATTTACGTTTGTAGTGATTTGTGTAGAGTTTTGAACACTTTAAATATCACTTTTATTTTAAATATGTTAAGTGTTTTATTCTGAACATAAATAATTTTATTGGCTTTGAATGCTACTTTAGAAGATGTTTCCCTTAACGCCTTATATTTTCTTAATATTTTCTTAGATATGCTAAGTTTAACACATGCGTGACCTTATAGAAGGGCTTTCAGAAAAATTTATAGGAGATCTACCACTAATACAATTTTCATGATTCACACTTTAAAATTACTTTAGATTTGCATTATTATTTTATGATATGTTGGAGTTATTTTCCTCAGTATTTTTCTTAGCACTATTTACTCCAGTTGTATGGTTAATACTAGTCTTCCTAATGGATTTTATTGATTAATTTGAACCCTGTCTTATGATGAATCTATTGCTTTCGTTTTGTATGCTGTTTTCAATAAATTAATCACTATTCTAAATCACTTAATCACTTTTGTAGTAGTTCACAATTGTATCTCTTTTAGTATTAATCTATTCCTTATTAAATGCTGATGAACCAGAAGAAGGTTATGGTGAATGATGAGATTAGTGCTATTGATTTGTTAAAATTCTTTTTTTAAAAGAAACAGGATTATTAATTTAATTCTAATTTTGAGTTGACTTTTTTATTTAAGAGCTACTGCTCAAATCGTTATTGATGGTGTCGCTGATTGTGTTAGGTATTTCATCCCCAACTGAATGTATAGAAAAGCACTAATTTAATTTATTGCCTTATTCAATAGAGTGTTAGCTAAGCTCTGAAGATAATATCTTATTATTCTGAATATTGAAAATATTATTTTTTTACTGCTTCTTTTTTGATTTGAGTATTTACTACTCTCTTTCTGTAATATCCAAAGGATTTCTATACGAATGAAATATACCTCTACCAGATTTTCCAAAAGGAAATCCAGAAGCAATAAGAGATGAATTGTTCTTTTCATTGCTAGCAAAGGGAGAATTTGCTTTTTCTTCACTTCTTACTCTCTCTTAATTTTACTTATTTAACTATAAAAAATCATTTCCAACATTTTCAGTATTTCTTTTTAGAGTTGATCTGTCAGAATTTCCATTTAAATCATCATTGTATGCACTAACACCTCCTTAAGATGATGAAAACAAATGCATGCTTCCTACTTTATAAGCTTGAGGTTTTCTATCATTTATTTGTTCATATAAGCTCATACTCCCCTCACTCATCAAATCCATTTTTTAATTGATATCTCCTTTAGAATTAAGCTTTCTTATTATGAATTTTAGATTTTCCTTTTCACTATCATCAATAGATTATTTTTAATTGATTTAGGTATAATCATCAGTGTTTTGTTAACCTTCCTTTTCTTTTGATATATTTTCATAATTTTATACAGTACCATTTTAAGAAGAGCTTTTGAAACTAAACTATCTTTCTATGTTACATATTCCCATATCTCCTTGTTAATGATCCTATAAGCTAACAACCTCTAATACCTTAGACTCTTCTTAGCATTATGGATTAAGTTAAGGAGTGAGAACTTATGAATCTGAATCTATCCTAGATTCCTTTGTATTTTCTATCTGATCACTTTAGCAATCAAGTTATCCATATTTTTTAGCAAAAGAATTTGCTGGTATTTATATTATTTCAGGACTCATTCTAAAGTAGTTATTGTTTTTTTTATAATACTTTTTGCCACCTTCGCTTTCTTCATCTTCTTCATCTTCAATATCTTCTTCTTCAACCTTTCTAATTGTTGCGCTTTAAAGCTCTTTCGACTTTCCTTTAATAAAAACCGTGCCTGAAGAAATCCTTTTAGATTAATTTTCACAATCTTCCTCATAATCTTCTTCATTAGCCTGTGTTTTTCTAAATTCTATAACTTTTTCATCTATTAAACTATCACTAGAATTTTCATCTTCGTAAATATACTAGCAAGTATTTTAAGACAATGAAGATAATTTTTCAGACAATTGATCTTGATTTAAAATATCTTCTTCACAATGATGAACATTACCTTATAATTCAGAATTTGAAAATTTTTAATTATCAACCGCTTATTTTTCGTTTTACTAATTAGTTTCATTCAATTGCTCAGAGATATTTTAGTCACTTGATATAATATTTAGCTCTTATTGATCGATACTTTTACTATTTTAGTTACTAAACAAATATTTTGTATTGTTTTATAATTCATCAGTAATCTACTAATCTTTTTATTCGGTATTGATTTCTATAACACTATCAACTTGCTTGAGCATGCTCTCTTGTTTATAAGCTTATAGAATAGGATATATTCTTTTGCTTGAAGCAAGATCCTCACCTTCCTTTTCTCCTGATCTACTCAATTTAGATAGGAATATATCTGAAACCTATGAGTTATATCCTAATTTTTCTGAATTTTTTATTGTCTTTTCATCATTGGGATCAGCTTCTTATATCAAATCTAATTCGCAGTAATTGAGCTGATTTTAGTTTAAATAATAGCCATCAGCTATCGTATTTTTCATATAAAATGACCCTTAATCTTGGTTTGAATAAACTAGGATTACTAATGATTTCAACGTTTAATTTAATTGGCTAATTTATCTTTCTAATTTCTCAAAAAGAAATAAGTAACACTATATATATTGGTTTTGGATCAATTGAATGTATATAATTTATTTATTAATTAATTGTAAAGGAACAAACAATTAATTATTGATCAAATTTCAAAGCTGGATTTAATTATTTATTATAATTATCCCTAAAGTACAATAAATAGAACTTACTAGTCAAATAATAATTAAAAATACTTAAAATCTACATCATCATTAATAATTTTGTTATTTTTTATCTAAATGAAAAAAAAAATTATCTAATTCGTAAATATCTTATAAAGGCTTAATAATTAAATTTTAATTATTTTTTGGCTATAAATTAAAGACTTCAGATAGATCAATCATCTCCTCAATTCATTTTAGATTTTAATTTATGGCTAGGAATAAACAAATAACAGAATTTTCATTTTAAATAGAATATAAGAAGAATCTAATTTTAAACTTAACTCTATAAATAAAAATAAATTCAAAATCCAAATAAATAAATTTATTTATTCTCATAAAGTTAATTATTTAAATATTGCTTTTAAATTTTATTTGCTTTACTTTTCAACTTTTATTTTTTTTTTTTTCTGTGAGATTGTTTTATATGATTGCACTATAATCATACCAAAATATTTATACAACCCAATTAATTTTTTGTTTTGTATTTCAATAATCTGTTCTGTTTATCTTACAATTCTTAGATAATATTCATCCAAAAATTTGATAAATTTTCCTAAGGGACTAAAGAGTAAATTAATCTTTTTTCAGTGATGCATATTTTATTTAATTTTTCTCAATTTTGAATAAAAAAATTAAAATTAGTAAATTTTAACAATAACAGATATATTTAAATGAGTATGGACTATATAAATTTATATATTGAACTTAAAATATCAAATCAAATTATTAATTTTGATTTAGCAGAATCTTTGTTTTTAATATCATCAGCTTTTTATTTTTTCTTTGTAAGTTCTCTCTGCTGTTCATCATACATAAACTTAATGTATACTTACATAGGCCTAACTAATTTAAGTACATGCACAGGAACTGCAGTGAGTAGAGACTGTGTCCTCCATATATCTTCAGTTAAACTATCAGCTATGGGCCACCAAAAAACAAGATACATCAAGAAAATCATGGCAATAAATATTAAGAAAAGTATAAATTTAATAGTTTGTATTTATTCCAAATTATTTTAAATAGAACTTTAAAAAGACGAAACTAAATATCTAACAGAGAATTTGATGTAATTTCTTTGCATATCTCTAATCTCCTAAGCAACAGGAAGACGAAGTAAATTAATAATAGAGTTCAATGTTTAATTATTTAATCCAAGATTAACTTCAGTAAAACCTTTTAAATTTAAATTTTTATAAAACATATCACTCAAATTATAAAATTACATAAAAGTTAATTTTATTTGCAAAAAAAGACTTTTCAATTTAAAAAAAAATTGAACAATTAATTAATTGGCAATTTATTTATAGAATTATTACCTGGTTGAACATTATCCCATGTAAAGACACCTTCTAATATTTATTACTAATATGTTAAGAGTTACCTTATGTTTTCAAAATATCTAGTAAATGCAGCAGTCATCCCTGATTATACTGCACCATTAGCAAATTAATTACATTAATCTATTGTAGAAACTATTTTATTATTTAAAAAAATTTAGCAAGGATCCTATGTTATGATTTGAATGAAATCGTTTTTATATGAATTAGAAACAATTTATATATTTTAAGAATGCTCATATAAGATATTAGAGTCAAGCTCAAACATGTCATTAATATCACTAAGGCAAACCACTTTTTAATCTTACTAATATAAAAAATAAAATATATTGATAGTTAAAAACAATAAATTAGATACATTAAAAATCTTATAGGTAGGATTGATGAAATAATTTCTTTAAGCATTATCAGAAAAAATATAAAGCGACTCAGAATAAGCAGTATAATTAAACTCTGGAAGCAAAGTTTCTATATTATTCAAAAGATTATTCCCTAAAAAATATGATGCAATAAAGTAGGCCTCTAAAACCAAAACACCAAAAAGCATTTTGGAAATAATGGTCACTATGTTGTTATCAATCTAATTTAATCATAAATATGTAAATTAACTATAAATAAATTATTGATTAAATAATTATAATCAGATATTTTTTGTATATTTTAAATTATCATGCAGTTTAATTTATTTATTTTAAAAATTTAAACATATTTCTTTATTATTGATAAATAATTTGTTTGCCATTTAGTTGTTTTTTAGGCAATTACTATTTGATTTTAATGATAAATTAAACAAATTACTTAATTCACGTATTTCTTTTTCTTTCTCTTCATTATTTCTTCTTCTCCTTATTCTCCATTTTATCCTCCAAACCCTTAGTTATCGTCATCTCTGTCCAAATCATTTACAGATTATGTATCATCTTCATCTGCTCTAAGCTGTGAGACAAAATTTTGGCATTAAGTGTGCAATTGCTATCATAATATTGGAAAATTGTAGAAAAATAAATTTATAAAGAAAACATTTTTACTTATACGTATTTGTTTGGCACGTGTAAAAACAAATTTATAACCTTGCCACTTGATTTATTTACAAAGTTTAAAACTGGATATAATAAACTCATGAAAAGGCAAATTATAATTGGTGATATCAGCAGAAGAACAAAGAAAAGTGTAGATTGGTTATTAGTTTCAGATTTTAAATCCTGTAAATAGAGTGTGTTAGTAGTTCTGAGGTAAGATTAATAGTCATTCATTATATTCAAATAAAAGTTTTATACATCATTATTATTTCTATTAATACTACTGACTCCTGAATTAATAATTGATAAAGCTTTTGATATCATCTAAGAAGTAACTTAATTAAATGAGTAGTATTAAGATGAGCCTCCATCTAAAATAACTTTCACTTAGCTGTTGGTAAGCATGTTACTCAATGTTGAAGATGGTCTATTAGTATTCAAAAGCAGATAGTTAGAGATTATATCAGTATCACTTATGACAGCCTATTTAATAAATTAATAAAGATATTATTAATTAATAATTATTCTTAAATTACAAATTAATGAATAATTTTTTATTAGATATATTTGTTGATAATTTATTTTTAGTTAAAATTTGTATAAATAAATGAAAATAGTAGCTAAGTTATTAGAATAAATTCAAATTTTTAAGATTTACTTTCGTATCTGTTATAAGGTTATTTATGTCTGATGAGCTAAAGGTGTATAATTTATCGTTATTCAACTATAAATCGCGAATATTTGCAAGAATATATTAGAAATTAGCAATTCTTTAGCAGGAATATGTTATAAGTTAAATATCAGATTTGATATTTCCAAAGACTGAAACACCAACAAAGTATTCAACAAAAGATATAACTGTAAGTAGTAAAAGGAATATTTTTACAAATGCGTTTAACACTCTAATTTCTTATGGCACAATTTTAGCATTAATGACTGAATTTAGAGCTTTTCTGCTAGTGAACGTATCATTAAAATTGTGATTTAACTTAGTACTTTCCTCGCCTCCATCATCTAAATTTTATCTAAAGATACTGTCTTCCAAATCTTCTTCTTCTTTTTCTGAATCTTAAGAATCTTCTTCTTTGAAATCGTGCATCTCATGGATTTTGCTTTTGAAAAGTCTTACTGTTTTGATTCCTTACTCGTAATTAGTTGTCATCTGTACTTCATTTTTGAGCACTTTATTATAGTTTAATTTATAAAAAAAGTCAAAAAAACTAATTAAACTTACTATTATCTTAGTACAAAGTGTTTTTTATATAACGATTTTGGTTCCAATCTTTGTTTCCTTCTGTTTGGAGAGTATGCTTTTGCTACTCATTATCTTCTATTTCTTCGTTATCATCATGTTCTCTTTCATTTTCTTTTATTTCATTAATATGATTATCTGGTGAATTATTAAATTTTTTTTATTCTGCAGAGTTCAAAGTAGGTTAAGTTAAGTTAGATGCAGGAGCTTGCCTTGAAGGACTTTAGAAGTTATTTGGTTATTTTAAAATTTGATCACTGCTTAAATTAGATTTTTTTGGAATGTTAGTGAGACTCTATTAATTGGATTTATTTTTTTATTTTTGAAGCTTAGACTAATTCTGATTGTAAGATTGATTATCATTTAAAGAAGAAATTGAATTATTTAAGTTTTGCTCATGAGATTGACTGTCTGCTTCACTTCCTGGGATAAATCCATATTCTCCAAGAAAACCTTTTGTTTGCTATTAAATTTTTAAATTTTGTTATCAAATTCTAGTTATTTCTAAAATTAAATAAATCAAAACAACAAAAAAAAAAAGTTTACTTTTTCATAAGTAAATTAAAATGTGGATAAACTAGGGTTAGGTCTAAGCCTTGAATTTTATGCAATATCTGAGACTTTATCTATTTTGATTATGTAACCTACAAATTCATCGTTTGAGAAACAAATCTCACTTATTTATATTTTAAGGCTTATGCTTTTCATTTTTGGTTTTGTTTTAAGAGAATCAATATCTCTAATAGATCCACCAGCACTTGAAGGAAATTAGTACTAATAGATTTAACCTTGCTTGTTCATGTAATTGTCTCTTTCTTCCATAAGTTAAGGGAAAAATTGGTCTATTTTCTTTTCCTTTGAACTTACCAATTTGTAGTCTATTTTTAGCATTGAAATACATGTTGAAGATATGGAATTAATTTATCCCTCTACATTAATTAAAATGTAAGCTTGATTCCTGAATTATTTATCATACCTAATATTGCCAATTAGCTATAAGCCATGCATTAGAGTATCGAATGATTTTACTCTGAGATAAATTGGAATAATATAGGAGCTTTTATCTATATATTTTAATATTAATTTAAAATTTGAAAAACAAAGAGATAAAAATTTTTACGTGTTATAAATAAATGCCTTTCTTCTTTAAAATAATTGAATTCATTTCTATTTAAGTAGTTTTCTAAAAATTGATCATGATTTTATCCATAAAGATTAGGCATAAGCTTATTTATATTGTTATTTATTAATTCAGTTTTACTGCTACCAATTAAAATAGTTGCTGCTAGATTTAAGTGTTATATCTAGCCTAATTTATCAGACTCAGCAGAAATAATAATACAAGGTTAAGAATCAGTGTCTTACTCCATATCTGAGTCTCCTTTTGTCCTATTTTAGTACTTTTTGCCATTATTTTACAAAAAATTGGCCTAAGTGTGAAGCTATTGTCCCGTCTTTTGGTCTTAAATAATTTCTATGATGTAACTAGCATAAAATCTGTAAGCTTTTGGTCTTTTATCACAAATTCTAGTCAGACGTTACCAGTCATTCTCAACTTTAGCTTTAGTTCTGTAAATATGACGACCAAACTAATGAATTTTTTTCATATCTGGTGTCTCTTCTGATAACTGCTACCAAAAATCCATATGAGCTTCGCTGCTCAATTCAATATCAGCCCTTAATTATTTAAATATCTCTTAATATCTAATCTCACTAATTATATCAAGTACACCTAACTCTTCATCTATATTTCCACCTATTTTCATTTTATTTTACTTATTTTCGTTCTATATTTCCTCTTCTATAATTTTTTTAAGTCTAAATATGGTAAATTATATATCAAAAGGTGGGAAATTCTCTTCAGCAATAGTTAATTCTTATAAAGCTGTTTATTTAAACTTCATCTTTTCAATTAAGAACGATGCATAATTTATTCTCAAGTTAGTGTGATTTGGGAATCTTTTAGTGCCTTCATAAAACATTTAGTACACAACCTGAATAATCTTAGAATGTTTTTCGTTATCTATTTCAGGGTTATTTGCTTTTATCTACTTTAATATTCTGTTAATCTTCTAATTATTCTTTGCAACAAGTGAGCAATCTTGCTTATTACAAAGCTATTTGTGGATTTCTATATAACTAAATTTAAATAAAGCATTTTGAATTAATAATTATTTATCTATCTATTTTTATTAAAAAATAAATAATTAAAATTACCCATCCAATGTGATGTGAATCTACTAATCTTATTTATACATTTATAATAAATTTATTAAGACTCTACTCTATTTATAATAAAAACTATTAATTTAGATAATTTAAAAAGGTTTGTGGCATAATTGCATATTTTATTAATTCATAATAATCAGAAAGATTTTATTTTTATTATTAATTTATTTTACCTATTGAATAATTTCTTCTCCGTTAGCAAATTTATTCACATTTTAGAATAGTCCATCAACTTTTTCATCTCTGGAAAGCAAAACAAATAATACTAGAAGTGGCGATCCAATTATCCATATAACTATGGTACCAGTATAAAAATTGTTTTCTAGTAAAATAGCTGAAGCCAAACATGCCGAAGTCCAAAGTTACCATGTTGCCAAAACATCATGCAATAAAAAGAAAGATCTGTTGTAAAAGGGTGAGTTAAAGTGAGTTCTTTAGAAAATAATTATTGAACCACCAAGAATCATACCTAAAATGAGATAAATAAACTAACTGGTACTCATGAAAACAAACATGACGACAAGTACTAATTTATAAATGTTGAATGTATAAGTAATATGCCCATTAGCTCGAGCTGCTGTATCTTAAGAGCTCATTTTACTATCAAAAAAGGTCTAGGACTTTTTATATTAAATATAAATTTAATACTTAATAAAATTGAACTAACTTAGTGAAAACAGATTTTATTATTTTTCTATCTATATTTCAATTTATTTCTTTACAATTATTTTGCAAAGTAGTTTTAAAATATTTTATGTCTCTAATGTATTTAATAATGAACAATTGTATATTTATCTCAATCTTTCACATATCAACATGAGAGAGGTTAATAAATATATTTTATACTTTTCTTGTAATTTATTACAAAATCTTCAATTAAATTATCTTTGTAAAACAAATTATTCTAAGTAGTAAATAAATAATAAATAAATTTTCAAGAAAAATTATTTTTTTTATGGAAATTAATTTTATTATAATAAAATAAATCAAAAGTATTCTCAATTTAATAATATAGAGCGACATAGCTTTAATCATTTTAATAAATATTTAAAAACTTACTAAGAATAGAACTAAGAAGGTGAGAGCGCCAATGAAGATGAATGCTACAAAACAGTGAAGAATATGAATACCTGTCCAGCATTATACATCATTAAAATCAGAAAGTACAGTTTTTGAAACACCGTTTACAGTGATACTGGTACATCCAAAAATATTACTAAATAAATCTATGAAGGCCAAATAAAAGATATGCATAGTGAAGACTACTAGATACTTTGAGATGGTAATTGGCCAATTAAATGGTAACTTATACTAAGAGTACATACTCACGTAAAGCAAAAAGAGCAAAATAACTACAATGATAATCACGCACATATAAAAAACAGCTATGTATGTTGAAGATGTAGAATATTTCACTATATTAGGATATATCATAAAAAATGAAAGAAATGTTTCAATTCCTTTCTAAGTGTTACTAGAGTTCCAATATGTGGCATTTATATCAGTAAATGAGAAAAAAATTATTTAAAAGAATTCTATAATTGTTAGAACAGCATTAAAAAAAAATGAATTTTCTTCTAATCTAAGTAGCTGATAGACAACTTCAAATGCTCTGAACTTTACCTACTCTTAAATCTTTGAGTAAAATGATTTGTCTGTTTCTTGCTTTCTATTTCTATTTAACATTTCTACCTGTCCGTCCAAATTCTATTAGGAGCAATTAACTTATTAAATTAAATAGTAAATATAATAATTAGAATGTTTGATTATTCAAATACTAACTTAATACAATTATTGCAGAATTATTTATGCTTATGATGTTCTATTTCTATGAAAAACTTTCACTTTAAACGTTCTTTTTTTATATTTTAACAATTATTTAATAACCTTTTCAGTTTAACTCAATTTTTATCAAAATAATTTTAAATTTAAAACTTTAATTTTTCTTGCATCATGAATAAAAAAAATGTATTTAAAAAATTTTTAATTTTAATAGATAAAACTGTTTTCTTTTTATAAACATCTTATTTTAATACATTCGTTTAAGTAAAATATAAAAAATATTCAAGTAAGTAAGTAAATAGATTAATTAATAAAAATATAAAAAATATTTTCAACTCAATAAATATTTTGATTTTATCTTTAATTTTTATTACAGAGAAAATCAAATAAATAAAAATAATAAATTAAAAAAAAATATTTAATTGACTTTAATCAATATTAAATTAATTAGTTATTACATTAAAAACATTTTAGATCAAAATATAAAAGGTAAAATAAAAATATTATCTTTAATAAAACTGAAACAGTTTGGTTTAAATTTTTTCATTTAAAATACTTATTTTATTCAAGATCTAATTTGAAATTGATTGTAAAATTTTAGAAGAATGCAATTTTTTACTTTTATATCCTATAATTAGTTTAGTAGATTAAGCTTTTATTATTAATCACATCGATACATAATAATTTAAATTAATTTCTACTAATTTAAAATTGTATCTATTTTTGCATATTATGATTCATATTTACTTTCGAGAATCAACTGATTTTTATTCAAATATTTTTTTATTTAATTAAAATTAAGTTGTAATCAAAATGAATTATATGCAAGTTTGTTAATAGGCTTAAGAAACCAACAAAAATGCAATATATTAAAATACTAATCCTGTTCTGAGATACTCTGCTAATGTTAACGAAATAGAGAATTATAGATAAGCAGAGAGGAGGAATCTTCATAATTATTCTATAAAAAATAGAATATCCAGTAAGTATGTTTATCTTAAAATATAAGTTAATCACATGTTTCAACTTTGAAAAAATTTAATTATTCAATATTGTAAATGTTAAAATATACAAATAAATACTAATATTCTACTATAAACATAAACAGAATCCCCTCCTTTCCAAAAAGAAAGAGATGATCAAAATTCGCTTAAAAAAAATATGATTATGAAGCTGAATGTATCAATTTAATTGATGGTAATAAATAAAATCTAATTTTTTTTTTAACAGGAGTAATAAAATAGTGAATAAGAAGAAGAAAATAAATACTTTTAACAAACCAATAGTAATTTTTAAACTAGTTTATTTATTAATTTTGCTAATAATTTGAATTTTTTTGCTTCAAAATTCATTTATATTTGATCGTTTTTTTATATTTTAGGAATTTTTAAATTACCATTAATGGATAAGTGCAATAATAATAGGCCTTTTAGTTATTCAAAAATATCTCCAAAATTTCATAAGAAGAATAAGGATATATAATTATAAACTTTAACTGATAGGAGATAAAGTAATCAAGATGTTTAATAAATGGCAGAACCTCTAACTCAAATAATAAATAGCAATTAATTAATTTTTAAGGTAGCTTTAGGGAAGTAGAACTTTGAGAAAATAAAATCTTTAGAAAGGTAGAGCTTAGTATAGCAGTAAGATCAAAGGAGTGGCTCAAAAAATTAAGAAAATAAAAAATCAGCTTGTACATAACAATAAAACCAAGAATTTCCCTCTGACTTGATCAGATTATAATTAACTATGAATCCATCCAACTCTTAATCTTCTAAAATTTTTTTTATGCAAAATAATGGATAAGTATCACTTTAATAGCTAACTAGAAACTCTTAATAAAATCAAATAAAGACTTTTTAAAAGATAAAAACATTTTATGAAGGCAAGTAATCTTACTCACCTAAAAGAGGAACTTTAAATTATTCAGAAAATGGCATACAAGGAGTTAAAATCACTTAATAGCTTCCAGTTTATAGCACTAAATTTTAAAATAATAAAAACTAAAAATTTCAAAGTCACTTTCGAACTCCAAAAAACGATGAATATTCTGAAAATTTATAAGAAGAAATACTTAAAAAGTAATCAGCTTCCATGAACCAAACATAACTTTAAGTAAATTAAAATAGCATGAATAAACTATTCATTGAAGATTAGATACAAAATTTTCATAGTACTGTGAAGGCAAAAATAAAAAATTAAAACAATTTTAATGGAGAAATTTCATCTAATTAATAATTTTAGAAAAAGAAAAAATCGTTTTAGCAGACAGTGGAAAATTATAACTCTTAAAATCTTATTTAGAGAATATATTCAACAAGTATATTTGAAGAGACCTACCTAAAAGTTTTTATTGGAGCAGGGAATAACAGTTCTCTAATTAAATATATTTCAGGGTAGAGATGGTGGTTTGAAATATATGATATGAATGATAAAATAAATCCCTCTATATTTAGTGCAGATTCTTCTGTCTATTCAGATTAGGTTAAGAAGGACAGCAGGAGTCATTCATTTTCAAGATATTTAGGTGAGCTCATATGGACACAAATTAAATAGAATGATATCATAAATGACATGCCTACATTATCAGAGTTAAAATAATTGAAAAATGAATAAATTTAATGTAAAAAGTAACAAACACTTGATTCAACTTAGTCAACATCATGTTAAACAGTTGATTAAAAATCACTTTCTTAAATAGAAATGAAAGATTCAAAAGAAAATAAATCAGTAACTAAAACATATGAAAACCTTTCAAGTGAAGCAAAAGATATTGAATCAATATAATTGAAAGGTTAAAATGATTAGAAGGATAGATAAATATTCAAAATGTTAAATACACCTTCAATAAGGATTTATAATCACTTTGAATGTAACTATCAGATCTGTAATAAAAAAAATATGTATTACAACCTAAAAGAGCTGTATGAAAAGAGGGGAGAAAATTTATTATTTGAAAGAATCCCATACACATTTCATGTTAAAAAAGCCTCAATGAAAGACTCAGCCTTTGCTTAGTTCTCTAAATATTATAACAAAATTTAAAATGGAATATAGCTATAATAGAAGAAAAATTCAGAAAAATGCTGCAAGAATATTTGGATAGTAAAGCCTGCTGAAAACACAAATAGAGGTACAGGGATATTTGTAAGCAGAGAAATAGCTGAAATTAAGCAATTTATTAGCTAAAACACTAGAACTTAATCAGCACATCATGGTTCTGCTAATGAAAGGAAGGGAAGCCCAAAATTAAAAAATAAATAAGTTAAGCATACATATATAATATAAAAATATATCGAAAATCCTCTACTTTATTAGAAAAGAAAGATAGATATAAGATGTTATATTCTTCTAACTAATTACAATGGAATAATCAAAGCATATTGGTATAAAGAAGGCTACATAAGAACATCTTCAAAGGAGTTCACAACAAAAAACCTTAAAAATAATTTTATACACTTAACAAATGATGCAATTTAAAAGCAATAAGAAGATTATGGTAGGTATGAATTAGGGAATAAAATATCATACAAAGAATTTCAAAGATATTTAGACTCTTAAACTGAATATAAAATTAATTTTATGTAGATGATAATCCCCCAAATGAAGGTAAAATTTAATTCAATAGTTCAAATCAATTTGCAAAATTTAATTGAATAGCTCAAATAAATTTGCAAAATTTTACTTTTTTTCTTTGAAATTAAATATTCTAATTTCTGAAATAAAATTAAATAGCACTTTTCTATATTACCTTACTGTCAAAATCTAATTTACAATATTTTTAAATTAAAGTCATATGCATTAGACTGTGTCAGAAGCATTTTTACTAAAATTGACCCAAATAGGAGACAATTTAGCTTTGAAGTAATTTTTAATTTTTTTTTAGATGTTAAAATTTCTTATTCATATATTTATACATAGTTGTTTGGATTGGATTTTATGATAGATGATGATTTGAAAGTTTGGTTAATTGAAGTGAATGCTAATCCTTGTTTGGAATAATCATGTCCACTACTCACAAAGATAATTCCTCCTCTGATTCACAATACTTTAAAGTAAATTCCCTTTTAATTTCTTATAATTTAACTCTTTTAATTTTGCTTAAAATCAAAGTTAATTTTATAAAAAATTCATAAAAAACATTTTTAAAGTTTGATTAATAATTTATTAAAATTTTTTTATTTAGGATAGCAGTTGACCCTTTAAGTTAAGGGCTAAGCATAGATAACTGGAACTTAGATAAAATTGAGCATTTTAGTAAGTATTACCAAAACGAAACAGATAAATTTGAATGTATTTTTGATGAACTCAAAGATGGGGAAGAAATTTATAAATTATATGAAAACTGATTTCATGTTTTCAATATAAAATAGAATAAATCAACAAAATTTTTTTAATTAATAATTAATTTCTATGATTATTGATTAGTTTTCATTACTTTTATAAATATATTAACAATAATAAATTCTAATTACAATCAATTTTAAATAACTAATTTATTTGTTAAATTCATATTAGATAAATGTACATATTAGGTTATTAAAAAATAAAATTTTCCATAAATATATGAAAAATAAATTAGTGTCATTAAACTATTATAAAATCACAATTTATATAGTTTGAAGTAATTTGTATCTATAAAGTACGTAAGAATTATTTTTTAAAGGAGTTATTAAATTTTTTCATATTTTTAAAAAATTATAACAAAATTATTTTGGAATCATCTAGATTTAGAACAATTCAATATTTTTGTGGAACAAATATCAACTTTAATAAATTTATAATTCTCTTTTTGCTATAAAATCATAAAAAACACAAAAATGTTTTTACTAAATTTATATCAGTACAAAATTTTCGAACTCATTGAGCTTAATCTAAGGTATCATTTTGTGATTTTGTATAGCGTCTACTAAAAATGACATAGAAAGTGAAAAAGAAAAAATTAAATTTGAAGCTAACCAAATAATTTAATAAGTAATAGAAACTATTTATAAAGACTTGGTACTTTTTAATAGAAGAATTCTTTCTTCTAGAATATTAACTCTTTGTATAATGAAATAATCTTACAACTATATGGGCTTATTTTTTAAAATTAAAGCACAAATAGCTTTTATGCTATAGGCAATTTAAAGTATGTAATATTTCATGAAATAGAGTAGCAGCAGTTAAACGCTTGCTGTTTTATTATGTAAGTTAAATTTATATTATTTAAAGGAAAATGAAAAGCATTTTAATGAATATAGTAAAAAGTGAAAAGAAGATGAGAAGGTTGATAGAGATAAGTTAATTTAATTGTATTTTATGTATAATATATAATAAAAAATATATTTATATATAGTTGTTTATATAATCATAATCAGCTTGGTCGTCTTGTTAAATCAAATTATATAATATAAGATAATTTCTTTGCTTGAATCTAAGTTTTTAAATTATAGATGCTGAGAAGAATAATTTATATATGCATTTGTTTATATATATAAAATAGTATTAAGTGTTTTAAGTAGAAATTTATTATGATATTAAATTATGTTAATTGTTTATATATTTTTTATATCTTTTAATAGTCAGTTCTATTACTTTATCCATCTTCCATCTTCTTCTTTGATTAATACACAAAAACTAACTTGGAGCAAAATCAATTTTAATTTTGATTTTTTTGAAAAGATTATTCTCAATTTTTCTATTTCACAATAGAGCCATGAAAATAAATAAATTAATTAGTTAGTATGCCTGCCTGTACGAATGAATGAATGAACGAAATTGATCTAATTATATGAATGATAAATCTTCTATTTTAGGTTAACAAGCAGAAGCAGTTTCTGTTTGTAAGTGATTTTGATCTATCTTCAAATGAGATAAATGTGTTAAGTTAAAAGAGTTAAGTAAATTTAGAGGAAGTGTTTATATATAATTAAATAGAGGTCTTTTTTTGAAGGAAGAATGGGAGAGGCCTATTGATAGATAAATAGTTAGTTATTTAGTTAGTTAGATGGTTAGATAGATGGTTAAATAGGGAGTTAATTTCTTTATAATTTGTTGTTAATATAATTATAATTGAAATAAAAATATTTTTTTGCTACTCAATCAATTAATCAATCCTCTTGCAATTTCTATCCCATTTCATTTTCGTCGTTAAGGAAATCGCAATATTCTTCATCATGTGGAGAAGCTCCATTTATATTGTTTAAATGTTCGAAAGATTTGTTTATATATTCCTATTTCACATTGCTATGCTAGTAAAATTCGTTATTGAAGCTTCCAAAGTTAATACTAGGATTTTTATTTAAATTCAATTCAGCCCCGTTCATATCAAAGCTATTATTTAACTGATTTTCATAGTATTCATATTAATGCATATAGTTCATATAGTTATTTTATTATTGGGGGCATTTTTCAATATCCATAGCATTTTGGGCGGAAGCGTCAGCTCCTCCGTTGTAATGGTTGTATTCTTCTTCATTGTAATAAGCATTGGTGTTTCTGTATTAATCATCCTCATACCCTTGTGGTACTTCTCTTCTCTCTTATTCATTTTAGCTATGGTTGTAATTATTACTATTGTTGTTTACTTAATTAGCGACAGTGTTTCTCATTCTGATTTCTTGTTCTTAACAGTTTTAGTACATATTTTAATTTTTGTATTTATTGTAAATAATTTCTTCTTCTTGTGAATATGGGGGAGGAGGAGGTAAGTTATTTACTTGATTTGAAGTAGTTAAAGGGGTTTATGATGAGTTTTTATTATGGGTATTGCGTGTGTCTTCTATTTCTAATTCAATTTAGTTGACAACAGCCTTAGCGGTAGTGGTTGTAGCAGTAGTATTAGAGATTTCTCCTGCTTCATCATGTCTACTTTAGGTTTCTCTATTATCATCGTCTACTTAGACATCATCGTCATCTGCTTTATTGGAGCGTTTTTGTCTGTCACGAACGAAATTTCTCAGGACTCCTATCTTTTCTTCAGAGCGTCCTTTAAAGTCAAAGTTATAAGTCTCTGCTTTGCGGATATACTTGTAGTAGTCATCCAAAGTTTTACGAGAGAGACCAACCATGGAAGCAGCTACATCAAGATTAACTTTTATGAGACGACCTTGTTCGTTTTAAAATCCTGTTTCGTAATATTTTCTCCATTCCATAACGCGATCGTAAACATATCCAATCTTTCTTTCCTTGACACGCTTTTCACGTGGAATAGCTTTGGTGCTGATATCGAAATTATTATCTTCTTCCTCGCCTCCCATCATTGTGTTAGCTTGATTAGCAGTAGTGTTATTAATATTGCTGACTTAAGTATTCTAAGAGCTGCTTGGGAGATATTACTAGCAGTTATTTCTCATGAAATTTCCTTCAAACATTGAACGTTGCTTACTGGAAAAGAAAGTATCTTGGCAGGCACTATTTTAGGCAATGTTGGAAGGATACTGTTATGAAGGCATTCTAAATTGGGAGATATTGCTATTTTCGCAAGGATTAGACATGGGATAGTAAGATTGTTAAATAGGGCGGTATTTTATGGTAATCTATTCACTATTAAATTTCTACAAGGGGATCATAGTATTAGCAGTGATAGGTTCAGTTCCTTGATGTACAAAAACTTTACGCTGTTCATCATAGAAGAAGATGCTGGAACCAGGCTATATAAGATTCTATTCACGCAAATAAATAATTAAATCTCTAAAGTAAACATTATCCTGAATATCAACAGCGATAGGAGCTCTTTCAGTAAGGATTCTATCCTCATTTTTATCATTAATTACCAAAATGTTGCGATTTATGATACGACGGTTTTGAAGTCCTTCCTGTACATAAGATTTGTACTATGATTCTGGAGGCATTTCGTCTGTATTTTCTTGCTTGAAAGGCATTATTTGTTGAAATACTACTTAGAGTCTTGTCTATTTGTTTATTTTTTAATTGTTTTTTACTAATGAATTAGTCTATTTTCAAATTATAACAAAAGCACCAAATATTATTTATTCTTCTTTAATATATCGCTTGCTTTCTTGTTTTTGATAAATACGGGGAATTCTATGAGGAAAGTATTTTTTTTGTATTTTTTTCTCTTCTTATTGTTTATAAATAATTTGTATATTTAAATTACTGAAATAATATATAGCAACTAGTTTTTAATAAACTTAGATGGTTAGTTAGTTAGATAGATAGATAGAAAGATAGGTGTCAATAATTGGTTAGCAAGTAGATGTCTTTATTTATTTTTTAAAGAAAAATTTGATTTTCTTTTTATTTGTTTTTATTTGAAAATAATTATAGTTAAATTTCATCTTTTTAGCTCTTATTTCATTTAAATATTTTTTTGTTAGATTATATCAATTAGGTGATTCATTCATTCATTTATTATAAACATATATATATATATATTCTTTCATTTAGTTATATATGTAGAATAAACACCTTTCTCTAATTATTTCTAAATATCTTTCTCATTCTTTCACATTTTTTCTTTTTTAAATTTCTCATTGAAATTTAAATATCACATAAATCAACATTTTACTATCTATATTCATATATTTACAAATAAAAGGGATTTATTTTTCATTTATCTATTATTACTGCATTTATTCTTTGATTTTTCTTATTTTTTTCTGCTCAATATTTAAAAAATTATTTAAAAATAAACAAAAGAGAAGCGGAATACAATATAAAAAACATAATTATAATTTATATATCTGCATTTACTCATACATATTAACAGTTTCTGTGTAAGTCATTTATTTTTTTTAATTTCTTTAAAAATTGAGTTTCATCAAAAATTGTAGGCAATAAAATCTGAAGAATCTGTTCTGAATTTTTATATATTAGCCGCTAATAGCAAGTGTTTTATAGGTGACACTAAAAAAGTGACAAATTAAAAGAAGAGATTCTTAGGAAATAAAATAATTGAGATAATAACCTTTTTTAACAAATATTTCTCTGCAATACTTTTTTTAAAAAGAATATGCAATATTTCTGTTACTTCATTTAAAAATTTATCTACTTAAGTTGAATAATCTCTAAACAAGTTATTCACTTTAAAATTAGCCCTAACATTAAAAAAAACCATCTTCAAAGAATTTTATCATTCAAATTTACTAAGCTTAATTGTTTCTAAAGCGATTAAACTGAAATCTTAGAGACATACTTTTAGTTAAATATTAAAAAAAATCGTTTAAATTTTTAAATATTTTATGAATATTTTTAAAAATGGGCTATAGAGTTTTTTGTATCTCTTCAAAAGGCTTTTAGATTTTAATTGAAGACAATAAAAATGATCTTTCCAAATTATTTTAAAATAAAAATATTTTCTCAAGAATAAATTTTTTTTATTTATGAAACTTAAATAGTAATAAAATATTTAAAAATATTTATTTAGGTTTAATTTTTATATAGAAAAATTTCTTTCAATTTTGTATTAAATTTTCTAATCATCTTAATGATGCAATTAATTGCTTGAGGTTCGAAATTTATTTGTTATTTTAAGTTTCGAAAATTATAAAATTTAAAATATAAATAAAGCAATATAAAATGTTGCCTACCTCATATAGGCGTTAACCTTACTGGTATTTTTAATATGTTACTTAAATTAAATGGCTCCAAAAGATAAAATGATATATTTCTAATTATACTTATAACTTTTTTAAATCAATTTAATGCTCATTTAAATCAAATCAAAATATATACTCTCGAACACTTTTATTTTCTTAGTTTAATGATGATATATTAAAAAATATTCACTTGAATCCAAACAATAAGAAAGAAAAAAAACCAAACTATTTTTTCACTTGTAATTATTGAACGATTAGAATACGTCTTCAGCCTATTTAAATAATTTATGATTTGAAAAATATCAAAATACCTGATTTTTTTCCCTTTTTTCTTCTTCATTTTGAATCACTATTGTTGCTATAATCAACTTTCAATAATAGCCTTTGGTTTAAATAAAATCTAAAAGTTGATATCAATTTAAAATTTTCTAAGGTAATTATTAAAAATATACTTTTTTAAATGTAATTGTCAGCTGCTTATTTTTGGCACTTGCACCCATATATTCAATTGAAGAAAATATTTAAATTACAAATTTTTTGATCCACTTTTAAAATCTGAATTTGTCAGATAGTAGTATGATGGCACTTTAGTGCTTAAAATTGTATTTTAAACGAAAGAATAAACAGAGAATTAAATAATTTACTGTAAGTTAGACTTAACTTTTTAAAAAAATAGGTTTTTCTTAATTCAAAATATTAAAATTTTGAAACTACAAATTAATATATGCTATGACGTTAAGAAAGAATTAATTAATTAATTAATAACTCTTTTTATTTTTTAAATATTTAATCAGTACAGAAATTTAAATTTACTTCAAAAGTTCTTCATGATAGATTTGATATAGTTTTCCTTCCCTTCAAATTATTTTTAAATATTAAAAATAGATGATTATTTAAAATAAATATTTAGTTCATTTACTTAATGTATATATGCTATAAATTTCCAATCTTTTCTACTATTTTATTTACTGAAGATCTTCTAAGCTCGAAAGTTTATAAAAGTATTTAATAAAAAAAAATAGTTTGATTTCTGCTACAATTAATAAAACAAAGCTGTAATTTACTTCAAAATTTGAAAACATTTTAATAAAATTCTATAAACATAATTTAATTTTATAAATTTTTTACATTTTTGAATTTTTGTAACAAATATCTAATAAATTTATTTACAGTGTCAATCCAATATGATTGCAAAAATAATAAGTTAACAAGAAATGATTTATTTATAAATTTACTATTATTATTAAGTTTAATATATTTACATTAATAAGTTATATGTATTTTAGATATATAATTTAAAGTAAGTTAAAAAATTTACTGTATATCTTCATGTAGTAAAGTTCCTCTTGCCTTATAGACCTTGATACAAAAATTTTATTTACCTTTAATTAAAACATTTTTGAAATAAATTTTTTAAAATAAAAAATCTTAACATCTGCAGTATTTTAATCATTTGGATTGAATAATTTAATAAATATGAATTAATACATGATGACAATATAGAAAACATTTTTAAAAAAATAAAATCTTTATTATAATTCTAATTTTATTATTATTTTATGATTAGCTTTGCATTTTTTTATTGAAAAAATTCTATAAATTGGATTTAAAATCAATTTTATAGATAAAAGAGAGAATTTGAATCAAAAGCAGAAGGATTTTGTGATAATTAATTTTAAAATTTATTATTTATTAATTGTGTAAAGAAAGTATTTTTAGATTTTCTATTTATTTTGGATAACAACTACAAAATTAAATTAAAAATAATACATATTATAAACTAAAATTAATTCAAAAACTATTTAATATAAAATTAATCCTCATAAAATTTATTTAATACAAATATTATTATTTCAAGATTAAGTTAAAATATAATAATAAAGCAATTTAATCAAAAAATTTTGCGGATTAAAGATGAAATTTTCAAAAAATGATTCATATTCAAACAAAATATTCTATTGAAAGAAAAAAGATAAGTTAATTAAATAAAATACAAATAACGAAACAATAATAAATGCTTTATCTAATTATGAATAAGTAATTTAATTTTTTATTGTGTGATTTTAAAGTTTTGCAGTTTTATGAATTGAGAAAATTATGAAATGATAAATATTAATCAAATTAGCATGGATAGAAATAAATATATAATAATTTACTTTTTAAATTGTTTTAACAAAAAAGCTTTTTTAAACACCATTTTACCATTTGAGAAGAGCAAATATTTTAAGCATCAAGTATATTTCTTATCAATTAGAAATTGGAAATCTTATATTTATTTTTATAAAATAAGCTTTATTTAAATATCTCTTTTTAGATAAAATTAATCAAAAAGAATTTATTTTAGTTTTGATTTCAAACTCTCCTATAAAAAAACATATATAAATAAAGTACTTGCTCCAAGCAGAATTAGATAATCAAAAATAATTCATATAATACTCATTTTTTTTTGAATATTAGAATTGTTTGTTTTACCAAAAAAAAAGATTTGATCAAACTCTGCTTATTATATAAATAAACAAATAATTAATTCGTTGCTTTTTTGCTAACTAGCTAAATTCTACTTATTTTTAATATTTATAAATTAAAAAAATAATTTAAAAGTAAAATATTTACTGCCCTAATAACAATTTATTTTTTTAGTTGCTGATTTTATATTTTTGGCATATAAAATTGTATATAAAAAAGTAATTGTAAAAAAGACGAATATCAAAAATTTCTTTATAACCATGAGTTTTTATTTGGTTACTTTATGCAATACAAATTTATAATAAAATTAGATTAATTTGATAATAAGTTTTCTTTCTTCATTTAAAAAGATGTAAACCATCCATCCATAATAAAATAATCAAAGTTTGAAGTATGATTATATCATTTTCATGCTTTTTAAAGGTTGCAAACAAACAAAAATCAAATCAATTATTTACTTAAAAATATAAAATTGTAATCTCAAAATTCTTAATAGATTTAAACTATTTTTCGGGTATTCAGTATTCAAAATATATTTATTCATGGCTCAGTATATTATACTGCATATATTTAGCATGGTAGGTTAAAAATAGATTATTATAAATTTGAAAAATAAATAAACTAATTATGCCCCAATTATGAAATATTTTTTGGTTTTTGTTTGAAAATGTCATTATACTCTGACCAAATAATACCAAAGATAAAAACTTTGTAATAATTAATAGTTAATTTGTCTAGTTTTAATCCTTTTTGATATTTACACTGATTGATGTTAATTTCTTTTATCAAATTTGATAGCTATGCTTACAATAGAATAATGGACATAAGATTGTATTTTTTACCATAAAAAACGAGATTGAGGAAATAATTAAATTTGGAATGAGTATCCTCACTATATCTTAGAAATTATTAATTAATCAAAACAAAAATATTGCTTCAATAATTTTAGAAAAATGAACAAATCTTTAATTGCTATTCCTATTATTGCCCTTCTTGCATTAGGAGCTGTCTTCATTTTAAATAAATAAGAATCCTCCAGCTTCTTATCTAACAGCTCTAACACCACTACTTTCACCTAATTAAGAACTTGTATTTAAAAAACTGACTTAATTATCTGCGATTAAATTTAGGATGATGCTGAAAAATCTCTCTGTTATGCTGCTTCCTACGCTGTCTCTAGATTAACTTTCCCTGATGGAGATTTAATCACCGAAGCTTGCAAAAATTTCCATAACTATGAAGCCACTGCCAATGCTAATCAAATGATCAATTATTAGAATTACTATTTCAGCTGTTATCTTAGTGCTGATGTTTTAAGAGAAGCCTACAAATGTGCTAGCTTTTATGAAAAGATCTACACACCCCAATTTATCACTTGCGCTGGTTACTGAAAAGCTTCTAGAAATAAAATAATATTAGAGCTTCTGAAATCTAATAATTATATAAATATATCTTTTTATAAATATTTTAAAATTTTGTATGTTCTAAAACTCTAAAACAAATACATAATAAAAGCTTTTTTACAAAATCAATCTCAATTTTTTAATGAATTTTGTTTGATATTCCAATAAATTTCCCTATATATTTTGAATCCTATTTAATACTAATTAGGACATCTAGTTAATAATTCAACCAAAAAAAATTGTTTCCAATTACTAGAAATATCTAATTAAATATAATTGTTATTTTGAGAGCGAATTGGGAATCTCTCTTCTTAAATCTTAACTTTTTTTAGATTACACAAGTAAAAAAAAGTTTTAACAAAAATAAATTGAAACGAATACAATTTTAAATGTCTATAGAAACTAAATGCTTAGTGTAAAGTATTTTAAGACTACATAAAAATTGTTTAGTTATTTTTTATTCTTCATATTTTGGAAAATTTTAAATAATTTAATATTAATGCATTTTTTATAATTTAAACTTAATGTAGAATCAATTAAATTTAATTAAATTTGACTCAAAAATTATGGAAATAAAAATATATTTCAAAATCTTATTTATTAATACTTTGAATTGATTGTATTTATGCTAATACGTGATAGATATTAAGTTAAATGCTATTTAAAATATATTTTCAATTTATTTTTTTATCAGGGTACTGAATTTAGCAAAAGGATACATTAAACTTTTTAAAGAGTAAAAAAATTTATTAAAATTATTAATAGAAAAAAATATTATTTTTCTAGAGGATAAAAATTGTTTCAATAAAAATCAATTTATTTAAAGTAAATCTTTATTATAAAATTAATTTTAACTAAATTTGTCAAATATTTTCAAAAAAAATAAAAGAGATTATGATAAATATTTTTAAATGCTACTAGCCACTTGACTTTGAAAAGTTATTTCTTTATATTTTTCTACACAATCAAAGGTGAGGTTAATTTGAAGTATTTAAATAATTTAAATTATTATAAATTTGATAATCTATTTTAATTTTTCTAGCATATTATTAATTCCTAATTAGATTTCATTTTAATTATTGTTAAAATTTAATGAATAATAGTAAAAACTAAATTGATTTGCAAAAATGAATAAATTACAATAAAATTTATTTTTTGTTTATAAAATCTACTCTATAAAATTAAAAATTAAATTAATTTCTATTTTTTCAATTTTAAAAGGGAAATAAAAACATAAACGTAATTATTGGTTTGCTTATAAAGAGTATAAAAATTTTATTTATTTTGAAAATTATCAGCAATTTGAAAGTATGAAGATAATAAAAAAAAGATTAAAGTAAAATAAGCTAATAACTTTAGCTTTGTGTTCAATTTTTTGCATTTTATATATTTAATTTAAAAGTATGACTAAAAACAATATAGAGTTTATTTTAGATACATCAGACTGTCTAAATAAATTGATATTTTTAATGTAATTGAATTATCACTAACTTTACAACAATAAAAATCACATATTACTTTTATTTTAAAAAATTAAGGATCTTGCTAAAATTTATCATCCTGCTTGTTAATATTTTCCATACAAAAATTCATAAATTAAACTAATAGGTATGTAAGCAAATATACCTTTTAAGTTCTATTCTTGTTATTTACTTTGGATATTATTGAAATTTTCACACAAAGTTCTTAATGTAAAGTATTTAAATGAAAACTGAGAAAAAATTAAAGTCAAATCATATTGCATGCAATTTAAAAATGATAACAAAATTATTTTATATTTGAACTAATTTATTCTAAGCCTTTCAAAACAAGTACTTTTAATAAAATGTTTAGCATTACTTTAGATAAAGATATAATAGGTCTAAAATTGTATTTTGATAGTCATATTATTAAATATTTTCTATTGGTTGCAACTTTAATAATGTTAATCTTAATTGAAAAAAATTATGATGACGACAACTAATCAATTTGTCATTCAATTTTGAATGTAATATTAAAAATAATCTATAATTCAAAGTATTCAAATTGATAAATGATAAATTTATAGAATCAATCTATCGTACTTTTCATGGTACTTAAATTTCTATGTAAAACATTACTTTATAAGCAGATTAGCACTTTTGAAATTCAAAACAAATATTAAATTAAAAAAATAAAAAAAAACAATAAAAATATAAAAATGAGCAACTCTAATATTCCTATCATCTTATCTTTGACATTAATATCTCTTGTCATTTTTGGTCTATTTGTTGGATCTGATAAGAATGCACTCACTAACTCCACCAACACTACTACATTCTCTTAGTGGGCTTCATGCTACACCAAATTGAACTCTACAACCTGTGATGACATTAAAAATAATAGCACTGAGCAGAATTTATGTTACTAGTCTTCTTTCTAAGTAGGTCAACTTACATATGATGACTCTAACTTCACAACAACTGAATGCCATAACTTCCATTAGTTCTTTAAAACTGCAAAAAGTTCAGATATGATTAATACTGGTGATCATTACTTCTATTGTTATATGAGTAGAGAAGTCTAAAATGCAGCTTACTAAAGCTAATACTATTACAATAAAATTTATAGACCAATCTACATAAGTTGTGCTGGTTATTGATTTAAATTAAAAATATAATCTTTATATAAAAATAATAATTTATTTTCGTGAATAAAACTTTTTATTATAAAGTTAGTACCTTGAATGAATTGTTATATTAAAAATTAAAAAAAAATTAATTCCAAAACCAAAATATGAAATAATATTTTATTTAAAGAACTTTTTATTTTCTTTAAAAAATTACTTTTTCTCAATAAGATTTTGTTTGTGATATTCTATATAATATTTAAATAAAAATTGAAATAAAAGATATTCTATATTAATCAAAGTACCTAATTTAGTTTGTTTTACATGTGCAATTTTACAATTGAAATCTATTGAATGTAACTTAGCTATTCTAATTAATGTAATTTGTTGATATCAATTATGATATTCCAAATTTTAACATTTTTTATTGATAATCTACATATTTTAATAAATTCATCCAAGCAAGAAGTTTTTTGTATTGAAGTTTAGGCAAAAATGTCATTACTCTTTATTTGAAATTTAGGCTTTTAGATCATAAAAAGTAATAAATACAATTTTAGGATATTCGATACTAAAAATAAAACAAAAAATTTTAATAATTGAAAATGAAGTAATTTGTATGATCAAAAATTTTATCAGAAATAACAATAGTAATATAAACAAAAAATAAATTATTAATCTAAAATTAATGGCAAAAATAGAACAAATTTATGGTTTTAACAAAAAAAGCATGCTCACCAGAAAATTGAGTTTTAATTTTATGTATGAATGTGAGATGGTAATAGCATAATTATTTAAACAAATTTTTTGATATCTGATTTTTAATAAATACATTTGTTTGTTTGTTTTAATATAGTTAATAAAAAGAAGAATCTAAAAAAAATGAATTCAAAATTATTGATAGCACTTTCTTTGATCTCAATTATTTCAATTGGAGCTTTTGCAGTTTACTCTTTTAACGGAGATTTAGAAATGGGTAGAAATCAAACTACAGTTTTCTAATGGTTCTCTTGCTTTACTAAAAACACATAAGCTTAGTGTGATGATTTAAAAGATGAATTAGAAAAGACTCTTTGTTTTGCCGCTGCTCACGCTATTGGTGACTTCACCTATGAAGGTTCTCCCCTTGCAATCGAACCATGCTAATAGTTCCACAAATTCCTTAACCAAGCAAATACCACTGATGTCCTCAATACTGGAAATTACTATTAGAACTGCTACATGAATGTCACTATTCTTAAGGCTGCCTATTAAAGTTATTACTTTAACAACACTATTTACTATCCTTAATACATTCGTTGTGCCGGGTTTTGATTGAATAAATAATAAATCTTAGATGAAAATTTAATAAATTTGATTGTATGAAAAAAATATATAAAATTATATGTTTAACAAAAATTTTAAAAAAGTCTATTTTGTTAAAATTAAACAAATTTTGCTTTTAAAAAAAAATTAAAATATTTTCTTTTTTTATTTGAAAGAAATTTTCTCAATTTCATTTTAAAAATTATGAGTCTAAAATTTTGATTTCAACATTAAAAAAAGCACTTTCTATTTTAATTTTTATTAGTGTAAATAAAATAAGCTTTTTCTGATAATATGCTCTTTATATATTGTTTATTTCACCATAATTTGACTCGATCGCTTAACTTTACTAAAAATATTAAGTATTATTGATAGACGCTGTGTGTGAATCAGATTAATCAATAAGAATCTCTCAAATTAGTTTTCTTCAAAAATATAGTAATATCATTTTGCTCATTATATTATAGTGATTTATACCGTCACTATTGATTCAAACAAGGATAAAATGCACTCAGAAATGTCTCAATATAAATTATTCAATTGAAAAAAGATCTTAAATTTACACAAAATGAGTTAGATGGGTAAATAAATACCAATCTCTCAAGCTCTTTTTTGATTTTTGAGATTAAATAGCTAGATCAAAAATCTTTTTATTTTGAGTGTGTTTGTAATTAGTTTCTTTAGAATATCTATTTTGTGGTAAAAAATTATATTTTATTAAATTATTTTTTCTCAACTTAATTCATGGTAAAATGAACATCTTTCACCATTATTTTAAGATCAAAAATAAAAAAATAGAGCTAATAATTTAATGACGTATATTACATTAAATTTAAGGTGTTTTATCCTTTATATCACAATATAAGTGAGCAGTAATTGTTAAAATAATACAATTATAATTAATTTAAAAAAAAAAAATAAGCTTAAACCTAAAAAATTAAAAATGAATAAAATTTTGGCAATTACTATCCCCTTGGCTTTACTCGCTATTGCTGCTACTGTTGGTGGTATCATCATTTTTAACAAGCACCACACTCCTAAGCCTATTGTAAACCACACTACCATTTTCGACTGGTATGCTTGCTCCAATGGTCTTGAACACGCCTAATGTGATGATTTGAGTGATGAAACTAAAAAGTCAGTTTGCTACAATGCCTCAAATATCGTTAGTGAACTCACCTACAGTGACTCTGAACACGTATTAGAAGCTTGTGCTAAATTTGCTGCCTACCTTAAAACTGCTTCTGCCTAAGATGAACTCAACTCAGGATCATTCTATGAAAACTGTTATCTTAACAAGCAAGTTACTAAAAACGCTGCTACCTGCTCTTACTACAACGAAAAGATCTACACTCCTTTCTATGTTAAGTGTGCTGGTTTCTGAGCATTAAAAAATATTAAAATACATTGATTATTGATACTATTTTTTAGCATTTATTATGCATAAAATTATATATCTAGATACCAGATTGAACCCCATTAAATATTACTACATAAAACATAAATACTTTAACCGAAAAGTGTTTCTCAAATTTTTGTTTGGTAGTAAAAAATGAGGTTGAATCAGGTATCCTACTATCTAATATATTATAAATTAGTATTTTACATATATATTTTTTTTTGAAATTTAATTCAAATTAATGAACAAAATCAATTAGTGGCATATATTTATTTATATTATTTACCAAAATTTAATCAAAAATATAATTTTATGATAATAAATCAAAGTTAGAGTAAATAATATTGAATTTACATGATTACAATGCTAATATAATTTAGAATATTATTTAGTGAGGATTCTAAAGTCAAACTTAATAAATTAATATAAAAAATAAACAATTTAAGAAAATAAGATTTTTTTTTTTAAACTTATGAAAATAAAAAGAATTATTTTAAAACAATAAAAAGTATTATTAAAAATATAATGACTTATAGTATGAATTACAAAAAAAAGTAAAGTTCCTTAAATATTTAAAGAAATAATGTAATTTGCGGTTTAATAAATATTTTGTAAGCTGTAAAATATCTTATTCAACAAACAAATAAAATTTTTACATTTTAAATAAATGATATTCCATTTAATCTAATTAAAGAGATTGAAATTTTAGTTAATGTAATTGACAAATGAATTTGAATAATCAAATTTGAACAACTATCAATCATCGGTATATCTTAGATGCTTATTTAAGAGAAATTATTATAAAAATAAAATTGTTGTTATCAAAACATAATTATTTATTTAGAATACCTATCAAAAAATTTCTTATTCCTTAATTGTAAATATCAATTTTATTTTAGATATGACTTAGAGAATCTTGTAAACAAAACTATTTTGATGCTTGCAAATCGCTTGATAAAGAGTAAGGATGATAGTATCATCACAATATAATTCTGAAATCAAAATTTAGAATATTTTTTACCCATAAATTATTATATACTATTCCAATTTTAAGATTATTTAGATTCAATTATTCTTTGAATAGATAAGTAGGTATTTGTGTATTTATGATGGAAAATTCAAATAATATCTTTGCATACAAAAGCTATAAAAACTATCTGATTAAATTGAAATATAAAAAATAAATTAAATTAAAAAAAAAAAATCGTATAAAAGAAAGAACTTTTTAGAATGGCTAATTACAAATTATCAGCATTTTTATCTGTTGCTTTAATATCCTTGGCAGTATTTGGTAGCTATTTAGCTATTAATGGAAGAAACTAGATGTTAGAAAACTCAAGCAATACCACTACATTCTCTAAGTGGGCTTAATGTTATACCAACCTAAATGCTACCAGCTGTGAAGATGTTAAGAATAACAGCACTGAATTAGCTTTATGTTACAGTGCTTCATATGGTGTTGGCTAACTCACTTATGATGGATCAAACCAAACTACTAGTGAATGTCATAATTTCCGTCAATACTTCAATAATGCTACAAGCACTGATTATATCAACTTAGGAGATCACTACTTTAACTGCTTCTTAAGTGGAGATATTTTGAAAATTGCATATGAAAGTTAATATTATTATAACTAGGTCTATACTCCTATTTATATTACCTGTGCAGGATATTGAAAGAATAGAAGATTATTAAATTCAATTTTATCAATCAATCTGCAAAATGATAATTGATTTAAAAAAAATAAATAAATACCTTATATAAATAAATATATATTTTGAAGATTTTATATATCAATTGAATGTGTTTTTTTCGCAAATCAATTTTACTATCAATCAATATTTTTTAGATTATTCATTTTTATTTATTTTTCAAAACTAAATGAATATTTTTCTGATCAGGCAACACTTTTAAATCAATGAAATAATTAATAGAGATTAAATTGATTATCAATAATTGAAAGTGTTACCTCAAAATATAACTTTTAAAATTTAAATTAATTTAATAGCAAAATAAATTCTTTAAATATGCTTAATAAATAATATTTTTTATAAAAAAAATACTTGAAATCACAACAATATTTTTATAAATTAATAAATGTCTTAGTAAAATTTTCATCATTTTAATGTAAGGAGCTGTCTTTAAATTAAAAAAAGTCATCAAAATTCAAATTTTAAAATTTAAATATTATTTAGAGGATAATTGAATAAACACAATTCTTTTATTCATTTGCATATTTTTAATATTTAACTAACTTTCAAATAATGTAAACAGAGTAAAACTTATGAAACATAAAGTCATTAAGCTACTGGTTAATAAATTCATAATAATTTATAACCATTTTAATACAAAAATAATTATTATCATAGATTAAATAATTATTTAAAAGCAAAACATTATTCAATCCTTAAAAAAAATTAGAATTATTTATTTCTTAAAAATATTGAGGAAGATAATTTTTTACTTTACTTGAAACAATCTCTCATAGAGTATTATTTTAATTTAGTAAGTAATAAAAAATACATAAGAGCTAGTACTCACTTATTTTGTTGTCAATTAAAGTAAGTTAGCAAGCAATATAAAATAAAAAATTGTGACTTTTGTCTTTATGTTTTTTCTTTTATTTAATTTTGCTCAAAGTAATCTATTTCAGAGGAAATTTGTTTATTTATTTATTTTTACAATATATCTTTAAAATATGTATGTATGTATTTATATATTTATTTATGTTTATATTCTTTGTTTATTTGTTTGCAAGAAAGATTTTGGCAAAAAGAAGATTGGGATGACTGTATTAAATTTAGATTGAAAATACATGTATATGTATTTAGTAATATAAGCGGATGGAATATCCAAATCATTCATTCACATATAATTCATTCATTTATTCATGCATATAAAAATATTTGTAAAATAAATCAAATCATGTATTTTAATTTACTTATTTATTCATTCATTTATTGATTAATTTTTTAATCATCAAGTAATTGATAAATAATTTAATTAATTAATTGTAAAACAAAAAAGACTAAAACTTTATTTTCGTTTTCCTTTCCATTAAAAAATGTGGAGACTAACAAAAAATTCATGAACATAATTATATAATAGTATTTATATACTTTTAATTTGTTATGATTTTAGTTAAAATTTCAGATTCGAAACTTCAAAACTCAAGCAGAGAGCTTAGCGCAAATGAGGTATTGGGGAGCGAAGATCTTATCGTAGAAGAAAGTAGATTGCTTAGCAGCGGCAATGACGTAGGAGTTGGTGTAACAGCTAACGTAGAAACCATTGTTGTTGATTAAATCTTCAGCCTTGTGGGGATTGTAGATCTTGTTGTAGAAGTCAGAGCAGGGTTGGATTTAAGAGGTACCTTGGGTCAAGTTACCAACATCAGTGGAGGCTTTTCTGCAAGCAGAAATGTTATCAGCATCCTTGCAGGAAATGGGAGTACCAGTGGTACCAGAGCAAGATTACCATTAGGAGAAGCTAACGTTGTCAACGGCATTGGAAGCCTTCAAACCCTTTTATTAGGCTAAGAAGAAGACAGCACCGAAGGTGGCGAGGGCCAAAATGGGGAGAGCAATGAGTAACTTTTTGTTCATTTTTATTATCTGCTTTTTTTAATGATTTTTTAATCTTTTAGGATTTTTGATATTATTTAATAATCTGAAGGAATAAAATGAAAATTTAAAAAGAAGAAACTCCACCAAATCCAAATTCTTTCATTTTCTCAAGATACATTAACTTTCTTTTATTTACCATTCAATCAATATTTAAAGCTCATACTTAACAAAAATTAATAATACTAAATTAACACTATTAATGTGAATGAATGAATGAATAATTGATCATGTAAAATAATCAAAAACCACCAAGATTCGCTATCAAATAATTAATTTATTATCTCAAAACAATCACACAAATAGAAATTATCATATAGTAAAAACCTCTCCCTTTTTTGCTTCATTTATTTTTTTATATCATCAATACAAAATTGGTAGCCATTTTACCTCTCAAACATTAATTTAATTTAGAAGGTTTAATTATTTTCGATCAGAAAAATTTACTTTTCTATACTAAAAATATTTAATTTATCTATCTATCTAAATTTACAAAAAGGAAGCTCTTCTGAATATTTAAAGTTTCTCATTATTTTTTTCGATTCATCAGCAAGGAATTGCTTTATTAATTTATGCCGTAAAAGTGTTTTTTTTGTTAAACATTTTAGTTAAATTCCATTAAAAAACTGTCAAATGACAGGAAATAACAATAATTTAAATATTTTCAAAAGAATAGGGAATCTAAAATTGCTTAATTTAAATTTAATTTGCATGATAATTAATAAACTTGATAAAATTAGTTTCATTACTTTCTCTTTTTTTTATCTTTCGCTTACAACTTAAATTAAAGCTCTTAAGATGGGTTTTTTGATTTATGGTTGAAATAAATTTCAAAATGCGCTATATTCGTTATATATGCACTCAATTTAATATAAAATGACGATATTTATTATGGTTTTTAAGAACTTCAAAATTCATCTATTAGATCAGAAAATAGTTCAAAATTATTTTTTCAACTTCTGCGCATTTAATTTTGTAGAAAATTAAAATCGCTTGCACTATGAAATAAATTTGTACTTTTGTTTATGGTTATAATATTAAATAAACAAATTAGGCTATATTTATTTAATTAACAAATTAGACACTTTATTGATTGATTATATGAATGCTTAATGAAATAGAAAATTGAAAATTTTATTCTCACTTTTATATCAAAACTTCAAATATATAAAAATAAATAAGTGGATCTGACTAAAGTAGGTGGAACCAAGATAATGTTTTGAAGGGAAAAATAAAAAATAAGATTGAGGTAATGAGAAGTTTTATTTATAGTACGTAATGATTTAGTATTATTAAATTTAATTGTCCAAGATCTAATTGATTAATCAATTATCAGTATAGGTCAAATAAATAAAAGGTTTATTCTCATTTCCAATATGCCTTTGATTTCATGTACTAAATTTACATTAATTCAATGATTGCAAAGTAAAACTCATAATTAACTTTTTAATTACATATCAAGAAAAATACCTTTGCCATTATTTTTTAAAACAAATTCAAAGCAAACAAACTTTGAATGATAAAAGTGCGTATAAAGAGAAATTTCATTTGAATTTTGTCAACATTATCAAACATGTAAGTTGCTTATAAATCCAAAATAAAAAGTTTGGTAAATAAGAACATTTTAAAACTAAACAATGTATTTTTAAAATAAATGAATATAATCCATTATTAGATAATAGTTCGACAATTTTAGTTTATTAGTATTTTTAAGTTGTTTGTAAATATCATTTTCAAAATAAAAAATTTCATTTGTACTATAAAGCGAGTTTATTCAAAAGAATTTACTGTAATCTATCGGACTAAATATTGAAATCAAAAATTTACTCAGTTGTTGATTGTAAAGTATAAAAAAACAATATCAGAGATATAAAAGCCATTTATTTAAGTAGAATATTTATATATTTAAAACCAAATTCCTATATTTGAATCAAAGATAAGATTTTATTGTAATAGGATTGAAAATCAATAATTAAACAAGCTTTCAATCCTCTTTAATTTATTGTAATTAAGGCAGGTTTTTTGTTTTAAATAAAATTTATATCACTCAAGGACAAAAATTTTATTTTATTTTGAAACTGAGTTCAATTTATGTAATTTTTTACTCAAGCTTTCAATAAAATTTAAAACAATTTTAATAAAATTTTATATTTCTTACAAAATTTTGAAATTATTGAGACAAAAATGTTTTAGTTTTAAAATTGATGCAATTATTTTTTAAAAGGATTAATAATCAACTCACTTAAAAATTTATAAATTTTTTAGCATTAAAAATCATTTATAATAGCTTTTTAATAGTGATTATTAATAATCTAGATAATGATAAACATAGAGCTAAAATTAATATTAAAATATATTCCATTATTAAATATTAAATTCATTGTAATTGGTAAATAAAAATAATCTCTTCTTTTATATAAATAATCTTCAAATTTATAAATTTAGTCAATTTTATTTTTATGAACAAAAAAATAGCTTATAAAATGATTTGACTTTTTTTGATAACAAATAAAATAATTGATCTAAATTTATTAATTTTTTACATTTTGTTGAATTTAATTAAGATAAAATCATTTCAAACAAATAATTTATTTTCAAAGCATAAAACTGAATCTAGCAATTATTTTACGAATAAATTTTTATTATAATTTCTAAATATAAATTACTTTATATATGATTAATCATTAAATTTTATTAAAAAATATTTTATTTTATCTATTAATTTAAATAATAATTTCACATTCTAAAGAAATCTTTATTTTTTAAGTTATAAATATATTGAAATATTCAAATTTTTAATAAGTCCCAAAAGAGTAGTAAAAATAGTAAAAATGTTTTATTTTTTAAACCATACTTTTATACTTAAATTAACTAATTTTTAGTAAGAAATGTTTTAAAATAGAGCATTTTAATAAGACACATAATCCATTATTTATTCTCATCATTTTAAAATATTAAAAAATAGTAAATTAAATTAGTTAAAAGAGAAATCATATATCTTTAAATTCAGATGTCAAATCTAATTTATATTATATTTTATATAAAATTTAATCATCAAATCATAAAAAAATATATTTTTTTGAATATTTATTTGAAAAACTTAAATAAAAAACAATAAATTTAAAGATAAATTAATAAAAAAATCTTAAATTTTACATTTATCAGTTAATTAAATTATCTGATCCATCTTTTTGATAAGTTCCTATAATCAGTAAAGAATCATTTTTACAAAAAAAGATTAAAAGTCTTTTGTATTAGTATAAATAATAAATTATTACTTATTTACTAAATTATGAATTCAAATTTTAGAAAAATAAATAAAATAAAACTAGAATTGTTTTTAATTTTATATAAATTCAACCAAATTGTTTAAATATTTTCATTCACTTATGTTTTTAAAAAAGTTTCCAGAAATATCTTTTTAAAAATATGTCAAACTTCTTAATATTTTTAAGTTAAACTTTTCGCATAATATTATTCATTTATTTATTTGCTGCATAATTTTAACAAATAAAAAAGATATTCTCAAAACTACTCAACTAAGAGGATTTTATTAGTAAATGAATATGTATATTATTTTATTGATTGAATAAAATTTAGCTATTTTAAATATGTAGTAAGCAAAAATTTATCCCCAATATTTATCAAATAAATAGCTAAAATTGCAATTGTGCCTTCCAAACATTATTCTAAGTTTTGTATTTTAAAGTAAGGATATTAATTTAGATTATTAATTGTATATATTTATCTGTTTTACACTCAACTAAAATTTTTTGCTCAAAAATTAAATTGGATGATCAGAAAAATAGATATTGCAATCAGAAGATTTTTTTTGAAGCAAATTTTGTTAAGAATGATGTGATTAAGTAAGTAATTGTAAATTTAATATTATCATCAAAGCTTATAAATTTTTTAATTGTTTTTTGTACACTTTTTTATTATTTGATATGATATTTTCTCTATTTGTTTAATACCTTTAAAAGTGTTTTTTTTTTTTGTATGAATTTGACGATTTTCGCTTTGTCTTACTTCAAAAAAAATAATAGAAGAAAAGTAAATTATATCAATTTCAAATACTTTATTTTCTAAAGCAATTTATTATTATTAATAATTAAGAAAAAAATTAAATATTGACAAAATATCAAAAAAAATGAACACTAAGTTATTAATTGCTCTTCCTATCTTGGCTCTCTTATCTATTGGTGCTGTCTTTTTGATTGCCCACAAGAAGGCTCACGTTGTTGATAATATTCCTGTTGTTGATGGTACTACCGTTGATGAAACCCCTAAGGACAACAACACCACTGTTGACCCTATTACTCCTAAGAACACTGTTGATATTGATGACTGGTAGAGATGTTTCCAAAAATTACCAGTTAAAATGTGCGATGACTTAACTACTGAAGCCGATAGATCTGACTGTTACTCAGCTTCTTACTAAGCCTCTCAATTAGTCTTCCCTGACACTACTAAGGAACTCCCCTCTTGTGTTTCTTTCTACTAATACTAAAAGGCTTCCTAAACTGATGCTCCTGTCAACTATAACAAGTACTACTAAGACTGTTTCCTTAACGCTGACGCCGTTAAAGCTGCTAAGACCTCTGCTTACTATTACAACAGTATTTATGCTCCCAAATACATCACCTGCGCTGGTTTCTGAGTTGATTTATTAAAAACTAAAATGAATTATAAACACAGAGTTATTTTATATAATATATATCGAAATAAGCTATGAAGTATTTTTTCACAAAAATTAAATAAAAATGATCATTCTATATTCATTTTAGTTATTTCTTTCAAACTTTTATTCTGCATTTATTCCTTTTAAACTATAAAAATATTTTAATCAATTTAATAAAGAAATGTTTTGATATAATTTTCTTATTTTAATATCCTTATTTTAAGCAGTATTCCAGCTAATATTCTATTTGTAATACTTTAGTAAAAAGAAAATACTTTTTGTTTGTTTTTAGAAAGCAATAATAGTATAAGACACTAATAGAGTAATCTAAATTTCTAACATTTGTATGATTAAATAAATAAAATTAAAGTTACTAACTAAATAAAAAAGAACATTAATCATATCTCAAAAAAGATTACAGTATTTCTTTTAAAATAAAATTTCTTCCTAGCTTTTAACTCTATAACTCATTAATCAAAAGCAAATTTTACCTCAATAAAAATTGCACTTCTTATTAAGTAAATATGTTAAGAAAAGTAATAAAAAAAATATTAGTTAATTAGTTTTACAGATTTAATGTAATCAATAATGTATTAAAAAATTTTAATAATTTTAATTTTAATATGATAAAAAATTATGATTATTTGACACAATTAATTTATGAGTTTTTTTATTTATTGAAGATCATTCATTCATTCTTTAATTTTGGATATAATTTTTTCATGATTATTGCAATTTAAAACAAACTTTATTTATGAGTAAATATTCTTAATAAAATACTTTTCTTGTATCAAATCTATTTTTTATTGGTTAAAATAAAAATTAAATTCTTATTTTTATTTTTAAATGACTAATAAAATCAAAAATTTTATTTTTAAACAGGGTTTAAAATCTAAAAAATTTTTAGGATAAACAGATTGATTTAAAAAATCATAAATTGCTTAAATTATTATTTGATATTAAATTATTAATAATTTAGAAAATTTAATTAAAATTAATCATCTTAATTTTTTTAAAACCCTATTGAAAATAGTTATTTTTAGAAATTTTTGTTATAATTTGTTTATTTATTAGTTTTAATTTTTGCTTTTTTAAAATAATAATTTTTTTTATTTGTTTTCTATTTTATTTTTTCTACTCCAATTTTTTTTGATAATAATTATTCTACCAAATGGAAATTCTATTAAAACTTAGAAAAGATTTTTCAAGCCTGTCTATAAAATTAAACTTAAAATAAAAATAATTTTATTTGGCAACAGTCAGTAATATAAAAGTTTGATGAAAAAATAATGGCTAAATCAATAAATGGTAATAAAAGTATCTGCAATAATGTATTTTTGGCAATTAAGCCAACAAATTTCTCCTATTTAATTCCTTATTTAATAAAAAATTAATTTAAAAGTATAAATATTTTAATAATATTGCAATCTGTATTATTACGGTTGGTGATATTTTAAATTCAAGATTCACTGTTTTTTTATTATTTCAATTTATTTTTATAATTTCTACTATAATTACTTTAATTTGAATTTAATTGTAGGTTTTATAAAAAATATAATGATTATTTTGGTAAATTTAAGTTGCAATAACATTAAAGGATTAATTTATACCTATCATTTATTAATAACCTGTAAATAGAATGATTTTAATTTATTAAATATAAAAATGTTATTTTACTAACTACTGGTAGAAATTAAATTTATCTTTCATAGCTAAGAATCTTTTATAGCATAGTTAGTTATCTTTATAAATTTATATATTGCAAGTCACAAATTGAGACGCTACTATTTAGATATTGATGAAACTATTGCTGATTGTTATGTAATAAAAATAATTTTTTTATGATTCACTAAATTGAATAATCTAAAATTTGGTAAATAATTATTTTGAATTATGTTTATTACTTGACCTACTTACTTTTATTTTAGAGATTCAAATCTGTAATATTGCTTTAATTCAAAACAAAATAATTTTTCTATTTAAAATATCTTTTATTCTAATCATTTTTTATTTACTTTAATTAATATGTAAGAGTTTGGCTTAAAGTATTTATAAAATTTATTTTCTATAATTTCACCTAATGAAACTGAATATTTTGATTAATTGATAGCTATTACTTTAATTTTTACTCAATTAATTAGATTATTGTACTGATATTTTTATGATACTATTAACTAGCATTTGATTTTTATCATTGATTAAACTCAATAAATAAATATTCTGTTAGCTTTTAAGTGTAATAACTTAATCAACCTTCTTTTTATTATTTTTGTTGCATATTTCTTAAAAATATTTTAGACATAATATTTATTAAAAAAGCTTAAACTTAAAGTAAGAATTATATTAATTGTTTTATGAAATATCATTTTTTAATATTTGAAAAAGCTTTGTAATAAAAATACTAATTATTATTATTTTTTAATATATCATCACTGAACCATAATAATCTTTTACACTAAACTCAATCATAGACTATTAAAAAATTACTCATTTTTATCTAAGGGTTAAATTTATCATGAATAAAATATAGCATTTTACTTCATAACCTGTGTCTTTTTTATTTTGAGATTTATCATTTTTTTCTTAGTTTTAAATTTATCATAAGTAAATAATGCTATTTTATTTCATAGCCAATATTCTTTTAACCTAGAGGACACTTACTCATTTTGCTTTTAATATTGATTTGATTAGACAAAGATATTTCGTAATAAATTAGTTATAATTTTGAAAGAATTACATTTATATTTATTAATAATAAGATCTGCCTTCTTTTTTAAATAAATAAAATGAATAGTTATTAGTAATTTAGCCAAGTTATATATTATATTCTAAAAAATACACTCTCTAAAAAACAAATAAAAACAAAGATAATTATTTTTTTCAATATGATCTTAATCCAGCACATGTCAAATACTGAGGTGCGAATATTCTGGTATAGTAGAATTTGTCAGATTTGGCACCAGCAATTAAAGTACTCTTGCTGAAACATCTATGGTAGCTTCCATCAAAATCGATATAATCATTGGCATTTGCCCTTTCAAAGTTCTTCCAGAACTAGGTGCAAGCACAAGTTGCAGTAGGAACAGAAGGCCACATTTACTTAGTGGCGAGGTAGCTTGCATTATAGCATGATGATCTTTAGTTTTCAGGTAAATCGTCACATTTAGGAATTCTTGCATTATAAATACAAGTCTTCCATTAGGTGTAGGTAACTCTAGCACAGCCTGGATTAGTATCAGGTTCTAGGTAGCTTTCATCATCAGTAGAATCCATAAGTAATGCATCACTTCTGAATACATAGTAAGTACTTGCCAAGAGAAGGAAAGGAATGACTAAGAGTAATTTATTCATTTTTTTTTTTTACTTCTTTTTTAATTTTATTTGTTTGTTTTATTTTTTTATAATTTATCATACATAATCCTTTTTGATCTGAGTATTTAAACAAATTTGTCAACATATATTTACAATAAAAACTCAATTAATTACATTTAATACTAATAAATAAATTAAAATTAGCTTGAATATCAGGCAGAGTGAGTACATTACTACTATTATAACATTTAATAAAAATGCTTGTTATAATAAAATAAAAAGTATAAAAATAATAGAGAGAATAAATACATTTTTTAATTTTTAAAAAACAAAATAGAAAAATGAATAAAAATGGTTAATCATATATAAAAATGCAAACACTGAAAAATAGAAAAATATTAATAAGGATTTGCAATTTTATTTAATAAGATTTATCTCAAAGTATATATTAAAAAAATACCTAGGGGTTCCTTAGTTTTTGATATCCTTATAAGAGAATACTGAAATTAATTAATCACTTTTATTATAAAACTTGCAAAGAGTGACGGCAATTAAAATTAATCTGATAAAAATACTAATTTCATTCCGTTGATTCCAGTAAAGATTTATAAATTAGAAACGAATGGCAATCATACAATACATTTTTTTAAAATATTTATTTTTGTATTCTTCATATAAATTTGAAGAATAAATTAAAAAATTTCTAAAATATTTTAATACTTGATATTGAAAATTTATTTTTTTAAAAATGTTAAGTATTCTATCTATCCTAAAATAAAAATGTTAATATCTCATTTTTATTTAATCTTAGATCTTTTGTTTTATCTATTTAAGCTAGAAATTAGTTAATAAAAGTTAAGCAAATCAATAAAAAAAACAATTCACTTAATAGATAAATTGATTAACAAAATATGACTCTTCAATAATTTTAAGGATAGCATTTATTTGTAAAAATATGAATCTATAATCAAAATTCTAATCATCAGCTAAATATCCATTTCACAAAGAAAAGAAAAGTGATGAGTGATCATTTTAGTAAATTTTTAGAATGTATACAATACTTTTCTATAAAATGCATTCATTTAATAAATAATCCAAAATTTAAATATTTCTTTACTTTTTTCTTAAAAAATGTCATTACTAAATTTATATAAAGAATCTTATATATAAATAACTATGTTTAAGTAAATTTTATGTCTTTTTTGATAAGAAAGATTGAAAAGTGGGTTATCATTTACTTTTAAAAGTAATGTAATGAGAGAGAGATAGAAATAAATCTTTAAAATGATATTATTCTATCAAAAAATAAAAAAACTCGTACAAATTTAAATAAAATAAATTGAAGATATGGGATTTTAGAAACGGAAAAAATCTAAATCCAATTTTAATTTCCTATTGCATTTCATAAATAAATAAAATTTATGTTAAGGTTTTTAATTAATTAAAAATCAAAAATAGACTAACCAGAAATTAATACGAGAAATTTGACTATTAAAAAAAGGGATTTATTTGCTTTTACTTAAAATAGAAATGATAGATATTAGCTTCCTATTCAGAAATATATTTATTTTTTCATAAATCTATCTTATTTTATAATATAAATACATTTTTTAAGAAAAAAAATTTCAAAAAGTAGTACTTCTTTTTTTGTTTATTGCTTCTATAGTAAATATATAAAATTCTAATTTAAAATTATTAATCAATGCATTTTAAAAAGATAGCTATTTTTATTTTGAATCATGTATTTGATAAATAGCAGCAGCTTAGTTTTTATTAAAAGCAAGCACTAAAAAAGGAAAAGATAATAAATAATGTATCAATCCCCTATTTAAATTTAATGGTGAAACATCAACTCAAATTATTCTTATCATGCTTATTCCTACCACAACTAAGAATAACATTTTTTTATAAGTCTTTCATAATTGTCTATAATAAAATTTAGAATTTAATATGAAAGGAATATATTGTCAAAATAGTCTGGAAAAACTATTAATGTGTATATTACTATCTTTTTTTATTTTCATTGTATTCACTAGTGTCCTCTTTATTTTTTCTTAACTATTTTTGATCAAATTATGATTGAAATATGTAACATTTTGGGAATACATAAAGAAATACATATTTTATGGCAAAAAGAAAAAAAGACTAATAAATTTTAAAATAATTGTAAAATCTAACAATTAGATAATTGAATTATTCATTAGCTTTAAGGATTTTAGGATAAATATAAATCTATTATATATAAGAGAATTTTAAATATTTTACTCTACCTTCAATCTATTATTATTTTTTACATTTGGTTTTTAAATATATAAAAATCTTACCCCAAAAGAATTGTAGATAGACAGATATTATTATTTAAAATCTATAAGAATTGATTAGTTTAAATTAATCTTTTTTATTTATTATGGTTTTTAATTACCAAGTCAAGCTTTTTAATAATTAGATCCACACCACATTTTAGACTATTCGAAACACATTTTTCATATAAACTATCACTTTTATTTACAGCCAACTAAATAACTAACCACCCCTTCCATTTTTAAACAAGCCAAACTAATTATAATACAACTTTTACAATGACTATTAGAAATATTCTATGATTCTAATTTATCAAATTATGCTTACTATATTTAGATATTTATTTTTCAATTAAAAACTATTAGTCAGATAGTCATTATTTTCTTCGAAAATGTTTCAATAATAATTTTTGAAATAAATTAAATTTATTTTATTCAACTATTTTTTTTATGGAAATTGAATATTTTTATGCTTATTTTCAATAGAATTTTTTGCTTTTATTTTATTTTAAGTTAGGAGATGTTATGAAAATTTTTAATCTCGTATATAGATATCAGATATATGGATTATATTTAAAAAATAGGTGAATAAATACACAAAATATTCATTTAATTTAGAATAAAAGCTAACTCGTTAACATAAAATTCGTTAAATAGTCTACTGAGTAAGTACTTCTCTAATCTCTTAAAACCCAATAAAACTTTCATATTTACATATTCTTTTATTGTTTAGAGCTAACGGTTTTTACGTATTAAGCTAAAAATTTAAAATTAAGGTAGCATTAAGTTTAAAAATTATTTTTATTGTTTGTTTGTATCATAGGGATTAACTATAATTATTGATTTAGATTAAATTTATTTAAAAACTCTTATAAATTTATTAGACAGACAAACAATTATTTATTTGGGGACAAATTTTTATTTTAAAATTCTAACCATCAAATTTATTTGGATTTTTTACTGGTAATGTTATGAAAATTAATTTTTAACACTCTTATAAATTTATATATTATATAGTTTTTTTAAATATAGTTTTACAAATATGAATAAGAAGACATTGACGTAAACTGAATTATGTATCCATTTCTAATTATTATCTTTTTGCTAGTTTTATCTTATTAGCAAAAGGCCATTTGTAAACATTTAAACATAAAAATTAGATTATTATAAATAAAAGAAATAAAGAATAGTCATTATTTATATATCCTTAACTAAATAAATGCTATTAAAGTGCAATTGTTTCCACAAAAATTAAAGTAGTGTTTGTCATTGATGAATTTGTAAAACATAATAGAATTGTAATTATGTATTTTTATTTTAAAAATTGCTTACTAACTCCCTTTCTTCCTTCTTCCTTCCATAAATTATTACCTTAGGGGTTCAGTATTTATTTTGAGATATCAAATATTATAATCACACCTAATTTGATAAATTATGACAGAGAAAAACACAATTTTAAATAAAACAAGTAAAATAACACAAAGAGGATTTAAATTTTGACATTATATTATAATGATATTTATTACCATCACTCATTATGTATATTATAAAATTTTTCCATTTTTGTGTTTTAATAAAATACATATAAAAGAATTTTGTATAAAAAACTATTTCAAATAACAAGAAATTATATTTTAAATATTTTTTATAAAATTAAATATAAACAATAAATTAATAGCACTTGCTAGAGCTTAAAAAATAATAAAAGTAGAAATAAAGATCTATCAATAATAATTTTAAAGAGAACATTTTATTTTTATGATACAATTGCAGTTTAATAGTTTTATGATTTGTAGTCTTTTTAGATAACTAAATAATAATAGATAGTTAAGCGAATTTATTTAAACAATATTTATAAAAGATTTAACAAATCTGATCTATTTATCAACTAGATTAGCTTGCTTAAGATAAGGTTTTAATTAGATTGATTGATAACCACCTAATAAACAAACTATTTTTATTGATTTTTTTGCTATAAAATATGTTTAGTAATATCTTATAAAGAGTAGAAAATATTTTAATGCATAACTAATATATGTGATAACATAATAGCCTAGATATAGTTATATTATTTGATAATTAAAAAGCTTAAAAACCTTATAGAAAAGATTTAATTAAATTTATAAAGTAATTCAGATTTTTTAGTATATTTCTTTTATAGATAAATAGGAGAGAATAAGATTTACTGATTTGTTCCTATTTATTTTTATTTATTACTGCTAAATAAAATAAGATATTAGAAGACGATCTAAAAAAGCAGCTTATTAATATTTACACTTTATTTTTAATTGTGCTTAATAAACTCAATTTATTCAAATTGAGTAATATGAAAGCCGATACATATATATATATCCTATTTTTCCATAAAATTGTGTTTTTAAAATAAAGATTTAGCTCGCTTAAACACAATTTTGAAAGAATATTTTCATGAAAATTTTATTTAAAATAAAAGTTTATGTTAGTTTAAGTTTTGCTTATATTAATTAGCACTTCAATATGTATGTATTAAATAAATCAATATTATACTATTAGCTCTAAGGAGGAGATATTTCTGAAAAGATATTCAATAAAATATTTATTTACTCATCGAAATGTTGTAAAATAAATAGGAGCTAGCATATGAAAGCCAAGTTATATAATCAAAAATAATTCATTTCCAATAAACATATTATTTTAATTAATATTAAAAAGATAGTTTTTAGGGATATTGAAAGCAACAAAAATAGTAAATCAAAACTTTTATTAAATTAAAACATAATTATCTCAGTAAAAAGTATAATAAAAAAATAATTTCCTCTTACAATTCAATACAAATTAATAAAGCTAATATATTCAAAAAACAATATAATATTTTCATTATATTTATTAAATATTTATTTTTTCATAATAGAGCTATGACTGACTGACTGACTTATTTTTCAAAATATTTAATTAATTAACTTACCTCTTTTATAAAAAGATTATTTTTTACATCTATAAATATTTAAATTATTTATATAAATATTTATTTATAGATAGATAGATATGTAGTGATTCATTTTAAAAATATTTTAGTTTAGAAAAATAGTAATAGAGAAAATCATATTTAAAAATCAGTTCAAACTTTTATAATGAATGCAATTTCACATATAACAGAAACTACAATTTATAATATATTATAACTTTTTATTATTATTTTAGTTTCGAGCAAAAAGCGAAAGACCAGTATAACCAATCTATGCTCAATAATTGATATTACCACATTCAAGATAAAGCTTTTTGAAAATTCTGTTGTAGTAAAAATTAGATTTTTAAGCCAAGCTTAAAACTCTGGAGTCAGCAAAGCAGCATTCAAACCATCTATTTTTATTCAACTTAGCATCAGCAGTTGTGTTTTCAAAGTATTTATACCAGTTCTTGCAGGCATTTAACTCATGTTTGGCAGAAGGGTATACCAAATCAGCAACAGCTGAGGCATACTTATAACAGGTTTATCTTTCACTAGCAGGGCTATCATCACAAGTAGGAACACTGTACTTGTAGCAAGTAGCCCATTAGAAAATAGAATAGTTATCACAAGGACAAGTATCAGCTCTTGCAAAACATTTATTGCAAGTCAAATCATTTTCATCATGGTTAGGATCTACACTAACAATTACATCAAGGTAATCAGCAGGGTTTTCAGCAAGAGGAGTACCTTAGTTCAGATAGAATGCTGCTCCAATCAAAGCAGTAGTAAGGGTTAAACCAATAACTATTATAAAATAATATATATTATTTTACATAAATAAATCTTAAAAATAATATTGCCATAATAGTTAAAATAATTGATTTTTTATTTATTGACAAATATTTCTTACTTAAAAATTTGGAGGTGTTCATCTCGGTAAGTCAATAAGGATTGTCTTTTTTTTTTTGATTTTTATTCTAAGCTTATTTTTTTTTCTTTATTATTTTATATATTAGATTATCAAAAATTTTGCTAGTATTTAAAGAGTTTGTTAGAAATGAATAGATGGATTGATTGGTTGATTTATGTTTGAAAATTTTTAAAATAGATAGATAGATAAATAAATAAATAGAATCGAAATAATGGATAATATAATTGCACAAATAAAATCTATGATTAGAAATAATTTATGATTTAAAATTGTTAAAATTATACGAGTATAGTTTGTAAGATTTTAATGGGAGATGAAATAAATAATTAGTCTGATCTTTAAAGTGTTTCCATTTTAGAAAGTAAGAATTTTATCAAATTAATTTTTGAAATTGCTACCTACCTACCCCTTATAAATTAATTTTTAGATTTGATTAAAAACCAGAATTTATTTGATGATGTGGGAATTTAATTTTGTAATAACTTAAATATTTATGATGTAATATTCATGATTAAATGACAAAATCAATGTCACTCAGAATTTAAAACATAAATAAATACTTAAGCGAGAAAATAACCTTTTTTGAATCTTCTTCATCAGGATGAAAATAAAAGTGTATATTTGTATTTTATTAGCTCTGTCTATACATTTTATTTAGAGGGAATAGCATCATATTTAAAATTAATTTAGAAACTATTTTCTTTGATTTCTAAAAGACCCTAAAAAATAAATGTTTCAGATCAGATGTTTTTAACATTGTTTGTTATTGATTTCAATATTTTTTTATGTTTTTAATTAATCACAAATAAACAAAAATCCTCTATACTATAAAATTATTTAAATTTTATTTTTTACTCACATATAATATAACATGTACAAATTTTTTTAAAACACACGATATTTCTTTAAAATGTCAATTATATTTATATTAAACATAACTTAAAAATTAAATGTACTAAGCACATATACTGCTATTATTTTAAATTTATATGATTTTGTTATTAATAACTTATTTGCCTTATTTTAAAATAGAAGAATTTATTTAATGTTATTTTGGTATATTCTCTTATAATTAAGCTGAGAAATTAATAAATATCTCAATTACAAGCTCAGTCAATCTTTTTACTAAAAGATGAATTACATGTTCTAAAAATATTATAATTCAAATTTATTCATATTCTTTTTAAAATAGCAAGTAAAGTCTAGTTATAAAATATTTAAAATAAATTCATCAATCTGAATAAATATTTTTTTTTGCAATCAATGAAAAAAATAATACAATTTTTTCCATTTTTTAGTATAAATATCCTATAGAATATTAATATTTTAACAAAAGATTGTCCTAAACACAAAAAAGTAAATAGGCCTAAAAAATATATTTTTTTATCACTTTTATGCTAAAAAGATATTTATTTTGCTTATGAAAATATCAACAAGACAATAGATGTATAAAAAAATTCATTAACTCTATAGTTTTAAATATTAATATATTAAACTCATTCATAAATTATTTAGTTTATTTTCATTAAAATTTAATGTATATTTTTTTTTTAATAGAATGATTTTAATTCAATTTATAAAAATGAATTTTAAGGAAACCTTTATTGTTTCTATAAAAATAAAAATGACAAAAAGTCATAAAATTTTTTTTTGAGTAGTTAATCGTGTAGATAAAATAGTAAGAGCAAAGGCAAAGTATAAATCTTGATAATTATCTAAATATTAAAAATTAATTATTTTAAAATTGGAACATTTTTATTATTTGTACCAAAAAAATTTTTTAAAAATATTTATTTATAAAATAATATTTTAAGGATATCTTGATTTTTTAGGCATTTTATTATTTTAATGGAAAATTATTATTTTATATAAAATTAATTTTATATAATTTTATTGAATTTCAAATTAAGCTTCAGAATTATAAATTAGAAAGCAAAAAGAATAAATATTTTATAATAAAATCACTAAAAACTAAAAAAAATATAAAAGAAATTAATTTGTTTTTATAAAAATTTAATTGTTTAAAAATTATTTTAACAATATTTATTAAATATATTTTTTAAACAAAATTAGCAAAAAATTAGGGAAAATACAAGCAATTAATTGAAAAAAATGAATGACGTTTAAGATTTAGTTATTAAAGAAATAATGTAAAAATAAACTATTTATTTAATTTTGAAAAGAAAATATTTTGTTTTTTTTTTGCCAATTGTTAAATAAAAAGATAATAAAATGATTATTTAGTTGAATTTTAAGAATAGCATAGTCTATTTGAAAGTATATCAAATATCAAATTTGATTTTAGGTAAAATTAAAATTAAAATTTTATAGAGAATAAATAATATTTTAATTAACAGCAAAATATTAGCTAAAAAAAAAGTACTTCTCAATTAACTTCTTGAAGTTTTAATGAATACTACCAATTTAAAAATATTTTCAATCATTATTTAGTAATTTTTATCTAATAAAAGACTTTTTTAAGAAATGAATTTATTATAAAAAGATCACTTTAAATAAAGCCTTTAGAAATGCTTAGCTTATGTAATTTTTTACAATCAAAAAATTAGATGCTTGAACTTGAGCTTTAACTAGAGTAAATTTGTTTTTTAATTTTATTATTAATCTCAGTAATTTAAAAAATTTTTTAATTTAATCAATCATTTATTTTTTCCATTTTTATTTATTTAGAAACTCATTTTAAATAAATTTCTTTTTTGCTAATTTATTATTAATGTAGGGATTGTAATTTAAATTTTAATTAAATATAAAACTTGTCAAATTCTTTATCTGGATTTAATTAATTGAAAAAGTTAATATTAGATGTAAGGTAATCAATTATTAAAATTTAATAGATGAGTAAATATTAATATTAGTAATTGAAAAAAATATAAATTTTACTGTTATTGAATAAAATAATAATAATTTTTTTATTATAGTGAATCTTTTATACAATCTAAAGGATTGATCTATATTGGAAAAGCAATTTAAAATTTGCCTTAGTTATTACACTTAACTTTAAAAGTCTGGTAATAATATTTATCTATTGATTTTTGTTAGTATTAGTATGATAAAAAATTACTTAAATTAGGTATTGCTAGATAGAATTGGAAGGTTTTATTGATTTTGCATTAAAATTGTTTGAAGTAAAATCACTTAGAGTGTTAAATTTTGATTTTGGGTATATTACTCAAAATAATTTTTATTATATTTCATATTTTAATATAAAAGATGGAATTTGTATGACAACACTTAATAACAGCTTGTAAAAAATCTATTGAAAAAATAAAGGAGATTAGTAAATTGTGCTTACTGAAGAATTCAATTGTTAAGTAATTCAATCAATCAATTAATATATATTTGATCTCTTTTAGCTTGCTAAAATAAAATAAAATTTTTATTTTTATCACCAATATGAGAATAGTTAGAAGAAAAAGTTGACTCTTGATTAGATATAATATTTCTTTGATTCATTATAAATTTAAAAAAATTTATGAGTGATGATTTAAATGTTTGATGCTTTTAATTACAAATAATATTTACTGTTTTTATGTGTAATCAAATATAATATTTACTGTTTTTATGTGTAAGCGAATAGAAGATTTTTATGAATTTTTCAATTTTTAAATGAGAAGCCTTACTTTATAGTTTATCCTGAGTTCTTTAATTTTTAGGTAACTTAAATAAAACTAAAAAATATTTTTTGTTAAAAGTAAATCATCATTTATTCTTTGAATGTTTAAATTTTTATTGATAAAAAATTGTTCAAAATTCTTAGCAAATATTAATTTTTTTCTATAAAAGTTGTTGCTCATAAACCATTAAAGGATGAAAATATAAAATAATTTCTGATAAAGAATGATTTTATACATATCCAATATTTAATTAGTAATTGTGAAGCAAAATATATTATTTTATTACTTAAATAAAAATGAAGATTTTAAAGAACAAATAATTGCAAAGCTGAATTCAAAATTCTTTATTTGAAAAAGTTGTAAACTAAAAAAAATTGTGATAAAAAAACATAAATTTAGTTTTAATTAATTGGCTGATTCATCATCATAAATTAAATTATCTGTTAAATTCGAATATGCACACTAAACATTGCATTATAATATTAGTGAATTGTAAAGCACATTGAAGTGTAATTATACAAAATAAGTCAATATTGCGATAAAGTTATATGATTAAAATGAAGTATTAGGCTTTAGAAACATTAAAAAAAACAAAAAAAAACAAAATAGAACAAATAATAAATAATAAATAAATATATTTATATATTTTTTTATTTAATGTAAATGCGTGTCTTTATATAATTTTTCTTAATCTTCTTATAAGTAGAGAGGCTTATAAATGCGCTACCTTCCTATATCCCTAGTAAACAAGTTTAAATAAATCAAGTATATGTTGTGTAATATGGTGATGGTTAGTTAAGTGCTGATACTGACTAAAATATTGTCACTTAAGTTACGTTTCCTAAGCTATTTAATAGAGTGCCTTAAGTTTTATTAGCAACTTTTGACTTGGACCTAGATGGAACAAAAATTTTGAACTCTAACTGGTAACTTACAACACAAGGTATATCTAAAACGGGTTTCTCATCAAAACTAATTAAAAAGGGTCTGTAGCATATTTATACTTTGGGATATTATTATTTAGCAATAGACAGCGATGATGTTTATATATTTAGTAACTAAGTTGCATTTTTCAAAGCAAATGCTATAGTTGTTAATGGAAAACTTGTTTAAACCTTTACTATTTCATATTAAAGAGTCATAGACACTACTAAAACAAAACGAATAATGACTGCGTTTTATACTGGTTATGACTAAACAACTACTGATAACTCTCAAGCAAAGCTTAGTATATTTTTAGAAATAATTTAGCTTTAAGATTATGCTTAGTTAATAATAACATCTGAATAAACTAATAATTATATGGATCTTGTATTCTATAATTATATGGAATACTATGAAGACATAGACTAGAATTTCCTTGTTTTGGAATCCTTTGAAGAAAGGGTATTTTAAGCCGTTCCTGTTAATTCATCATTGAATAGTAATAAAATAGATAGATTGTAGTCTGTTTCTCCTTTTTATACTAATATAGGTAGCATTCAAGGTATTTTATGTGGTTTAAGTGGCTTATAAATTCCACCAAAAAATGAAGTTCTAAGATTAACTATATAAAACATAAATTTTTTAAATAATTACCTAAATTATCAGTATGAAACATGGCAAGACACTGTAATATAAGGAGTTACATCTAATGTTCTTGTGTTTAAACAGTTAGATTGCAATATTTATTTTAACTTTTAATGTGTTAACTCTTGTCCTTCTCATTACTTTATGTATTATGATCAAGTTAAAGCTGTTAATTTATGCTAGAAATGCTATACCCTTTGCAGTGAATGCTTAGGCTAATTAGCTAGATAATGTACTAAGTGTTTTCCTGGGTTTATATTATCAAATGGTAGTTGTATCTGTCCTGAAAATTAGCTGCTCTTATCTGATAACACTTGTGGGTGTTCTGAGAATTATGAATTGGTATAAGGAAAATGCTAAGAAAAAACATATTTTAGTGGAAAAACAGTAGAATTGCTAAATAAGAGTGCTGATGTGATGAGTAAAACAGCTATAACCGTTACAGGAATCCTTACAGGTATTTCTAGTTTTACAAAAAGTGGTAACTCAGTTATAGTTTATCTATTCTCTGTCTAAAAAGTTTTATACCTACTACTTATAAATATTGGAATTCCAAAATTTTTCTAAGTCTTTCTTGAAATTCTAACTTGTAAAATTTATCTTCTTAAATATTTTATAAATTAATAAATTTTTATTAATAAATAAGAAAACAGAATATTTGATAAATTTAATAAATTTAATCCTTTTTAATCTCTAGGAGATGAAAAATAGCTGTATATTTATGTATCTAAATTTGAGTAGGAAAACATCCAATCCAGCATATTGATTAACTGTGGTGGAGTAATAGTCGCCTTTATATTTACATTGGTATTGAATAAAGCTTTTTAATTGTCTTAAAAGCTTAATAAAAGATAAATTTTCTTATCAATTTATGAGAAAGCTATTGTTTCTTTTATTGCCACAAATTTGATTCTTTTCGTTCCTATATTCTCCTTCAGCTTATATTTGTAAATGTCTCACTTCTTTGATTTTGGATATTCAAGATTGTATTATCTCAAAATCTTCCTTGTGTTAATTACTCATGGTTTAATTGTTTTCTTACTTCATTACATAATGAAATATTTGAGCTCTCCTGATCACACTTTTTGCTTTTAAATCGAATCGTGTCCCCATATATTTGCCAACATCTTAAGAGAAAAGCTTCAAAATGGCTGTATTAGGAGTTGCTCTTACAGAAAAGTCTACATGGAAATATATATTATATTTGAAGGCTATATTTTTCCTTTAGCAGCAATAGCTGGTAGAACTAACTTTTAGTCATAAATAATAACATTTATAATTATTTAGATAATAGAAACAATTATCACAACAATTTTAAGACCTTTTTAAAATAAAATTGATAATATTTAGTATTGTTTAGAGCAAATGCTTTGGAGCTTAGTCTTCATTTTATATATTATTTTAACTTTTTAATTGAATAGCACAACTCTGGATGTAGTGTATTTAAATAGTTCTATTAATTCAATCATATTAGCTATAGTTATCTTAATATTTATAATTATTGGAATGAATCCTTTAATCACTTTAATTAAATTTGGATTTTTTGCAAAGTAACGCTACAAAGAATATTAAGCTTAAAAATAAAAATAAACATCTGTTTTGAGTTAAAATACTTCAATAACTATAGAAATGCTCTAAAAAAGCTTCAAAAATTTAAAAAAAACAAAGAGTATAATCTAACAAAATTCAGAAAATTAATAACAATAATAAGTTAAACAACAAATAATAAATTGAAAAATGGATTATATATAAGTACTAAAAAATAAAAATATTTCATCAAAATTTACTTACTTACATACATACATACTGTTATAATTAAAATATATTTAATTTATATTATATTTCTAGTTATTGTCAACTATTTATTTTTACATAATCAATCTTTTATTATGGTTATTTTTAATTAAATTTTTAACTTTCAATTAAAAATAAAAGTAAGTATTTAAATTAAAGTTAAGTGTTAATTCAAAAACTATCTTATTGCTTAAATCTATGAGGATCTATATTATAAAGTTTTCGATTGTTAATCTTTTACTTTAAAAATTTTTTATATTTTTTATTTTAACTTTAAACTAAAATTATATTTGAGTACAAAAACTTCAATAACTAAATAGATGCTCTAAGAAATCACCAAAAATATAAAAAAATATTAACTTATATAACAAATAAATAGAATAAAAAAAGTATTACAGAATAAAATACTCATAAAATATTAATTTTTATAAATATATTTAAAATAAATTTAATTTTTCATTCTTAATCTTTAATAATTATTCTTCTTAATTTAATTTGATTTTTTAGTTTTTGATTCACATTCTATGTAACTATCTTATCATATGAAGAGTTGCTTCTTCTTATAATTTTTCTTCAGGTATCATAGTAAGCAATAAATTCATCATTTAAATCCTTGAAAAAAATAATTTCCAACTAATGTATTCACTTATAATTATAGCTAAGGTAATAAAAATGCAACCAATAATTAAATAATTTTATATAAACTATTAAATTGACAATGATACCTATGTTATACTCTAATTAATAAAAGAACTATATATGTCGTATATTTCATCTTATTCTCTAAAACTGAATAGTATTGTACTTTTATAAGCATATCCATTAAAGTACTCTATTAGCTAATTGTAATCAGATTTTTAAACATTCAATATATTTGGGTACTCGCTCAAAAATTTTTAGTTGTTTGCATTTATTAATGTTAAACCCAAAACTTCTTATGGTTAGCATTAGTAAACTTGTAAATACTAGCAACCCTTTCCCTCTTATATATCTTTAAGCTACTAAACAGTAAGACTAGAAAAAGGATTTTTACCATAAATAAGTGATGTAATACTTTGCATTATAGCTTAAACTTGATTGAAGCTACTACCCATTTAATTTTAATACTCTTGAAGATCTTTGATTGAATAATTTGACCACAATTCATCTTAAATATACTGGTCAAACGAAAGTAATGAAACAGCTATTTTAAAATTAGTTTGTAATGCGTGTAGCTTGATGCTATTCTAATTCATTTAAACAGGAATTTTAATTTGATCATCGCTCTAATTTAAGTAGATGATAATGCAAATATAGTAAATACAAATTATAAAAGCTAAAATGAAAAACGTTAAGAATCGCCTGAAAATTCCTAATTTTTAATTTTGTATTCTAGCCTGTAAGATTTGATTACTTTAAGAGCGATGGTTTGTATTCGATGAAATATTTTATTTTTTCAACTTTTGTTTAGAAGAAACAGCATTTGAGCTAATTATATTTTCTGATTGTATAACATTTTTAGTATCTTAGTTTTGAGAGTTTATTTGATGTTTAACATTTTAGTTTAAAGTTAGTTAAGACTCTTATGCCTATTTAAGATTAAAGATGCTGCTTTTTTAAAATATGTTTGACTATTCTTAAGATATTTGCTTATTACTGACTTTTGATTTTGGAAGTTTCTTAATTTCTTTTCTTTCTTTTAAACCATTATTCTTTGAATTAGAACTATGCCTGTTAGTTTGATTAGTGTTATCACCATTTTTACAACTTAAACTAAAGATATCAAAATAGTTATAGCTCATCCATTCAACTAATTCTATATTTATAAGCTACTTGCATATTGTATACTTTGTTTTTTCTACTTCTGATTATTCAAAATTTATACGAGTGAGTATCATCACAATTTTTTCCTCGTAAAAGTTAATTTATCTAATAATTGGCAATGAAGTCAAAGCAATAACTACAATTAAAATAATTGCTATTATATTAATAACTTAGAATTTAAAAATTAAGCTATTAGAAGCATCAATTGTATCATTTATTAATAAATCAACCTAATCAATAATATTTTAACTAAATGAAAAGTAATTTTATCTTAAATACAGAAATGAATCTGTTCTTTGCATTTAACTTTTTTCATTAATTAAAATTAGTAAATAGTACAAGTGTTAGGGATACATGAGAGATTTCGTAATATTAAATATAGCTTACTCTCTATTTTTAAATAAATAGTATGTCTACAATTGTTGTTCCTAATTTTATATCTACTCTTCAACCAATTTTGTTAATTATGTTGAATAGCTATCTGATAGTTATTTATATTCCTAAACTCCTCTTAAAATGTAATCATCTGTAAGGCTCATATATTACTGATCAGAGGTATCTTTGAGAAATCCTAATTGTATTTATATCTAAATATAGTATCCGAAAAATGCTTTACCATAAGCTCTTAAAAATTTTCTTGGATATTTCAGTATTTATACATTTTCAGAAAATACCTAAATATTTAAAAAATAATTACTTTAAACTAAAAGATTTTTTTTTAATTACTTCAATATCACCCTATATGACTACTAAATTTGTTATATTTAAAGCAAGAAAAACTAATAAAAATAAAATTAGTAGAAATCTATAGTTCTTTGCAGCTTGAGGTACTTTTGATCTCACGATAATATCTATTTTAAATCAATTTAAAAAATTAATATTTTATTATTTATTTAAATAATTTCTTATTAAAAAAATAACTAATAAACAAAAAAGCAATTAATTTTCTTTAATTCTTAAGAATTACTAATTTTATTAAAAGAATTTAATAAATGTTATTTTACCTTTAAGAAAGAAACCTGCATAACTACTAGAAGATCTTGAAGAATGAACACTTGTTTATATACTGTTTTTACCATTAGCAATCATCCCTTTTTTGTTCAGTATATTAGCAATTATTTTTTCTTAAATTACTTCTTGATTGTTAGAGTTATCCTAAATATCTTATCTATCAGAAGAGTTTCTAAGACTAATTTTTTAATATTCTATATTGTCTGTGCTGGGTATCTATTGCTTATAAACATCTATCTAAGAAGCAGTAGTTATCAATTTATTTTACTTTACTGCACTTGATTGGTTTGGTAAGATTAAATTTTCTTGATTATTTTTATTAGAATAATCTTCTAAATATTTTACTCCATTTAAATAAATTTGAGTGTTATTAATAACTTAGTCTGTTTGTATCTAGTTTATGCTTCTATAGGACTAATCTAAAATAGGTCTTGCTGATATGTTTAGAAAATTCTAATCATTTTAATGCTAATTAGGATCTTTATATTTTTATTTTGAAATGAAAAGCGATGTGTTAGCATTGTCTTATTAATGGTTATCTATAAAATTAACTCTATTAGAAAAGTCTATTTCATTATAGTTGTTTTCTACAATTTAAGAGTGAATATTAGATTAATCAAGGTTTTAATAACTTATATTGTATAAATTATTATTTATTTATATGTTATAAGTTGGTTCTAACTTTTATCTTATATTTTATGGAGTTTTTTCAAAGCTTAATTCCATTTCTTATTACTCAAAACCTTATCTAAATGTAACTGGCTAATAAGTTTCAATCTCATTATTGTTTGTATGATAATAATTTATTTTATTTTCAGCTTAATATTACTATTTTTCTAATTATTTTTAAATTAATGCCTCTGAAACAGCTACCTCGAGAGCTTTACCAAAACTAGAGGATAAAGATCTATTTTGTAATATTTTTTTAATTTAAGTATTTTTATCAATTAATGTTAACTAACTTTTTTAAAAAGAGTATTTTTAAAACAATTCATCTAATTCTGGAAAAGAATCATCTATATCTCCTGAAAAATTAGTTTTATTCTTAATCAAGCTTTAGATTTATTTATTTATTTCATCTTATTAAAAGCCTTAGACTTAATAACTCTCATCAGTATTAAACGAAACATTTAAGCTTGATTACAAATTTGAAGATAAGTTATCATCTTAAAATTAATCATCAGTATCTCCTACATTTTTTTAGTCTTTTTGTTACTGATTATTGTTCTTTTCTGTTAATTTTTAAAAATGAATTAAATTTAGATTTTATTAAATTAAAAAATTCAGAATTTTCTTTCAAGTTTTTTGTATTAAAAAATTTTTTTTAAAATAATATTTACGATGAATGGATTTTAAGAATTTCTTTATCATTTTATTTTAAGTAAAACTTAAGCCAGTCTCATTTTACTTTTATTAATTGGGAGACATGCAGTCAATGATTTGAGTAGATAAATTGGTTATCTTTTAGTTTAATGGTGAATCACTTTATTATTCTATAATCAAAGATTGTTGGTTTGGAGAAAACTTGATACCTTTAATACTATTTGAGAGAGGAATAATAGAAGTAGTAGAATATAAGTATTCATATATATTCGATAAGAATTTATTTTTATTTTAAACCTTTTGCTTTTGATGAAATTATGAAATTTAAATATTTTTAAAACAAATAACAAAATAAACATCTTTCTATCTGTTTGACTTAATCTTTTCTCCTTCTTTTTGATTAAAATTTTAATTCCTAGAAATAACATTTTAATTGATTTTCTTTTGATCTTCCTTGTCAATGATACGATACTATATTTAATAGTTGTACTTCATTTTCATACGAATATTATTTTATGCTTATTTAGCCATACTCATACTCTTTTTAGTGAATTCTTTAGTAAAATATTTTTCATCTTCACTTTTTAGTGTTTTGTTAAATCTTCTTTCTGACGAAAGATTACTTCTATTTGTATTCTAGTCATCCAAGTCTTGTTCTTCAAATTGCTTTAAAATAGAAAGACAGCTTTTATCTAATAAATCTAGCTAGTCATATTAAGAATGCTATGAATTTTATGATTTTTTATTGATAAAATTCATAAATTTTCTAATGTAATTTGAAAGATTTGAGTATATTATAGTAGAAGATGATTAGTCATCCAGCAAAATAGATCTGGAATGAGTATCTTTTTGGTTTTTGGTTTTTTCAAAGTTTAACTTCTAATTACCAAATTATTGTTTTAGCTACAGATCATTGAGTATTAAATCTCTAAAATTAATAAGCTTTTTCACAATTTTAGGGAAAATTAACAAAAAATTCATTCTTTTGATTAGAGCATCTCCAGGAGGTAATGTAGGAAAGTCAAATAATATGTTTTTAGCTAAATTTTTTGTTATACCAGTTACTTTTCCAGATCTATCAAAGATAATATAATCTTTTTACGAATTCTCTTTAAGAATTACTCCATTTAATATAAAATCGTTTGAAACTGTTGTAAAATTAAATCTAAAAAATATAGAGACTGGGTGGATAAAGCCATCTTTTAATTTCATAAAGCTTTAAATAATTTATTTACTGCCTTTTAATTTATTTTTTTTGCCTTTTATATAATCTTTAACTATTTAATTGTGGACTCTTCCTATATGAGCAGGCATTAGACTATTAATATTATTAATTTTAAGAAAATCTTGTTTGTCATTATAACCAAAGAATTATGCAGTTTTATCATCTCTCTTGCTTAATATTTTTCCCATATTTTCTGCTAAACTAATTTCTAGTAAGCATATTTCACCTTTTAAGAGATTTGTATTTTTTAATTAATTTTCTTCTGAAAGTGTATCTCTTTTTTTTAATTCGTTTATTTTCAAGTCTAATTAAATCGCTTTCACTGTGTCATTAATAACAAATAGATAAAATATTTAAATTAATTTCTAAAATTAGATGCAAATTTCAATATCTGGCATTTCTTGCTTAATTTACTAGGTTTATTTTTAAAATTGCGTTCTAGTAAGACTAATTTTTCTCATCAGCTTTAAAGCGTCTTTTTAAAAACCATCTATATCTTTGTACCCGTTTTGCAGAAGACTCCATAAGCCTTGTTTCTCATCTATAATTTCAAGAAAAGTGCTAATATATTTTAAGCATAATTTTTCAACTTCCAAAAGAACATCGATTCTTAATTCGTTATGAAGAATAACTTATTTTAACTTTTAGTTATTTCTATTATCAATTTTCGAACTACTTAAAGTGCTATTTGATTCACTAATTTCTTGCTGGTTTAAAATAGTATTCTATATTTTGACTTCAATTATTTGTGATAATATTTCGAAAAATATTGAAAATTAAATACTCTTCAATTGAAGTATTTTTAGTTCTTAATAAGCTCGAACTGGATTGTTTTAATATTTTACCATAAAAGAAATATATTTCAGCGATAATTTTTGAAATTAACTTTTGTTTTAAGTGATACATTTTTAAGAAAACATCCATTTAAAAATCACATCTACAAATTAGTACAACAATAACATATTTATTCCTGAATCTTCTGCATTATTATTTTCAATATCTTTGCTTGAATCTTCTTTTAGATTATCTTCTATTTCCTATTCTTACTGAGTTTTGATATTTAATTTTTAATATTTATGGCAAACGCAATTTGGTACATTACAATTTATCTAATGAAGTTTGTAAATCTTATAAAGTTTAGTTTTAGCTTCTTCTTATGTAGCACACTATTAACCAAGTTATATAATCTATTCTAGATAGAAATCCAAGTTATTGATAATTCTTTCAGTCTTCCAATTTCCTTGCATAATGTAATCATATTTAAAATTAAGCGTTTAATCTAATACAGCTCTGAATATCAATCCCAAAAGAACTGTCAAATAAAACATTTCCTACCCATTAATAACATTTAACCAGAAATAAAAATTGCTGCATGTTACTGCTGATTGATAAAAAGCTATAACATTTAGATAATATTTTGATATAATCTGATCTGTATAAGGCAGATATAAAAAATAATCTACAATACTCACAATACCAAATATCTGTGCAATAACATGCTTTGCAACTAACATATTTTAATTCTACCACTAAAATTCAACAAATGTAATCACAACTCTTAAAGCAGTTAAACTAAAATAGAGGATAGTAAACTTTCTTTTCAAAATATTTTTCTCCAAAAACTCATAGTTCCTAAAATAGTAATTTGTAAGTAGAGCTGTTAGCAAAGTCAAAAATAAACCAAATATTCCTAAAACAACTTAAAAAGTAGGAATTGTGCAAGTTAAAATAGTAGGGTCATAAAACTAGTGCCTCATATTTGAAAGCATGCTCTTTTTAGAGCAGAAAATTAATGAGCAATTTATCTCTAAGTAAAATGATAAAAAAACATTTAGAAATAGAGTGAAATAAAGGTTCAAGATTTCATTTATTGTTGAAATAATCTTCTGAAACTCATCATTGATTTCTTTAAGATAGTTTGTCACGATAGTCAAGCATCCAACGTATATGAAATAAAATACCATAAAGCTCATAGCAATAATGTATATAGCATATGAAAAAGTATCGCTTTACTTTAGATTAACTATATTAACTATTGAAACCATATCAATTATCTGGAATACTGAATTCAGTTTCTATTCATCATAATAACGTAGCTAAAAGTCGCTGAATAGATAAATTATTATCTGGCAAAATGATACAATTATAATACCTTTATATACAGCAATAGGAATCTCATATCTTGGTTTATCTTCAATAATTGTTAGAATAGTCTGTTATAAAGACCTTAATGTTTTTTATATAATCATTCGTCTCTCTGTTTTTATGAAATAATTTAAAGTTGACTTATTTCTATCCTATTATTGTAATTATTGTTTTTTATTTTGATATAATCTTATATTTATTTATAGTTAACCACATAATTTACTTTATATTTATATTTTCTCTGCATTATTTAATCCCAAAAAAAACTAAATTTTCTTATTAAATAACATACATATCTACTAAAATAGTTAAATTCAAAATCAAATCAAACTAAACCACACACCTTAATGTATGAATTACAACTATTTTATTTTATATTTAAGGTTGAGAGATATTTTTTACAATAAATGTGTTAATTCAAAATATTAAATCAATTCAAATATAAAAATTAAACTAATACCATTATTTAAAGCGATGAATACACAGTTAAATATTTAAAATATTTCCATTTATTTTTTTTTATCAACAAATTTTAAAAAATAGTAAATTTAAATTTAACTTGATTTAAGAATAAAAATAATTTATTTATTAATACAAGCTTGAGTTAGAATGTAAATAGTTAAATTTAGAAAACCTGAATAAAATCTAGTGACAGTCATTTATTTTAAATATTTATATTAAAATTTTAAACTGCAAACTAACTAACTATATTAATTTTAAAATTAGCAAGGTTTAAATTTATATGAATGAAAAACCTAATAATTACTATACAAAGTTACTTTACAATTAATTTTTATTAATTTCCTCTAATATTTATTACAGTACATTCATTACATTTCTTTTTTTTATTTAAGTTAAAAAAATAAAAATGGCAACCAAGGTGGGACTCGAACCCACAACCTTCAGATTAGAAGTCTGCTGCGCTACCATTGCGCCACTCGGCTTTACATGATTATTTACTAAATTATTTTTAGTTAGCTTTTATTACATATTGTTTAAAATTAATTAATACTTAATCATTTGTTTTTTAACCATTTTTATTACCTAATTTTAAAAAAACCTTAAAATAACTGAATCATATTATATATTTGGATATAGAAACATAAATATCTAAATCTTTATCCTCAGATAGACTGAAAATAAATAATTTTATTTGTAATAAAAACAACTTAAAAAAAATTACATGTTTCATATTTATTTTTTTCACTTTTGAATTTCCATTTTAAATTTTTGATTAAAAAACATATTTCCACAAGAATAATATAAGGGATGTTTTAAAATGAAAATATTTTTAAATATTTCAGGTCTTTTCCCTTAGCCTTTCTACTATTGTTGATAATATATATTTTATATTTTATTTTAAAGGCTGATAATTAAATACAATAAGTAAAATAAATCAACGAATAGAAATTTAGAAAATTATTGAAGTACTTCCCTATACTTTGAGCAAGATTTATCTTGATTTATGATTATAAACTTGCAATAACTAAAAGATAATTGAACATCTGCTATAATTTCACAAATATTTTAACTTCGAATATTTGCCTTTGTTGTTTAAGGCCCCAAAAAAACTTAAAAATAATTGGCTTTCTAAAAATTTGAAATTTTTAATATTTATTTTTTAAAATTAGATGAAATTTTAATCATTTTCTTGATCAAAAATTTTATTTTTTAGCCGTTCATGCTAAAATTTTAGAATTATCAATTAAGTGGAATGAATGTTTCTGATCATAAATTAATATTTAATTAAAAAAAGAAAAATCTACACATTTAAAGAAACTTGTTAAATAAAGGAAATAATTAAATTAGGCAAATCTGAATGGTTGCAGCACTAAATCACCTATTTTATGGGAATATTTATAATGCTATGCTTTCGCAAAGTCAAAATATCAATATAAATATGATACAAATGAAATGCATTGAGAAGAATATATCTTTTATTCTGGATCTAATAAATAAAATGTCTTTGAATAACAACACCAATCAAATCAGCAGCAAACAAAAAAAAGTATACAGATAATTAAAAATAAAAATTAATTAGCAAGTTTAAAAATTTTAAAGACTCAGTATTTAAACGCCGATTTCATAATCATCATTTAATTTGAATAATTGCATCGAATAATTTCATTAGAATCTCTTGCAAGAAAGAGTTCCTTAGAATCATATCGAAAAATTACTAGTTTTTAAGTAGGTTCTATCTTTTGTTGAGAAACGTTGCTTCATAATGTAATATCAAATAAATAGCTCGTTAATCGAAATTCAGCAACGCTTTAATGAAATAAAAATTAATCTTTGATTTTATTTAAATATTAAACAATATTGTGAAGATATTTAAAACATTTTAAAATGATTCTATCATCATTATTACTTTATATTACATTTTTAAGTCAACATTTTTTACTTTATATATTTACTGTATATATTTTACTTGTTTTTTTGTTTGTATGTTTGCAACTTAATTTTTCTAAGATGCTTCTACAATACCTCTAATAATTATCTATTTTAATAATTAAAAATATAAATTGATTGATTGATTAATGATCAATTCACCAAACTAATTGTCAAATTTCTTTTTATCATAAACTAAACATTTAAAAATTATTTTTCAATAACTTTTACTTTTTAAAAATTATGCCATTATATTTTATTAAATAAAAAGACCAAATTAAAAGCTAATGCTTCTTTAGTAAGCTTGAACACTCTTCTAGTACTCAGTTTTACTATATAGTACTATTTTCATTTATAAGTACTAAGTACCAATTTAATCCAACTAATAAATGCTATGAAGTGTCCTAACCCAAATACATTTACCTTGCATTTAATTAAAGGTAATTTGAACTATTCTTAAATATATTATTGAAAAAATATCATAAATTAAATGCACTTAAGAATTATTATTATTTTTTGTAAAATATAAAAATATATTATTTAGAAACAGTAAAAAATTAGATTTAGAAAAGTCTATCTATTGAATATTATAATTTAGATTTATAGAGTAAACTTTCAATTAAAAGAGTTAGAAAAATATGAATTTTAAGATGTTGTGTAATTTGACAGTAGTAAACATAAATCAATCTTAAAAATAGGAATGCCAATATACAGAAATGTTATTTATAACTTAAGATTATTTTGGCATTTGCTATGAATTTAAATTAAGTTTTTAGTTGTGTTCAGATTTGAATAATTATTTAATTAATTAATTAATTATTTATTTATTTATTAATTTTTAGAGAAATAGAAAAGTTAAAAACCTAAACTAAATGAATATTTTGAAAAAACATAAATTTGACAATAAGTTCTTTAAAAGCATTAGAGATTTTTATGTTAGAAAGCTCTATTTTATTGTTAAGCGCTTTAAGAGAAGTTATTCCTTAAGTTTGATGCTAATTTGGATAAAATATATTGAATAAGCATTGATTATATTTAATGACCCTCATCTTTAGGAGATATCAAATAAAGAAACCCACTTTTCTTTTATTTCAAAAATGGATTATTTGAATAATTTGATTTCTGGAAAAGATGTAAATTAATTTATTGTGATTTCTTTACTAAGCCTGAATAGTGTATTAGCTATTTACTTGATAGTACTGCAATCTATTTACATAACTTAACACACTAAATAAAAAGACAGCAGGCTAAAATATTCTTAATAAGCTATAAGATAAACAAGGAATTACAGTTAAAAATTATTTAGCATCAAAAACATAGTTTCTGATACGTTTTCCTTTATTTTTATGATATATAATTATATTTTTTTTATACCTTCACTGTACTTTTCATTGCTCAACATAGGGAAATGCTAATAATTTATAAATTTATTCCTCACAATTCTGATAGGTAATTTTTTAGTTTATTGGTTTGAATATTTTTAGCAATTACTAAAATATTGCTACAAAATCGTAAAATTAACAAATTAATTTTTTAAGTTTTTCTTTTTATATCTCTTTGCATAAGTTTTTCTTTTACTTGACTAAATTATTATTAATAAAACAAAAATGATTTAAAAGTAAATTTTTTTTTGAATTATACTACATCAGGAATCTTAGTATCAGACATTGACTATGAATATTCTATTCAAGATAGAGACTTTTTGAAAAGGAAATATAACTTATATAATTTAGTTGAGGTTTTAATGTATTTTTTCGCATTCGGAATAACAAATTTTAAGCCAAATATTACATTGATAATTCTATGCTTGCTATTTTGCTACTAGTTCACCATCTAAGTATGGCAAAATATTTACTTCGATGAGAATATTTCAAGATTGGTTATATTTATTTGTATTTACTTTTTAATGGCGCTAATGTCGCTGATAAGTTTTGCTTACATAGAGTTTAGCACTATCAATAATATCTTGAGTTTAATACTACTTCTACTTGTACCAATTGCGTATTAGGCATCTAAAATTTTAGAAAGAATAGAAATCAAAAACATTGTAAATTCACTATCTTAAATCGAGTAGGCCAAAACCAGCTAGCTTGCTAAAATTATGAGACTTACATTTTTCTAAAATAGAAAATATACAGATTCTGAGGGAATAAAAATACTTAATGGGATATCAAAGTTACAGTCATAAGAAAAATTAAATTTTCTTATGAAAACTGAGGTTAATTTGCCCAAATAAAAAAATCCAAATAATCTAAATTCCAAAACTCAAAAATTATACAATGAAGATGAACATTACAATATCTCTCAAAAACATACCGACAGTACTGATACAAATTCTAATTAATTAATTTCAGAATCTGAGATGAATTAACTGATTTCGCTTATTGGAGACTGTTTCAGAAGACAAGCTGATGAAAGCAAAGCTTCTCATGAAAATTTAGTCGATCTATCATATTTAATCTATTTACTTGAAATTCAATAAAATTTTAAACTTTTTTGGAAACAATACTGCTATGAAACATCAATATCTAATTAAACATCTATAAAAAGAGAATAAATGATGTACAGTTTACTTCACAGTTTTGAAAGAAATTTAAATTCTATTCAAAGGTAAGAAAAGTTTTAAGAGAGTATATTTAGTGTAAATTACTTAAATGTAATCATGTATGATGAAAGCATCAAAGAATCTTTCTCTTTGCTAAATTAATGCATAAATAAAAAAACAAGTATCCTTCAGATGATGTAAATGAGAATAATAGATCTAAATATTTTGTCTTAAAAGATAGAGGAGTTGTAAAGCTAAATAGAAAAGCTCAAATAGAATATAGACTTTCTTCATAAATTAAATGGCCAAAATCATGAATTTACTCTCCTAAATACTTACTACAGAAATTTTTTATCTTTCTCTAGATTCGACGTGCAATTTGATCGCTACCTGCATAAAAATAACAGAAAAAAAGAGAATGAAGACAATCACAATAAAGATTTTAATTATTATCAGTGCTAGTATAAGAGCAGCGTAACTGACATTTCAGAGCTGTAAAATAAAAATTCATGTATAATCTTTACTTCTCTTTTAAATTCAGCTGTTTAAACTATTAAAAAAACTTCAATTAATTTTTGTAAAATCTTTAAAATGAGAAATGAGCTTGCAATAAATAAACCAATTGAGATTTTGATGCCAAGTATGTTTAAAATTGCCCATCCAAAATATGTAAAAGAATTCATGGAAAACAAAAATGTTTTCAATAATAGAGTGTAAAACGTTGTATTTGGAATTAAAAATGATGGGTACATCTTTCCTTGTACTGTAAATGTAAAAGTGAACAGAGTAGATTTATTCAATGATTTTGGTATGACTACGTTAGTAAAAATGATAAACTTGAGTAAAGATTATATCCTGTTTAATGAATAAAATTTAAGGATAATATCTATAACAAAAAACATTCATAAATATATCTTTTAATCTTACAAAAAATTCCACACAATTTTTATTGATACTTATTTTCCATTTATTAATTATAAAAATCTAAAGTAACAAAGTGAAAACTAGATAAATTCAGAAGCAGTCATTTCTATGAATAATTTTGATGAACTTTCATTAAATAATAATAACTAAATTAACTTTATGCAATAATAATTTTCATTCGTTTTTATCGAAGACAACTCTTTTACTGAGTTGGTCAAATGTCATCAAAACTCAGTTTTGGAAAATGTTTAGTTTTACTTGATAGATATAGAAATTAAAAAAGCTTAATACAAATATATTGACAATGTCTACTATATTGAGATATCTTAGCTTTAAGAATTGGAGCCAGAAAAAAATTATAAAATAATACTCCAGTAACTAGACTCCTTTTTGTATGAATCAAAAAGAACCTCTCCTATTTTTAAAAAAATCTTGAACTAACTAAAACTAATAGAATAATTATCAGAAGACGTTTAAGATAATCCTTTTTCTATTGAATAGTCATCCCCAAGATTAGTTATGAGCTCATTAATATTGAAAGAACACTAAAAAAGTTCTTAAGAAATTTTTGAGATTAATTCTCCCACTTTGAGAAGACATGCAAAAAGTAAATATGAATCTCTGGATAACCAAAAACAAGATTCAATATACAGTAAAAATGAAATTAAGTTCTTCTCTACTGAACATAATTTAGAGAGCCAGTCAACAGGCAGAGAGTGTAAACTAGTTTAACTATCAAAAAAATTAAGAGGAGTGCATTCTGCTCTTTAGATTTTTAGTTCCATGAATGATAAAAATAAATTAGCTTAATAGACTTAAAACACATCAAGGACGGTTGTGAATGTAAATTAAAGTATCTAAACTGATCATTAAAAACTGATTACAGAAAATTAAAATATAATTTCATCACCCTAGGAATAAGTTAAAAATACCCAATAAATTAAATTATTTAAGAGCACAAAATAGCCTAATATTAATAAGAATAATATCCCAACCAGCAAAAAAAACGATCCAATTATAAAAATAAATGATAAATAGAGCTAGATAGATTTTAGTATAATCAATACATTAGGATTGAATAATTCACTTTCCATAAATGCGGCAGAAGAGATGGTTACTATAAATAGCATCGATGAAGAAGAAAAGAATGACATTTAGCAGTAAAGGTTAGCTTAAATTGAGCAGGATGTATAAAAAGAAGAAAAAATTCGCTAATCCCGCTCAACTATTAGATATATTAAAGACATTATGAATCAGAAAATTGAGCTAAATTCCATTAAAGTTTTCTAATTGATTGGAATACTTTGCTTTCTAATTTTACTTATATTGACTGTAGTATAATTTACTCAGCTATTAAGTTCAATAAACGATTTTAATTTAGATTTTAAATTGGTTAATTGGCCATCAACTATTTAAAGCTAAATTGCTTCAGTGTAAAAAAACGTAAGCTTAAATTAAATAAATAAGTAAAATGATTTTGTTTTAGTAACTAAGCAGATAAAAAGCCAAATAAATTCTTATATAAGTTCCTTTATGAATGAAGCTGTTTCTGATTTACACTAAACTATGACATAGATGGAAGGAATTAACTCTAATAGACCTATTTTTGATTTCTTAAAAGATCAAAGTGTAGTTTATTCCTGGCCTTCGTTTAAATACACGGGTACATAGCCAGATGGTAAGTTTTACAGTGTCTAGTATAATACTGAGTTGCATTATGGAATTCTTTTGATAAATTTATAAATTTTAAGATATATGGCTGATGTTGGAGGTGGAAAACCAGAATATTTTATGATGGTAAATGAAATAGTTTTTTAAGACGCTTTTAAGGAAGTTTAATAGAGAGCTATTTAATAGTCAAATAAAAATTTAGAAAATATTAAAAATAACTTAGATAATATGCTCGTAATTACTTTAATACTTACAACTTTTTGTATAGGAATACAAATACCGATTTACTATTTTATTTAAAAAGAAAGATAAAATATTTTGTATTTATTTGCAACATTCAGTACAGAAATTACATCAAAAATATTATCTCGCCTTAATTCTATTTATCATCAATCTCGCTCTACTTCTATGGGCTTATCAACAGTTTTCACTAAAAATTTTAATAATAACATTGTGAATGAGCAAAATGAATAAAATAAACATGTCTAAAAAGAAAAAAAGGCCTAGTAAAACAATGATTAATAAATAAAAAAACAGAACATAAGTGAATGTAAATAGCTTACAAGACTAGACAGCTCTTTCTTAAAAAAAATATTTTGCATCTACATATTGATGATCATTTTCCCAATTCTGAATAAAATAATTCCAACATATTATATTAATTAATCTATAAACGATGCAAATGACATTGGTAAATTTATTTTATTAAAAAATATTATAATTTAAATTTATATTTTATATTAAAGTTTAGATATAGCAACTAAAAGCACAAATTTTGGATTCTCTAGGAATGAACTACTATTCATTGATTCTGAAATTGTATCCCAATCTGAAACCATTCAAAATCGATTGGTACATGAGTAGACTAAATTAAATTATCATAAATAATGACAATATGGATAAAGAAATTCAAAATTTAATAAACTCATAAAGAGATTCTTATAAGTAAATATTTTTATTTATTTTTTATACTAAATTTCTAATTTAAAAAATAGCTACAAAAAAGGTGATTATGATTCGACTTTTTTCCCTATCTTCTAAGACGATATTTGTTTAATTTTAGATAAGAAGCATTAATTTAATTAAACTTAGCTTGTAGAAGAATGCTAAAGCTGTTATAACAAAGTTTTAACTCAAGGAATTATTTTATCTTTCAAAAAGCTGAATGATTAATTGAAAGATTTTTATAACTTTTTCTAAATTCCTAATAACACGACAAACTATCAAAATGAAAGAAGTCACATATTTAAAACATTTGATTTATATGGATTTCATTAATTTTCAGTTTTTTTAATATAATCATTGGACTATCTTAGAGAATTTATCATTTCGTCTCATGAAGATTATTATAATTTCTTCTTAATATTTGAAACAGTAGGACTAGTTTACTAATTAATAGTGATCATAGTTTTCTTTCTTATTGAGTAGATTATTTTTTATGAATCAATAAATACTAAAATAAATAAAACAAAAATGTAATTAAAAGTAATAGACATTAAATCACTTCTATCTAACCCATTTATAATCAATTATTTTAAAAAAAATGTAATCAAGTGATTTTTAATTATTCATAATTAAAAATTGTAAAATAGAATTTTCTATATATTGTAAATAAATACCTCCTTTATATAAAGCATATTAAATATTCAAATTTTATAGTTTGTGCTAAATCTCCTACTTTTTTAAAATATTATTGCTTAATTTCTAAATATAGATATTTCTAAATTTACTATTTAATTTTGTCGAAGTTAAACACAGTTATTTATTTACTTTTGAAGTTAAGAATTAAAAAATAACTTATTAATAATAAACCTTTTTCATAATAAATATAGTTGAATAATAAATATTAATTCTTTTATTTGAATAAATATGAGCAAAAATAAAGTTTAAGAATATGGAAAATAAGAAGAACAACTTAAGAAAAAACTAAATGAATGCATAGAATAGTTCTATGAGTAAAAAGCATATTATATAGTAAATGGGTTCTAGCGCAGTAAACTTTTAAGTTATATATTGCTGGTGAGTAAAAACATGTAATTTCTACTTCTATTTTTAAGTAGAAGTAATTTATCTAAACTAGTTAAAAAAGACAATAATTTTTCATTCCTCTTTGGGTGGAGTTTTATAATTGACTTGGTAGATGGAAAAACACAAGCTGAATAAATTCTTTTCTTGCTTTTTATAGTTAATTCCCTGATGGTTATCAGTTTTATTATTCAAATTGGGTTATTTATGAAAGTTAATTTGAATGAGCTAAAAATAGCTTCATTCACTGAATAATGTAAATCAAACTATGAGCAGCTGAAGAAACAAAAATCTTAAAGAATTATTTTTATTAAAGACATACTATCTTGCATTCATTTGGTCTATCAATACCTGTTCTTCATACCTTCAACATTTGTTTCTGTAGTTAGCTAGCCTCAATTTATAAATTACATAAACATCGTTTTCTGCTTAATAATTTGTAATTTTCTAATTTGATTAATTTGTTCTTGTTACTTTAATAGCTGTAAGATGAAGCAAATCAAAAAATAAATAAAAAAAATTATATTAAAAACAATTTTTTGTTAATTAATTTAGGTTTATTCAGTGTAGAATTTGACTTTAATTACAACATTCAGACATAAGAATTTCTTCAAAAGAAATACAGCTTGATAGTTGTCTTTAACGTTTTAATAGAATTTACAACTATTGTCTTTATTGGTTGCTTCCCAAATTAATCAATTATAATTTTGATATTTTATTTTGGAATAGAAATATACGTATAACTATCTTCTAATCATTTAATCAATCCGCAAGCTTAAAAATTAAACATCTTTCTCTAATTTTTTTCTTTTATGACAGCTTTTTACATAGGAATTGAGATTTACGTTGAAAGACCAATTTTCTATGATTCTACTTTTCTCATTTTACTTTTAGTTGCTAGTTTTTCTTGGAAGTTTGCAGATAAAATTTAAAATAAGATTCAAGTTGATTTGATTTCAAATATATCTAATAGAAACGAGCTTTCTATTAAATAACTTGATAATATTATTAGATTAGATTTTTTCTAAACTGGAGATTGCAATGACTATTTGAGCATTAATTTGTTATGCTGGGTTGCAATTAATAATTCTGAGCATGAAAAAGAAAATGAAAGCTTAAAAAATAATAAAATTCAAATAGAATAGTAACTTCTTCTTTTCCATTAAAAGCTAAAAAGTTTAAATAAATCAAGCAAACAAAATTTTGATGAGAATCAAAATCACCCAAGACAATTACTTGCAAATAAAGAAATAGATTAAATTGTTTAGATGATTGGAAATCGATTCAGAGATATTCTAGAAACAGAAAAAATAAAGCAAAAATAAAGTGATTGCTAAATTTTATATTTAATTTATATTTTAGAAATTTAAAAGAATTTTAAATTGTTTCTTCTTTAATACTATCAAACAATCTAAAACAAAAAAAATATTAATCTTAAAAGAAGATAAATTCTTTAGACCCTATTTATTAGGTTCTAAGATTATCTACAGTAGTATAAATAGCAGAACTCAAACTAAGATAATATTTTTAGCATGAAATACTTTAACTTTATTTTATATGATGAAACAATAAACGAAAATATCTAGCTTTTTTCTAAGACAATTACAAAGAAAAACGATATTCTTTTTAGAATGTAAGCAAAAATTATTGATTTAGACAGTCTCTCATATTAGATAAAAGACTTTCTCTCTATGAAATAAAAGCTAGAGGAAACAATAATTCTTTTGTCTAAACTTAACATGAACAATAAAGAATTCAAAGTGATTTTGAATCATTTTAATCACTGTCTAGCTTTTGATCACAAAGAAATTTCAGTTCTCAAAAAACAAATTTTTAAATAATAAAAATAAGAAAATGAATCGACAACAGCTGAATTAATTTAATCTATTGATAGCTCAAACAATTAGGATTCTTGTGTTATTTTTACTTCTCTACTTAATAACGAAGGAAAACATGTAATAAAAAAAGCCTCAACTAATTTTTATAACTTGTTTGGTATCAAATGTAAATAAGTAATTCAAAAGCCAATTGAATACTTAATGCCTGAGGTATTTAAACCATACCATAGTATTTATATAAAAGATTTTATGGAAAGAAATATCAAATTTAATTACTAAATTCAGAATATTGCCTTTGCTAAAGACAGTTTTAACTATATCTTTCCTTGCAGTTTAATTCTCAAAATTAATAGTATAGACTCTATTTAAGATTTTGGAATTACAGCTCAAATAAGAATGATCCAAAAGCACAAAGATTACATTTTATTTAATTCCACATCAATGAGAATTATTTCAATTACTCAAAATCTGCATAAAATAATTTTCAAACATTTTAAATAACTAGAAAATATCAATTTGAGCTAGTATTTTCCATTTATACAAGAGGCTATAAATCCAACTGGGAAATTATTTTCATAATCTCTTTCTTCATTTTCTTTAAGCTCAGCAGAGGAAAATTTGCAAACAGGATCATCTGATGAGGAAGGAAGCATAGAATATAACGCTTTTTTAAATAAACCTATTTAATTTATATTTTTAGAATTAATTGATAGGTATTTTTATCACTCTAACCTATAAAAAAAGGAACTTTTAAACAATATAGAATTTTTTCTAATGGAGATAGTCGTAAAAAAATCTTAATACAAACATATTAATAATTTGTATTATATAGAAATCTCTTAAATCTAAATACTTGATCCTTTTGTTAATCCATTATTGATAATGTACCATTTAGATACTGAACTCTATTCGAATTTGAAGTATTCAAAAAATGAATTGATTTAAAATGTAAAAATTCAGTTAAAAGAAGTTTCTTAATAATTAAATTCAGAAGAATAATTATAATTCCATTAAGAATTAAACTAAAGTATTAACAACGATTCAAAATCATCCAGAAAAATGTAAAAAAGCAAAGATAGTGGTAGTAATTCATCATCATCATCATCGGTATCATCTCCTTCTTCTTCTGATAGTAAATCAGAAAAAAATCTTCCTAAAGCTACAATTCAATAGAAAAATAGTGATGTTAATTAATCATATTAAATCAAAGTAAATAATGTTGATAGTTGTTAATAAAGTAAAAACAAATAATAAGAATATAAAAAATCATTTTTAAGTTTAAAGTTTGAAGCTTCACAAGAGTAAATATTGAATTTTAGAAAAAATAAGACATCTTCCTTAAGTGAGATCAGCAAAAATAATGATAAATAAGAAGAAATAAACATTACTACTGGCGTTTAGTAAAGCTAAATCATAGAAGAAATATTTACACCTAAATCGAGCTTAAGTTAAAAATAAAATAACTCAACTTTGTTTTTAGGATTAACTGATAGATAAAACTCTTCCTCACCAAAATAAATGAATTATGACTTGGAAACAAACTCATAATTTGATTAATCAAGGCTTTTGTCTTCACCTAGATCAAAAGTTGATAAGTTTGTATAAATAGTTTAAGATCATAAGCTAAAAAATTTTATAAAAAAAAAATTCTAAACTATTTTAAGCAAAGTTAAATAAACTTAAGATTAATTTTATTAAAAACAAGCAAAATCAAGTAAGCGCTCTTTTTTGACAGGTTTCATAAAAGAAGATTATATACAAGAAAATATGTTCATTGATCAAGATGATGAAAATAACTAGAAAACCAATGAAAATGTAATGCTAAATTAAAGAAGGGAAATAAAATTCATAAGAGATGCAATGAAGAGCAAATTTACTGTAAAAAAAAATAATATTTCTTACTTGTTGCTTATTATTTCATACATCACTATGATTATTGTAGCTTTAATATAAAAATTATAAACAGATAGTAGTCTTAAGTAAAATTAAATTAACTTTCAATATTTGAATATTCCATACAGATCACAGTAGGAAATAAGTCATATTTTGTAGATGGTAAATTTAAACAAGCTTGTAGAAACAGGATATTTCTAGAAACTAGACTTGAATGAATATAAAAACTTAAAAAACGATTTTTTTAAATATTAGCAACAAAGCCTTCTGAATTTCAGATAAATTATTAGTGATGCAGAAAACTAGCTTTAAGATTAAGAGTTAGTTGAAAGGTTTAGCTCTATAAATGCTTAGGTTATGTATCCATAAGAATATTTCTAGACTGAATCATAAAATTAAAATTAGCTTATTTCAAAAAATTAAACTTTTTAAATAAGTTTAATTTACATAAATAATTTGGCATTTAGGTATTTAAATCAATTAGATTTCAGCTATTAGAATTATTTTTTTTATAAGAACTATATTTAAATTGTAAGTTGTATTGAGTCTTTAGAGAATGAATTTATATAATCACAAGTTGATATTATTTTAAATATCAAGAGAAATCTGTAATGGTTGCTTATTTGTCAAATTGCTATTAACACTATTATGATATTAATTTAAATTCCTATTTTTTACTATTATCAAAAAGAATAAGAAAAGTTGCTTTCTCTATTCAGTACTTTTAGTACTTAAACAACTAATTAATTGATATAAAAATCCTATAATCACTTTTTTAGTTTAACTCGTAGAGTTTCTACAGAAATTAATAAAACAATAAATAAAGATTTTTTAGATAATTCTGAAAATAAATCCTAATATTCAAATTAAAACTAAAATGATATAAAAAAAACAAATGTAAGTGAAATTATCCCAATAAAAAAATTCAGTTTTTAATTTGCCAAAAAAATTTTTTTTATTTACTTAATAATAATTATTTTTCCATGTTTGAGCTATTACTATACTGTGAGCTTTATAAATCAGACAATCATAGATATCACAAATTTAAGTAAATTTATTTTAAAACTTGATATTAAATTAATACAAAAATAGTATATTTAAATCACTTTTTTTAAATTAGCTGAAGTAGGAAAAATTAGATCATAAATGGTGGATACTTTAGGAAATTTTGTTTTTGGTTTAGCAGAAAAAGTTTGTCCTTAAGAAGAAGATTACTTTGGAGTTGATCAACTAATTATATCTAGACTTTAACTAATTTAAAATGATATTCATTCTGTTGATGCAAATCTTTAATAATTATAAAAAAATGTCACAGATACTAATTTGTAAATTAAATTCACAAAAAATATCTAACTAATATTTTTTATTAATAAAAGTGCTTCATCTAATAATTATCAATAGTTTTTATTAAATATACTTTAAGGCAACATTTGTTAGACTTTGATGAGTAAACCATAGTATTTAAATATCACAAGTACTATACAAATGGAAGAGTGTACTTAAGTTTAAAATTAAATACTTACTTAAGGTTTTTTAGTCTCCTATAAAAGCTTAATAGATTAAATTTAGGAATTTTATCATTTAATAGTGGTTTAAGATAGTAAAACATTTTTATAGTTGAAATAATAATTCCTTGATCATTTTGAAATTTACCCTTTTCAAAGATTTACTGAGTTTCTGATCATTTCTTTGGAATCAATTGAGCAATTTATCATATCTATTCATAGCCAAGATTTTGAATTTTTAGAAAAGGTTTTAATCTGGCTTTTTTACTTTCAAATTGGAGCTGTAACGATATTCATTCTATTGGAATAAGTTTATTATTTCAACCAGAATAATTAGAAAATGAATAAGATGAAATAGTTTTTGAGAGTTTTAGATTTAGAGTCGTTAGCATAGAATCCTTTTGTTTTAAAATATTTTAAATAAAATATTAAATAAAATTGAAATTTTCTTTGTAAAATTTTATGTCTTTACAAAAAAACTGGTTAAATTACATTCTTTATTAAATTAATTTTTAATTAAAAAAAATAAAAAATGGCAACCAAGGTGGGACTCGAACCCACAACCTTCAGATTAGAAGTCTGCTGCGCTACCATTGCGCCACTCGGCTTTTTACAAAAGGTTTCAAAAATAAGTTCAATATTTTTTTGATTTTAACAATTTTAAGTAAACTGAAAAAAAATATATTTTTAATATAATAAAATTAGTTAATTTAAAATTAATTATATTTTAACTAAAATCAATCCTTATTTGTTTTATTTTAAATATATTTACTAAAAATTAATTTATTTAATATTGTTACCATAAACTTTCAACAAAGTAGTCTGTATTATTTTCATGTTTGGGTTTTTGTTTTTCAAATTTTATTTTTAATTCTAAAAAATAAAAAAAACATTTTTAAACTTTTAAATATCAAATTTTGTCATTATATATTTATAATATTTCATAACAATATTTAACTTTTTTTGTATATAAACATATTTACTTTATAAAGTAGAACTATTTTGTTTTAACTATTTAAAAATAATTTTAAACTAAAATATGAATTTATTTCTAAAATTTGATTGAATAAACAAAACTTATCCATCTATTATTAAAATATTATTTTTGTTTGATTCCTATTTTATTTATCAGTACTATTTTCTTTAAAGATCATTATTATATAAACATTTGTATTATTCACAAACTCTGAGATGTAATTTGATTATTTTTCAAAATATTCACTATAATATGAGCATATTTAAAACTAATTCAATCAAAAATATATTTATTCTTCATTATAATAAGGTAAAAATCTCCAATTTGAGTACTTATGTTCCATAAATATTGAATTTTTAGATTTTTATTTGTAAAGATGTAGATAATATTAAATTAATATAAAGATGGAATTTCAAAGCTAACTTAGAACTAAAAGTTATTTATTTCTATATTTATTCTTCATTAGCTGTTTATCAGTGCTTGCAAATTATTAATACTAAAGTATTCTCTTTATATAGAAAATGATTTTTCCTGCAAAATAAATACATTTTAATATAATCAATAAAACTTATACAACTATTAAAAAGTAAATTTACTCAAGAAAAGTATTTATACATTATTTTTTAATACCAAAAAATATTTTTGTTGATTATTTTAAACAAAATAATATTATAAGTATTAGAATATTGTTAAGTGAAAAATTATATTAAAAATTTAATAAGATAACTCTAAAATAAATTGAAAAGGTAGAGTTGTTTATAACCATACAATAATTAAATCCATTCAAACTGCAAATTTTTCTGAAGGAGAGTTAGTTAATATTTTCTCGAGAATTATTTAGAGTAGTTTGTATGTAATAATTGAAGTCAAAAAATGTTTGCTTGACAAAGAGTAAAGAAATTTAATTCATATTTTTTATTAATTAAAATTGTTTGATTTTTACCCACACAAATTTCACTACATACCTATTTTTTTAGTCTAAAACACATTCAAGCTTACCTTAATCAAAAAAATATAAATATGAAGAAAATATTAAAGCAAGTAAATTTTTATTATTTTTATTTAATGATAAGTATGTTTTTGAAGCATTTCTTGTTACATATTTTTTGTTTTTTTATACTAAATTCTGATGCTCAAGACACATAAAAAGTAATTAAAAAGTATCGCCTTAATTATGTATGATTCGTCAATTATTATTTAATAGTACCAAAGTTAGCTATGTAGTTAGCATAATACACATATTTTAAAAGGAAAAAGTTAGAAATTAAATATTAACAGAGTAATTAATTAAATTAAATTTTAGCCAATTAAAAATAACTAAAGTTATTAGATATTTTGTTTGATAAATACAATTACATATTATTTAATAGATATTGACAAAGCGGAGTCATTGGAATAAAAAAATTCTTTAACATATTTTACGTTTGATTTTTGCTTAAATACAAATAATATTTGAGAAACTGAATAACATGAGGTTAAAATATTGATAATAAATATATAAATTTTTTTTAGTAATCTTAAAAAAAGTATTTCTATCATTTTAAGGAATGAAAAATTAATTCAATTAAGTTATTTGAGCTAAGTTGATTATTAATTTATATAAATTTTCTAATCATAGCTGCTTTTAATTTTGTTTAGAGTTTTTAATTTACAATCAGATATATTAAATGTTAATCAAATAATTATTTATAAATTATTATTCTAAAAAAAAAAAAATTATACCTTAAAAATTAATATAAGAAGATCAGAATAAATCTTTCATTTGTAAAATTATTATTTTTTAATACAATTAAAATTTGCTTTCAAATGAACAAAAAAATTATTATTTAAGTCTCCTTAATTTTCCTAAAAATTATAAGCGCTTAATATGTATCTAGTGATCAAATTTAAACTAGCGACTTAGAAATTGTTCCATATAGCGCTATTTTAAACCAAAACTATGATTAAACAGTATCATAAACTGTGACCTTTACTAATTAATTTCAAAATATTCCAAAAATTATTGTTGGATATAAAATATTTGATTATGATCGTGTTGGTAATATTAAAAGCTTTGAACTTGTTGTTAGTAAAATAACAACAACAAATTTTTAAATTTTATTTACCAAATACTAAGATACTAAAGTATATAGATTTGTTGCTACTTGGATTGCTATAGATAGTATTTATGCCTTTTACAAACAAATAGTTCTCAATTTTTCCCCTTGGCCATCATCAAACAATTAAGTAACAGTAAGTAATCCTTTTTCTATGACACAAATAGATAACACAAAGGTGTAAAGAAAGGTTATTGCTTTTGTATAAGGTACATTTTTTAATAAAAGCCCATCAAATAGAAATACTTTTTAAATGTATGCTACTGTTAATACTAATACAATTGATGTAAATGTTATTTCAAATGATCCAACATAAAGTCTTTCTTAAATCAAAGTTAATTATATTGAGTTTTACTCAAACATAACAACGCCATATTACGATGTAACTATTATAAACGATTAAGACTTTCAAAGCTATAGTCCTAATAAATACTGTCCTTGGACATATGGAAAAACTAAAACTCTAGATTTTAATTATGCTTCAGACTTTAATGGAGTTGTAGCTGCTATTACAGAATATGATATCGACTTTGCTTTAGGTCAATCTTCAAGACTCTAATTAAATTTAATTTCTTTTACACCAAATAATAAACAACTTAATTACAATTATATAATAAATCTTGACTCAAGTACATGCTTTTATTCTATGGGTGCATATATTGTTGCATTTAAAATGTATGATTGCTCTCAGAATCCAAGCACTCCAATAAATTTTTCTCCTTAATATTAGTGTGTTTCTTAGTGTCCAGTAGGATACTCCTAATAAAAAAGAGATAACTCTTAAAATTTTTCATATTGTTAACCTAATTCATGTTCATAAGCTAACTGCCTTTTATGTGGCACAAATGGTTTATGCATATAATGTATCACTGAAAATTATATGTATAATAGTTAATGTAGTGCCTCATAACCCGCTAATACATATTGTGATAATAATTTGATCTGCAAAAGCTGTTCAGCTAATTGCCAAGGATGCTTAAATGAAAATTCATGTACAACTTGCTAAAGTGGATATTATTTATATCAAGGAAGTTGTACTTCTTCCCAACCTAGCAATACTTATTGTGATAGTAATTTGATTTGTCAAAAATGTTAACCTTCTTGTTTAGCATGCACTAATGGATCTTCATGTACTGTTTGTAATACTGGATTATATTTTTATCAAGGAGCATGCACTTCATAATAGCCAGACAATACTTATTGTGATAATACTTTCATCTGCCAAAGTTGCTCAAGTAATTGCTCAAAATGCTCAAGTTAAAATTCATGTACAACTTGCTAAAGTGGATTTTATTTATTTCAAGGAAGCTGTACTTCTACCCAACCTAACAATACTTACTGTGATAGTAATTTGGTTTGTCAAAAATGTTAATCTTCTTGCTCATAATGTACTGATGTATCTTCATGTACTGCTTGTAATAGTGGTTAATATTTTTATAAAGGTAATTGTACTCTATAATAGCCAAACAGTACCTATTGTGATAATAATTAGATTTGCAAAAGTTGCTCATCTAATTGCCAATCTTGCTCAAACGAAAATTAATGTACAACTTGCTAAAGTGGATATTACTTATATCAAGGAAGTTGTACTTCTTCCCAACCTAACAATACTTACTGTGATAGCAATTTGATTTGCTAAAAGTGCTAATCTTCTTGTTCATCATGCATTGATGGATCCACCTGTACTGTTTGTAATACTGGATTATATTTTTATCAAGGAGCATGCACTTCATAATAGCCAGACAATACTTATTGTGATAATAATTTCCTCTGCCAAAGTTGCTCAAGTAATTGCTCAAAATGCTCAAGTTAAAATTCATGTACAACTTGCTAAAGTGGATTTTATTTATTTCAAGGAAGCTGTACTTCTACCCAACCTAACAATACTTACTGTGATAGTAATTTGGTTTGTCAAAAATGTTAATCTTCTTGCTCATAATGTACTGATGGATCTTCATGTACTGCTTGTAATAGTGGTTAATATTTTTATAAAGGTAATTGTACTCTATAATAGCCAAACAGTACCTATTGTGATAATAATTAGATTTGCAAAAGTTGCTCATCTAATTGTCAATCTTGCTCAAACGAAAATTAATGTACAACTTGCTAAAGTGGATATTACTTATATCAAGGAAGTTGTACTTCTTCCCAACCTAGCAATACTTATTGTGATAGTAATTTGATTTGTCAAAAATGTTAACTTTCTTGTTTAGCATGCACTAATGGATCTTCATGTACTGTTTGTAATACTGGATTATATTTTTATCAAGGAGCATGCACTTCATAATAACCAGACAATACTTATTGTGATAATAATACTTTCATCTGCCAAAGTTGCTCAAGTAATTGCTCAAAATGCTCAAGTTAAAATTCATGTACAACTTGCCAAAGTGGATTTTATTTATATCAAGGAAGTTGTACTTCTACTCAACCTAGTAACACATACTGTGATAGCAATTTGGTTTGCCAAAAATGTTAATCTTCTTGCTCCTCTTGCACTAATGGATCTTCGTGTACTGTTTGTAATACTGGATTATATTTTTACCAAGGAGCATGCACTTCATAATAACCAGACAATACTTATTGTGATAATAATACTTTCATCTGCCAAAGTTGCTCAAGTAATTGCTCAAAATGCTCAAGTTAAAATTCATGTACAACTTGCTAAAATGGATTTTATTTATATCAAGGAAGTTGTACTTCTACTCAACCTAACAATACATACTGTGATAATTTTGTTTGCCAAAAATGTTAATCTTCTTGCTCCTCTTGCACTAATGGATCTTCGTGTACTGTTTGTAATACTGGATTATATTTTTACCAAGGAGCATGCACTTCATAATAACCAGACAATACTTATTGTGATAATAATACTTTCATCTGCCAAAGTTGTTCTAGTAACTGCTTAAAATGCTCAAGTGAAAATTTTTGTACAACTTGCCAAAGTGGATTTTATTTATATCAAGGAAGCTGTATTTCTACCCAACCTAGTAGCACTTATTGTGATAGTAATTTGAATTGTTAAAAATGTTTATCTTAATGCTCATCGTGCTCTAATGGAACTTCATGCACAACTTGTATTATTGGCTATTATTTTAATTAAGGAAATTGTACTTCTTCTCAGCCAAATAAAACTTATTGTGATGATAATTTGATCTGCAAAAACTGCTCATCTAATTGCTAATCATGTTTAAATGAAAATTCATGTACTATTTGCCAAAGTGGATTTTATTTATTTCAAGGAAGCTGTTAAAAATGCTTATCTTAATGCTCATAGTGTTCTAATGGAACTTCATGCACAGCTTGTATTAATGGCTATTATTTTAATGAAGGAAATTGCACTTCTACTGAGCCAAATAAAACTTAATGTGATGATAATTTGAACCAATTAAAAATGTATCTTTATAATTCAAAATGTTATGAAGAGCAGCCTCCAAAAACTTACTGTGATAGTAATTTAAAATGCTTTGATTGCTAACGTGAGTGCTTAACTTGCCAAAACAGTTAATCTTGTTCTTAATGCAATGATGGTTATTAACTCTAAGGAATATGTTATAAATAGCAACCAAATAATACATATTGTGATTTAAATAAGATATGCTCTTAGTGCAAAGATTAACATTGCATGTATTGTAACTAATAAAATGAGTGTCTCTAATGTTAAATAGGAATTTATCAGTATAAAGGATAGTGTTATATGTCTAAACCTGTTTAAGCATATTGTTTTAAAAAATGAATTAACAATAATGAAAACAATAAATGTTTTATAATTGAGTTTTATTTTTTGGTTAAATTTTTATATTTAAAGAATTAATATAATATTAAAATTATTGTACATTAATAATAATTAATTTTATATACTTATGTAATGATTTTTAAAATAAATATTAACAAAATCTTTAAATTTCTTCAATAATATATTATTTTTGAATTCTAAAAAATAAAAAAACATTTTTAAACTTTTAATATCAAATTTTGTCATTATATATTTATTATATTTCATAACACTATTTAGTTTTTTTAATATATAAACATATTTACTTTATAAAGTAGAACTATTTTGTTTTAACTATTTAAAAATAATTTTAAACTAAAATATGAATTTATTTCTAAAATTTGATTGAATAAACAAAACTTATCCATCTATTATTAAAATATTATTTTTGTTTGATTCCTATTTTATTTATCAGTATTATCTTCTTTAAAGATCATTATTATATAAACATTTATATTATTCACAAACTCTGAGATGTTATTTGATTACTTTTCAAAATATTCACTATAATATGAGCATATTTTAAACTAATTCAATTAAAAATATATTTATTCTACATTATAATAAGATAAAATTCTCCAATTTGAGTACTTATGTATCATAAATATTGAATTTTTAGATTTTTATTTGTAAAGATGTAGATAATTTTCAATTATAATAAAGATGAAAATTCAAAGCTAACTTAGAACTAAAAGTTATTTATCTCTATATTTATTCTTGATTATTTGTTTATCAAATCTAACAAATTATTAATACTAAAGTATTCTCTTTATAGAGAAAATTATTTTTCCTTCAAAATGAATACATTTTAATATAATCAATAAAACTAACACAACTAATCAAGAAAAGTATTTTTACATTACTTTTTATTACTTAAAAATATTTTTGTTGAATATTTCAAGCAAAATAATATAATAAATAATAGAATATTGTAAAGGGAAAAATAATATTAAAAATTTAATAAGATAACTCTAAAATAAATTGAAAAGGTGGAGTGGTTTATAACCATAGAATAATTAAATCCATTAAAACTGCAAATTTTTCTGAAGGAGAGTTAGTTAATATTTTCTCGAAAATTATTAGAGTAGTTTGTATGTAATAATTGAAGCCAAATATTGCTTGCTTGATAAAGAGTAAAGAAATTTAATTCTTATTTTTTATTAATTAAAATTGTTTGATTTTTACCCACACAAATTTCACTGCATATCTGTTTTTTTAGTCTAAAATATGCTCAAGCTTGCCTTAATCAAAAAAATGTAACAATGAAGAAAATATTAAAACAAGTAAATTTTTATTATTTATATTTAATGCTAAGTATATTTTTGAAGCATTTCTTGTTACATGTTTTTTGTTTTTTTTTACTAAATTCTAATGATCAAGATATATAAAAAGTAATTAAAAAGTATTGCCTTAATTATGTATGATTCGTCAATTTTCATTTAATAGTACCAAAATTAACTATATAATTAGCATAATACATATATCTTAAAGGGAAAAAGTTAGAAATTAAATATTAGCAGCGTAATTAATTAAAAATAAATTTTAGCCAATTAATAATAACTAATGTTATTAAATATTTTGTATGATAACTGCTATTACATATTATTTAATAGATATTGACAAAGCGGAGTTAGTGGAATAAAAAATTCTTTAACATATTTTACGTATGATTTTAGTATATTTACATAAATATTTGAGAAACTGAAAAAAATTAGGTTAAAATATGGATAATAGATATATAAATTTGAAATATAATCCTTATTTATAATAAGATTTTAAAATAAAAAATTTTTTTAGTAATCTTAAAAAAAGTATCTCTATCATTTTAAGGAAGAAAAAATTAATTCAATAAACTTAAAATGAGCTAAGTTGATTATTAATTTATATAAATTTTTCAATAATAGATCATTTTAATATTGTTTTGAGTTTTTAATTTAAAATCAGATATATTAAGTGTTAATCAAATAATTATTATTCAAAAAAAAAAAAATTATAACTTTACATCCAAATTAAAAAAGCACAAATAAACATAAAGCTTTAATTTAATAATTACTATAAGAAGATCAGAATAAATTTTTCTTTTGTAAAATTATTATTATTTTATAATACAATTAAAATATTTTTTTTTGTTTTTTTAATAAAATTAAAAATTAGAAATAAATATCATCAAATGAACAAAAAAATTATTATTTAAGTCTCCTTAATTTTCCTAAAAATTATTGGTGCTTAATATGTATCTAGTGATCAAATTTAAACTAGCGATTTAGAAATTGTTCCATATAGTGCTATTTTAAACCAAAACTATTAGTAATCAGTTTCAAAAACTGTGACATTTACTAATTAATTTCAAAATGTTCCAAAAATTATTGTCGGATATAAAATATTTGATTATGATCGTAATGCTTAATATAAAGGCTTTTAACTTTCTGTTTATAAAATAACAACTACAAATTTTTAAATTTCATTTACCAAATACGATGATACTAAAGTATATAGATTTGTTGCTACTTGGATTGCGATAGATAGTATTTATGCCTTTTACAAACAAGTAGTTCTCAATTTTTCCCCTTGGCCATCATCAAACAATTAAGTAACAGTAAGTAATCCTTTTTCTTTAACATAAATAGATAACACAAAGTTGTAAAGAAAGGTTATTGCTTTTGTATAAAGTACATTTTTTAATAGCAGCTCATCAAACTCATAAGATAGAAATACTTTTTAAATGTATGCTACTGTTAATAGTAATACAATTGACGTAAATGTTATTTCAAATGATCCAACATAAAAACTTTATTAAGTCAAAGTAAACTATATTGAGTTTTACTCAAATATAACAATGCCTTATTACGATGTAACTATTATAAACGATTAAGATTTTCAAAGCTATAATCCTAATAAATACTGTCCTTGGACATATGGAAAAACTAAAACTCTAGATTTTAATTATGCTTCAGACGTTAATGGAGTTGTAGCTGCTATTACAGAATATGATATCGACTTTGCTTTAGGTCAATCTTCAAGACTTCAATTAAATTTAATTTCATATACGCCAAACAATAAACAACTTAACTACAATTATATTATAAATCTTGACTCATAAACATGCTTTTATTCTATGGGTGCATATATTGTTGCATTTAGAATGTATGATTGCTCTCAGAATCCAAGCACTCCAATAAATTTTTCTCCTTAATATTAGTGTGTTTCTTAGTGTCCAGTAGGATACTCCTAATAAAAAAGAGATAACTCTTAAAATTTTTCATATTGTTAACCAAATCCATGTTCAATAGCTAACTGTCATTTATGTGACACCAATGGTGTATGCATATAATGTATCACTGGAAATTATATGTATAATAGTTAATGTAGTGTCTCTTAACCCGCTAATACATTTTGTGATAATAATTTGATCTGCAAAATCTGTTCAGCTAATTGCCAAGCATGCTTAAATGAAAATTCATGTACAACTTGCCAAAGTGGATATTACTTATATCAAGGAAGTTGTACTTCATCCCAACCTAGTAACACTTATTGTGATAGTAATTTGAATTGTTAAAAATGTTTATCTTAATGCTCATCATGCTCTAATGGAACTTCATGTATTTCTTGTATTAGTGGTTATTATTTTTATGAAGGTAATTGTATTTCTACTCAGCCAAGTAAAACTTACTGTAACAGTAATTTTATCTGCTAAAATTGTATGCCTTCTTGCTCATCATGTTCTGATGGATCTTCATGCAATTCTTGCAATACTGGTTTATATTTTTATAAAGGAAACTGTACACCATCTCAACCAAATCAAACTTTTTGTGATTCTAGTTTGATCTGTCAAAGCTGTATCTCTTAATGCAGCTCTTGTTCAAATTAATCTACTTGTGATACTTGTTAAAGTGGATTTTATTTTTACCAAGGAAAATGTACTCAGGCTTAGCCAAATAATACTTTTTGTGATGCTAATTTGATCTGCCAAAGTTGTTAAGCTTCCTGTTCATCATGCACAAATGGATAGTCTTGCACATCTTGTATTAATGGATAATATTTTTATTAAGGGTAATGTACTTCTTCTTAACCAAATAAAACTTTTTGTGATAATAATTTGATATGCTAAAGCTGTTTAGATTAATGCTCATCTTGCTCTAACAAAACTTCATGTACAGCTTGCCAAAGTGGATTTTATTTTTATCAAGGAAATTGTACATCTACCTAACCTAGTAATACCTATTGTGACAGCAACAAAATATGCTAAAACTGCTTAGCTTCCTGTTCTTCTTGCTCTAATGGAACTTCTTGCACAACTTGCATTAGTGGCTTTTATTTTTATGAAGGAAATTGTATTTCTAATCAGCCAAGTAAAACTTATTGTGATAGTAATTTAATTTGCTAAAATTGCATGTCTTCTTGCTCATCATGTTCTGATGGATCTTCATGCAATTCTTGTAATTAAGATTTATATTTTTTTTAAAATAACTGTTTTGCAATCTAACCAAAAAATACTTATTGTGATCAATCTAATACTTGTAAATAATGCAAAAATACAATTTGCAATACTTGTGATAGTAAATTAGTCGTATGTACTACATGCTAAAACGGATAATTTTCCTATCAAGGAATGTGTACTACAGTGTAGCCAAATAATACATATTGTGATAATAATTTGATCTGTACTCAGTGTAAGAATTCCATTTGTAGCTCTTGTGACAGTTCTTTAAATTAATGTATTTAATGTAGCTAAAATGATTATATATATAATTAAAAGTGTTACTCAAAATAACCTCCTTAAACCTATTGCGATAGTAAAAATTATTGCTATAACTGCTTATCTTCATGTTTAGAATGCTCTAATGCAACATAATGTACTGTTTGTAATAGTGGATTATATTTTTATTAAGGAAATTGCACGGTAACTTAACCAAATAATACATTTTGCGATTCAAATAAAATATGCTCACAATGTAAAAATGCATCTTGTGGTTCTTGTGATAGTAATCTAACTTCATGTTTGCTATGTACTTCTAATTAGTATTTGTACAATTAATAGTGCTCTTAATCATAGCCTCCTTAAACATATTGTGATAGTAATCTTATTTGTTAAAGTTGTTTATCACAATGCTAAACGTGTTTGAATAATACTGCTTGTACTTCTTGCTCAAAAGGATTATATCTTTATGAAGGAAACTGTTTTATATCTTAACCAAGCAATACATACTGTGACTCAAATAAAATATGCACAAAATGTTTGAATTCTATATGTAAAATCTGTGATATAACTTTAAAAGCTTGTACTTTATGTAATTAATTAAACTATCTATATAATTAATAATGCTATTAAGAATAACCTCCTTAAACTTTCTGTGATAGTAATTTGAATTGTGAAAGTTGTTTAGCTTAATGCCAAACATGTGAGAATGGAACTTCATGTATATCTTGCATAAATAATTATTTCTTTTTTGAAGGAAATTGTAGTGCTACTTTACCAAATAAAACTTATTGCAATTAAAATAAAATCTGTACTTAGTGTATCAACCCTAAATGTAGTATCTGTGATGATTCATTAAATTAATGCATTGAGTGCAAATAAAATGAGTTTATTTATAATTAAAAATGCTATTAAACTTAACCAGCATAAACATATTGTGATAATAATTAGATTTGTTATAGTTGCTTATCCTAATGTTAATCTTGTTAGAATGGAACAACATGTAGTACTTGCATTGATGGTTTTTACTTTTATGAAGGTAATTGCTTGAAAACTCAACCAAATGGTACATATTGTGATAAAAATTTGATTTGTTAAAGCTGTTAATCTTAATGTAATACTTGTTAAGATGGAAATTCTTGTAGCACTTGTAAAGATAATTATTACTTTTATTAGGGAAACTGTTTTTAAAAATAACCAATTTAAACTTATTGTGACTCTAATAAAACATGTACTAGATGTACAAATTAATCTTGTGAATTTTTTTGTGATAGTACATTAAATTAATGTGTTTAATGTAGCTAAAATAATTATCTCTTTAAGTAATAATGTTTCTAGACGTAACCTCCTTAAACTTTTTGTGATTAAAATTTAGTTTGCTAAAGCTGCTAATCAGAATGTTAATCGTGTTTAAATGGAATTTCATGTACTTCTTGCAATAATAATAGATATTTTTATAAAGGAAATTGTACATTAGACTAACCAAGTAATACTTATTGTGATTTAAATAAAATTTGCACATAATGTAGTGACATTACCTGCAATACATGTGATTAAAACTTAAAATGCAACAAATGTAAAGATTCTAACTGCTTAATATGTGATAATTAAAATATTTGTAGTTAATGTCAATTAAAAATGTATCTTTACAATGCAAAATGTTATGAAGAGCAACCTCCAAAAACTTACTGTGATAATAATTTAAAATGCTTTGATTGCTAACCTGAGTGCTTAACTTGCCAAAACAGTTAATCTTGTTCTTTATGCATGAATGGTTATTAACTTTAAGGAATTTGTTATAGCTAGCAACCAAATAATACATTTTGTAATTAAAATAAGATATGTTCTTTATGCAAAGATTAATTTTGCAAGTATTGTAACTAATATAATGAGTGTCTTTAATGCTATAAAGGAACGTATCAGTTTAAAGGATAGTGTTATATGTCTAAACCTTAGTAAACATATTGCATTAGAAAATGAATTAACAATAATAAAAGGATCAAATGTTTTATAATTGTTATATTTTTGGATTAAATTTTTATATTTAAAGAACTAATATAATATTATAGTTATTATACTTTTAAAGATAATTAATTTTATATACTAAGGTAATGTCTTTTAAAATAAGTATTCATAAAATCTTTAAATTCTTCAATAATATTTTTTTTTAAATATCAAATTTTATCTTTTTATATTTCTAATATTTCAAAGCACTATTTAACTTTTTGTATATATAAAGATATTTTTCTTTATAAAGTAGAACTATTTTGTTTTTAACTATTTAAAAATAATTTTAAACTAAATAAAAATTTATTTCTAAGTTAAGATTGAATTTTCAAAACTATATCTATCTATTATTAAAATATTATCTTTATTTGATTGCTATTTTATTTATCAGTACTATTTTCTTTAATGATCATTATTATATAAACATTTGTATGATTCACATATTCAGAGATGTTATTTGATCATTTTTCAAAATATTCACCATAATATGAGCATATTTAAAACTAATTCAATCAAAAATATATTTATCCTACATTATAATAAGATAAAAATCCCCAATTTTAGTACTTATGTATCATAAATATTGAATTTTTAGATTTTTATTTGTCAAGATGTAGATAATTTTCAATTAATATAAAGATGGAATTTCAAAGCTAACTTAGAACTAAAAGTTATTTATTTCTCTATTTATTTTCGATTAGCTGTTTATAAATGCTAGCAAATTATTAAAACTAAAGTATTCTCTTTAAGAGAAAACGATTTTCTTTGCAAAATTAATACATTTTAATATAATAAATAAAACTAACACAACTATTAAAAAGTAATTTTACTCAAGAAAAGTATTTATACATTATTTTTTAATACCTAAAAAATACTTCTGTTGAATATTTCAAACAAAATAATATTATAAACAATGGAATTCCAAATATTGTTAAGTGAAAAATTATATTCAAAATTTAATAAGATAACTCTAAAATAAATTGAAAACGTAGAGTTGTTTGTTAACCATACAATAATTAAATCCATTCAAATTGCAAATTTTTCTGAAGGAGAGTTAGTTAATATTTTCTCGAAAGTTATTTAGAGTAGTTTGTATGTAATAATTGAAGTTAAAAAATGTTTGCTTGATAAAGAGTAAAGAAATTTAATTCTTATTTTTTATTAATTAAAATTGCATGATTTTTACCCACACAAATTTCACTGCATACCTGTTTTTTTAGTCTAAAACACGTTCAAGCTTGCCTTAATCAAAAAAATATAACTATGAAGAAAATAATAAAGCAAGTAAAATTTTATTTTTTACATTTAATGATAAGTATGCTTTTGAAGGATTTCTTGCAACATGTTTTTTGCTTTTTTATGCTAAATTCTGATGCCCAAGACATATAAAAAGTAATTAAAAAGTATCGCCTTAATTATGTATGATTCGTCAATTATTATTAAATAGTACCAAAATTAACTTTGTAATTAGCATAATACACATATTTTAAAAGGAAAAAGTTAGAAATTAAATATTAACAGCGTAATTAATAAAATTAAATTTTAGCCAATTAATTATAACAAAAGTTATTAGATATTTTATATGATAACTACAATTACATATTGATTTTAATTACCTACATTGAAACAATAATAAATAAGTAATCACTATTTGAATGCATTAATATTTAGTGTAATTAAAAAATTATATCTATAATAAAATTAAAAAAATATAATTATTTGCACTAAATAACTACTAAACATAGACTCTGATTTTTGTTAAATATGCTTCAGCTCTGTATGGTGTCATTTTAATAATGTGTTTTGCATATTTTTTTATTATATTTTTGAGCTTTTTAGTCTATTATTATTTAGTAGAAGATAAAAACAAGTTAAAATGATTAAATTATTTTTTGGTAATTTAAACTTAACTATCTAAAAAATGTTTGAAAATTCGTGATTCCTATATTGATAAAGGGTTAGGAAAATAAATATTAGTATTTTTCTTAAACAGAATTCATTTTTAGATAAAGATATTTGCGATTCATCCCAATAATTGCATAATATCTTTAATACAAACTATATCCAAAAAATTAAGTTAATTTCTACATATTTTAGTTAATACACTAACAAAAAAGCTAAAAGTCATATAAATTATGATGATATTAATTTTCTTAATTAAATGATGCTAAAATAGCAATCAAATATTAAAGAAATGATTCAGTAATAAATAATAAAATCAAATGAAACATAAGCCATTATCACATAATTTACTACTCATAATAATTAAGATATGCTTGAGATTCAAATAATATGAACTCATATTTAAATCAAAATAATATACAAACGATGTAATAAAAATGTAGCCTTTATTATAAATATGAAATAATTAATTAATTTTATCATACCCCTTTTGCTTTTTCTTTTTAGTTTTTTATTTATTTTATATTTTTTTTAAATCTAATAGAGATATTAGCATAAAATATTTTATTAACATCTATTATAGTTACCTAATTATAGTGTCCAATATTTAAAATATTCTTATGTAAATTATTATATTAGAATATTAAAAACAAGTATATTATTCTATAATTACAAAGCATAAAATATTTGTTGATTGATAGTTAATAAATAATACAAAATTTTATCTAAATAAGAATAAAAATGAATGAATTTCTTAATAAACCCTATGAAAATTTATATTATAGAAATTTTTGCACTAAATATAAGCTTTAAATTTAGGAGAAATAGTATGAAGAAAATATACCTATCTCTTAGCTAAAAATAAATTTAACATGGTTAACTTTAATCTTGTTTGAAGTATTTTTTTCGAAAGATTATTTTTTCATCTTACATCATTTTAGTAATATAAATAAATAGAAATATAGGATTATCAAAATGTAATATCATAACTCACGGTTCTATAAATAAAAAAAGCATAATATAAAATTAAGAGTATAAAAGAAATTTTAAATTGACCAAACAAAATTTTTTATATTTAAATTTATCTAAAATATTTTAACAAATAATTAGATCAAACAAAATAATTTATTCTGATTTTATTAAGATTTTACTTAAAGAAAATTTTCATTCTAATTTTTTAATTTGACCTCTTTATATTATTCACAATAATTTAAATAGTAACTTAAATATTTCAGCAATAGTAAATTAATACTATTAATTTAGAATTCTTAGAACATTTTTTAATTTAAATACTAAAGATGAAGACCAATCATGATAATCTATCCTGAATTAAAGGATTTCTTTATTTTTTCTTAAAAAATAATAAATTTCCCCAATTTTAATTTTTTTTTATATTGACAATTTTTAATATTATTGATAGATAATAGATTTCGTTTTTTGGTCTTTATTTTAATTATTTGTTTGTAACTATACATATAGGGCAATCAATACCACAAATTAGTGCAAATTGTATTTATTAACTATACAGTTTTTAGTCAAAGTTTCTATTTTTCTTTGTTTTCCTAAAATACACTTACAATCTCAAATCTTCATTAATAGATTGTTTTTATTTATACATTTTCAAAGATAAATTTCTTTAATAAGAGTATACAAATATTTCTAAAAAATTTTAAAGAAAAAAAATGATTTACTTTATGCTTAAGTTTCAATTTCTTTAATGATATTATTTATTTTGACTTTTAATAAAAATAGAGAGTAAAATTTATCAATATTATAATAAAATTTTAAAAATAAGTAAATAATTATTGTCTAATGAGCTGAAACATAAATATTGATTTATTATTTTCAAAAAAAAAATATACTTTCTCTTTGCAGAAAAAGTTTTAAAGTAAAAATTTTTGTTCTAGCTATTTAAGGATATTGTAAAATTTAAAAAGATACAAGTTTAAATTATATTAAATATTAAAATAATGTATATCAATATGGCTATTTTAGAGTTTTTGTTTGAAAATATTATGTTGCCTTTAAAAATAATTTTAATATAATTTATTTCATTTTTTGAATAAAAAAAATAATTAAAGAAATACGTAAATATCATTTAGAAAAAAAGAATAAAACTTATGAAATACAAATTATTTTTTTATATTAGAAAAAAATTTATATCTTAAATCATTTATTTCAAGTTTTAAAATAATTGTTATATAATTCAAATAATAATTTGTTTTATTCATTTAATTAATTAATTTTCTATTTACACTAAATTAAATACAAACAATACATACTAGAAAACAAATAATTTAAGGTTAATGTTAACTTAATTGGTAATTAAATAAAAAAAGCCAGCTATTTATGATTATTTATTTGCTTTTTTAGTGGCCTTATTTTAAAAAGTTAAAATCAGAATTAGCCAAATAGTGTCAAATAATTTTTTAAGAATAAATATAAATTGGGAATAATCTTATTTCTTAAAAAAAAACTCGAAATACTCCTTTGAATTTAATTACTAAAAAAGATTGAAAAACATATCTAATTTTTAAAGTAAAAGTAAAATTAGAATACTTATTAAAATAATTCTTTTCCATAATTTTAATCATATTAAATATTTTTTCTATTATTTAGTTTTCATCATTAAAATATTAAAAATTTTTTTATTACAAAAATAGCATAATGAATATTCTCCCAATTTTAATTCTTATCTTTTGGACAAAATAAATAATTGCTTAATTTGCTTATAGTGATCAAATTTAAACTAGCGACTTAGAAGTTGTTCCATATAGTGCTATTTTAAACCAAAACTATGATTAAACAGTTTCAAAAACTGTGACCTTTACTAATTAATTTCAAAATGTTCCAAAAATTATTGTTGGATATAAAATATTTGATTATGATCGTGATGGTAATATTAAAAGCTTTGAACTTGTTGTTAGTAAAATAACAACAACAAATTTTTTAATTTCATTTACCAAATACTAAGATACTAAAGTATATAGATTTGTTGCTACTTGGATTGCGATAGATAGTATTTATGCTTTTTACAAACAAGTAGTTCTCAATTTTTCTCCTTGGCCATCATCAAACAATTAAGTAACAGTAAGTAATCCTTTTTCTATGACACAAATAGATAACACAAAGGTGTAAAGAAAGGTTATTGCTTTTGTATAAGGTACATTTTTTAATAAAAGCCCATCAAATAGAAATACTTTTTAAATGTATGCTACTGTTAATACTAATACAATTGATGTAAATGTTATTTCAAATGATCCAACATAAAGCCTTTCTTAAATCAAAGTTAATTATATTGAGTTTTACTCAAATATAACAACGCCATATTACGATGTAACTATTATAAACGATTAAGACTTTCAAAGCTATAATCCTAATAAATACTGTCCTTGGACATATGGAAAAACTAAAACTCTTGATTTTAATTATGCTTCAGACGTTAATGGAGTTGTTGCTGCTATTACAGAATATGACATCGACTTTACTTTAGGTCAATCTTCAAGACTTCAATTAAATTTAATTTCTTATACACCAATCTATAAACAACTTAATTACAATTATATAATAAATCTTGACTCAAGTACATGCTTTTATTCTATGGGTGCATATATTGTTGCATTTAAAATGTATGATTGCTCTCAGAATCCAAGCACTCCAATAAATTTTTCTCCATAATATTAGTGTGTTTCTTAGTGTCCAGTAGGATACTCCTAATAGAAAAGAGATAACTCTTAAAATTTTTCATATTGTTAACCTAATCCATGTTCAATAGCTAACTGTCTTTTATGTGACACGAATGGTTTATGCATATAATGTATCACTGGAAATTATATGTATAATAGTTAATGTAGTGCCTCTTAACCTGCTAATACATATTGTGATAATAATTTGATCTGCAAAAGTTGTTCAGCAAATTGCCAAGCATGCTTAAATGAAAATTCATGTACAACTTGCCAAAGTGGATTTTATTTATATCAAGGAAGTTGTACTTCTACTCAACCTAGCAATACATACTGTGATAATTTTGTTTGCCAAAAATGTTAATCTTCTTGCTCTTCTTGCACTAATGGATCTTCATGTACTGTTTGTAATACTGGATTATATTTTTATCAAGGAGCATGCACTTCATAATAACCAGACAATACTTATTGTGATAATAATACTTTAATCTGCCAAAGTTGCTCAAGTAATTGCTCAAAATGCTCAAGTTAAAATTCATGTACAACTTGCCAAAGTGGATTTTATTTATATCAAGGAAGTTGTACTTCTACTCAACCTAGCAATACGTACTGTGATAATTTTGTTTGCCAAAAATGTTAATCTTCTTGCTCTTCTTGCTCTAATGGATCTTCATGTACTGTTTGTAATACTGGATTATATTTTTATCAAGGAGCATGCACTTCATAATAACCAGACAATACTTATTGTGATAATAATACTTTAATCTGCCAAAGTTGTTCAAGTAATTGCTCAAAATGCTCAAGTTAAAATTCATGTACAACTTGCTAAAATGGTTTTTATTTATATCAAGGTAGTTGTACTTCTACTCAACCTAGCAATACATACTGTGATAATTTTGTTTGCCAAAAATGTTAATCTTCTTGCTCTTCTTGCACTAATGGATCTTCATGTACTGTTTGTAATACTGGATTATATTTTTATCAAGGAGTATGCACTTCATAATAACCAGACAATACTTATTGTGATAATAATACTTTAATCTGCCAAAGTTGCTCAAGTAATTGCTCAAAATGCTCAAGTTAAAATTCATGTACAACTTGCCAAAGTGGATTTTATTTATATCAAGGAAGTTGTACTTCTACTCAACCTAGCAATACGTATTGTGATAATTTTGTTTGCCAAAAATGTTAATCTTCTTGCTCTTCTTGCACTAATGGATCTTCATGTACTGTTTGTAATACTGGATTATATTTTTATCAAGGAGCATGCACTTCATAATAACCAGACAATACTTATTGTGATAATAATACTTTAATCTGCCAAAGTTGCTCAAGTAATTGCTCAAAATGCTCAAGTTAAAATTCATGTACAACTTGCCAAAGTGGATTTTATTTATATCAAGGAAGTTGTACTTCTACTCAACCTAGCAATACATACTGTGATAATTTTGTTTGCCAAAAATGTTAATCTTCTTGCTCTTCTTGCACTAATGGATCTTCATGTACTGTTTGTAATACTGGATTATATTTTTATCAAGGAGCATGCACTTCATAATAACCAGACAATACTTATTGTGATAATAATACTTTAATCTGCCAAAGTTGCTCAAGTAATTGCTCAAAATGCTCAAGTTAAAATTCATGTACAACTTGCTAAAATGGTTTTTATTTATATCAAGGTAGTTGTACTTCTACTCAACCTAGCAATACATACTGTGATAATTTTGTTTGCCAAAAATGTTAATCTTCTTGCTCTTCTTGCACTAATGGATCTTCATGTACTGTTTGTAATACTGGATTATATTTTTATCAAGGAGCATGCACTTCATAATAACCAGACAATACTTATTGTGATAATAATACTTTAATCTGCCAAAGTTGCTCAAGTAATTGCTCAAAATGCTCAAGTTAAAATTCATGTACAACTTGCCAAAGTGGATTTTATTTATATCAAGGAAGTTGTACTTCTACTCAACCTAGCAATACGTACTGTGATAATTTTGTTTGCCAAAAATGTTAATCTTCTTGCTCTTCTTGCTCTAATGGATCTTCATGTACTGTTTGTAATACTGGATTATATTTTTATCAAGGAGCATGCACTTCATAATAACCAGACAATACTTATTGTGATAATAATACTTTAATCTGCCAAAGTTGCTCAAGTAATTGCTCAAAATGCTCAAGTTAAAATTCATGTACAACTTGCTAAAATGGTTTTTATTTATATCAAGGTAGTTGTACTTCTACTCAACCTAGCAATACATACTGTGATAATTTTGTTTGCCAAAAATGTTAATCTTCTTGCTCTTCTTGCACTAATGGATCTTCATGTACTGTTTGTAATACTGGATTATATTTTTATCAAGGAGCATGCACTTCATAATAACCAGACAATACTTATTGTGATAATAATACTTTAATCTGCCAAAGTTGCTCAAGTAATTGCTCAAAATGCTCAAGTTAAAATTCATGTACAACTTGCTAAAATGGTTTTTATTTATATCAAGGTAGTTGTACTTCTACTCAACCTAGCAATACATACTGTGATAATTTTGTTTGCCAAAAATGTTAATCTTCTTGCTCTTCTTGCACTAATGGATCTTCATGTACTGTTTGTGATACTGGATTATATTTTTACCAAGGAGCATGCACTTCATAATAACCAGACAATACTTACTGTGATAATAATACTTTGATCTGCCAAAGTTGCTCAAGTAATTGCTCAAAATGCTCAAGTTAAAATTCATGTACAACTTGCCAAAGTGGATTTTATTTATATCAAGGAAGTTGTACTTCTACTCAACCTAGCAATACGTACTGTGATAATTTTGTTTGCCAAAAATGTTAATCTTCTTGCTCTTCTTGCACTAATGGATCTTCATGTACTGTTTGTAATACTGGATTATATTTTTATCAAGGAGCATGCACTTCATAATAACCAGACAATACTTATTGTGATAATAATACTTTAATCTGCCAAAGTTGCTCAAGTAATTGCTCAAAATGCTCAAGTTAAAATTCATGTACAACTTGCCAAAGTGGATTTTATTTATATCAAGGAAGTTGTACTCAAACTTAACCAATCAAAACTTATTGTGATAACAATAAAAACTGCTTTGGTTGCTTGGATTCATGCTCATAATGCTCTAATGGATCTTCTTGTACATCTTGTAATAGCGGATTATTTTTTTATGAAGGAAGTTGTACTGCTGCTCAACCATAAAATACATACTGTGGTTAAAATTAAGTTTGTACTAAGTGTACTGTAAACTGTAGTTCTTGTGATAGCACTCTAAAAGTTTGTAATTAATGTAATCCTAATGATTATAAGTATAATTAATAATGCTATTCATCATAACCTCCTTAAACATACTGTGATAACAATAAAAACTGCTTTAATTGTTAAATTTATTGTTAATCTTGCTCTGATGGAAACTCCTGTATTACTTGTAAAAATGGGTTTTATTTTTACCAAGGAAAATGTACTCAGGCTTAGCCAAATAATACTTTTTGTGATATTAATTTGATCTGCCAAAGTTGTTAAGCTTCCTGTTCATCATGCACAAACGGATAGTCTTGCACATCTTGTATTAATGGATAATATTTTTATTAAGGGTAATGTACTTCTTCTTAACCAAATAAAACTTTTTGTGATAATAATTTGATATGCTAAAGCTGTTTAGATTAATGCTAATCTTGCTCTAACAAAACTTCATGTACAGCTTGCCAAAGTGGGTTTTATTTTTATCAAGGAAATTGTACATCTACCTAACCTAGTAATACCTATTGCGATAGTAATAAGATCTGCTAAATCTGTTTATCCTCTTGCTCATCATGCTCTAATGGAACTTCATGCACTTCTTGTATTAGTGGTTATTATTTTTATTAAGGTAATTGTGTTTCTACTCAGCCAAGTAAAACTTACTGTGACAGTAATTTGATCTGCTAAAATTGTATGCCTTCTTGTTCATCATGTTCTGATGGATCTTCATGCAAATCTTGCAATGCAGGTTTATATTTTTATAAAGGAAACTGTTCACCATCTCAACCAGATCAAACTTTTTGTGATTCTAGTTTGATCTGCCAAAGCTGTATGTCTTAATGCAGCTCTTGTTCAAATTAGTCTACATGTAATACTTGTTAAAGTGGATTTTATTTTTATCAAGGAAATTGTACTCAAACTTAACCAATCAAAACTTATTGCGATAATAGTAAAAACTGCTTTGGTTGTTTGGATTCATGCTCATAATGCTCTAATGGATCTTCTTGTACATCTTGTAATAGCGGATTGTTTTTTTATGAAGGAAATTGTACAGTTTCTCAACCATAAAATACATACTGTGGTTAAAATTAAGTTTGTACTAAGTGTACTGTAAACTGTAGTTCTTGTGATAGCACTCTAAAAGTTTGTAATTAATGTAATCCTAATGATTACAAGTATAATTAATAATGCTATTCATCATAACCTCCTTAAACATACTGTGATAACAATAAAAACTGCTTTAATTGTTAAACTGATTGTTATTCTTGCTCTGATGGAAACTCTTGCACTACTTGTAAAAGTGGATTTTATTTTTACCAAGGAAAATGTACTTAAACTTAGCCAAATAATACTTTTTGTGATATTAATTTGGTCTGCCAAAGTTGTGAAGCTTCCTGTTCATCATGCACAAACGGATAGTCTTGCACATCTTGTATTAATGGATAATATTTTTATTAAGGGTAATGTACTTCTTCTTAACCAAATAAAACTTTTTGTGATAATAATTTGATATGCTAAAGCTGTTTAGATTAATGCTAATCTTGCTCTAACAAAACTTCATGTACAGCTTGCCAAAGTGGGTTTTATTTTTACCAAGGAAATTGTACATCTTCATAACCTAATAATACATATTGTGATAGCAATAAGATTTGCCAAAACTGTTTATCCTCTTGCTCATCATGCTCTAATGGAACTTAATGCACAACTTGTATTAGTGGTTATTATTTTTATAAAGGTAATTGTGTTTCTACTCAGCCAAATAATACTTTTTGTGATGGTAATTTGATCTGCCAAAGTTGTTAAGCTTCCTGTTCATCATGCACAAATGGATAGTCTTGCACATCTTGTATTAATGGATAATATTTTTATTAAGGGTAATGTACTTCTTCTTAACCAAATAAAACTTTTTGTGATAGTAATTTGATCTGCTAAAGCTGTTTAGATTAATGCTCATCCTGCTCTAACAAAACTTCATGTACAGCTTGCAAAAGTGGGTTTTATTTTTATCAAGGAAATTGTACATCTATCTAACCTAGTAATACCTATTGTGATAGCAACAAGATATGCTAAAACTGCTTAGCTTCCTGTTCTAATTGCTCTGATGGGTCATCATGTACTTCTTGCGCACCTGGATTATATTATTATCAAGGAAACTGTAATTAGGATTAACCAAATAATGCATATTGCGATTCTTAAAAAATTTGTAAGTAATGTAATAATCCTAACTGTAAATTATGCGATAATACGTTAAATTAATGTACATAATGTGATACAAACACATTTCTGTATAATTAATAATGTTACTCATCATAACCTCCAAAAACATTTTGTGATTCTAAGCTAATTTGCCAAAGTTGTTAATCATAATGCTTAACTTGCAGTGATGCTAGTACATGCATATCTTGCGTAAATGGTAGTTATTTCTATCAAGGAAGTTGCACAATATCTTAACCAAACAATACTTATTGTGATTCAAATAAAATTTGCACAAAATGTAATAATTCTACTTGTAATGTTTGTGATTCTACTTTAAGCATTTGTATTTAATGCAGATAAAATAATTATCTCTATAATTAACAATGCTACTCAACATAACCCTCATAAACATATTGTGATACAAATTTAAAGTGCTAAAATTGCTTAACCTAATGTCAAACCTGCTAGAATGCAACTGAATGTACATCTTGCCCTAATGGAAATTATTTATACAGAGGAAGCTGTCTTACATCATAACCTAATAATACTTACTGTGATGAAAATAAGGTATGCAATCAATGTAGTGATAGCTAATGCATGTATTGTAACTAATAAAATGAATGCATTTAGTGTCTTTAATCTTTATACCTCTATAATTAATAATGTTATCCTAATTAACCTCCTCAAACTTATTGTGATAAAAATTTAAAATGTGAAAGTTGCCATTTTTCATGTGAAACATGTTCAGCACCTGAATTATCGACTACATGCTTAACTTGTGCATCACCTTCAACAAGAGTCTTTGATTCCTACAAAAAGGAATGCATATGCAAATAAAATTATTTAGAAGAAGGGTCAATCGACTGTATTGAAAAAATCGATGTATAGATGTAAGTATATTAATCTTAAGAAGTTATTTTTTATTCATCTGTGGCTGTTTCAAGCATACTTGTATTAGGAGTTAATCTTCCTAATTTTTAGTAAGTATTAATGAGCCAATAGTATATTTATCTCCTAACCCTTTACCCTTAATTTAATTAGAATTTATAATTCCATCAACTTTTAGCTCTATTTAGGCATTTTAGTTTCTTTACTTTATTTGAAAATTTAAAAATTGCACCTGAAGCTTCTAATTCTATAAATTAGATCATAATATTCACTGGTGTCTTATTTTTATCTCTTTTTATTGGGCTGATATTTAAAATAGCCAAGTGTTAGTTTAGGTACTCAAATTTTTTCAGGTGGAATTTAGTTTTTTTGTGCTCTAGAATGATTTCGTTGATCTCATTTGTACTCATTTTCAAGGTTCTTTTTAAAGATGGAATGTATGAGGATTCTCTAAGCATATCAGTGATTTTAATATTTTTATTTTTATACTCAGTTAAGACAGCTTTACAAATCAGAGGAATAAATGAGTAGAAATAAAAATAGATAAAGTCTAAAACTAAAAATAATAGCTTTTTAGAAAGCTCAATGAACATAGGAAGTAAAAATTCTCCAACACCAAACTGGTACAATATGTAATTTGAAGTTTTTTAGTATTTTGATAATTCTTTGACATTATAATTTCAAAATGAGAAAAAAGATGCTATCACACCTTATTAAACTTTGTTTTGCTAGTTAGATAACTCAATAAATTTTTCTAAGTACTACTGGATTCTAATTGATTTTAGAAATATTTTTTTAGGCTTTTTAATTGGATGCTTTGGAGATAATTTATGGGTTTATTATTTCCTACCTGCTACTAGCTTTATAAATATTGTAATATTAACAGTAAAAAAAGTTTATACTGACTCGAAATAAAGATACTTAATTATTTTTGTAGAAGCTCTAGTTATGATTATATAAATCTTATTTTTAATTTACATCTAACTTTAGAGTTAATTGTATGAAAAAGCAAAGATATTAATTACTATAATCTCCTGCTGTATTATCATAATAACATTGACAGTTATCACTTACTTTATAATTAAATTGATACAATTTACTAAAAATATTTTCACAAAAAAAAATTAAAACAAGCCTGAGGAGTAGTTAAAACAAATAAAAGAGCCATTAAAATAGGTCTAGATGCATAATTACTATAAAAAGAGTGGTAAATTAAAAATATAATATTTTTTATTTTTTAATTAAAAATTTTTTTAAATAATAGATTAAGTAATTAACCTTTTTGATCAGTCATCAATATTTTATCCAAAAAAGTTCTTAAGGATAAAATTAAAGAGTTATTACTGATTTTAAAATTACAAACTTAATTTACATTAATTTTCCATAATTATATAACTATAAAATATTTATTAATTTAATTTATAAATAATTTCTACATAATATTTTATATTTTGTCCTTTCAGCAAAAAAATAAATACTGTATATTTATATAAATTTATATCAATAATTTTATTTATATTGAGAAATGAATAAAATTTTTTTGAACTATTTTGATTATTCATAATAAATTTTTTAATTATCATTTTTTCTGGAATACATTAATTAAGTCATAAAATATTAAAGATATTATTTCTTTCTTTTAGAAGATTGAACATATTATTAGTTTAATGAACCAAATTTATAAGTGGAAATAATTAATTTATCCCTTAAATATATATTTTTCATAAAATTAGTTTCTTTAAAGTACTAAATTTATATTAACCAAAAAATATTTATAGTCTTCATTAATATTTTAAATTTGCAATAAGCTTCTATTTTTATTGTTAATATCTTCAGGTATTAAAAGAAAATATTAAATGTAGACTTCTCAAAATTTATAATATTATAATTAAATTTTTGTATAATATTTGTTATTAAAAAAATCTCTAATAATAACAAAGATTCATTTTTCAAAAATATATTTATTCAATCAAAAGTTAATTTTTTAAAGTAAGTTTTGTATTGTAATGTTTTACTAAGATATAAACTGGATTAATTTTTTTTTTGAATGATTATTATCGATAAAATAATTCAGAGCTATCAGAAATAATATTTTTTGTTTTTTTTTAATGATCAAATAATTTTAAAAAAATGAAATGACCTTTTATTATATCATCTAAATATAACAAAAACTAGAATAATATGCAAAAATATATGCTACATAAATTTTGTTAATGCAATTTAAATTAATTAATTAGGTAAGTGAAAGATACTAATTAAATAAAAAAATGATCTTTTATGTTTATCAATTACATTAATTAATAATGAAAGTATTCATGAGAGTATGTTTCATAAGAAATTGAAGTAACCAAAATTGAACAAATCAATATTTATGAATATAGAAGTGAACTTGTAAAAGAGATGAAATAAGGCATACAATTTATTAAATTACCATTCACTATTAATATTGCAAATTAAAAAGAATTTGAGCTAATTGTTAAATAATAATGTGTATTATACCTTTTTACTAGTTAAAAAGTCTTTAATGATGTTTTATTTGTTTTTATATATAGTAAAATAATAAAGACCTCAATCATTCTAACAACGAACAAATAATTTAATTACTAATATATGAGCAAAATAAATAGAAAAGCTTGTAAGTAGTTTTAATTAAATAAAGAGTAAAACCTGCCTTTTTCATAAAAGTATTTAGTGTTTTTATAAAGACGACAACAAGGGCAGATTATTATATAGCTCAAATCAAAATAAAAAAATGAAGTTCAAAGAAATGTACTTTTTTATTACAATTTTAAAACTCCGTTTATATATTTTATTACCTATTTAAATTTTTGAAATTTCAGCTTATAAAAATATTTATATGATTAAAATATGGTTAAATATGTATTTTATAATTTAGATAGAAGGCGATATTTAAATGTTTCATCTTTATTGCCTGTCATTTTATAGAAAAATTACATTCTTAGTATGTTTCTAGTGATTAAGTGTTTATTAATGATGTTGAACTCGTTTCTTACAGCAATCCTTTAGTTCTTAGTTCAACATAGCAATCTGATATTATTACAGTTTATTTTAATGTTAATTTTTAGAATACTCCCAAGATTATTGTAGGATATAAATACATAGATTACGATCACAATTCAAATTAGAAGAGTTTTGAAATGGTTGTGAGCAATATAAATACAAATAGCTTTCAATTGTAATTTATAAAGTACTAAGATACTAAAGTTTATAGAATTATAGCTACTTATGTTGCTATAGATAGTAATTATGCTTATCAAAATTAAGTCACTTTAAATTTTTAACCTTGGCCCTCAAACAATCAGGTTACGGTTAGTACCTAATTCTCAAATTAATCTATAGATGTATCTAAAGTATAGAGAAAGGCATTCGGATTTATTTAAGGTATTATTTCAAACACTAACTTAGGTAATATTTAAGTTTAAAATATACAAATGACTGTTTAAGTTAGCACTAATACCATAGACGTAACAGCTATTTAAAATGATTCTTAGTAATGTATTACTCAAATAAAAGTAAACTACTTAGAATTTTATGTAAATATTACAAATCCTTACTATGATCTTAAAATAATTGTTGATTCTACATATTTGGTAAATAAATCTTATAATATTGGCGTGTATCCTTCATAAGCAACTTTAGATTTTAATAATAATGCTGATATTTAAGGGGTAGTAATAGCTTTGACTTCTTATAATGTTCCCTTAACTACTTATTCTGCTAGACTAAATATGACACTTGTAAGTTACACAGCTTCTAATAAGATTTTAAATTACTAGTATTAAACATGGGTAGATACTGTAATTTATAGTTTTGGATCAACTATTGCAGTTTTTAAAATGATTGACTGTTCATCAAATACAAACAACCCTGTAAATCATTCTGCTAATCAGTAATGTGTTAGTTAGTGTCCATAAGGATTCTCATTAAAAAAGAGAGATGCTTCTTAAGGCTTTTCTTATTGCCAAATCAATTCTTGTTCAGTAGCAAAATGTTAATTATGTAATTCAAACGGAGGATGCATTTTATGCTCACCATAAATGTATCTTTTTAATTATTAGTGCTATGCTTCATAACCTCCTCAAACATATTGTGATAATTAATTGAATTGTTATAGTTGTTTACCTTAATGCAAAAGTTGTAATAATAGCAGTTCTTGTACATCTTGTTTTAATTAATATTAATTTAATGGAATTTGTTATGATAAAAAGCCTAATAATACTTACTGTGATTAAAATTAAGTATGTACAAAATGCTAAGATAGTTCATGTAGTAATTGCGATTCATAAAATGTTTGTATCTCTTGCAATTAATAAAATCCTTACTATTTTTAAAATAAATGTTACCCTGCTTAGTAAGACTACACTTATTGTGACTCCTCCAATATTTGCTTTTCTTGTAATCCTCTCTGCCTATATTGTTCTGGACCTAATAGTAATTAATGTATTCAAAGTTGCTCAAATGGTTTTGTCTTAATTAATAATAAATGTCAGTGTCTATAGGCAGGGTTTGGCTATGATCCAGTTAACTAAAATTGTGTACAATGCAAATAAAACTTATGTGCTGATTGTTATGGAGATTACACACAATGCCAACAATGCTAACCAGGATCGGCATTCAATCCATCAAATAATTAATGTGAATGCTCTGATCCATTATATTATTTCGATATATTCTTTTAAAAATGTAAAAAAAGCTCAGTTGCAAATTGTAAAGTATCTTCAAAAACAATAGATTAATGTATCTAATGTAATGATGGCTACTTTTTAAATAAAAGTTCAGGTTAATGTACATATTGTACCAATAAAACCTTTACAGATAATTAAAACATATGTAGGCTTTAATGTAGGTAGAATTGCCTTGTATGTATAAATGCAACTGATTGCATTTAAGAAGAAGGTGCTAACAATAGCAATCAAAATAATAATAATAATAACAGTAATAATAATAATGGTAATAATGGCTCATCTGGTTAAGTAAAAAACTGTCATTATTCATGTGATAAATGTTCTTAGTCTAACTCCCCTAATTCATGTTTAACTTGTGCTTCACCTTCTACTAGAGTATATAATCCTTAATCATTTTAATGTCTTTGTAAGGTAAGTTACATAGATGATGGAAATGCTGATTGCTAAGAGTTAGTAGATTTAGATAGCTCCATTTTCAATTCTTATCAAGTAGCTTTCTATATTTCTTTTGCTTTATAGAGTATTTTCGTGCTTGGAATCAACTCCACTAACTATTAACACATTCTCATTATTTAACAATATATTTATTTATTAACTTTCTTCCCTTCTTTCAACAAAAACTTACAATTCTATCAACTTATATCTCTCTTCCGATATCTAAGTATATTTACCTTATTCGAGAACATATAGCTTATTTCTAAAGCATCTTATTCTCTAAATTTATTAATTATATTTACTTCCGTCCTTGCTGTTAGTGTATTGATAGCCTATACATTTCACTTTGCTCGATTTTCGTTTGCCTATGCAAGTTATTTTAAATGGAACTTGATTTTTCTTTCTTCAAGAATAATCTCTCTTTTTTCATTTGTATTAATTTTTAATGTTTTCCTCAAATAATAATAGTATACAGATTCTCTAACCTTAACTGTAGTCTTGATATACTTATTTTTCTATTTTATAAAAACAATATTACATATAAAAGGAATAATGAATGAGAATAATTAATTGTAAGAGAATTGTAATGCCTCTGGTTAATTAGACAATTCAACAAATCTCAAAAAAAATATAAATCTAAAATCAGCACTAGAAGTTTCTATGGAAAAACCTTAGTCAACTCCAGTTTAAAATTAATAAAATGTAGAAATAGAAATGATATAAAATTTTACATAATAACAGGCCTTAATTTAATCAAGAAATAAAAAAAAATTCATTTCTCCTTACTAAACTTTATTCTGTGAATTGGATCTAGAAATAAAATTCTCAAAGTACTTCTGGCTAATTGTAGAAATAAAAAATATAATAGTAGGCTTTATAATAGGATATTTTGGTGATAATATCTGGGCATATTATATCCTACCTGCAATTTCATTTATAAATATTATAATTCACTCATTCAATAAAACATAAACTGATTCTAAAAAAAGGAACTTAGTTTTCTTTATTGAAAGCATAGTCTTAATTATTTTATCCTTCTTCTGCTTCTACATTAGCTTAGAAAACTAATAAAGCGATTAAAGCAAAATAATTATTCTGATTATATCTTGCTGTATCTTTATTATATCTATTTCAATTATTATTTTTCACATAGCTATAATCTTAGATTATCTTAAAGACAAATTAGATTCTAAAAATACTAATAAATTACATATTTAGAATTAAACAAACCATCCTTAATGCAACATGAGAATGCAAAACTACTTTACAAAAGGTAAAATTTTAATAAATAAATAAACAAATAAAGTTTTAACACGTATTTTTGTAAAATTAGATTAAATAAACGCTATTCTTGATTAACCATCCTATTTTTCTAACAGTACATCATCAAGAAAAAAAAGAAGAAATAATTTTTGATTATACATAAATAAATCCTCATTCATTTTAACTATTATTTAATATTATTTTCTTTTAAACTAAATATGAATAGTAGCTTTATGTTAAATTATTATTTTACATTATTAGCAATTAAATAAAAACCCATTTCTAAATTTTCTAAATTAATAATAAAAGCCTTATAATAATTTTTCTAACAAGCTTTTATCAATACTTTAAGTTCTAAAATAAAAAGTTAGCAAACAAATAACGATATAAAAAATACTAATTATACTAGTTTAAAAATTTAATATAAATTCTAATAAAAAATATAAATAAAATATTTAATTAAATTTAGTTTTAAATCTCAAATAATTTAAAAATTTTATGAATTTTATTAATTATCTTTTGTCAATATTCCTGTAAATATTTTGTATCCTAACACTCCTTTTAATTATAATAATAGATATAGAATAAAAATTTACTTTACATAATACTAGCTATCTGCCTTTTATATTCCTGCATTTGAAATATCACCAATTCAAATATATTTATTGCTGATATTCCAAATGATTTTACATTACTAATAAAATTTTTAATCTTCTTCTTCTTTGTTATTTCCTAGTAATTATTATTTTTAACAGAATTTATAAGATTTATCTCAATACATAATACTTTTTAGAAATTTAAAAGTTAAAGTTTTTTTAATGAAATAAAATATTATTAACTAAAAAATAAAAATTTTATTGTTCATTTAAATTGAATGGAGTATACTATTATGCCTTTTATCCTTTAAATTTTATAATTTTAAATAAATTTTATCATTTTAAGCAAAAGAATTTATATTAAAAATTAAAAAGCTGATGTTTGCTTTGTTTAATATGTAAACAAAATTATATCGTATAAATTCTATAAACAAAAAAGCATCTAGAATGCTCCTAAAAATCTTTTATGTAAATACTAATCTTAAATAGGAAAGGCTATAATATCTTAACAAATTCTATTATAAAATTGAAGATACTTATATTTTTATCGAAAATTTCAATATTAATGTTAATTATAATTAATTTTAATTTAAACTTTAACCTTAAAAACAATCAAAAAGTATATTTTATAAATACAAAAATATAAATTAAACAATATTTTATCTTAAACAATTTTGGAATTTGTATTTTCCTTTCTATTAAATTTATTTCATTTATATGATTTTGAAAAAAATTGTATATATGATTGAGAATGACATTATTTTAATAATTTTATTTCTTCAATATAGATTTAGATCTTTTATTTACCGCTTATAAAAACATTAATTAACTAATCTACTAATTCTATGGTATATTTTAACATAGATAAAAGTAATATATGTTTGGCACTTTATTAATTTCGATATACAGATTTATGTATCAAAAAAATGAAATTTAAATTTGATTAATCAATTTATATTAAATTGATTAAAAAATAATAAAATTAATATTGATAAAAAACTAAATCATAGAATTAATAAAAATGAACTCAAAACCTTTATTACTTGGTTCTTTACTTGCAATCATCGCATTCAGTGGATACTTGTTGATTTCTGAAAAAACTTTAGTTAATTCTGATAGTGAACGTGCCACCTTTAGTGAATGGCAATAATGTTTAAAAGAAAAATGGAATCCATTTTGTAACTAAACTAAAGATCCTTAAGAAATTTAAAAATGCAATAATGTCTATAGCGGTATTACTTAGTGTGAAGTTCATAATGACGCTTGCAATAGATTTTTCATCTACTTTGAAGAGCCTGAAGAAGATGCTCCTCTCCCTGATTGCTTTTACTAATGTACTAAAGCATGCCAATAGTTTGCTACAGGTGATATTTATGCTGAAACTAATTACTAAATTTAACATTATGAGTGTGCTTACAAAAATTGAGTGAATATATATTCAAAAATAATATAAATATATTAATATTATTATAAAAAAACAATTTATAATTTATATATAATTATATTTAATAATTTTTAGAATTAATCAATAAAGAAATATTTTATTTTATTTCATCTATTAAAAATAATTATGCCTTTTATTTATTTATTAAGTCTATTCACCTCATCTAATCATATTAAAATTTTAAAGATTATTAAGCAACAAAAATAAGTTGATTTATTTGCCAAATTTTTATTCTTTCAAACAAAAATTTAAAGTATTTGGTGTATAAATTGAAAATAAAAATACACTTTTTAACTAATTATTTCATTCTAAATCTTATTTCTTTGGTATATTAATCAAGAAAATTAAAATTTACATAAAATTTAAAACAATAATTTATTAACATAAAAAATAAAGATTTAATAGTTTGATTTACAATCAAGAAGATAGATGTTTCATTTCAATTTCTAAAAATGAGGCATAATCTCTGAAAGTTTTAATATTTTTACCACAATGAGGATCGTTTGACCTATATTCTTTGCACATTCTTTTGACTTTTGAAACAACAGTAGGTTTAATGTTTCTTGAATAAATTTGAGCTACTTCAGGTTTAGTTGGAGGAGGAATATAAGCTAATTATGTAGGACAATCAGTTCTAGGAGAAGTTCTATTAATAATGTCATCAAATGTTGCTGCCCATTCAGTTCTCTTAGAGAAGTTGTATTCTAGATTGAAAATCTTCATTACAGTTGAAATAATAGAACTGTGTTCGAATTAAGAAGTGTTAAATGGTTTCTACTATTGTTGAGGCTCTTTAATTAGCAATCCTTTCTCAATCCAAGGAGAAATAACAATTGTAGGTACTCTGATACCAAGTCTATCAAAATTAAATCCTTCTGCATTCACTTTACCATCAGGATTAGGCACACCTTCTTGAGGAGGAGGTACATGATCATAAAAACCGCCATGCTCATCATAAGTAATGATAAAGAGGGTTTCATTCCATTTAGGTCCATTTCTAAGAGCTTCATAGACATTCTTCATCAATCTTTCACCTTCTTTAACACTATGATCAGGATGTTAATCATTTGGTAATCCAAATGATCTAGTATTATTCATATTAGGTCTAACAGTTTCAGTAGGATTGATGAATGTATAGTTAGCTAAATTGCCATTTTGAGCATCAGTATAAAACTATTCCATTTATGCTACTTTTGCAGTGTTATTGAAATTTTAATTAAAATATTCAATCCAAAGGAACCACTCTACTGGATCATCTTCATAATAATATTTCCATGAGAGGCCATTTTTTTCAAGAACTTCCTAGAGAGTAGTATTCTTTATTTATCCTCTTTCTTATTCGTTATCTACACATCCATCACAAGTTCCCATATGAACAAACATTCTATTAGGATTAGTACAACCAGGATAGCTGGAAAAGTAATGATCAAATAGAGCAAATTCGTTTGCAAGGGTACTTAAGATAGGTATGTCTTAAGGCAAGAAGCTAGTCATTTCAGTCAAACCATCATCTCCTTCTCTTTCAGCAGCAGCTACAAATCCCAACATATTAGGCTGTTACTTTAAAGAAGAATGATTTACACAAGGATCTTCAGAATTAGAATCTTAAGGCTTGTATACACAGTTAAATATTCTTTCTGTTGTAGTTTATGGCTCATGCCCAGGATCATAGGCACTGCAATCTTAAGCATTTGGCTAAACACATATTTTAGTTCCATTCAAAGAAAAATTACATTCATTTCCTGTTAAGCCGTTAACATTCTTATTACCATATTAGCCTCCAAGAGTCATCCATCCTAGTAGATGATCAAAAGAACGATTTTCCATCATCAAAACAACAATATGTTTAATTGGTAATTTTTTAGCAGTTAACTAGACCACTAAAATTAAGAATACTAGAGGAGAAAATTTTTTCATTTTTGATCAATTATAAATTAATTTATTTTGATATTTATTATATTGATTTAAATTGTACCATCATATATTTATTTGAATAAAATATGCTACTTTCTATGATTTTTATATTATACTTATCAATAATAATTACTTACTATAAATATAAATATCTATTATTGCTCAATAAATTTTATTAATCAATATGATATGTGGTCAAATCGTTGAGACTTCCAACAAATTTACATTAAATAATAATAAATTATAATCTATTTCCTAAAAGTTTTATTTACAACCAACAATAAGTTATCATCTTTTATCATTGTATTTTTAAAACTAAATAGATGTTATGTTTAAAAGAAGCTATATTTTCTTTTAAACTTAAATTAATATTTAGACAATCACAAAAAAGGGATAATTTTATTTTTTAAGGCAATCAGGAATCAATATTTTATGATCAAAATAAAACATAAAATATTTAGCAACAATATTTAAATCCATGAATGAATCTTCTTACTATTAAGAATTTACAATTTATTTTTTTAATCATTAAGGATACCATGCTTCTTTTGAAATTTTTTAAATAAAAATTTTATATTTGCAAATCAAGGAAAATAAAAGTTGTATATTTTGAAAAAAAAAGATTAAAAGCATTTATTTACATTTAAAAAATAATTAATTTTCAAATCAAAATTTTTTTTAGAAATCAAATATTATTTAATTTACAATTAATTTATAGTTTTGGAATATAACTTAAAAAAATTCTTATTTCAATTTAAATCTAATACTACCAGTAAGTAGAACAACTAATATAAAATAGATCATCAAATTAAAATCAGTCATTATACTTTTACTTACAAAAAATTAATTTAACATATTTTAATTTATTCGATTCATCTAATAATTTTATTAATTTAGTTAGATTATGAAAAATTAAATTTTAAAAATGATGCTTTTATAATATTTTAATTTCTAAAAAGTTTTCATATCCTCTAAAATTTAACATTTTCACCACATTAGAAGTAGTTTGGATTTTATTCTTTGCAAATTATTTTTACTATTTCTATAGCTGTGAGCTTGAAATTTCAAGAATATATTCTTTCAATCTCAGCTTTTAATGAGAGAGAAAGATAAATTAAATAAACAAGACAGAAGTTTAGTTTTAGAAATATGATCTTCATAGCAAATCATTCTATTTTCTTTGAGAAATAATATTTAAGACTCAATTATTTCATTTTTAAGTTAATCTAGCTAAAATTGAATTGAGATGTGTTAAAAAATTTTTTACCAAGGTTTAGCCTCATTTATTAATTAGCCTTTTCTATCCATGATTATTCAACTCTAATTCAAAGTCTTTCTAAATTAAATCATTCAGCATTGATTTTACCATTTGGATTAGAATTTAAAAATTATTTAAACGAATTTTATAAAAAGACAATCAATAGGTTAATTTTTATAATAACATCTCCATAAAAAGTCATTTTTTTGAAGAACTTCTTATAAAGTAGTGTACTTAATTTAATTAATGTTTTAGCTATTTAAAACAACCTTGAAAATTTCCTATAGGAATAATTATTATGTTTGGATTAATGCATCTAGTATAGATAGTGCTGTAATAAAAGTAGGTTTTTAGGGTAAAAAGCCCACTTATCTCAGTCAAACCACTTTATCAATATCTCTTGGCTGTATCAACAAATATAATTTAATATTTTAAATCCTTATCATATTAATTTATTTTTATTCTAAATTATTAATTATTTTTTATACTATGTCATTTAGTAAATCCAAAATATCTACTAAAATAATTGTGATTTCTTTCATTAAATATGAATCAGAAATAAATTTTTTCAAATATTTATCTATTCACCAATTATACCTTATTTTTTCAACAATATTTTAGATATAAATGTTAAATTTTTTACTTTGATATTTACATTTTATACATTCTTAGATTTTTAGTTTATTAAAATTTAGAAAATTATAAAATTTGTAAATTAAAGTAATTAAAATTAATCCATTTAGAATTAAAAAAAATTAACATTTTTGAATATATTATTAAGTAATAGAATTATTTACCAAATTTGTATGTTTCAAATAAAAAATTGAAGTTTTTCTAATATAAATTGAAAATAAAAATATGATCATTAATCAATTTATTTCATAATTTTATTATTTATGTTAACCAAACATAGTTTTATGTTATATAAAATACAAAATATTAATCAACAAACATAAAAAATATAAAATTCAATAGTTTTATTGACACTCAAGAGGGTAAGTGCTTCATTTCAATTTCTAAAAATGAGGCATAATCTCTGAAAGTTTTAATATTTTTACCACAATTAGGATCATTTGGCTTAAATTCTTTGCACATTCTTTTTACTTTTGAAACAACTGTAGGTTTAACGTTTCTTGAATAAATTCTAGCTATTTCAAAGTTAGTTGGAGGAGGAATATAAGCTAATTAAGTAGGACAATCAGTTCTAGGAGAAGTTCTATTAATAATGTCATCAAATGTTGCTGCCCATTCAGTTCTCTTAGAAAAGTTGTATTCTAGATTGAAAATCTTCATTACAGTTGAAATAATAGAACTGTGTTCGAATTAAGAAGTGTTAAATGGTTTCTACTATTGTTGAGGCTCTTTAATTAGCAATCCTTTCTCAATCCAAGGAGAAATAACAATTGTAGGTACTCTGATACCAAGTCTATCAAAATTAAATCCTTCTGCATTCACTTTACCATCTGGATTAGGCACACCTTCTTGAGGAGGAGGTACATGATCATAAAAACCGCCATGCTCATCATAAGTAATGATAAAGAGGGTTTCATTCCATTTAGGTCCATTTCTAAGAGCTTCATAGACATTCTTCATCAATCTTTCACCTTCTTTAACACTATGATCAGGATGTTAATCATTTGGTAATCCAAATGATCTAGTATTATTCATATTAGGTCTAACAGTTTCAGTAGGATTGATGAATGTATAGTTAGCTAAATTGCCATTTTGAGCATCAGTATAAAACTATTCCATTTATGCTACTTTTGCAGTGTTATTGAAATTTTAATTAAAATATTCAATCCAAAGGAACCACTCTACTGGATCATCTTCATAATAATATTTCCATGAGAGGCCATTATTTTCAAGAACTTCCTAGAGAGTAGTATTCTTTATTTATCCTCTTTCTTACTCATTAGCTACACATCCATCACAAGTTCCCATGTGAACAAACATTCTATTAGGATTAGTACAGCCAGGATAACTTACAAAGTAATGGTCAAATAGAGCAAATTCGTTAGCAAGAGTACTTAAGATAGGAATATCTTAAGGCAAGAAGCTACTCATTTCAGTCAAACCATCAGCTCCTCCTCTTTAAGCAGCAGCTACAAATCCTTACATATTAGGTTATTACTTTAAAGAAGAGTGATTTACACAAGGGTTATCAGACTTAGAATCTTAAGATTTATATTCGCAATTAAAAATTCTTTCTGTTGTTGTTTGTGGACCATGTCCAGGATCATAGGCACTGCAATCTTAAGCGTTTGGCTAAACACATATTTTTGTTCCATTCAAAGAAAAATTACATTCATTTCCTGTTAAACCAGTTACATTTTTATTACCATATTAGCCTCCAAGAGTCATCCATCCAAGCATATGATCAAAAGAACGGTTTTCCATCATCAAAACAACAATGTGTTTAATTGGTGATTCTTTAGTAGCCAATTGAACCACTAAAAATAAGAAAATTAAAGCTGTAAATTTATTCATTTTTGAGCAATTGTAAATTAATTTACTTTAATATTTATTATATTAATTGGATATTTATCTTCATTAATTTAGATGATTTAGATGTATTAATTTTTATTAAATTTTACATTATTCTTATCAATAATAAATGCCCACCATAAATATTAAACCTCTTTTGTTACTCATTAAATTTTATATTGAGTGTGTTAGGTGGTTAAATAATACACACCACATACAAAAATACCTTACATAATAATAAATTTTATATAAGACTTAATAGGTCTCTTATTTATAATATATAACAAGTAAGCATCTTTTATCATGTTCTTTTAAACGCTTTTTAAAATTTCAATCATTAGAATAAAATAAAATTTAAAGTTTAAATAAAATATTTTAATATTTTAATCCCACATTTTAACTTGTTACATTTTTTTATTAGTAATTTATTATTTAAAGATGCTCTAAATAAAGATATTTTAACTCAATAAAATTTTGAAATTCTAAATCTTTTTTAAAAAAATTATCTATTTGATTAACCTAACACTTAGATAAATAAGTATTTAGACTATCATATCAAAGGTATAATTTAATCATTTTTAATAAATACTTAATCAAAAATGAACGAATAAAATATTAAGTAGTAATTTTTATAAAAAATTTTCTACCTATTTTTATAAAAAAATAGATGATTCCTATTTCTGATAATCAATAAGTTATTCAATATTTTTAAATGAAATATATTTGAATAAATAATTTAAATTAGTAAATTTAAGATTATAAATGATTGTATATTTTTGATAAAAAACACCAAAAATATTTAACTTAGATTTATACCAATTTTAGTTTACAATTTAAAAAATTTAGTAATTACTATACATTCTTTTACATTTATTTATTTATTCTAAATTTTTTGTTTTGATATTGAAATTAAAATCCTTATTTAAACTTACTATTAATAAATCAAGAAGTAGATCAAAAAATATAAAATAGGTTAACGAATAAAAACGAATAAATATTCTTCTACTTATAAATATTTACTTTTACATATTTTGATTTTAATATATATTATAAATTTTTTTATCACAAATATTATTAATAAATATAGATTATAAAAAATGATATTTTCAATAAGAATGCTTATATTATATTTCTATTTCTAAAAAGTTTACATAATCTCTGAAAGTTTTAATCTTTTTACCACATTCAGAGTCATTTGGCTTGTATTCTTAGCAAATTCTTTTGACTGCATTAATAACTGTAGGTTTAACATTTCTAGAGTATATTCTTTCAATTTCAGCTTTTGTTGGAGGGGGAATATAGGTTAAATTAGCAGGACAGTCAGTTCTAGGTTCAGTTCTAGAAATAAGATCGTCAAAAGTAGCAGCCCATTCTGTTCTCTTTGAGAAATTGTATTCAAGGCCAAATATTTTCATAACAGTTGAAATAATAGAGCTATGTTCGAATTGAGAGGTGTTAAAAGGTTTTTACCAAGGTTTAGGCTCTTTTACTAACTAGCCCTTTTCTATCCAAGGTGAAATGGCAATAGTTGGAACTCTAATTCCAAGTCTTTCAAAATTGAATCCTTCAGCATTGACTTTACCATCTGGATTAGGAACACCTTCTTAAGGAGGAGGGACATGGTCATAGAAACCACCATGCTCATCATAGGTAATAATGAAAAGGGTTTCATTCCATTTAGGTCCATTTCTCAAAGCCTCATAAACGTTCTTCATTAATCTTTCACCTTCTTTAACACTGTGATCAGGATGTTAGTCATTTGGAAGACCAAAAGATTTGGTGTGATTCAAAAAAGGTCTTACGGTTTCAGATGGATTAATAAAAGTGTAATTTGCTAATGTTCCATCTTAAGCATCTTTGTAGAATTATTCCATATTACTGAATTTCTTGCGATTTAAGAAGTTTTTATTAAAATATTCAATGTATAAGAACCAGTCAATAGGTTAATCTTCATAATAATATCTCCAAGAAAGACCATTTTTTTCAAGAACTTCTTAAAGAGTAGTATTTTTAATTTAACCAATAGCTTAGCTGTTTTAAACACAACCATCACAAGTTCCCATATGAACAAACATTCTGTTTGGGTTAGTGCATCCAGGATAGCTGACGAAATAGTTATCAAATAATGCAAACTCATTAGCAAGTGTTGTAATAATAGGAACTTCTTCGGGTAAAAAGCCACTCATCTCAGTTAAACCATCTTATCCACCTCTTTATGCTGCAGCAACAAAACCCTACATATTAGCTGGAACTTTCAATGAGGCGTGGTTGACGCATGGATCGTCAGAAGTTGAATTTTATGCTTGATAAACACAATTATAAACTCTTTCTGTAGTAGTTTGAGGGCCATGACCAGGATCATATGCACTGCAGTCTTAAGCGTTAGGAGCAACACAAATTTATGTACCATTTAAAGCAGTGTTACACTCATTTCCTGTTAAACCGTTGACATTTGGATTTCCGTATTGACCGCCTTTAGTCATCCATCCAAGCATATGATCAAAAGAACGATTTTCCATCATCAAAACTACAATATGTTTGATAGGAGACTCTTTAGCAGTTAGCGAGACTGCGAAAATTAGTAGTATAAGTGCAGATAATTTTTACATTTTATAGTACAATTCTTTTATTTGTTTGATTTATTTTAAATAATATCAAATCTTTTATTTTATAACAACTTATTTTAACAAAGAAAAGTGAGAAAAATAAGCCCACCACTTAATCATTATTAGAAGGATATTTAAAACAATAACCAAAATATATAAATGATTTTTGTATAGTGGTATAATTACATATAGTTACATACTTAAGATTAGTTATGTTGGTTACTTCTTTTATTTTAAAACAAAAATTGATAAATAATTTCTTATTCATTTAGTTCTACTAATAATATAAATATACTACTAAAGAATAAATATTAAGTTTGTGAACCCTCTAAAACTTGAGATAAAAAAGCTATTTAGAAATATTATTGTTAATATTTCATAATTAATTTATAGGTTACATTATTAAAAATCATCTGAAAAATAATTGACTTAAGTTATTCTAATTTAAAAATTTAGAAATCAATAAAAATTTGTTTATTCAAATTGCAACAATATTAATTATATTCTTTATTATCATTTACCAAACATTTTTTCATAAAGAAAAATATTAATAATTATTTATTTATTTAAATTTATAAAAATCTAGACTTATATAAATGATTTATTTTATCCTTACAGCATTATTTAAACTAAAAAAATTTTTATAATTTTAAGATTGATAAAAGTTTTTAACCTCAATCAAGTTAGTATTGTAAAATAAATTAAAATTAATACAAAGAGAAAATTTAATATATTCAATTTATTTTTATCAGATTTTTTATTGAAAAGTATAAATATGTAACTAAATTTTTTTAAATTTAAAAGTAAATATTAGACAAATAATACTACAAAAAATATAGAGAAGAGTGTAGATAGTTTTAAAATGAAATATTATAAATAAAAAAGTAAAATTACCTAAACAAAAATAATATTTAATAAATAATTTATTTATTTTTATAATTTCATCCTTTAAAAAATAAAAGCTAATTTCAAACAAATATAATATATTTTTTTAATTCTTTTAATTTGGTTAACATCTTAGAAATATTTAAAATAATTCTTTCTCTTAAAAATTAAATATTCTTTTGTAAAAATAAAGAATTATTAGCTATGATTTATCAGTAGTCCATTAATATTAAATTAAAGAATAAAATTCTGTTTTCAATTTTTATTGACATAATGAATTTAGAATTAAAAAATTATCTTGTATTACAACAATTTATTTGATTTAGAAATGAAATAAATAGAAAAATATTTTTTATTTTTATTTCCTATTTATTTAAAATGGAGTTTTCTTCAATTCAAATCTTTTAATAACTTAAAATATTAATCAATAATCAAATTTCAAAACAATAATGAGAAAAACTATCTGATAATTATTTTTATAAACATTAAATACAATCATCATTAAGGGTCATGAAACTGTTGAAGTGGCTGTCTCTTAATAATTTGATTTTTTTATTTATAAGGTGGAGTTGGTTTAACTCACTTAAATTAAAAAATTTTACTTAACTTTGAAGATATCAAATAAATAGCCATTAAAAAATCAAAATAGTTTTTTGTTAAATTGTTCATTATATAAATGTAAGATAAATACAAAAAATTGATTACATCTTAAAGTCATCATAAATAAATATTTATTAATAAAATTCTAAGCTAAATAAAAATCTTGATTTTTTTAATTAAAAATGGAAAAATTATGCTAGTATTATTATAAAAGCTTAAATTTATCGATTCTAATTGATTTACATATTAATAATTTTTTCATAAAAATTAAAAATAATTTATTAAAGTTTTGATATATTTATAAAGACTGATTAACTATGATTTATTGGTAATCTATTAATATTAAATTAATGAATTTAATTATCTTTTCAATTTTTCTTGACATAATAAATTTAAAAAATTATCTTGTACTACAACAATTTATTTGACTTAAAAAGAATAAATATTTTATTTTCTATTTAATTAAAATTAAGTTTTCTACAATTCAAATATTTAAATACTCGCTAAATATTAATAGACAATCAAATTTCAAAACAATAATGAGAGAAGTATCATCTAATTGTAATTATCTTATAAACATTAAATACAATCATCATAAAAGGACATTATGCAGTAGTTATTGTTGTTTCTAAATCATTGGTTTTTTATTTATAAGGTGGAGTTGGTTTAACTCTCTTAAATTAAAAAATCTTACTATATTTTGAAGTAGGGGTTTAAATGAGCTAAGAAATATTAAAGCTTGACTCGTTGAAAAATTTTTCTCGAGCTAATTCAAAGAATGTAAAAGAAGATTTATCCTAATATTTATAATAGAGAAATATAAACATATAAACAAATTAAAATTAAAAATTTCAATTTTATTTATGATAGTTATATATATATGTAGGATACTGCCTTTTTCTAGGTTATACACTGAAATTTTAGATATAGCTATATTTTCAGAAAATCAAAAAAATAGTGATCTCAATTCACTAAATTTTTGAATAGCATTTGGTTATATTTACTATTTTCTTTTATATATTATTTAAGGGGAAAAAAAAATATCTTAGGAACTTTAAAATTCAAATATAAATTAATAATTAAGATAATATTCTTGAATTCTTTAATATTTTAAACTAAGTTAATTTTAAATGTTTTCTAAACAATTAAATATTATTTAAGAAATTAATATTTTTATAATTTTTGACAATAAATTTATTCAATCATTTTTAATATTTCTATATAAAAATATTTCCTTATTTAGAATAAAAATGTCTAATTATTTTAATCTTTACTTTTAGATATAAAAATTATTAAATGATTGTTTGGTAACTTGTAACTTTCCTTTTCAAGTTTTTGATTTTTAAGGAGGAAAAATATATTCTTATTTATAAAATTCTTTAATTAAATTGGTATTAAATCAGAGTTATTATACCTATATTTTCTTATTTTCAAGATGTAATCTCAAGTATTTTTTCTTTTTATCATAATTCAATTTTAAGCAGCTCCTAAAAAACTATATATTAACAATTTTTTTAAGATAGATTGAAAAAAAAAGAAAGAAATAACTTGAATTTCTTAAAATAATATTATTCTCTATTTTATGGTAAATTATAACTTTTTCTTACTTTCTTAATTTTGAGATAAAATAATTAAGAATCATTAATATTACATTCATACTTTTTATTACAAAGCTTAGTATAAAATAAAATCTAATAATATTCCTTTTATTAATGAAGCTATATATTTTGTAATTTTGATATTATTAATTTTTTACACGATAATAGTCTATTGATAAAAAATTATGTAGTTCAAGTATATTTTATTCTGTTAAATACTAAATATGCTTACATAGGCAATTTTTAATTTTGAATAAATAATTTGATATGGCAAAATGAAAAAAAATTTTAAATCAATCGATTAATCATTTTAAATAATAAAAAAATTATTCAACTTATTTTTTATATATACTTATTAAAAATAAATTTTAATATTAACTTCAACTAATTGAGTGATATTTAAAATTTTTTCTGATGAAATTTATTTTTATTTACATAGCATGTTTTTGCTTTTTTTAAATTAAGAAAACAATCAACTCAAAGTATATTAATTTTTTTAAAAAAATTAGCTAAAATTTTAAAATAATAAATGAAAAAACTATCAAAGTTAAGCAATATAATAGTCTTATTTTGTTTTATTTATCATACTTAATGTCAAGGGGATCTATATATTAATGATTTGTCTATTGTTGCAAACCCATATTTAGTTTATTGGAATGATAAAAGTATTGGCTCTCTTGATGATTAAGAAAAATAAATTTCTATACCACTAAATAAATAATTTAATTAACCTCTAGATATTCTGTTATCATTAACATGGCAAGATTACTAAAATAGTTAATATAATGGTGTTTCAGTTTAAATACAATCAATAACAAAATCAGATGTGACAATAAAAATATAAAAATAATAAAATTCTAACACAATAAATACTATTAAGGTAGCTATACTTGCTTTTGAAAAGGATTCTTCAATATTAGTAAATTAAATCAAAATTGATATTTTAAAAGAAAATTTTACATTGAATGGTGATGGCTCTTTTAGTTATAATTACCAAGACTTATATAAATTACCCAAAATAGAAAATTCAAAAAGAATCCTTAAATGCTTCATCACAGGTTACTTTTAATAGTTTACAGATAAATCCTATAATTTAAATGGATCCAGAGTAAGTATATTTTTAAATCCTTTGGAAGATGATTTGTCTGATAAATATACTATCTAAATATTAACTTTTGATTAATTAAACTCCTTAAAAAGTTTGTAATTTAATTGTCTTGAATTTTATGAGTACGATAAAACTGATAATATTTACAGTTATGTATATTTTTAAGATGACATTTCATAGATAAAAACTAAGTCAGGTGATATTTTATATGATCAACCTCAAAAAGATAGTCAAGATTGTATATAAGCCTCTTCAATTAATTTACCAAATTTATCTTCTAATCAATAAAAAGACCAGATTTTTGTTGGGTTAGGAGGATTTGATGTTGATTAAAAACTTACAGAAACAAAAGTTAGACATGAGATTATTGATTACACATCAAACAAATTAAATTTTAAGTATGTGACTTGGAATAAAGATATAGTATATGGCATTAAAACTACTGCCATAATGATTGTATATAAAAAATGTAAAGCTAGTTAAATTCAAAATTCTTTTACCAAATAATGTGTTATATAATGTGAAGACGAGTACTTTACAATTACTTATTTGGATATTAAAGTATGTTATAAGTGCGATTCAACTTATAAAACTAGTAGCGATTCAGAAAAATAATGTGTATCTTGTTCAAATACTTTATTTTTATATAAAAATGACTGTGTTAGCAAAAAACCAGATCCAGCATTTTGTGACTCTTCAAATAGATGCCAAGATTGTTTGGTTAAAGATTGTATAAAATGCTCTTAAAGCGCTAATTAATGCGATTAATGCAAGTAAAAATCATTTCTATACAATAATTAATGCTATGACTAATAACCAGATGTGACTTATTGTGATAGTAGTAATATTTGTCAATAATGCAACGCCAAAGACTGTAAGAAATGTGATAATAATCTTAGTTCTTGCTAAGTATGCTTGCCAAATTTTTACCTATTTTAAAAAAATTGTTTTAATTAATAACCAAATCAAACATATTGTGATTAATTCAAAGTATGTAATATTTGTAAAAATGTTAATTGTAAATTTTGTGACTAAAGTGATAAATGCATAGCCTGCAACGAAAATTAGTACTTATTTAATGATGATTGCCTTAAAAACAAACCAAATAATAGTTATTGTGATGGCTAAAATATATGTAAAAAATGTAATAAAAGTGACTGCTAAGATTGTGATATCTCATTAGATAATTGTATAAACTGTCCTTAAAATTATCTCTTAGAAAATAGATGCTATCCAAATTAGCAAGATAAAACATTTTGTGATTAAAAAAAAACATGTTAAAAATGCATTAACTAAAATTGCAAATACTGCTAGTCTGATTTTTAATCTTGCAATAAATGCAATGATAACTAATTTTTATTTAATAATAATTGTTTTGCCGATTAGCCTTAAAATACTTTTTGTGATGAATAAAGAATATGTTAAAAATGTCAAAACACCAAATGCTAAATTTGTTTTTCAGATTTACTTAATTGTAAAACGTGCCCTAAAGACCAATACTTATTTAAAGACGATTGCTTTTCTTCAGCTCCAGAAGGCACTTATTGTTAAGCTGATAAAACATGCACAGAATGTGAAGTAAAAAAATGTTAGATTTGTGACTAATCATTCAAAATATGTTTGAAATGTAATTTAGATTAATTTATTTTAGATGGAAAGTGTTATGACTAATAACCAGATGGAACTTACTGTAATTTAGTGAGCAAAACATGTAGTCTTTGCAAATCCTAAAACTGTAAAATTTGTGATTAGTATCTAAATGATTGTAATTAATGTGAAAATGGTAAATATCTTTACGATAAAAGATGTTTAAATACTAGACCAGATAATACTTACTGCGATTCTAATAATATTTGTTAAGTATGTAAAGACACTTTATGCTAAGAATGCGATGTATCTTTACAAACTTGTTTAAAATGTCTAGATAAAAAATACCTTTTTGAGCTAAAATGCTATGATGCTTAGCCTGAATAAACTTATTGCATCAAAGACGAATATAATTGTAAAAAATGCATTAATTTAGATTGCAAGTTTTGTAGTAGCGACTAAACCTCTTGCACAGAATGTTAGCCAAATTAATATTTATTTAAATAAAATTGCTTTTAGAACTATCCAGACAATTCTTTTTGTAATTAAAATAATTAATGTTTATAATGTACATAGCAGTATTGCAAAAGATGTTATTAAGATCTAAGTATTTGTGAAATATGTTATGAAAAATACTATCACTTTGAGGGGTCTTGTAAAGAAAACTAACCAGACAGATCATACTGCTAATAAGAAAATAAAATATGTCTGAAATGCTTGAATAATAGTTGTCAAGAATGTTATTAAGATTTAAAATAGTGCTCTAAATGTCGTTAGGGGTACTTTATTATTAGAAAATGAGTGTTATTAATCATAGCCAAAATAAACATTTTGTGATTTTAAAAATGAATGTTAAAAATTTAACTAACCATTCATAAAGGAAATATTTTTATTAATAAATAAAAAGATGAATAAAAAAATAAAAATTTAATTAATAAAGATTATTAGAAACTAAAGTCTTAATATGAAGAACATTGAATTGAAAGTGAAAATGATAAGATTAAGTATTTACAGATGATTGAAAATTAGGGCATTAAGTAGAATAGACCTGATAGCACTATAAAGGATCAAGCTTATATAATTAGGAATTTAAAATAATAGATTTAAAATTTAGAAAACAGTTTAAGAAATTAATTAGAGATATTTTTTCATAAAAATAAAAAATTATTTTGTAAAAATAATTGATTAAAGTTTTGATATATTTATAAAGAATGATTAGATATGATTTATTGGTAATCGATTAATATTAAATTAATGAATAAAATTTTCTTTTCAATTTTTCTTAACATAATGAATTTAGAATTAAAAAAATTATTTTTTATTATAAAAAATTTATTTGACTTAAAAATATAATATAATAAAATACATATTTTATATATTTTATTTTCTATCTAAACTAAAATTGAGTTTTCTACAATTCAAATTTTTTAATACCTGCTAAATATTAATAAATAATCAAATTACAAAAAAATAATGAGAAAAGTATCATCTAGTTGTAATTATTTTTATAAACATTAAATACAATCATCATTAAAGGAAATTAAACTGTAGTTATTGTTGTTTCTAAATCATTGATTTTTTTATTTATAAGGTGGAGTTGGTTTAACTTGCTTAAATTAAAAAATTTTACTTTACTTTGAAGATATCAAATAAATAACCATTAAAAAAAAATCTAAATAGTATTTTATTAAATTATGTATTTTGACTAATGTAAGATAAATAAAAAAATTGATTACATTTTTAAGTCATCATGGATAAATATTAATTTAGTAAAATTCTAAACTAAATAAATAGCTTGAATATTTTAATAATGTAGCAAATTCAAAGAGAATAAAAAAAATAATTTTAATGATTTGGAAAAACTATGCTAGTCTAATCTAAATTTATCATAAAAAAGCAAATTAAATTTATAATTTCCTATTCAAAGTAAATAATATTAAACTATAGTTTAGATATTTAAGATATAATTAAAAATTTATTTAATCTCTTAAAGAATCTAATATTTTAATTATTGAATACATTTTGTGTTGGATATGTTTCTTTCATAGAAATATTTACTATTTTCTTTTATAGATTATTTAAGGGGGAAAAAAATATCTAAGGAACTTTAAAATTCAAATGTAGCAATCCATAATTAAGATACTATTCTTGAATCCTTTAACATTTTAAAATAAATTTTAAATATTTTTTAATAATAAAAAATTATTTGAGAAATTAATATATTAAAAATTTTTGATAATAATTTTATTCTATGATTTTTAATATTTCTTTACATATTTGTAAAAATATATTTCCTTATTTAGAATAAACCTATCTAATTATTTTAATCTTATCTTTTAGATATAAAAATTATTAAATGATTGTTTGGTAACTCTGTAACTTTCCTTTTCAAGTTTTTGATTTTTAAGGAGGAAAAACATATTCCTAATTATAAAATTCTTTAATTAAATTGATACTAAATCAGAATTATTATACCTAAATTTCCTTATTTTCAAGATATGTAATCTCAAGTATTTTTTCTTTTTATCATACTTCAATTTTAAGCAGCTCATAAAAATTATTTTTACATAATAATAGACTTAACTATAATTAATCTTAAAACAACTCGTTCATTATATTTACATTTAAATTTAACAAAAACTTATTTATTTACTTCTCATATATAATATTTTTTTATTATACCTGTAATTTGGTATCTTTAACAAATAAGATTTGTAACCTGAACTATTTTATCATACTTCTATTTAAAGCAGTTCATAAAAACCATTTTACTTTAACAAAAAATGTTGTTTTTTTTTCAAAAATTAAAAATTTTTTAGACATACAAAAATAAATTTAACAACACAAAACAATTTTTATTTTATAATATATTTTTCTTAAGAAAAACAGTATTATTTTCTAATATCCAAAACTAATTAATATTCTATTTATCGCAAACTAAATATATTTTAAAAATATTCTAATTATAAATTTTCAAGATATGTTTGATTATAATAATGAGAGTATCAAGCTATATTATTGGTAGTATTATCATTTTAAATTCATAGTCAATATTTTAAATTTACCTGCAGAAAAACTAAAAGTCACTATTAATTTAAAAATGTTCTTTATTATCTATATTGATTAATACCAATATAATAAATTGAATTTCATAAAATAATATTATCCTTTATTTTCATGGAGTTTTACAACTTTTTTTTCATTTTTACTTAGTTTTGAGATAAAATAAACCATTTTAATTAAGAATAATAAATATTTCATTCATACTTTTCCTTACAAAGTTTGGTATAAAATAAAAGTTAATAATATTCTTTTTATTAATGAAGCTATTTATTTTGTAATTTTGATATGATTAATTTTAACGCATTAATAATCTAGTGATAAAAATTCAAGTAGTTCAAGTATATTTTATTCTGTTTAATACTGAATATGTTTACATAACAATTATAAAATTTTGTATAAATCATTTGATTTGGCAAAATGGAAAATGTTTTTTAACTATTAAATAAATCGATTAATTATTTTAAATAATAAAAAAAATATTCAACTTATTTTTTATATCTACTTATTAAAAATATATTTTAAAATTAACTTCAATTTATGGAGTGATATTTAAAATTTTTTCTGATGAAATTTATTTTAATTTACATAACATGGATTTGCTTTTTTTTAAATTAAGAAAACAATCAAATCAGAGTATATTAATTTATAAAAAAAAATTAGCTAAAATTTTAAAATAAATAATGAAAAAAGTATCAATGTTAAGCAAAATTATTGTCTTATTTGGTTTTATTTATCATATTTAATGTCAAGGGGATCTATATATTAATGACTTATCTATTGTTGCAAACCCATATTTAGTTTATTGGAATGATAAAAGTATTGGCTCTCTTACTGATTAAGAAAAATAAATATCTATACAACTAAATAAATAATTTAATTAATCTCCAGATATTCTGTTATCATTAACATGGTAAGATTACAAAAATAGTTAATATAATGGAGTTTCAGTTTAAATACAATCAATAACAAAATCAGATGTGAAAATAAAAATATAAAAATAATAAAATTCTGATACAATAAATACTATTAAGGTAGCTATACTTGCTTTTGAAAAGGATTCTTCAATATTAGTAAATTAAATCAAAATTGATATTATAAAAGAAAATTTTACAAAGAATAGTGATGGCTCTTTTAGTTATAATTACCAAGACTTATATAAATTACCCAAAATAGAAAATTCAAAAAGAATCCTTAAATGCTTCGTCACAGGTTATTTTTAATAATTTACAGATAAATCCTATAATTTAGAAGGATCCAGAGCAAGTATATTCTTAAATCCTTTGGAAGATGATTTGTCTGATAAATATACTATCTAAATATTAACTTTTGATTAATTAAACTCCTTAAAAAGTTTGTCATTTAATTGTCTTGAATTTTATAAGTACGATAAAACTGATAATATTTACAGTTATGTATATTTTTAAGAAGACACATCATAGATAAAAACTAAGCCAGGTGATATTTTATATGATTGTTCTCAAAATAATCAAGATTGTGTTTAAAAATCTACAATTAATTTACCAAATTTAGCTTCTAATCAATAAAAAGACCAGATTTTTGTTGGGTTAGGAGGATTTGATGTATATTAAAAAGTTACAGAAACAAAGGTTAGACATGAGATTACTGATTACACATAAAACAAATTAAATTTTAAGTATGTAACTTGGAATAAAGATATAGTGTATGGCATTAAAACTACTACCCTAATGATTGTATATAAAAAATGTAAAGCTAATTAAATTCAAAATTCTTTTACCAAATAATGTGTCACATAATGCGAAGACGGGTACTTTCCAATTGCTTATTTGGATACTAAAGTGTGTAATAAGTGCGATTCAACTTGTAAAACTTGTAGTGGCTCAGAAAAATAATGTACTAGTTGTTTTGATAAATATTTTTTAAATAGTAATACTTGTTAATAATGTCATCCAAATTGTTAAACTTGCAGTGGTAATACTCAGTCTTAATGCTTAAGTTGTGATTAAAAATATCTTTTTTCAAATCAATGCTATAATGATTAGCCCCAAAATACTTACTGTGATGATTAAAAAAAATGTTTGAGATGCCTAAATTCTAATTGTTTAACTTGTGATATATCTAAAAATACATGTTTATCTTGTTCAAATACTTTATTTTTATATAAAAATGACTGTGTGAGTAAAAAACCAGATCCAGCATTTTGTGACTCTTCAAATAGATGCCAAGATTGTTTGGTTAAAGATTGTATAAAATGCTCTTAAAGCGCTAATTAATGCGATTTATGCAAGTAAAAATCATTTCTATACAATAATTAATGCTATGACTAATAACCAGATGTGACTTATTGTGATAGTAGTAATATTTGTCAATAATGCAACACCAAAGACTGTAAGAAATGTGATAATAATCTTAGTTCTTGCTAAGTATGCTTGCCAAATTTTTACTTATTTTAAAAAAATTGTTTTAATTAATAACCAAATCAAACATATTGTGATTAATTCAAAGTATGCAATATTTGTAAAAATATTAATTGTAAATTTTGTGACTAAAGTGATAAATGCATAGCCTGCAACGAAAATTAGTACTTATTTAATGATGATTGCCTTAAAAACAAACCAAATAATAGTTATTGTGATGGCTAAAATATATGTAAAAAATGTAATAAAAGTGACTGCTAAGATTGTGATATCTAATTAGATAATTGTATAAGCTGCCCTTAAAATTATCTCTTAGAAAATAGATGCTATCCAAATTAGCAAGATAAAACATTTTGTGATGAAAAAAAAACATGTTAAAAATGCATTAACCAAAATTGCAAATACTGCTAGTCTGATTTTTAATCTTGCAATAAATGCAATGAAAACTAATTTTTATTTAATAATAATTGTTTTGCCGATTAGCCTTAAAATACTTTTTGTGATGAATAAAGAATATGTTAAAAATGTTAAAACATCAAATGCTAAATTTGTTTTTCAGATTTACTTAAATGTAAAATGTGCCCTAAAGACCAATACTTATTTAAAGATGATTGCTTTTCTTCAGCTCCTGAAGGCACTTATTGTTAAGTTGATAAAATATGCACAGAATGTGAAGTAAAAAAATGCTAAATTTGTGACTAATCACTCAAAGTATGTTGGAAATGTAATAAGGATTAATTTATTTTAGATGGAATGTGCTATGACTAATAGCCAGATGGAACTTACTGTAATTTAGAGACAAAAATATGTAGTCGTTGCAAATCCTAAAATTGTAAAATTTGTGATTAGAATTTAATTTCTTGTAATAAATGCTAATAATTATTTTATTAGTATGAAGATTAATGTTTTTCTGATTAACCTAATTAAACTTATTGTGATTATTCATCAGAATGTTATAAATGCGGAAATGAAAGCTGTGCGAGGTGTAATTCTACTCTTGAATAGTGTACTACTTGTTAAAAAGATTATTTTTTTTATCAATAAAATTGCTTTAGCAGCCGTCCAAAGTAAACATATTGTGATTAAAAAATAAACAATTAAAGCGATTGCGAATAATGCAAGGTTGACGATTGTTTATATTGTGACATTAATTTAAATGATTGCAATTAATGTGAAAACAGTAAATATCTTTACAATAAAAGATGTTTAATGACTAGACCAGATAATACTTATTGTGATTCTAATAAAGTTTGTTAAGTATGTAAAGACATTTTATGCTAAGAATGCGATGTATCTTTACAAACTTGTTTAAAATGTCTAGATAAAAAATACCTTTTTGAGGGAAAATGCTATGATGCTTAGCCTGAATAAACTTATTGCAGCAAAGATGATTATAATTGTAAAAAATGCATTAATTTAGATTGCAAGTTTTGTAGTAGCGACTAAACCTCTTGCACAGAATGTTAGCCAAATTAATATTTATTTAAATAAAATTGCTTTTAGAACTATCCAGACAATTCTTTTTGTAATTAAAATAATTAATGTTTATAATGTACTTAGCAGAATTGCAAAAGATGTTAGTAAGATCTAAGTTTTTGTGAAATATGTTATGAAAAATACTATCACTTTGAGGGATCTTGTAAAGAAAACTAACCAGACGGATCATACTGCTAATAAGAAAATAAAATATGTCTGAAATGCTTGAATAATAATTGTCAAGAATGTTTTTAAGATTTAAAATAGTGCTCTAAATGCCCACAAGGGTACTTTCTCTTTGAAAATGAGTGTTATTAATCATAGCCAAAATAAACATTTTGCGATTCTAAAAATGAATGTTAAAAATGTAGCAAAAATCCTAGTTGCTAAACTTGTGAATCTGATTTAGAATCATGCCTCACTTGCCCCAATAGTTATTTATTTGAAAAAAAATGTATTGAAAAAATTCCTGATTAAACCTTTTGCAATGATTAAAAAGTTTGCTAAAAATGTTAAAATCCTAATTGCCTTACTTGTGATCAATCACTGAATATATGTCTTTCTTGTTTATAAAGCTAGTTTTTTAAGGACGGTAATTGTTTTGTAAATTAACCTGAAAATACTTATTGCAATGAAAAACTTATTTGTGATAATTGCACTGAGAGTAAATGTAAATTTTGCTATGAAAATAAATCTGATTGTATTTCTTGTCTAAGCAATTATTATCAATATGAGAAAAGCTGCTTTGAAAATAAATAACCAAATAGTTACTGTGATAATCAGAAAATTTGTTAGAAATGTTAAAACATTACTTGCGAAAATTGTTAAAAAGATTTATAAACATGCTCTTAATGTCCTAAAGGATATTTCATCTTAGAAGGACAGTGTTATTAATCTTAACCAAACCAAACATTTTGCAATACTTAAAATGAATGCTATAAATGTAGTTAAAATCTAATATGCTAAACTTGTGATGCTGATTTGAAATCTTGTCTTACATGTGAAAATAAATATTTATTTGAAAAAAACTGTTTTGAAAAATAGCCAGATTAAACATTTTGTGATTATAAAAAAATATGCTAAAAATGTTCAAATCCTAATTGCCTTACTTGTAATTAAACTTTAGGAATCTGTACTGCTTGTTAAAATAAATAATTTTTATTTAATGGTAATTGTTATTAAGATTAGCCTGAAAAAACTAATTGCAATGAAAAATATATCTGCGAAATTTGTACTGAGAGTAAATGTAAATTTTGCTATGAAAATAAATCTGATTGTATTTCTTGTCAAAGTGATTATTATCAATATGAAAAAAGCTGCTTTGAAAATCAATAACCGAATAGTTATTGTGATAATCAGAAAATTTGTTAGAAATGTTAAAATAATACATGCGAACAATGTTAAATAGATTTAAAAACATGCTCTTAATGTCCTAAAGGAGATTTCATCTTTGAAGGACAGTGTTATTAATCCTAACCAAGCCAAACGTACTGCAATACTCAAAATGAATGCTAAAAATGTAGCTAAAATCTGAACTGCTAAACTTGTGATGTTGATTTGAAATCTTGTCTAACATGTGGAAATAAATATTTGTTTGAAAAAAATTGTTTTGAAAAATAACCAGAAAAAACATTTTGTGATGATAAATAAATGTGCTAAAAATGTTCAAATCTTAATTGCCTTACTTGTGATAAATCACTAAATATATGTCTTTCTTGTTTATAAAGCTAGTTCTTTAATGATGGAAATTGTTTAGAAAATTAACCTGAAAATACTTATTGTAATGAAAAACGTATCTGCAATAATTGCACTGAGAGCAAATGTAAATTTTGTTATGAAAACAAATCTGATTGTATTTCTTGTCTAAGCAATTATTACCAATATGAGAAAAGCTGCTTTGAAAATAAATAACCAAATAGTTATTGTGATAATCAGAAAATTTGTTAGAAATGTTAAAACATTACATGCGAAAATTGTTTAAAAGATTTATAAACATGCTCTTAATGTCCTAAAGGATATTTCATCTTAGAAGGACAGTGTTATTAATCCTAACCAAGCCAAACGTTTTGCAATACTTAAAATGAATGCTAAAAATGTAGCAAAAATATGAACTGTTAAACTTGTTAAGATGATTTACAATCATGTTTAACATGTGAAAATACATATTTATTTGAAAAAAACTGTTTTGAAAAATAGCCAGATTAAACATTTTGTGATGATAAATAAATATGTTAAAAATGTTCAAATCCTAATTGCCTTACTTGCGATTAGACTTTAAGTATTTGTACTACTTGTTAAAATAAATAATTTTTATTTAATGGTAATTGTTATTAAGACTAACCAGAAAAAACATATTGTAATGATAAATATTTCTGTGAAAATTGCATTGAAAGTAAATGTAAATTTTGCTATGAAAATAAATCTGATTGTATTTCTTGTCAAAGCAATTATTATCAATATGAGAAAAGCTGCTTTGAAAATCAATAGCCAAATAGTTATTGTGATAATCAGAAAATTTGTTAGAAATGTTAAAATAATACATGCGAACATTGTTAAATAGATTTAAAAACATGCTCTTAATGTCCTAAAGGAGATTTCATCTTAGAAGGACAGTGTTATTAATCCTAACCAAACCAAACGTTTTGTAATACTCAAAATGAATGCTAAAAATGTAGCTAAAATATGAACTGCTATACTTGTGTTGCTGATTTGCAATCTTGCATAACATGTGAAAATAAATATTTGTTTGAAAAAAATTGTTTTGAAAAATAACCAGAAAAAACATTTTGTGATGATAAATAAATGTGCTAAAAATGTTCAAATCTTAATTGTCTTACTTGTGATTAAACTTTAAAAAATTGTACTTCTTGTTAAAATGTATAATTTTTATTTAATGGTAATTGTTATTAAGACTAACCAGAAAAAACATATTGTAATGATAAATATATCTGTAAAGAGTGCATTGAAAGTAAATGTAAATTTTGCTATGAAAATTAAACTGACTGTATATCCTGCTAAATTAATTACTATTAATTAGAAAAGACCTGCTCTGAATAGTAATAACCAAATACTTTTTGTGACAGCTAAAAATTTTGTTAGAAATGTAAGAATGAAAAATGTTAGACTTGCGATTAATAATTAGAAAAATGCCTAACTTGTAGTGATAAATAATATCTTTTTGAGGATTAGTGCTTGATTTCGAAGCCTGATAACGTTTACTGCAATGAAGATAATTAATGTAAGTTATGCTAAAATAAAAAGTGCTAATAATGTGAAATTGATTTAACTTCTTGTTCTTAATGCAAAATTAATTATTATTAGCTTAATAAGGGTTGTTATGAATCTTAACCTGATAAATCTTTTTGTGACGATTAAAAATAATGCAAAATTTGTGATAATACAAACTGCTTGAAGTGTGATAACTCCTTATAAAAATGCTTAGAATGTTTTCCAAAGAGCTATTTGTATAATGGTGAATGCTTTTTATAATAACCCAATAATACTTATTGTAACTCCAATTTAATTTGTGAAGATTGTTTAAATAAATAATGTGATAAATGTTCTGAAAATAAAAATGATTGTATATCTTGCAAAGATGAATACATTTTTGAAAATAAATGTTTTAAAGAAAAATAGCCTAATACATATTGCGATAATTAAAAAGTTTGCTTCAAATGTAAATCTGAGACTTGTTTTTCTTGTGATAAAGAATTAACTAAATGCTTATCTTGTTCAGCCAAAGATTTTCTTTTTTAAGATTCCTGTACTAAGCAATAACCAGAGAATACATTTTGTGATGAAAATGGAATATGCTAATAATGTAATAAGCCTAGCTGTTTTATTTGTGAAAAGGATTTGAACAGCTGTTTTAAATGTAAATAAAATTTATTTTAACTTTAAAATATTTGCTATGATAAATAGCCATAAAATACTTATTGCAATGATAATAAAATTTGCTCTTCTTGTTAAATCTCTAACTGCTAATATTGTGATAATTCTTTAAAAAAATGCTAGTAATGCCTCCCAAATTTATTTATGTTTAAAGAAGAATGCTATGAAAAATAACCTGATTTAACTTACTGTAATGAAAAATCAATTTGTGAAGAATGTTTAAATAAGAATTGTAAAACTTGTTCAGAAAATAAGAATGATTGTCTATCTTGTAATGACTAATACTTCTTTGAAAATAATTGTTTTTCAATTTAATAGCCTAATTCATATTGTAATGAATAAAAAATTTGTCAAAGATGCTAAGATACCAAATGTAAATAATGTGATAATACACTGTAAAATTGTAAAGAATGTTTGGACTAAAATTATTTATTTAAAGATAAATGTTTTAGTGATAAACCAGAAAACACATATTGTGATGATAAGAAGATTTGTAAATAATGCCTTAATTCTAAATGTTCAAGTTGTGAAGATAACCTTTCATAGTGTATTTCTTGTAAAGCAGGATCTTTCTTGTATAAGAAAGATTGCTATGATTCTTAGTAATAAAATACTTATTGTAATGATAAAAAAATATGTGAAGAATGTACAAACAAAAGCTGTAAATTTTGCAATAATTAACTTGATTAGTGCTTGTCTTGTTTTAATAATGAATATCTTTACAATAATCAGTGTACTAAATAATAGCCGCTTTCCACTTATTGCGATGCAAATTTAATATGTGAATAATGCACAAATATCCAATGTGCTAAATGTGAGCAAAATAAATAAGATTGTATCTCTTGTGACAATAAATATTTCTATGATAAAAATTGCTACAATCAGTAACAACCTAACACTTATTGCAATAATTCAAAAGTTTGTCAGTAATGCAAAGAAGATAGCTGTTTAACATGCGATTAGTAATTGAATAATTGCTTAACATGCCAATAAGATAAATTTTTATTTAATAATAAGTGTTATGATAAATAGCCTGAGAGTACTTTTTGTGATGATAAGAAAATATGCCAAAAATGCAATAATGGTTCATGCTTAACATGTAATGATAAACTTAATCAGTGTAATTCTTGTAAACCCTAATCATATTTATACTAGGATACATGCTTTAGCTCTTAACCAGAAAATACTTATTGTGATAACTAAAACATATGTAAAACATGTCAAACTCCTAATTGCCTTAAATGTGATGAAACTTTGAATTAATGTAAATAATGTAATCCAAAATACTTTTTATATGAGTCTAAATGTACTAGCTAATAGCCTATTAACACTTATTGTGATAATAATCTTATTTGCGAAATTTGTAACAATAAAGATTGTGCTAAGTGCTCAAACGATAAATAAAAATGTATTTCTTGTGAGAATAAATATTTGTACAACGATAACTGTTATGTAACATAATAACCAAATACTTTTTGTAACAATTAAAAAGAATGTTAAAAATGTAAGCTCGAAGAGTGTTATTTTTGTGATAACTAATTAATGAAATGTATAAAATGTTATGATAATAAATATCTTTTCTAAGGTTAGTGCAAAAGCGAAGAACCTAGTAATACATACTGTGATAAAGTAACAAAAATTTGCACTAAATGTTCTAATGATAAATGTAAAGAATGCGATAACAATTTAAAAAGTTGTACATCTTGCAATTCAAATCAATATTTTTATAATAGCGAATGCTACGAAGATAAGCCTAATAATACATATTGTGATAATCTAAAAATCTGTAAAAAATGCAAGGATGAAAACTGTTAAAGTTGTGATGAGAATTTAGAAAAATGTTTTAAGTGCTATAAATAAACTTACATTCATGAATAAAAATGCTATTAGCAACAACCTAATAATACTTTCTGTAATTAATCAAAAGAATGCAAACTATGTTTAAATAACAATTGCAAAACTTGTGATTTCAATCTAACAGATTGCGTGAGCTGTTTAGATAATTAATATCTATTTAATAAGTAATGTTACATTACATAACCTAACTCAACTTTCTGTGATGAATAAAAGGTATGCTAATCATGCTAAAGTGGTTGTAAAGTATGTAAAAATAATCCATATATTTGTGAGGAATGCATTGATTAATACTATTTGTTTAATGGAAAATGCTCTTTCAAATAACCAGATTCTACTTATTGTGATAAGAGTACTCTAGTCTGCAATAAATGTGATGAAACATGCTTTTCTTGTAATGGACCTACTTAAAATGAATGTACTGGCTGTGATTAAACAGTTTTTAGATATGATAGTTCAACTTCAAGATGTCTGTGTAAAGAAGGAGGTTTTACATATGTAAATACTTCACAAAAATGTGAAAAGTGCAAAATCATAGGATGTAATGACTGCTATCAAGATATAAATAAATGTATCTAATGTGGAGAAAAAATGGAATTTGATAAAGTTACATCTGAATGCTATTGTAAAGATGATTTAGAAATTGTAAATAGAATGGATAATAAATGTATGAAAAGCATTATTCCTAATTGCTAAAAATTGGTGAGAAACAAATACGTATGTGAAAAATGTATTTAAGGTTATGAATATGATATTTTACATAATAAATGTAATTTCTGCAAAAACGGAAAATATGCAGATGAAAATGGCTTATGCACATTACCTTGTTCTCCAGGCTGTCTCAAATGTAGTTCACTAACAAATTGTGTGAATGTTGATCCTAATTACAAACCATAAAAGCCTAAATCAGATGAAGATAATAAAGGAGAAAAAGATGTTGAATACACACCTCCAGAAAAACGTATACCATTAACAGATTTCTCAGTTTGTCATATTTCTTGTCTGACTTGCTTTGGTCAAAATTATAATAATTGCTTAAAATGTTCATCAGAAGAAACAAGAGATTATAATTATGTAAAATCAACTTGCAATTGCAAAGATGGTCATTTAGAAGTGAATAAATAAGAATGCTAATAATTCACTAATCTTGAAAGTGCTATGCTTAGTTCTTCATAAGCTGCTTAATTTTCATCACTAGCGTTGGCTCTACCTACATGTTTCTTGTTTTAAACTCCCTATATTTATTATGTAATTTAAACGAAACAATATCTTGGCTTAATGTCTATGAATCATCCAAAGAATACTGTGGCAGAACAAGTTTTATCTTAATTTAGAACATATAACTTTAATTATGATATCCCTTTAACAATTATTACAACTAGCAATAAGCTTACTTCAGATGAAATCAATTAGTTATTTATTTCTACTTTAATTATATCATGTTTCCTAATAACAGGATTATTATTTAAATACTCTAGAAGTTCTTTTAGAGGCTAATCTTATTTAAGGTGGAACTTATTCCTATTAATGGCAAGAAATTTAACTTCTTTTAATACATATATAGTTGTTAAATTTTTATCATAAAATAAAGAATCAATAGGATCTTCTGAAATAGCTATTTTTGTATTTTATTGTATTATACTATTCATATACTACATACAAATTGCTTTAGGAATTAAAAATTAGATAAAAATTTTAAATGACGCTCATAGATTTGATAGTTAAAGCTAAAATAATTCAAGTGAATGTGATGTCTCAAGAGTAATAAAAAATGATTTCTTAGAAGTAATTAAATTTAGCAATCCTTTAGAAGAAGGAGTTATAGTGGCAAAATTCCATTAAAAAGTCTCTTACTCTGTAATCACATAAGGCCTAAACACTTAAAAATATATAAATCTTTATTTATGGGCAATTATTGAGGTAAAGAAGCTAGTTATACCTTTTATACTTGGTTTCTTTTCTTAGTATGACTGGTGTTATTTTTTAGTTGCTTCTATTTGCTTGGCATCAATATTTTATTTTATATTTTTTAGGCCATTTTTAGGTAAAGCTCATAATATGATTTCTATATTTTCTGATTTGATTACAGCCTCAATTTTTATTTAGTTTAAATTTTTGAATAATTAATATGATATCAATGACCACAAATCAATAATCTTAACTAATTCGATACTAATTACTTCGTTTTTATTCTAATTAATAATTGCCATATTTATCATAGTTGGAATAATTGCGTTTATTTACAAATATATTTAAAAAAAGAAATGTAAAAATATAGAATTAGAAACGAAAAAATCTTAATTGTCTCTTTCAAAATAGCATTTAAACGAATCAAGCTTCTCTAGTGTAACTAAAAGTAATTTTTAATCTTAAAATTGAAATTTTTATTTAAATTATTTTTTTAGTAAAAGATAAAGCAATTAGTATAGCACTTAATAATGTGAGATGGAGCATAAATCCATTATAAAGATCAACATAAATTATAAAAATTAAAAATTGAATTTAACTATGAAGATTAAGTTTTTAAGATATGTATATGCATTTTTATCTTATTGAAATTTTTTAATTTTATAAAAAAAATTTAATATATTATTAAAATTTATCATTTGCATCAAAAATTATAAGCCAACTTTTATATTATCTTAAATAGTAATAATAAAATATTAAACTAACTAATTAGAATTAAATTTGTAAAATAAAAACATCAAAATACAAAAAAATAGAGTCACTTTTTTTAATATTTGTCCAATTTAATTTAATTATTAAATATAATAATAAGCACAATTATAACCCAACCCCATATTTTAACCCTTTAATTCTAAATTTAACCCACTAACAAAACATTACATTTGAAGAATATGGGCACCATCAAAATTTAAATTATTGCTATTTAAATAAATATTTAGTAGAATAATAAATATTATTTTAAATTGAAATAAATTTATAATTTTTAAATATGAAAAATTTCAAAGAAAATTTATTATTTTATTAAGTTGTTGAGTTGATGTTAAATAATTATCAGATATTTTGATAAATTACAGAGATTTATATATGGATTATTATAAATATTATCATGGTTATTTTATTTAAGCTTCAGCATTTTCTTTTAAAGCTATGTTGAAATATACAAATATTGAATTAGAATTAACTACAGATCCACAAATTTATCAAATGTTTGAATAAATATCAAGAAATGGTATTTTTACTATTAGTCCTATTAATTATCCTAAAGCTGATAATTAATATGTAAACATTGATAAGAATTTTTTAAACTTGCCTTAAAAAATACTTATTTGAAAAAAATGTATTGAAAAAGTTCCTAATTAGACCTTCTGTGATGATTAAAAAGTTTGCTTAAAATGTTTAAATACAAAATACCTTATTTATGATTAATCACCATAATATTTTGTTCTTGTTAATAAAACTAACTCTTTAATAATACTAATTGCTTTGAAAATTAACTTAAAAATATTAATTGAAAGGAAAAGCAAAATTTAATTATTTATTTTATAGTTTATAGTTTATGCTTTTAATGATTTATATATTTAATACATCAAATATATATATAAAATATTTTTTGCAAATTTAATATGAGTTATAATTAAATAAATAAATATTATTTATTTTCAAAGTCCTAACAAAGAAGCAAATGGACATTTTCCTTCAGGTTTTTTAGGTAAATTGCTACCAAAGAAAGAAAAGTAAGGAGTATAATCTGACCATTAAGAATGAAGTTCGATATCATTAGTATATGCTTGATGTTAGAAGAAAAGATTTTTATCACCAAACTTACTAGTAGTAAATTCTGAAGTGGTAATAAGAGAACCTATTTTCTTTAAGCAACCAGTAGCGGGATCATCCATAGCTAAAACTTCTAAAACAGTAGTGCCTGGTTGTATTTCAGCAAATATTTAAGAGTATTCTCTGGTAAAATTATCAGTAAATCTGTTTTTAATATCAGAGGGTGCTCTGAATGTGAGCTTGAAAGGGAATTTAGGTTCAGAAACTTATGAACCATCTTAGTTTCTGTCAGCGAAGCTTCTTAAACCAACATTTTAAACGATTGGAGTAGCAGTAGAGAACTTTTTGGCAACTAATTTAAGTTACAAGCCTTCAGCGTTAGGAATATGAGTGTTCATATCCTTATCGAAAAAGTTGAATGAATCAACACCATTAACTCCCCACATAGCGACTAAGTTAGCAGAAGGAACTCCGTCAGCTAAGAACTTTAATCCTAAACCAGGTGTGTAATTGTCAAAAGCGTATTTAGCTTCAGGCTTAGAATAGTTAGGAGGTTTAGCAAGTGAGAATCTGACTAAAGCGGAATCAGCACCCTTAAAAAGACCAGTGTAAGGAGTATCAGGCTCAGCAACGAACTTAACTTAGCCAACAACACCAACAGAGTGAATTAATTTTTTTCTTCCTTCAGGCAAAGAATCAGATTTATAATCAATAGTAACACTCATACTTTCAGTAAAGATAGAAGCTATTTCAAGAGGAGAAGGATAAGTACCAGATTGTTTATTTTCAGTGATAGCTTACCATAATTTGTTAAGCTTTTAGTTTCTTTGTTAGGCTTGATATTCAGAGCTTGAGAAATCATCAGCAATAACAGCTGAAGTTGCTATTAATAGCAAAATAATAATTGTCTTCATGATGATGTTTATTATATTTTGTTTTACAATTTATTAGATTAATAATTGATTACAATTAAATTAAAGGGTTTGCATATTTCAAATCAATATTAAATTTGCAAATTACAAAAGAGTATTTGATATTTAGACGTCATAGATAAAAAATATTACTAATAATTTCTAATTAAAAAATGTATAACAAATATATTTATCTGATCATGATTTAGCTTTAGGTTTAGACACATTTAATCTAATGTTGATATTATAAGATAATAATTAAAATCAGCTATTCCATACATCGATTCTGTAAGGTTTTTATGGTATTATTCAAAGAATTATTCCATTCTATTCTATTTTGATTAAATAAATTTCTGCCAATCAAATAAAAATGTTCAACTAATAAGTTTAAGTGGTCTTAGTTAAAGGAAATATTTATTTTAAAAAATGTGGTTGTATTTATTTTTTAATTAATAAGTAAAACCATTTTTATTTTTTAAATTAATTTTGTTTAAAAATCAAACAAACTTGGCGATTTTAGTTAAATTGTTTCTTTATTTTCAATTGTTTTAAATAAAAAACATGGAAAAATTTGTAATCAATAAAACTATTTATATCTTTTACTTTCAAGTAATTTGTACTGAATAAAAATCATTTAGTTTACATATTACAATTTATTTAACTCAGGAAAAACAAATATTTCTTCCATAATTTTATTGCTTTTAAAATATACAATACGTTTTTTCGAATCAAAACTATTTTTAAAATAGATAGATAGATTCCACTAAAACATGAAATATTTGTATTCTTTAAAACTATTTGTTTATTTTGAATTTACTTACTGATTTCTGATTAGCCATTTTTAATTTTAAATCCTCAATCAAATTTAAGAGAAAAAGTTATTTCTGGAATTGTTCTATTTTTGTAAAACATAATTTGTCATATTAATATTTTTTTAATAGAAAATGACATTTGGGGTTAATTTTAAAGATCAATAATGTTCTATATAAATTCTAAATAATCACTTTTTATTAATATTTACTTATTAACCTAGAACTTAACAACTACCTTATTTACTAAATACTAGTTTTAAAATGTAAATTTTGAATTTATTTATTCACCATTATTTTAATTACAAATATTAATACTTCAAATATCCAATTAATGATAATGACTATTATTATATTTTAGTTATAAAAGAATTATTTAGATATGCTAACAACAATAAAATATAACAAGTTAACTACAATTTTAAAATAAGAAATCTTAATATCTAAACACCAACTAGATTAATAAACTAATTAAAATGATTTAAATCTAATAAAATAATTTAATTTTGCAAGTTTATATATATGAAGTTGTAGGAATAATTATAAATATTTCCATTATAGATTAAAAAAAAGTAGACTAAAATTAATAGGATAAATAAAATTTATAAAAATTTTTCTATTACCATTTTAAATTAAGTTTATTAACTTATATTTAGATAAATTTGCATTTAATATTATGTAAGATGTTTTATATATTTAAATTGCTTCAAATCATTTACATTCTTTTATAAAAGATTTTATGATAAAATATTCCATGGAAAATATCTTTCAATATTCTAAATAAAACTTATTATCTTTGTTATTATTTTTTTAAAAAAGGTTTGTAAATATTTTCTTCTATTTTATAAAAACTTCTCAACCTCTTTTTTGAATTCACTTTACAATTCTAAATATATAAAATAATTTAATTGAACGATTTCAATAATTGATGTTAAACAAAAAAAATGAATATTTTGTAGAAATTATTAATTCAATTATAAAATAAAACAATATTTTTATAAAATATAAAGGTATTTTTTTTAAATATAAATTTTTTATTTACTTTTAAAATGGTTTCAAATAAACAAATTTGAAAATGGACACTTTGATTCCTTTTATTTAGCTGATTTGTTACCAATCAAATTCCAGTAAGGAGTGTATGGCTCCCATTCAGGATGGACTTCAAGATCATGAGTAAAGTCTTGGTGTTAAAAGAAAAGCTCGGTGTCTCCAAAATAGCTTGGAGTAATTTCAGAGGTTGTTCTTATGTCTCCAATTTTCTATTTGCATGTTTAAGTAGGGCTAAGAGTTGCATAAACTTCAAAAAGTAAAGTTCCAGAAGGAATTTTTTTTAGAATTTCTTTGTAATCTTCTGTATAGTCAGGGGTAAAGAAATCTTTTACATATTGGTAAGGCTTAAAGGTTAACATGTAGGGGAAGTTAGGATTAGGAACAGGCTTTCCATCTTATGTATGCTCAGAGAATTTTCTTAATCCTAAGAATTAAACAATCTTAGTGCCTGTAGAAAATTTATCAGCTACAACTTTCAACTATAAACCTTCAGGTTAAGGAATATGATTATTAAAATCTAAATCAAAGAAGTTATAAGAATAAACTCCATTAACTCCATGCATAGCAAAAAGATTGGCTGAAGGTTATCCATCAATTAAAAACTTGAGAGCTATTCCAGGAACAAAATTATCATGGGCATCTATAGATTATTTATGTGTATAATCGGGTTCTTTAGCTAATGAAAATCTTATAATTAACGAATCAGCACCTTAAAAGAAACCCGTATAAAAGTTTTTTTCAGCAATAAACTCAGCTTTTGCAACAGATCCAACTGAATGAACCTTTTTACTTCTCCCTTCAGGTAATTAGTCTGCAACATGGTCAAGAGTAGGGCTCATAGATTCAAGTAAAAGACCTACAGGAGAAGGAAATTTAGCAGATGAAGTATTTTTTGTCACCTCACCCCAAATTTAGTTAAGTTTAGAAGATCTCTTCTAGGATTAATATTTTAAGCTTGTAAAATCACTAGCAAAAGCAAAAGTAATTAGGCAAAGCAAAAATGTTATTTTGATCATTTGATTTTTATAATCTAATTTATTTATAATTATTTCAAAATATTTAATATATTTTCCTTTTAGAGTTTTCTATAAACAAATCTAATAAATAACAAATCGAATTTATCCCTAATCTATAAGATCAGTATACATTAGTAAATGCTTTCAAATTTACAATTATTCATAAGATTTATTATAAAATTTGAGATTATTACTTTTTTTAATTACAACTAATTAAATTTTAATTTTGTAAATCTTTACCTTATTATAATATTATAAATGAAAGTTATATTTTAGTCAAGTAAATACTAAAATAATTTATATCAGTTGCATTATTTCTTTTAATTTTAAATAATAATTTAAAGATAGAATGAGACTTATTTTAATTCTAAAGTGTTGATTTTTAAAAAATAAATTATACATTAATAATTAGTCAATCAAGATGGTATTTAAATTATTAATCTAAGCAACAACAAAAAATGTTATTTGCCTATGAATTAATTATACTTATTTACACTAAAAATTCTTTATAAAAGTAGAAAAAAGTGACTGATAAATTTTACTTTTGTTATTAATTTAAATCTTTTATAATTTGATATTTTTAAATGATTTAAATCTAAAAATTTTTCTTTTATTATTATGGATAATTGAAATTTCTGATTAACCAAACTTTCATAGAAAAATATTAAATTCATCAATATTCAAAATTTAAATAATAAAATACTCTTCTCATTATTGGTTAATTTTTACATCATTTTATAATAAATAAACATAATAATTATTGTCTTTTTCAAACAATTTAAAGAAAAAAATTATTTATTAACTAAAATTGAAGACAATTTACACATTTTTTATATATATAATTTTTTTATTTCTTTTTGTGATTCATTTTTTAAATATTTTCTTATAACTTTTAAATTGGATTTTTTAATCGTTTGATCTTCTAAAATCTACAAAATTAAATATATTATTGAAAACTGTTTTGCCTATTAAAGAAAAGAAAATAATTTAATTACTTTTACTAAAATTAAAAAAAACTGTTGTTATTTGAATTAAAAATTTTATAACTTCTTACAAATATATAATATTCTTAATATATATTTCTTATTTTTATTATATTTTTAAATTGGTTTCTCAATTTTATTTTTTATAAAATCAAAATAATGATGAGAAAGGGCATTTTCCTTCTTGTTAGCTAGGATTTTTATCTCCAAATATTCTCCAATAAGGTGTGTATGGCTCCCATTCAGGATGAACTTAAAGATCAAGTGCAAAATCTTAATGCTAAAAGAAAAGTGAAGTATCTCCAAAATAGCTTGGTGTTATTTCAGAAGTTGTTCTTATTTCTCCTATTTTTTGTTAACAGGCTTAAATGGGATTATCTGTTGCATACACTTCAAAAATAGTTGTACCAGATTAAAAGGTTTAGAATTTTTTTCTGAAATCCTATGTAAAATCTGAAGTAAACTTATTTTTAACATCTTGTTTGGCTTTGAAGGTCAATTAATATGGAAATTTAGGACTATTAATAGTTTTTCCATCTTATGTATGCTCAGATAATTTTCTTAAACCAACAAATGAAACTATCTTGGTTCCACAAGATTATTTGTCAGCAACTATAGTAGTTTCAAGAGATTTTGGTATAGGTATATGAGTACTGAAATCTTTATCAAAGAAGTTATAGCTATTGACACCATTCATACCATAAATAGCAAAAAGATTTGCAGAGGGTTATCCATCAATAAGGAATTTCAAAGCAAATCCAGGAACAAAATTATCGTAAGCGTATTTTGCTTATTTTTTTGTGTAATGAGGCTCTTTGGCAACAGAAAATCTGATTATTAGTGAATCTGCACCTTAGAAAAATCCAGTGTATGGATTATTTGGTGTAGGAATGAATTCAGCTTTGCAAACAGTACCAATAGGATGTAAAACTTTGCTTCTTCCTTCAGGTAATATATCTGATACCCTTTAAATAGTAGGATCCATAGATTCAACGAGAACTCCACCAGCAAATGGAGCATCAGCAGAAGTTCTATCCTTAATTACCTCTTCCCAAATTAAAGTCTATTTCTCATTTCTGCTTTTTGATTGGTAATTTTAACTTGTAAAATCAGAGCTACATTTTATTAATGCAGCAGCAATAATTAAGATTAAAACGATTTGTCTTTTCATTTTTCAAAATATTTGAGATTTAATTTTATTTTGTATATGCCAAATAAAATAAATGTTAATAGACTTTATGGATAAGTACATTTTTATTTTGGGTACTCTCTTATTCTTTTATATAAACTATCAGAAATTCTTATATAATCATACAAAATGCTTACAGAATTTATTATGTAAAATAATAAATAAAATTCTTCTAATCAATTAATCAATTATATATTTTTCTACATAATAAGGTCTAAAATAAAAATAAATAAAAATATTTTTGATGATAAAAATTAATTAAAATTATAAATTTTAATTTTTTTTTTTATTTAAATACAAATTCAAATGATTAATAAGTTTATTTAATGAGACAAGTGCTTTATAAATATTATTATTTATTAGTAAATTATGTTATGATCTTTCTGAAATTTAGTATAGATAAATCTAAAAATCTAAAAATTATTTAAATTATGTTAAAATCAAAATAATTTTTTAATTTGAAATTACCTTAAATATTTCAAAAAAAAATTTATTACTTATGAAATTCTTTTATAAAATAGAAATTTAGAGATAACACTATTCTTATAAATTGTTAAATATCAAATAAGATATATAAATTTTAAAAAAATTAAAGTAATTACTGTTACTTCCCTTGGTAGTGGCGAGAGACGAATGGTGAATTTTTGAAATTTTATTTCTCAATTTAAGTAATTTTTTTGACTAATGGTAAGAAGAGAGTTAACGAGAAGTTATAGTAAATATATAATTTATCCATTATGGTTAAAATAAAAAATTTAGTATTTCTTTTAAAATCTACAATTTATTAAAATTTCTTCAATTTAAACATTAAAAGTTATATAAAAATTATCTTATTAAGATAAATAGAAATATAAAATCTATTTTAATAATCTATATTTATAATTTTTTTAAATGTGTAAATGAATTGATATAACTTCATTAGATTTTTCTATTATAAGTTATTTTAATCTTTAAGAAGTCAAGCCAAATAAATTATTTTTTCAAATATTAAAAAAACCCATAAATAAATTATACTAAAAATATCTTTATATTCTAATTTATGATGCTAGAATAAAAAAACTTTACTAATTATTTCATTAAATAATAATAAATTTTTTTAATTCCTTTAATTAAATTATTTAATTTATATAGATTAAACAATTTGTATTTCAAAATTATTAATAAGATACTTTAATCTAAAAATACAAGTTTTCAATAAAGAAACATTTTTTTAAAAATTCATATTTTAACAATTAGAAAAATAAGCATTTTTAATGAATAAAAATTTAGAATATGTTCATAAAATACAAAGAGTTTTATATGTTTAAAAATTATACTTAAATTTGCTTAATTTTTATTAAAAAGTAATTAAATGCACAAATGCTATATTTAGGTTAATTAAAAAGAAAAATGATTGTTAAAAAAAGGGAAACATTAAATATAAGTCATATCTAATCATAAATTTATTTGCAAAATATATTCAAGATATACAGTTTTTATTGAAGAAGAATAAATTGCTTATTTTTTTAAATTATACTCTAGAAATAAAATATTATATGAATATACCTAATTATTTATAGACATATTCTCTAGCATTAAAGTGTATTTATATACCATATATCAAATACATTTAGAATACACCTAAAAAGTGAGTGTATAATTAACAATAATTAATAATCAAAACAGCGTATATTAAGATCAGATAAGCTCTATGATTATAATATTTAAATAGATACCACTATCATTAATTAAATGGAATAATTATTAACTTATTTTAAAGAATTCTAAATGAATCTTCATAATTTTAAGAAGCATATTGTTTATTTAATGGATATATCCAAGATATCAAATAATATCATTAAAAACATTATTTAAAAATGAGAAGCAAAGAAGTAATTTAAAATATATACTACAGGTAATCCTATACCTAAGCCATATGGATATATCGTGAAGATATAACACTGTAATATGGCCTGAGCGGAATTTTAAAACTAGGAACAGCTATATATATATTTAATTTTATTACTCAAAGATTGTAGATTATTTAATTTTTAAAATTTTAATAAGTATTTTTAAAATATTTTAATATTAATAAAATTAAAGTGTTGATGCGTAATCAAATTCTTCTATGAATAATTTTTAGAAATTTAATGAGAATAACATAAATTAATTATTGATTTCTTTAAAAAAATAATTTAAATAACATTACATTTATAATTCAGCTATTTAGATGAAAAATTATGTAAGCATAACATTTTTTATTTTATTTACTGAAAATTCCTTAGTTATCATTTTGGTCATATTAATCATTTTAAATTTTATCCACTCAATAATCAAAAATAGTGCAATCTGTAAATTGTGGTAAATAATATTAATAAGAAAAATTATTTATTTAACTATTTACATAGGTTTTTAAAAAGACTTAATAATTCTTGTAAAATTGAAAATTTAAGAGTGATAATTAGAAATCAAACAAAAAGAGATCAAACAAAGTCTTAAAGATGAAAAAAATATCCATATTTATTTTGCTATTTTTCATTAATCTAAGTTAAATTTTATGTTATAATTACATATAATCTGATAAAGCTGAGAGTAAAAATTTAACTATTATAGTTTATTAAAAGAATGTTATGACAGGTGACTTAAATACATACAACCAGACCATCATTTTTGACTAAACATATAATTAAGTGCCATTCATTTTTTTAGGATTTAATCATTTAGATATAGGCTATAATACATAAAATATATCATATGAGGTTATTGCATCTAGTGTAACCTTAACTTAGGCTACTTTAACTGTATAAAAATTTGATTCTAACTCTATTTATGGACTACATATCTTTTATTTAGTTATTTAAGATATAGATGTTATAGTCTAAAATTTTTAATTGTTTTTAACCAATGGCAATTCATATATTTAAAACTTTAAATTACCTCCTAAAGATGGAACTTAAAATAAGGTTTAATGTCTTATAACTGGAATAAACGTTAAATACTCAAGTAATTCAACAAAATAATTTGGTATTTCAGTAACAAATACATAAAATAATTACACTATTTAAATCTAAGGAAATTAAGATTTATCTTATATTAGAGTTAATTGCTTAGAATATTATTAATACGCCACAGATCCTTATTCAAAAATAGAAGATGTGTAATTTCATACTTCTGAAAATATTAGTGACAGCTAATCACTTTTTTTAAGTACTCTTAATAACTATACTGATAGCTAACTTACTAGTTTTATTGGAATTACTCTAATTGATACATAATTACCTACAGATAAAGTTCTAAGAGCTGGAATATTCTTAGATTAATATAATGAAGCTAACCATTAATAGCCTGTGTTGATATAAACGTGGAATTCAAACACATTAAATACAATCTAAGCATTATTTTTCGACTATCAAATGTATAATTGCAAATAAAATGAATAAACTAATCAAATAAATCATTCAGATCAAAAAAATTGCGTTTAATAATGCCCATAAAGATATTTTAAAGTTTCCTTTCGTACAACTGATATTTGTTAAAGCTGTTAACCTAGTTGCTTAACTTGTAATAATAAAGACTCCTGTTTAACTTGTGATTAAGGAAAATATCTTAATAATTCATAATGTTAAGACTGTGACTCTTCATGCTTAACTTGTGAAAACAAATCTACTAATTGTAAATCTTGCTCTTAAGGAAAATATTTGTATTAAAGTTGCTAAACTTGTGATTCTTCATGCTAAACTTGTGATTCTCCATGCTTAACTTGTAAAAACACTTCTTCTAATTGTACATCTTGCTCTTAAAATAGCATATTATATAATAATTAATGCTATGTATAAAACTAATGTAAATCGAATTCGTTATGCTAATATTGTTTTAATAGCTATTGCATAGTCTGCCAACAAAATAATGTAAATTCTTGTTCAACTTCTTGCCTATCTAATCAATTTAATTATTAATCTTAATGTTCTTCTACTTAACCAGAAAATACATATTGTGATTAGTTTAAATAGTGTACATAATGCTAAAATTCTTGTTTAGCCTGCTCAAGTGATTTAAAATAGTGTATTTCATGTAATAACTAATTTTTATTTGATGGAAGTTGCTATCCTAACTAACCAAACTCTACATAATGCGATAATAATAAAATTTGCACAGCTTGCAAAAATAAGGCATGCTAATCTTGTGACGGCTCCTTAAACAATTGCCTAACATGTCCTTCTTAAAAATATTTATTTTAAAATTAATGTTATTCTACATAACCAAGCTAAACTGGATGTAATAATTATATTTGCAATTCATGCTAAGGGTAAAATTGCATGTTTTGTAATTCTTTAGATTTATAATGCTCAACTTGCATTAATAATTACTATCTTTATAATTCTAAATGCAGCTCTACTCAACCCACTGGGACTCACTGTTCTTTTGATTAAAACAACCACTATTATAATTGTGAAATATGTACAATTTCCGGATGCTAATACTGTAATTCTAATAAAAATGAGTGCTCTACTTGCTCAAGTAATTAGTTTATGTACAATAATAATTGTTATTCTTCATAGCCAGCTGGAACTAATTGCAGACTGTCAAATAATAATTTTTTTACTTGCTCATAGTGTAAATAAAGTGGATGTTTGACATGCTAAAATAATATAAACTAATGCTCTTCCTGCTTAGCAAATTAATTTTTATTTAATTTCTAGTGCTATAATTAGTAACCTTCAGGAACTATTTGTAGTTAGAGTGGAGGAAACTTATAAAATTATAATTGTTAAAGTTGTACTGTTTAAGGATGCTAAGATTGCAATGCACAGATAGATAAGTGTTCTAGTTGTTAAAGTGGATAATATTTTTATAATTCATAATGCTTTAACAAATAGCCAAATTAAACTTACTGTTCAAGTGATAACAACTTTTATAGCTGTAAAAATTGCTTGAATTAGTTATGTCAATCATGTGATAATAGTTTACTTAAATGTATAAGTTGTGTTTACTATCTTTTTGAAGGAAATTGCTATAAGAGCTAACCATAAAACACTTACTGTGATCATACAACTCGTATATGCAATTAATGCTTAAATTAAAGCTGTAAAACTTGCTAATCTAATTTATCAACATGCTCATCTTGCCCAAATTAATATTATATGTTATTAGGTTAGTGTACAAAAGAGTAGCCTGATAATTCTTATTGCGATTAAGAAAAGAATTGTTTTAAATGCAAAGATTAAACTTGTCAAACGTGTGATTAGAATTTATAAAAATGTAAAACATGCCCTCGATAGACTTATCTTTATGAAAATTAATGCCACTAATAATAACCATAAAATTCGTTTTGCCAAAATAAAAGTGAATACTTAACTTGCAAAAATATTTTACAATCTGGATGTAATATTTCATGTGGAGTTTGCTATGGAAAAAACTAAGATTAATGTGTATCATGTTCATCGGAAACTAGAATCTACTAAAAAGATGTTACTACGTGTGAATGTAAAGATGGATATTCTGAAGTTTATGAAATGGACTGCGAAGAGAACTTATTTGCAATAACTATCTTTTTAAATTTAAGTTCACCCTTGACATACGTTGTAATTGCGTTTTCTGTGATTTTTATATTTAACACAAGGCTAATTGTAGTAAACTATTTAATTTAGATTTTATAAATAATAGGATTAATCTACTTTATTCCTACATTGAATCAACATCTAAGTTTTTCATATTACCTGAATTAAATTTCTAAAATGAATTTTTTATCATTTTTTTCCTTGTCTGATTCAGAGTAAACAAATATTTAAAATATTTCTATAATTTCTTTTGCTTTATTGACAATATCTCTAATATTGGGCTTGATATCAAAATATTCACCTAAATAATATAAATTCAAAAAATTTTTTAGATGGAATTTAACTTTAGTAATTTCTAGATACGTTTCCTTATTTACTTTTTATGCTATTTTAAGGTCTGTAATATTAATTTAGTAAGCTAAGGCGCTTTCATTTGTTATTTTATCTTTGGTTTTGCTACCTTACTTAGTTTCTCTTTTTATAATAATAAAAGCAACATATTTATAAATCAAAAAAATAAATGAAATAAATCTATAGCATAAGCAAGAAGGAATGTCGTTAACACAAAGCTAATTTGTGCAGAGCTCTAATATTGATAATAAATTAATTGGTATTTCAACAGAAATCATGAATACATAAGTAACTTATACAGCTATTAGCAAGCAGATAAGGGACAACTCTACTTTAAGTTAAACATTTTGGTTAATAATTGAATTAAAAAAGATAGCAAGTGTGATTGCTATTTGCTTTTTTAATGAATTTAAATACTTATTTTTTTTCTTCTAAGTACTTTCTTTATTTTTTATAGCCTTCATTATTGTAAATAGGCCTTTAATAATAAAACTATAAAATATGATATTAATAGTAGCTGAAAGTTTATTTTTAATAGCAGCTTCAATTGCTTATGTTTTAATTGAAGCAAAAACATATAATTCTACTTATTACAAAGTGTTGGAAATAATATTCATGGCAATAGTGTCTTTTGTTCAATTATCAGCAATCATAATGTATTTAAGGCAAATATACATAATGTTTTTGGATTAATATTAAAAATATGAAATTAGAAGAAAAAGAATTGACTCTCCTTAAAGCCCTCTCAAAAATCCATCAAAAACTATTCAATTAGAAAATATCAGCACTTTTAAATTAAGTAATTTCATTAAAATCTAAATTTTTTTAAATATATATTTTAATAAATAGAAACTATTTCAGCCTGCGAAGATACTTATAAAATATAATTTTAGAATATGCCATCATAGGCAAATTAACCTAAGTTAGTTAGAAGACAATTATCAATGTTCTCAGAAAAAATTATATGAGCATAATAATTTAATTATTTAAAATATTTATTGTTTGTTTTAAATTTTTTTCACATTTACTAAATTAATTTTATTTAATATGATTATAATTACTTCAAAAATTTTTACTCCACTTTTTATAAAATTTAAATATTTTATTTTTTTCAAATAAATTCAAAAAATCCTAATTTTTTTAAATAATATAAATTAAAAAAGAAAAAAATATAAAATAGAATTAACTAATTTGTTTAAAAACAAAAATCAATTTATAATATAAAGGAATCATATTAATGAAATTGTTATTTACTCTTTACGAAATACTTAATACTATATTTTAATATTAAATTACTTTTGTATAAATAGAATACAATAGAAAATAATAATTGTAATTAAAAAAAGTAGATAAGGTATTATTATTATTATTAAAACAAAAATTTAAAATAAATTGAAAACACGTTTTATAAAAAAATTATATTATAAATCTGATTGCTCTTAAAATAAAAAAATGGTATTCAAATTAATAGTCCATAAAAAATATTCAGCATTTTTAGAGTGTTTATTTAATATAATATTAAAATAGGAAAATTAGTTATCTTATATTTTAGAAATCTCTGCTTCTCTTTTTTAATTATAAAGGTTTCATGAGGTTGATAGGAAGAATCAATCTTTCAAATATAAATGGCTGGTTAGCGAAAATCAATTTTGTTTTTCTTTAATAAATTTACTAATACTTAATTTTAGTTTACTAATAATATTTTTAAAAGCTAATCTTATTATTTATCCTGAAATTTAGAGATTAGTGTAAAGAGAAAAATCACACAAGAAATTTTTTACAAGATTTAAATAATTAGTTGATTAAATAAATTTCAAAAGAAATACTTGTAAATATTTGAAAGGTTGAAGCTGGAAATAACACTAAGCATTTTTAATTTTTATAATTTCAAAAATATTAAGAAGATCTTAAAAAATGTTTGATTTGCTATACTAATTAATGTAAAAAGAGAGCACAACTATAATTATTGTAATCTAAAAATCTTTCAAAATGATCTAAATTAATTAAGATATAATTCATTCAAGCTCTAAATAAGATTTCGATCAAAAAATTAAACCATTAAATAAATAAATCGCATTTAATAAAATACAAGCCTCAATTATAGTTAAAGAAAAATAGCTAAACTTCTATGTAATTTAAAAATATTAATAAATTAAAATTATAAATTACTGCCTATGTTTTACACATTAACCTTATACTATTTTATCAAATTTCTATGATATTAAAAATATTACTATTTATGTCTTTAATTGTCAGTAATATTAATAATATAATTAAATAAATTTTCTATTGAAATCTGAGACAGGTTGCATTAGACATTCTCAATACCTTAAATTTCATCAGTTAAGAATTACTTAGACATTTATTGAAAATTCAAAAGCAATCACCACAATTCTAATCTAAATTCAAAGTAAATAGGCAATACATAACACTACGATATAATATGTGGCTACTTTAAAGAAAGGAGTATTATAAATACTTCTTTTGATTAAATTAATTAACTTTGTTGTAAATAATATTTGGAAAATTGCTTTTCTATGTAATATTATCAATTAGGATTTAAATATTATATGGCCAATATTTTGCTTTTATTAAAATTAATTATTGGTTATATCACTTTTTTATCTAATTATTTATTAATTTAATTATACTTTTTGGTTTCTTCTTTGAAAAAATAACTAAAATTTGTGATTTTTATTCAAAGCAATTTCTTTTTAGTAAATTAATTATAAAAGCATATAAAATTAAGTCAAACAATCTTATTTATTAAAAATGAAGACTACTATTTCAATGATATTTTTAACAATATAATTAATATAAATCAATTATGTAATTGCTGATCTGTATACTTTCGCTGATTTCTACGTTGTAAATACTTTAGAAATTGTTAATTATAATAACACCTATCTTAATAGCAGTCCAAATCGAAATAGTAATACAATTAATGTTCCTCTTCCATCATAATTTAATAATCCTTAAGTATTTTTCTGTATTCATTAAGCGGATATAGATACAAGACCAACTTGGGTTGCTTTTTAAGCATCTAGCAAAGTAGATTTAGCTAATAAACAAGTAACATTTACTGCTTAGTAATTTTATGACTCTGCAATAAATAATTTAAGGTTAACATATTTGATAATTGAGCATTAGAGTGTATTTGTTACATAGGAAAGCTATTAAATATCTTCTAATAATAGCTAATTACAAGTATCTATATCTAAATCATATAAAAAATCATCTTCTACTCCACCTTAGATTTATATTTATCTTACAGGATATTAAAGTTAATTGTAAGGTTCTATCAATAAAATTTATTTAAATGTTACTCAATAAGCATCTGGCTTCACTATCATAATCACAAGATCTGACAGTAATATTTAATAAGTTTTTTACAATTACATAGAAATTTATAATGATGGTTCAATTTAATTTCCTCCCTTTGGTTCTGGATAAAATATTGCTCCTTATTATGGATTAAATGGAGCATAAGATTTATCAAATTAGGATAGTACTTCTACTGAGCTTAATACTATAATTAATTATCCTAATGGCTAAGATCGCTTTTCTAGTTATATTACCGTACCAACAAGTATATCTCTTGCAAGCGGGTAATCTCTTAATTATACATAAGTAGGAATTATAATTGGTTTTATTGGCCTTGAGTTTGACATTTCAGATAGAAATTAAGGGATAAGGATGATAGTTTAAGATTTTACCCTGGCTAGTAACTCATTAAATTTTAGGTATCGTACTTGGAATATTGCAAGGCTAAGAGGAGTTGTGTCTTAATATTTGTACATTGATATGATTTAGTGCAGTTAATATTCATCAGTTCCAATTAATAACTCTTCAAATTTTAAATGCATTGCTTCTTGTAATCCTACAGGATAATATTAAAATACTGACTCATCTAGAGGTATTTCAATATGTTCTAGTTGCGATTAATCATGTTTAACTTGTACTGGAGCAAATAGCAATTAATGTTCTTAATGCACACCAGGAAAATATTTAGATACTGCCACTTCTACTTGCTAGCCTTGTAGTAGCACTTGCTCTCAATGTAATAACTCAAGCACTTGTACTTAGTGCTCTCCTAGTTTTCCATATTTTTATAATTCTTAATGCTCGGCAAATTAACCTCCTAATACCTATTGCGATAATGTAACTCTTGTTTGTAAGGCATGTCCATCTTAATGCAACGGTTGTACAATTGACATGAAATGCATTTAATGTAGAAGTTAAACTGATTACTTTCTAAATGGATAATGCACCCCAACAATCCCACCAAACAGCTATTGCAACTAGTACAAATGCATATAATGCCCTGTCTAATGCAATTAATGTAATTAGAATATGTAATGCATTAATTGTGCTGACCCAAGTTATTATTTCTATTAAGGATAGTGCACCTAATAATAACCACCTTAAACATTCTGTTAAAGAAATGATCAACTTAACATTAATTTATTCTGTTAAATTTGCCACCCTGCTTGCAAATCATGTACAGGGCCTTTATAGTCTTAATGTAGCTAATGTAGCGATGGATATATTTTGGATGGTAATTCTACCTGTATATGCTCAGGATAAGGTTAAGCTTTCAACCCATAAACTTAAGCTTGCAGTTAATGCAATATTTCAGGATGTGCTTCTTGCAAATACGATATTAATAAATGTGATAAGTGCTAATAAAGTCTTATATTAGATTAGACAACATCAGAATGTTATTGTCAAAATTAAAATATGTACTTCGATAAAAATCAATAAATTTGTTAGAAAAATACAATTTAACACTGCATTTAATCAGCAAGATATTCAAATCTGTGCATTCAATGCGATGCAGGATATCTCAATGTAAGTTAATAGCTTTGCTCTTATTGTGGCAAAGGTTTATACACAAACTAAAATAATTAATGCGTGAATAAATGCCAAAGTGATTGTTTTGTATGCACAAGCAACTCAAATTGCCTACTAACTAAAGATTAAACAGAAAATAACAACAATAATCTAGAGATAGACTACACCAGCTTTAAGTGCCATTTTTCATGCAGCATATGTAATGGAAATACTGAAATTAATTGTCTTAAATGTAGCTCTCAAACAAGAACTTATTCTTTAACAAATTCTTCATGTGCTTGCAAAAGTGGTTACTTCGAAACAGGAGTAGCAGACTGCTTAAAATATTCAGATTTAGACTTGTCTTTTTTGTCAATAGAAAATTCGTTTTTTATAGTTTTTTTGATTCTTTAAATGCCGTTCATTATTTTTAATAAAAACTTACTAATTATTTAGAATTTTTCAGCTGTTTAAATGGTAGCCCTTTTAAGCTTTGACTCTTAACTATAAACAGATCTAAATTTTGTTAAGTTGCTTAAGCTATTCTAAAAACTTTCTTTCATAAACTTGCTTAACTTCAACTTTATTCAGAATGAAAACTATGAAACACAATTTGAGCTAAATGCCTTGGTTTTACTTACTGCGTTTCAACTAATATCATTATTACTATTTATTTTAAGTTATATAACTAAAATTATAAAATTTAAATATATTACTTAACAAATATTATAAGCAACACACAACTTAACTTCAACAATTTCATTAGCTATTATTTCAAATCTTTTTACTAATTTAAATTAATTATAACAAAGCTAATAGATTATCTTAATAATATCTACATCTATGTAACTAATCTTTACTCTTAATAAAATCAAATATCTACTAGAAAAATCTAACCTACTAACAAAAAATGACCCATCAACTCTTAATGATTTAGAATCTTGTCTGAATAAATCTAATAGCTTAAATTTATAGGATAACAACTAAAGCATATTATAAGCAAATAACGATAACTAAACTAGCGACTGTAATATTAAAAGCAATATCTATAAGATTTTACTTATTTTTGAGATTAAAAGAATAACCATATCAATTCTATTAGCTTTCCTTCAAAGATCTTAAATTTCTTTATTTACAAGTGGAGGGATAGAGCTTTTATTTCTGATCTTAATTTTAGTCAGTTAGCCATTTATAACAAGACTATAAAACATAACTTGTGCCATTATTTAATTATCAGTTTTTTCATGCTTTTTAATTCAAAGTTTTTAAAGGAATAATATAATAATTAATGTAAATGTGGCCTACTTCAGCTAAACGACTAGCTTGTATTTGGTTTAATCTTTCCTTTTAATAGTATTTTTCTTTCAAATCATAATATCGATTTAATGCTTTTTAAATATAATCCTTGTAATATATAAAAAATATAAATCATTACCAAATAATAAAAATAAAATGCCAAACTTAATCAATTAAAAGATCCCCTAGCTGATTAGTAAAGGTAATTTATTTTTATTTACTCATTTTTTTACTAAAATTTATTAAATTAAAAACTAGATATGATAAACTCAATTTTAAGTAACAACTAAAACTCAAGAAATCCATATTTGGTAAGAAGATAATATGCTTTTTCAAGTAAAAGAATGAGTTATAATTGATATATTTGCATTTAAATTATGTTAAATTTCATTTATGTTTTAATTTAATTTATATTTACAAAAAAATAAAATACTAACCAACTACTTTCATCTTTTAAAATAAGATTTTATAGTTTATTTTTTAAATTAAAAATTAAATTTTTAATATAAGTTTTTGTCTTTTAAAAGTCAATTACTTTTTTTATTATACCAATTTGACTGATTGATTTTTTAATTTCTAAAAATATGAATTTATATTTTTATCATTTTAAAATTATAAAGTTAGTGTTTAATAATTTAATAGTTAAATATAAAAATCCTTTATTTTAATAATTTTGATCTTTTATTAATTTTGTATTTTTAATGGATAGTTAAAAATTTAAATCAATCTTAATAAATACATCTTAAAACTTCAAAAATAAATTGTTAGTTTAAAATATCTTCGAAAGTATTTTAAAATAAAAAAAGAAATTTTAAAATAATTAATTTCTGAAATTTTAATGTTAAATATTTCAAATTTAATTTAAAAATTTTATAATAGATAATAATAAAAATATTATCCTAATTAATTTTTTTAAAGAATTTAATGCAAATAGAATATTTTATCATTATTTATTATTTTTTGAGTCTTGATTTTCTAAAATAAGTCTATCCTTAGTTTTTAAATTATAAAATACATATTTTATTTAATTATATTATTTTTATTAACTTAAGTATTAATGATTGATTTCTGTGTATGTAACAACAATGTCAATTAAATTAAATAATTAGATATAAATAGAAAACAATACTTTGATTTAATAATTTACTCTTTCATTTAATTATCAAATCTAGACTTTATTAATATTTTTTTTATACTAACTCGTTCTATAAATTATTTAATTAAAGGGAATATAAATATTAGGTAAGTAAGTCACATATTAAGCTTACAATAAATTTAAAAATTCTATGGTCCAACTTCAATTTACATTATTTAAGATTATGTATGTTATGATCTTAGATTTAATTAGATTATTTTATAATTTTATGAGGCAAAAAGATTAGTAATATTAAATTATTTTTTATTACAAATACCTCTCTAAAAATTTAAAATTAGGTTAAGCGACTTTATTTTGTTATCCTAAAATGAATTTATATTTAGTTCCAATGAAAAGTTTTTTAATTTGAGGAAATATATTTATTATTTTATTGAAATAAAATAACCATTTGAGTTGAAATAGAATCATAAATACTTTTAAAAAACTAAATTTGTTACAATTAATTCAATGATATAAATCCACTTTTGATAATCAATTATATTGAAATTCTATTTATTTTCTAGAAAAAATTAGATTTCTAATTTATAAAATAATAAAAAATAAAAAACAATTCAGAAAGAAATTTATTTAGTTTTGCATTAAAATGAAGCAAATTTTAATCTTCTCCATAATTTTAAATTTGCTATTATAATAGACATTCACTTAAATATATATATAATCTAGTGCTTCTTAGTCTGGTTAAATGCAATTCGCTCAATACTATTCTAATACTTACTGTGAATAAACTGACTAAACTGCTTTTATATCCAATGACTTTTCTTAATAGTTTAATAGTGTTCCTTAAATATTTGTTGGAATTCTCTTCATTGATTTAGATACAACTACTTTAAGAAAAGCCTTCAATTTCACAGTAAAAAGTGTTAATTAAAATCAAATATCAATTCAATTAAATAAATATGGAGGAACATGCATATTTGGAATCCAATTATCATACTTTGCAACAGTAGATCAAGATGTTTAAATATAAAATTATATTCTTACGTTTAATTAGCTGTCTGATATTTAAACATAAAACAATAAGTAATATTAATTTACAATTCCTTAGAAATTAAACTACTAAAGAGGAGTTTAATGTGCAATAACAGGATTTGACTCAATTTACTAAACTCCACCAAGCATCGATGCTACTTATTCACATCGAAACTTATCTACTACAACATAAGTTGATTCATCAAACAACTTTTACTAAATTTAAATACAAGCTCCAGATTTATCAGTAAATCTTAAAATAATTTATATAAATTGCATAGAATATTATATTGGGTAAGCAGGAGATTACTCAATGATTCATAACATTTAATAAGTGTAAACAACATAATAAATCACATCAAATTATAATTTTTAAATAAATCTTGATTCGTCTTTTTCAGGAAATACTATAGCATCATATTTAGGACTCTAATAATTTGACTTGTCTTAACATGAATCTTTAAGATTAGAATATTAAAGCTTTAATTTTTAAAGTAACTAATTCTCATTTTAAGTTACTACTTGGGATGGGAGTATTTTATATTCTTCAACAGCTATATTCTTTCAACATTAAATGATAGACTGCAAATCTAGCTCTAATTAAATCAATTCAAACTATTTAAAATAATGTGTTTCAAAGTGTTAAGATGGTTAATATGAATCTAACTTTTAAACAACTAAAGTGTGTTCTCCTTGCAACCCAATTTGTAAAACTTGCTCAAGTTTAAACGTATGTACTTCTTGCTAATCAAATTAATTTGTTGATCCCTCTACTTAGTCCTGTAGCAACTGCGATCCGAGCTGCCTAACTTGTTAAAATTCTTCTACATAATGCTTAAGTTGTCCTTAAGGTTAGTTTCTTTACAATTAAAATTGTTATTCAATTCAACCATAAGGCACTTATTGCGATCAAAATAAAATATGCTAAGATTGTTAAAGATCTTACTAATGCAATTTATGTGATAATACATTATAAATTTGCATTAGTTGTATTGATTAAAATTTATATTTTTTAAATGGAGTTTGTTCTAATTAATAGCCACCAAACACATACTGCAATTTATAAAAGATATGCCAAAAATGTCCAGACTCATGTAATGGATGCGATTTAAATTTAAATTGTACATAGTGTGCAAATCTATAAAATTACTTTTATTTTGGAAAGTGTCTTTAGTAATAACCACAAAATACCTATTGTAGTGTTAATTTTGGTTTTTAAAAATTTTGCTAAAACTGTCATCCTGCTTGTAGTTAATGTTTTGGAAAATAATTAGATCAGTGTTCGGCTTGCTAGTAGGGATATTAATTAGTTGGTTCTTCTTGTCTTTGTTAACAAGGATATGGTTATAGTACTATTTCTTAATAATGTGAAGCTTGCTAAATTAGTGGATGTATTCAATGTAATAAGAGTTTAAATTAATGCGATATGTGTTAAGTGTAATTTTAATTAGACTAAACAACAGGTAAATGCTACTGTTCAAGCCCTTAATAATATTATTCAACTGAATTATAGTCATGCTTTTAAAATAATATTCATTTCTGTAAAGTCTCATCCAAATTTTAAAATACTTGTGAATAATGTCAAGATGGATATTACAATTTTAATAAATTGCTTTGTAGTTATTGTGGAAAATCGAAATATACAGACTCCTAAAATTAATGTAATAAGGACTGCTAACCTTAGTGTATAATATGCTCAAATAAATCAACATGCCTTCTCTATTAAAATGAAATAGATTCTAATACTAATGGAGATTTGTCAAATAAATCAAATTAAAATATTTGCCATTATAGTTGTGGTTTGTGCAACGGAAGTGGATAATCTAATTGCCTAACTTGTAGCTCATAAACAAGAGTTTATGATATATAGTAGTAAACATGTAATTGTAAAAGTGGTAGATTTGATAAAGGGGATGCTGAATGTTAGGCAGGTTTTGACTTTTAATAAAACTATCTTTGGATATTATAAACTACCTTTGTAACGTTTTTAGTCACCTAATCTTCCTTAGTGTTTTCCAGTTAATTTAGGAAAGCAAATTTGAATTTTTATTTAATGCAATAATTAGTTTTTATAAGTTATGATAATACATTAAGTAAGTCACTAAACTATGCCTAAACGATGAAATAATTTTAATATTTAAGTTTGGTTACTTTTATACCTACATCATTAGTTAATGAAAGCAATTCATAAATCACTAAAGAATGCAACTAAATATTAATTTTATTAATATTTTAGGTTGCTGCTCTTTCAGCTTTTTTTATCTAATATTTTTTGAAATATGAAAAACTAAAGTACTTTGACAAAGAAATACTGTTTAGCTGTAATAGATTAACATCCACCATGAATATAGCATTAATACTTTAGCTATTAATAAAACAAATTAAAGATATTTATAAATCAACACTTTTTTTGCTCATAATAGCATCATTAATTTAACTAGTTCTATAAATATTGGTTTTTAGAAAGATCTATTTGGATTATAAAGGCAATTTTTTAATTACGTCACAATAAGTAAATACATTGAAATTATCTTTGATATTTTAATATCCATATATATCATTTTAAACTAGAGAGTAATATCTTATTTTAAATGCTATCTTAGAAGTAAAAAGAATGATAAATGGTTTAGTGTTTGCATTATTCAGTTAAAATGGATATGAATATTAAATACTCAGTGGTATTTCTCTATTCATAATAATTATAATCATATACTTAAAACCTTTTTATAGCTTATTAGCCAATCTAGAAGCCATAATTATAGAATTTCTAATCTCTTCTTGCTTTATTCTTCATTAATTTTACAGTAAAAATATTCATTAAAATAATGGTACTCTTTACCTTCTTATTATAATGATTACAATAATCTTTATCTAATTATTTGCTACTATTTAAAGCACAATTTAAGTTATCTTTTATATTTATTAAAAAATAAAATATCATAAATCTAAGCCATCTAGCTCAAATACAATCGAGCTCCTTCCTCAATATATTTAAAAAGGTAAAATAATTGTATTTTTAAATTTAAGACTAAATAATTTTTTTTTTAGATAAAATAGATAATATTCTTGCTTATAAAATGTTTAATTACAAAGTATTTAGAATAAAAAATAATAACAGAGATTAAATATGATACATACAATTCATAAAATGAATTTCAAGACCTATATAAAATATATTAATTGTGTTTATAATTTATTTATTGCAAATACTACTTTTATTTGTTTCTTACTACTATTTAAATTAGCAGTCAATTGTGAAAAATTATTAAAATTCTCAAAAGTAATAAATATGTATTTAAGCATGAAAAATAAAATAGTTACAGTGAATTATATCTAAATATTATAAAAATTTAGTTGCCAATTATGAATACTTTTTTAGATTTGATTTAAGATATTTTGAATTTCTTGTTACTGATAGTTAAAAATTTTCATGGTAAAAATAATGTTTGTCTTGATTAAGAACTCTTAATTTGTTTATTTATAACATAAGCTGAATCGACTCTAGAATCTATTTAAATAAATGAATATGAATAAAGTATTTTTTAAACAAACTAACTCAAATAATAAAACATCAAATTTTTACTAATTCTAACATGTCATAATCTGATTTCTTAAAATAAATTTAGTAAATTAAAAAAAATAACACAGGTAAATAAAATTGTTACAAATAAAAATCTTTTTGATTAAAATAATCTACTTACAATAATAATTTATATAATTTACAAATACTCCTTATTAGATTATTTTATGAAATAAAATTTTCATAAAATAATTGATCCTTACATTCTTTAATTACATATGCAATAAATAATAAAGCTACATCATTAGTTGATTTTATATTACTCTAATAATTTACTTCTTCTAAAACTTTTCTAAAAAAAATTTTAAATAACTAGTTTTATTTTATTGTAACAAGTTAACTTTAACAATCAATATGTCACTTTTATTTCAACTTTTTGTATACAAATTTAAAAGTATTAATTTTTTTAATTTAATCTGTTGTATATGCTATTTATCTTACTTTATAAGTGTTAATTTTAAGAAACATTTTTATTGAGTATTAGAACTATTTTACTTCAAAAAGCAATAAACCAATACACAAGCCTTATTGATTCTGTTTGAATCTCCATATACTTCAATTAGTCGAACACAAAATATCTTTATAATTGAAGTATTATTTGAAATAAAAAGAATAATTAGAATTCTATCTATATCATATATTATGTTGATTGAGATATCTTTATTATTTATTAAGCAAATAGTATATTTAAAACAATTCTAAAGCAATCTAGTTAACTTAGAAACTGCTGTTATTGAGCTGGTAATCTCTTCATGATTAGTCTAATTTTTAATTTTATTTTTTTTAATAGTCTATAAAGCTGTTAAATTCTAATTAATTAAAGATACTTTCACCACAAGTTAAATAGAACTTACTTCTTAAAATATCTAAAAAGGTAAATACAACTACAATAGCATTAAATTTTTTTAATGGTAAAATAGATAATATATTTCAATCTAAAATATTTTTTTATAGATTTTACTACGAAGAAAAGATTAAACAATCACATTTATTTATTAAATCAGTAGTTTAAAGTACTTTATATGAGAAATCTCTTCCATAAATTTTTTCAATTTTTAGAAGCAGAGACATTTTTATTTTCTATTTTAATATTTTTGAGAAAGTAAAACAGCTCTATGTTAAATAAATTTTAAATCTTTAAATACCAATAAATGCCAGCATTTTTAAAAATGAAGTATTAAAAAGATTTGAAAATTTGATTGAAAAAAGAAGTACCTATTATATATATTATCTATCAAACATTTATTTTATACTACCAATACTTTCTTAAATGTATTTTTTATAATATTTATTTATAAGGAGTATAATTGATAAAAAAAATTAATTATCTTCTCAAATTCACATTAGTTTTTTTAATGAATATTTCGATGTAATAGCTATATTTTTAATTCTTATTTTTCTACTTTAATAATTTTGAGAAAATAAATAAAATAAATATATGATTAAACAAAACTTTAAATGCCAGTATTTTTAATAATTATATCTCAAAAATAATTGAACATATAACTGAAAAAAGAAATACCCATTATATATATTATCTCTCAAACATCTATTTTATACTATAAATATTTTTAAAAATGTATTTTTTATAATATTTATTGATAAATAGTATTATTTATAATATAAATAGTGTTTTCTTCACAAATTCACATCAGTTTTTTAATAAATATTTCGATGTAATAGCTATATTTTTAATTCTTATTTTTCTATATAAATATTTTGAGAAAATAAAGTAAATACCTTAGTTTCTAATATATTAAGGACATATTCAGATAAAAACTTTTGATCAAATTTAGTCCTTTTTCACAATTTATTGAAAAAAGTCCTTAATATATGGCGTCCTTAATATATGAGAAACCACGGTATACCTTTTTTCCATTCATTTTAACATGGAAATTTTATATTTTGTAATCTTTATATTGAACGAAGGAACTGAGTGAGAGATATAAAGGATAATGGGAATGCGAACTTATTAGAATAAACTAATTTTGTTAAATTTTCATTTAATTTTGTAATTAGATTTATTTTCATATTTATTGAGAGAGAATTTACGTGTTTGTATTTACCACAATTTTTTATAATTGTGCAGATTCAAAAATGTTGGATTTTTTTTAATTTGAGAATAAAAAAAATTTATGCTTTTTAATTCAAAGTATTTAGAGGAATAATATAATAATTAATGTAAATGTGGCCTACTTCAGCTAAACGACGAGCTTGTATTTGATTTAATCTTTCCTTTTAATAATATTTTTCTTTCAAATCATAATATCGATATAATGCTTTTTAAATATAATCCTTGTAAAATATAAAAAATATAAATCATTACCAAATAATAAAAATAAAATGCCAAATTTATTCAATCAAAAGATCCCCTAGCAGATTAGTAAAGGTAATTTATTTTTAGTTACTCATTTTTTTACTAAAATATATTAAATTAAAAAAAATAGATATGATAAACTCAATTTTAAGTAACAATTAAAACTCAAGAAATCCATATTTGGTAAGAAGATAATATGCTTTTTAAATTAAAAGAATGAGTTATAATTGATATATTTGCATTTAAATTATGTTAAATTTCATTTATATTTTAATTTATATTTACGAAATGAAAAAATATATAAAATAAGCATTTGTGTTTTAAAATTTAATTACTTAATTTATTATATCAATGGCTGATTTTTTAATTTCTAAAATATGAATTTATATTTTTATCATTTTCAAATTATAAATTTCGTGTTTAAAAATTTAATAGTTAAATTAATAAATGCAAAATTCGTTTATTTTAATAATTTTTACTTTTTATTAATTTTGAAAAGATAAAAATTAAAATAAATCTTAATAATATCTCTTAAAGCTTCAATAATAAATTGTTAATTTAAAATATATTCAAAAGTAATCTAAAATAAAAAAAGAAATTTTAAAATAATTAATTTCTATAAAAAATAATATTATACAGTAATTCAGATTTAGGTTAAAAATTTTATAATAGATAAAAATAAAAATATTATCCTAATTATTTTTTCATAGAAATAAATTTATTTGCCAATAGAAAATTTTATCGTTATCATTATTGTATTAATTATTTTTAATTTCTTGATATTCTATAATAAATATATCCTTAGCTTATATAAATTATAAAATACCTATTTTATTTGATTATATTATATTTATTATCTTTAGTATTAAAAATTTATTTCTGTATATGTAACAATAATATAAATTAAATAAAATAATTAGAAATATATAAAAGAATACTCAGATCTAATAATTTACTGTTTCATTTAATTATCAAATCTAGATTATATAATTTTTTTTCCATTAACTCATACTGTAAATTGTTTAATTAAAGGGGGAAAAATATTAGGTAAGTAAATCGCATTAGAAGCTTAATATAAATTAAACAATTCTATGGTCTAACTTCAAATTTCTTTTATTCAAGATTATGTAAGTTATAACCTAAGGATTTAATAAGATTATTTTTATACTTTTATGAGACAAAAAGATTAAAAATGTTAATTTTTTATTACAAATACCTCTCTAAAAATTTTAAATTAGGTTAAGAGACTTCATTTTACTATTTTAAAATGAGTTTTTATTTTTTTCTAATGAAAAACTTATTAATTTGAGGAAATACATCTATGATTATATTTAAATAAAAATAATCATTTGAGTTGAAATAGAAAAATAAATTTTTTTAAAAATAACTAAATTTGTTACAATTAATTCTATGATGTAATCGCACTTTTGATAGATCAATTATTTTGAAATTGGATTAATTTTCTTGAAAAATTTGATTTCTGATTTACAAAATAATAAAAAATAAAAAAACAGTTCAAGAAGAAATATATTTAGAATTGCTAAAATGAAGAAAATTTTAATCTTCTCCATAATTTTAAATTTGCTATTATAATAGACATTCACTTAAAAATACATATAATCTAGTTCTTCCTAGTCTGGTGTAATGGAATTCGCTCGTTTCTTGTCTGCTATTTATTGTGGTTAAGTTGACTAAACTGCTATTTTATCCAATAGCTTTTCTTAATAATTCAATAGCGTTCCATAAATATTTATTGGAATTATTTTCTTTGATTTAGATACAACCACTTTAAGAAATACCTTCAATTTTACAGTAAAAAATGTTGATTAAAATCAAGTCTCTATTCAATTAAATAAATATGGACTAACATGCATATTTGGAATCAAAATATAATACTTTGCAACAGTAGATCAAGATGTTTAAATATAAAATTATATTCTTACATTTAATTAGCTCACTGATATTTAAACATAAAACAATAAGTAATATTAATTTACAATTCCATAGAAATTAGCCTATTAAAGAGGAGTTTAATGTGCAATAACAGGATTTGACTCAATTTACTAAATTTCACCAAGTAGCGATACTTCTTATTCACATCGAAACTTATCTACTACAACATAAGTTGATTCATCAAACAACTTTTACTAAATTTAAATACAAGCTCCAGATTTATCAGTAAATCTTAAAATAATTTATATAAATTGCATAGAATATTATGTCGGGTAAGCAGGAGATTATTCAATGATTCATAACGTTTAATAAGAATAGACAACATAATAAATCACAACAAATTAAAATTTTTAAATTAATCTTGATTCATCTTTTACAGGAAATACTATAGCATCATTTCTAGGACTCTAATAATTTGACTTGTCCTAATATAAAGCTTTAAGATTAGAATATAAAAACTTTAATTTTTAAAGTAATTAATTATCTTTTTAAGTAATTACATGGTATTATAGTACTTTATATTCTTCAACAGCTCTATTCTTTTAACATTAAATGATAGACTGCTAATCTAGTTATAATAAAATAAATTCAAACGATTTAAAATAATGTGTTTTAAGGTGTTAAGATGGTTAATATGCAGCTAACTTTTAAACTACTTAAGTGTGTTCTCCTTGCAATCCAATTTGTAAAACTTGCTCAAGTTTAAACGTATGTACTTCTTGCTAATCAAATTAATTTGTAGATACTTCTACTTAGTCCTGTAGCAACTGCGATACAAGCTGCTTAACTTGTTAAAATTCTTCTACATAATGCTTAAGTTGTCCTTAAGGTTTGTTTCTTTACAATTAAAAGTGTTATTCAATTCAACCATAAGGCACTTATTGCGATCAAAATAAAATATGTTAAGATTGTTAAAAATCATACTAATGCAATTTTTGTGATAATACATTATAAATTTGCATTAGTTGTATTGATTAAAATTTATATTTTTTAAATGGAGTTTGTTCTAATTAATAGCCACCAAACACATACTGCAATTTATAAAAGATATGCCAAAAATGTCCAGACTCATGTAATGGATGCGATTTAAATTTAAATTGTACATAGTGCGCAAATCTATAAAATTACTTTTATTTTGGAAAGTGTCTTTAGTAATAACCACAAAATACCTATTGTAGTGTAAATTTTGGTTTTTAAAAATTTTGCTAAAACTGTCATCCTGCTTGTAGTTAATGTTTTGGAAAATAATTAGATCAGTGTTCGGCTTGCTAGTAGGGATATTAATTAGTTGGTTCTTCTTGTCTTTGTTAACAAGGATATGGTTATAGTACTATTTCTTAATAATGTGAAGCTTGCTAAATTAGTGGATGTATTCAATGTAGTAAGAGTTTAAATTAATGCGATATGTGTTAAGTGTAATTTTAATTAGACTAAACAACAGGTAAATGCTACTGCTCTAACCCTTAATAGTATTATTCAACTGAATTATAATAATGCTTTTAAAATAATATTCATTTCTGTAAAGTCTCATCCAAATTTTAAAATACTTGTGAATAATGTCAAGATGGATATTACAATTATAATAAATTTCTTTGTAGCTATTGCGGAAAATCGAAATATACAGACTCCCAAAATTAATGTAATAATGATTGCTAACCTTAGTGTATAATATGCTCAAATAAATCAACATGCCTTCTCTTTTAAGATGAAGTAAATTCTAATACTAATGGAAATTTGCCAATTAATCCAAACTAAAATATTTGCCATTATAGTTGTGGTTTGTGCAATGGAAGTGAGTAATCTAATTGCCTAACTTGCAGCTCATAAACAAGAGTTTATGATATCTAATAGCAAACATGTAATTGTAAAAGTGGTAGATTTGATAAAGGGGATGCTGAATGTTAGGCAGCTTTTGACTTTTAATAAAACTATCTTTGGATATTATAAACTATCTTTGTAACATTTTTAATCACCTAATCTTCCTTAGTGTTTTCCAGTTAATTTAGGAAAGCAAATTTGAATTTTTATTTAATACAATAATTAATTTTTATAAGTTATGATAATACATTAAATACTTCACTAAACTATACCTAAACGATGAAATAATTTTAATATTTAAGTTTGGTTACTTTTATACCTATTTCATTAGTTAATGAAAGCAATTCATAAATTACTTAAAAATGCAACTAAATAGTAATTTTATTAATATTTTAGGTTGCAGTTCTTTCAGCCTTTTTTATCTAAAATTTTTTGAAAAACCAAAAACTAAAGTACTTTGACAAAGAAATACTGTTTAGCTGTAATAGATTAACATCCACCATGAATATAGCATTAATTCTTTAGCTATTAATAAAAGAAATTAAAGATATTTATAAATCAACACTTTTTTTGCTCATAATAGCATTATTAATTTAGCTAATTCTATTAATAATTGTGCTTCGAAAGATCTATTAAGATTATAAAGGTGATTTTTTATTTACATCACAATAAAAAAATACATAGAAATTATCTTTGATATTTTAATATCCTTATATTTCATTTTAAACTAGAGAGTAATATCTTGTTTTAAATGCTATCTTAGAAGTAAAAAGAATGATAAATGGTTTAGTGTTTGCATTTTTCAGTTAAAATGGATATGAATATTAAATACTCAGTGGTATTTCTCTATTCATAATAATTATAATCATATACTTAAAACCATTTCATAGCTTATTAGCCAATCTAGAAGCCATAATTATAGAATTTCTAATCTCTTCTTGCTTTATTCTTCATTAATTTTACAGTAAAAATATATATTAAAATAATGGTACTCCTTACCTTCTTATTATAATGATTACAATAATCGTTATCTAATTATTTGCTATTATTTAAAGCACAATTTAAGTTATCTTTTATATTTATTAAAAAATAAAATATCATAAATCTAAGCCATCTAGCTCAAATACAATCGAGCTCCTTCCTCAATATATTTAAAAAGGTAAAATAATTGTATTTTTTAATTTAAGACTAAAAAATTTTTTTTTTTTAGACAAAATAGATAATATTCTTGTTTCTAAAATGTTTAATTACAAAGTATTTAGAATAAAAAATAATAACAGAGATTAAATATGATACATACAATTTATAAATGAATTTCAAGACCTATATAAAATATATTAATTGTGTTTATAATTTATTTATTGCAAATACTACTTTTATTTGTTTCTTACTACTATTTAAATTGGCAGTTAATTGTGAAAAATTATTTAAATTCTCAAAAGTAATGAATATGTATTTAAACGTGAAAAATATAATAGTTACAGTTAACTATATCAAAATATTATAAAAATTTAGTTGCCAATTATGAATACTTTTTTAGATTTGATTTAAGATATTTTCAATTTCTTGTTACTGATAGTTAAAAATTTTCATGGTAAAATAATGTTTGTCTTGATTAAGAACTCTTAATTGTTTATTTATTACATAAGCTGAATCGACTCTAGAATCTATTTAAATAAATGAATATGAATAAAGTATTTTTTAAACAAACTAACTCAAATAATAAAACATCAAATTTTTACTAATTCTAACATGTCATAATCTGATTTCTTAAAATAAATTTAGTAAATTAAAAAAAATAACACAAGTAAATAATATTGTTACAAATAAAATTTTTTTTTGATTAAAATAATCTACTTCCATTAATAATTTATATAATTTACAAATACTCCTTATTAGATTATTTTATGAAATAAAATTTTCATAAAATAATTGATCCTTACATAGGATAAAAGGTTCTCTAAGATTTTTTTCATAATATATTTATATAGTTTTTTAGTTTTTATTTCATCAACTTTTACATTTTTTAAAAGAATAATTTGTTTTTCAATAAATCGAATCTAGTCGATATCAATAAATAATATAAAAATTAGGCAATAACTAAGCTTTCCATAAATTAAATATAATTTTTAGCTTTAATTACCATAAATAAGCATAATAATTTTAGTTAACATCATAAGAATAGTACCAGTATAGACATTCTATCAAAATAATATTTTCTTTAATTACATATGCAATAAATAATACAGCTATATCATTGATTACTTAGTCTATTACTCTAATAATTTACTTCTTCTAAAATTTTTTTTAATTCAAAATTTAAATAACTAGTTTGATTTTATTGTAACTAGTTAACTTTAACTATCAATATGTCAATTATATTTCAACTTTTTGTATACAAATTTAAAAGTATTAATTTTGCTAATTTACTCTGTCGTATATGCTATAGATCTTACTTTTTTAGTGTTAATTTTAAGAAACATTTTTATTGAGTATTAGAACTATTTTACTCCAAAAAGCAATAAACCAATACACAAGCCTTATCGATTCTGTTTGAATCTCCATATACTTCATTTAGTCGAACACAAAATACCTTCATAATTGAAACCATATTTGAAATAAAAAAAATAATAATAATTCTATCTATATCATATATTATGTTGATTGAGATATCTTTATTATTTATTAAGCAAATAGTATATTTAAAACAATTCTAAAGCAATCTAGTTAACTTAGAAATTGTTGTTATTGAGCTGGTAATCTCTTCATGATTAGTCTAATTTTTAATTTAATTTTTTTAATAGTCTATAAAGCTGTTAAATTCTAATTAATTAAAGATACTTTCACCACAAGTTAAGTAGAACTTACTCCTTAATATATCTAAAAAGGTAAATACAACTACAATAACATTAAATTTTTTTAAAGGTAAAATAGATAATGTAATACGTATAAATTGGACAAAATGGGTTTATATTCTACTGAGTTCGCATTCCCATTATCCTTTATATACAGTTTTTTTATACTTTTTAATTCAAAGTATTTAGAGGAATAATATAATAATTAATGTAAATGTGGCCTACTTCAGCTAAACGATAAGTTTTTATTTGATTTAATATGTCCTTTTAATATTATTTTTCTTTCAAATCATAATATCGATTTAATGCTTTTTAAATATAATCCTTGTAATATATAAAAAATATAAATCATTTCCAAATAATATGAATAAAATGCCAAATTTAATCAATCAAAAGATCCCCTAGCTGATTAGTAAAGGTAATTTATTTTTAGTTACAATAGTTTGTCTTTTTTAAATTAAAAATTAAATATATCAAATAAGCACTTTTGTTTTAAAATTTAATTACTTAATATATTATATAAATGGCTGATTTTTTAATTTCTAAAATATGAATTCATATTTTTATCATTTTAAAATTATAAATTTAGTGTTTAAGAATTTAATAGTTAAATTTATAAATGTAAAATTCGTTTATTTTAATAATTTTCACCTTTTTATTAATTTCGTAAAGATAAAAATTAAAATAAATCTTAATAATACTTCTTAAAGCTTCAATGATAAATTGTTTGTTAGTTTAAAATATATTCGAAGTAATCTAAAATAAAAAAAGTAATTTTAAAATAATATTATTCAATAATTCAAATATAAGTTATATATAAAAATAAAAATATTATCCTAATTATTTTTTCATAGAAATAAATTTACTAGTAAATAGAAAATTTTATCGTTATTCATTATTTGTATTAATTATTTTTAATTTCTTGATTTTCTAAAATAAATATATCCTTAGCTTATTTAAATTATAAAATACATATTTTATTTGATTATATTATGTTTATTATCTTTAGTATTAACAATTAATTTCTGTATATTTAACAACAATATAAATTAAATAATTAGATATATATAAAAGAATACTCTGCTCTAATAATTTACTCTTTCATTTAATTATCAAATCTAGACTTTATAATTTTTTTTCCGACTAACTTATACTATAAATCGATTAATTAAAGGAGGGGGAAATATTAGGCAAATAAATCACATTAAAAGTTTACTATAAATTAAACAATTCTGTGGTCCAACTTCAAATTTATTTTATTCAAGATTATGTAAGTTATAACCTAAGGATTTAATAAGATTATTTTTATATTTTTATGAGACACAAAGATTAGAAATGTTAAATTATTTTTTATTACAAATACCTCTCTAAAAATTTAAAATTAGGTTAAGAGACTTCATTTTGTTATTTGAAAATGAGTTTTTATTTTTTTCTAATAAAAAATTATTTTAATTTGAGGAAATATATCTACGATTATATTTAAATAAAAATAATCATTTAGTTGAAATAGAATCATAAATACTTTTAAAAATAACTAAATTTGTTACAATTAATGTAATACTACTTTTGAAAATCAATTATTTGGAAATTGAATTAATTTTCTTGAAAAATTTGGTTTCTGATTTACAAAATAATAAATATTAAAAAACAATTCAAGAAAAAATTTATTTAGAATTGCTAAAATGAAGAAAATTTTAATCTTCTCCATAATTTTAAATTTGCTATTATAATAGACATTCACTTAAAAATACATATAATCTAGTTCTTCCTAGTCTGGTGTAATGGAATTCGCTAGTTACTATTCTACTAATTACTGTGATTAAGTTGACTAAACTGTTAATTTATCCAATAACTTTTCTTAATAATTCAATATTGTTCCATAAATATTTATTGGAATTCTCCTCTTTGATTTAGATAACACCACTTTAAGAAATGCCTTCAATTTTACAGTAAAAAGTGTTAATTAAAATCAAGTCTCTATTCAATTAAATAAATATGGAGTAACATGCGTATTTGGAATCAAAATATCATACTTTGCTACAGTAGATCAAGATGTTTAAATATAAAATTATATTCTTACATTTAATTAGCTGACTGATATTTAAACATAAAACAATAAGTAATATTAATTTAAAATTTCATAGAAATTAGGCTATATAAGGGGAGTTTAATGTGCAATAACAGGATTTGATTCAATTTACCAAATTTCTCCAAGCAGCGATGCTACTTATTCACATCGAAACTTATCTACTACAACATAACTTGATTCATCGAACAACTTTTACTAAATTTAAATATAAGCTCCAGATTTATCAGTAAATCTTAAAATAATTTATATAAATTGCAT